TATATACCGACTACGTTTGTGGACGAAGTGATGTACAAAGAAGTTAAAACGTAAGGAAGTTTTTCTATTTATACAATCATTTGTATACTACATATTTCCTCTGTCAGTGCATGCTTAGGTGATTCAAATTATTTCGTTGATAAAAATTATTTTCAAAATATTTACGGTAGGTTACGTACTTGTGTGCTAATTACGTACTAATATTCGAATAACCAAATAATTTCACCTATTTGACTGATTGAATTAATGCAGTTTTTGACTGATTTTTTTGTAGAGCCCATCCTTATTTATTCGGCCTCAGTGTGGCCGGTGGATTGATGACAATGGGAATCGAAGGTGTCATAGTGGGACCCATTGTTTTATGTGCTTTTGTTACGTCGATAGAATTATCACGAATGATCCTCAAACCGCCCAGTGCTGATGACGATGTAGAAACACGAAGTGCCATATCTAATTCCTAAAATTAAATTTTATTGTTTTGTTACGGGTTAGCAATCGGACTGTACAATATTATAACTGTTTATAATTCTGTACGTTTGTGCCTTTGTGGTCTCTAACAGGGTTTTGTAATTTACGGCGTGATAGCACGTTTCGAAAGTAAATATATGCAAAGACATACAGATACATACCTGTGCTCAGGAGCACTTAAAGTTAAAGTTTAATGTACTCAGGATTGGGCACACAAATGTTTGTAAATACAATAATTATTTAAGCGGTTATATGGAGATTAAGAAAGGAAACAACCAAAACACCGGTTGGTAAAGTAGGGTCATAAGACATTTTTCATAAATTATCGAAGTGCCGCGCTTAAGTAATTAAATGCGTATGTCTGCGCTTGTCAGCATGAAAATTTTCTGCGCCCTTGAAAACTCAATCATAATCACTGAAACCGGCATGCGTTCAGACGGTAGGAAGTTAGGACTAGCTGTTCAGTATCTCAGCCGTACCCGGTATGTACCCGTTTTGTGGGTAAGTAATTGTAAATGCTAACTTCTAACCATAAGTATGTGATACGGTTACAACCCACAGGCACTGATTTTAATGTGATTTGTATGCGTTGAGCATCCTGTCTGTGTTGGTATAATTTAGAACAATGAAAACTAAACTTTTATCACCATCGTGCAGTGATATCAGCTGCCTGCGCCTCAGTTCATTGGCATCATTGCGTTGAAAAGTGAAACCAAAAATCGCAGTTTTTGTTTGCGTAGTATTTTTTTACGAAATGTCACAAGTGCCGGCTCAAGTCCCCACCGTGTGGCGATTGCATAATTATACAGTGCGTCATTCGCCGATAACAAGCAGAAGAATGCAGCTTTTTCAATGCCACACCGCACAAATGACGGGAACGTGTGCTACGTATACATTGTCACTTGTCACTGTTGTGGTGTCAGTATTTAAACTTCTTTTTTACAAAACCGTAGCCGTATTTTGATCTTTTCATTCGGGTTTCGAATATCTGTTGGCGTTAGGAAGCGCCTTCAGATTGACTATTCCTTTCCAAGTATCTCATTTCCAGGTTGGTGGTAAACGTATTTACCCAAATTTTTAAAAGTTAAAACGGTAGCTCCCAATTCGTTCGTACAGAATGCATAGAATGAAGTCATGCTATGCATTCTGTACTATCATTCTGGTCGCCAGTCAATGACGCATTTTCTTGCTTATTGATTTGACGACCCAGGCAGCACCAGCGACTTATGAACATGCACGTTTTTCGCTTTTCCAGTTACTGCTATGTTTTTTAACTTAATCATTACTTACAAAATTGAGGAGTATGTCCGCTCCTATGATTTGCTGGTACAATAATTATGTTTAAGAATTTGGAAGCGTCACCGTCAACTTCGAGAATTGGCACTTGTTGCAACGGATTGTGAAGCAACTAACGTTACGAAACCATAATTTTAGGTCCCCAATAAGATGCATCCCGCGAGAATCTGGAGCGCCATCGTTATGATGGCCATGCTGTTGGCAGGGCCACCACCAATCGAAGCTGGACCAGCAGCGTACGGGATCTGCCAGGCCGGATGCGCTGCTGTCGTGGTAGCGTGCTACGCAGCGGGAGGTGCCGTTTTCGGCACCGTGACGGCCGGTGTCGGCATCCCGGCCGCCATTGTGGCCTGTAACAGCGCGTTCGGGACGTGTCAGGCAGCGTGCTGGGCAGCGCTTTTCATTCCTATCCCGTAGTGGCGTAGTCGGCTTAATCCCCAGTTGTCAAGTGACATGGTAAGACGTTGTACTTGGCTGACTGTTGCTCTTGACAACTGGGAAATTAACGTTGACCCAGTAGCTGAAGAGCGATATTTTTGGTATTTAGTCCCTGATTTTGTACGAGCAGTGGTTTTCTGGTGCATTGGTACTTGCTTAGCGGAAGCATAGGGGTCAATTTAACTTACGATTCAAGCAAGCATGTTAATTTTTGTTTGCAGCTTTTGTTGCAGGTATTAATCTTCCAAGAATTTCGCCTACAGTTCCAGCATAAGCGAGTAAACTACAATTTTGGAGTTTATTTTCGTCGATATTGATTTTGTATTCCGTTGTCGCTCGCTTGGTCCTAATACGAATTACGAATGCCAGTTTATTGAAATGACATAAAATGAGCGGTGTCCAGAAATCGGTTTCCTTGGGTCAAGCAGTGACAAAATAAAATCAAATAATATGACAGAGCATATGTGGTAAAGATTTACAGCATTTTACTCACAGTAATTTTGGAGCAACTTGTGATCGCAATGCGGTATTGAACGACTTTAAATAAGGAAAAAAAGGGGGAAAAGAGTAGTAGTATGTTGCATTTAGTTTAGCCATTTACTACTTTGAGCGCCAATGGCTACTTCTGATTCACAGAATCTGGTGGCCCCAGCGACCTTGCTTAGGATCCATTTCCACTACCAAACTGTAGCTTCGCTCGTCCTCTTCCTGTCTCGGTTTCAAACGAAACTCTGGCCTTTCTTGATCAGAAATGAGCTATTCATTTGCAGAAAATATTCATCACCATTGGCTGATAAATCGTACTGCAGGTTCGCACTTCCTCGTATCTGAATAAATAAAAGCGCCAAATGAAACTTTTATTTGAAAACTTTTAAGAATAACATTCTCCATTGGTCACTTAACAAAAGGTTACCCTACCTGCCAAATCCACCGTTCCGCGTTCTGATTGGCTGCGAAGTCAGTGGCGTCTGTTCCGCCGACAACGACTACCTTTGACTGATAATCATGGTCAAAATACTGACAACGCGCTGTTTCTCAATTCTCTCCGCATTCTCTTCCAGCCACTGGTTCAGAACGAACGGATCGCCAAGTCGCCTTTCCGAATCCGGAATGTAAGGCGGCGGAGTGAAGTGTTCGGAGCTGGTCGGTTTGCCGGTGCGGTGTTCTGGTGAAGCAAAATACTCTTTGATCAGCTCGGCAATCTGCGTTCCGAGATTGGTACACTGGATCCAGCGTTCCCATAATGGAAGGACGGAGTTGTCCATAAAATAGCGAAGACAGTCTTTTTCAACCGGAAGACGTTGACGCTCGATCACCAATCCCACTGTGTCGGGGAAACGCTGTGGACTGTGTGGAATGCGGCTAGGAAGGAGGAAGATTTCGCCTTCTTTGATAACTATGTCGCGCATTGTGCCTCGTTCCAGGACTCGCAAAGTCATATCGCCTTTCACCATGTAAACAGTTCCTCACCTGCATGAAGAGTGAAGATTGCGTTTCTGCCTTTCTTTGCTAGTTACCATTAAAGCAAAGGCCAAAGCTACCACATTATCATTATTGACCAAAGTTAAACTTTATCGACAATTAATGGTAAAACAATACTGTACAAAGCACATCAAATTACGTCTACATAACTGCTCGCTGTGAACCGATTGGAATTACGAGGTATTTTAAAATGTGCAGAATTGCCTCATAATATTGTCAGTAAAATACGAGTAGTTCCAGTACCTTCTTCCATGTGAAAATCCTTGCGCTGATTTGGTCCGCCAACGTACATCACGAATAACTGGCCATCAGGACCGTGCATTAGTTTGTTACAAACCGGTGGATGAAATTGGTCCTTACTTTTCTCTAACCATACGCCAATATCGTTGTAAGAGCCTTGTTCCGAATCCGTCATTGCCGTGTTTCTGTGCGAGACCTTGAACCTTATGGAACACTGCAGCTTTTCACAAACCAGCACAAACGAGACGGTATAGATATGAAGTAAAATTTATATGGGAAACAAAATAACTTAAATCACGCACAAAAATTGTGCTGGGATGCACAGTAATAGCACTGAGAGATCTTTAAAGTATCGCACTGACCATCGCGATGAAATGTAGCGATTAAAGATCAACGATTATTGTCAGTTTGAGAAATTGTACTCTGTATTACACATGGAAAACCTTATGATTGTAGCCTGTAACGGCAAATACAGTAAGTACTTTACAAGTAGAGCCGTTCTATAGACACTTGAATCATTCTTCTATTATGTAATATACGTAACGTATACCGCACATCGGTATTTATCGTCAACTGCGGTGCAATTACTGCACCGCGCAACATTCGTAGAATCACAATACTCGTACATTCCGGACTGTATGCTTTAATACAGATTGCAATAACACGGTAACAAGCAAACATCAGCGCCAGTATTACCGGTAGCAAATAAGTCTTTGTACTTGTACTCGTAATCGACTTGGAAGTTCTACTATAGCTTGTAGAATGTAAGCGTGTTGCCGTGTAGCGTAACTGTACTGCAGTAAGTTTTAATAATAAATACCTGCTGTGGCTTGGTTCCTGTTCGTACCCGGTACCGGTGCAATAACAACAACAGAATTAATTCCCAGTACCGGTGCAACAGCAGAATTAGCAGTGTAAACTGTACCGTTTAAAAATTAAAAGTGCCGAAAGGCGAAGGACAAGAAATGTGCAAAAACAAGGATGTTTACACTTTTCAGGTTTCCAAACCTCCTGGGCACCAACTGTGCTCTACAGAGCATGCATTTGCATGCATGCAAAGCTTTCCACACGCATCCAAGCACGATCTATCTGTAAGATAACCGTAATTTTACATCCTTCGGGTGTAAAATTAATGTTAACAACCATAACATCCTTTGGCCCTTTGCTCTGCGTGCCCGTTTGCTATTAAAATTTTGTTAGAAGCAAAAGCTCCTACGACACTTCTCCACTGGAGCGTGAAATCTAACCTTACGTATAGGAAAATGGGAAGTCTCCAGAACGTAGTGGACTCAGTCTTGTCAACCCGACTCAACTGTGAAATTCTGGATACCAGCAACGTCATACAAATCGTTGCAACACAAGGCTCTTGTCTATCCTACACTGACCACCTAAAATTCTGACAGAATCAGATCAAAACGCATCATCGGAAATATGTTAAGCAATAATAAACGAGAAAATAAACAGGGAAAGCGCCAAAATACTGGCCGGTTGTTTCGTAAATCAATGAAGGACAGCACATAAAAATCAAGAATGCAAGAAGGACCGAGCCTTTCTTACCGGTACCTTTGGGTTTGCGCTCTGCCTTGTCATAAAAAATTTTGCGGCATAAGAAGGCTGAATTTCGAAGCGAAATCAACGGATGCTAACGTACCCAGGTACCCCGTAATGCTAACGTCCCTTGTTAGACAGTCGCCAATCAACAGCCAAAACTGCTTGCACGCCGTTCTCATTGCCTCGTAATTAACGATAAGTACTTATGACTTGTGTATTAATCAACTTTGCGTTTCAATATCTTCATGACAGCGTTTCGAGTAGTCCCCAGATTTACGGATATGAGAATCCCATCAACGTCACTCTCATCTCCAACGTCAAGTGTTTCATACAAAATCGCCAACTCGGCAAGAAACAAGACAGAATCCACGCAGCATTCGTATCGTGGGATCGCTCAAGTTCAGTGCAAACGTGATGTCTGTGCCGCTAAAACGGGATTCGATTCCACTTGATATCATCCCGTTTTTGAAGTCACGAACCGTGGAAATACAATATAGTGTCGTATGGAGCTGCAGCCAATGTTGCATTAGTTTCTTACTGTGATGGAGGGCATCAGGAATACCAGGAAGCGCAGTAGTATCGTGTGTCGATGTTTACCATTCGTGCATTTTTTTTCACTAGTGAAGCTATCTATGGTTGATGAAACCAAGTGCAAGGAAAAGTGAAAACCATTCTTTCAACCCGAGGCTTCGACGCTGGATTACGAGTTTGCGCTAATTCTTGTAAAACGGCGATCAAAAAATGAATAACTCAGTTCGTGATTCCTTTAACCTCTTCGAAATTCGGAGCCCATTTAACAATACTAACGCTCCTGAACCAATCCCGTATACATTCGTAACCGTGGTGGCCGTAATAGGTTTGTGCACTATTGCATACAATCTGGTATTTATTTCTGTTTTCATCCGGTTTGCCGCGGTCCGCAATCCGTTCACGTACTTATTGCTGAATGTATCCATTTGCGATCTCGGGTTGGTTGTTTTCAGTATGTCCGGTTTTGTATGGTTTACTTTGTTACCGCAGTCTGATCCAGCATATTGCCCTTATTTTGCCGTCATTGACAAATATTTCTTTGTTGGCACGGGTTATACGGTGATGCTAATCAGTATCGACCGGCTGTTGTCTCTGTTTACTCCCGTTTACTATCGGAATGTGCGATCGGTGCGCTTGTCACTGATACTGTGTGTGTCAATGTGGTTATTCCTGTTGGCGCTCCTCACACCATATGTTTTCATGGACGCGCTGTGGTATAACACGATGACCTTGCCTTGTTCTGTAAACTTTTCTGCTCAGTCAGCCTATTCAAAGGTCATTGAAGTGATTGGCTTCGATTTGCCACCGATTTTCATCATATGTAGTTATCTGATCATATTCCGCAAAATCTCACACCGGTCGTTAAAAAAACGTGTCCCTGTGGCAAGGAATACATCACCAACAAATTGTAAGTTGTCCGCAGTAAACAGGTACAGCACTTTGATATTCGAAGCCGCTTTCGAATAACACGATTACCACAGAATCTCGTTTTGGGGAAAAACAAAGCAGTATTTTGTTCGCAACTAGTGGCTTTTGCTTTATTGAATTACGCGCAGTAACACTTTCAGCTCTAAAGTACCAATCCTGTGGTAAGCGATTTCTTGCTTGGGAAAAAATAACTTTAAAACCTATTTCCCGACTGTACTTTTGCAGCTCACTCTGGTGAACAACACCAAAACGTGCCTGCGCATCGAAATATACAGCATCTGGTGCCTCTTAAACCCGCCTGCAGCTCACGGATGATGACTTCAAAATGTACCAGCTGTTTGGACTACTGGCTCTATGTGTTTTTCTAAGCTACATTCCACCAATGATTTACTACTTGGTCCTGGAGTTCACGAATTACTCGAACGGTACCCTCTACGCTGTTGTAGTGTGCTTGCAGTACCTAAGCTGTGTTTTCAATCCCCTTATATATCATTCGACGTTGCCTGCTGTGCAGAAAGCAATTCGGAAACTCTTGTGGTGTTGTTGAAAACTTGAAACAATAAAATTTTACTGATCTTTGATACTCGTACATATTTGCGTAGGTACCTCGCACTTCTGTCGGTTTGTATTCGTAATTCAATTATGACAATAAATTATGCAGCTAATTTGTTTTTACATTCTGTGCTCGACCCAGACAAATCGTGAAAACAAGTATCCGAATTTAGTAGAACTTATTCTTATGACTGTTGTTATTCTTAATTTTATCTTGATAAGTTACTTAATGTTAATTCTGTCTACACAACATCAATCTCGAAAACTTTATGACTTGATAAGCGAGTGCTGTAAACAACCATAACATAATGAAGCTAGTATCGAAATGATAATGATTCTTCACTGCCAACCTCTTCACTGCCACTAAACATGCCAAGATAATAGGTACTTCAGTACAGAAATAACAGCAATACTCGTATAATAAGTATGCATAACGGCCGAATTGCTTACAGGATATATATAACACAGCATTCACAAAAATTGACTCTTACTGTACTTCAGAATATTATGTGTTAAACATATCCAATCCAGGCAAAACACAGCTACAGGCAGTTTGGTGACATGTCTATCAGCAAAAACTGAAAATTATATCAAAGTATTATTGACGGTCTGTTTGTCGTTTTATGACAAAGCCACAACCGCTGCCAGATTAAGTGCGAAATGCGAATCGTGCTTCGTTATCACAGGTTAATGTTTAGTTTTAATTATTGTGCCATGGCTAACAAATTTAAAACACAAAATTTTTGATACTAAACAGTTTGCATGTGCTCGATAAATTGCTACAAAATTCCAATACAGGAATAAATAGCATGACAGTAGACCAAATCAGTGGTTTAAACAAAATTATCAAAGTATTATGACGCACTTGCTCATTTTAATCACCGCGAACATTTGGAACTGCAGACGGATCACTCTGATAACGATATACCTATAACAAAGAAAAACGATTGACCTTGAGAATTGTAGGCCAAATAACTGATGAACTTATGGTAAGCATTGACGATTAAAGCACAAAAGTAAAACCGAAATTATCGCCTCCACGCTCTTTGACAACTTGGGTCGATGCTTCGTCCACCCCAGTTGTCAAGGGCAATGGTCAGCAAGGTACAACGTCTTACCATAGCACTTGACAACTGGGATTTACCCGGACTACGGTGTAGGAGCGAGCAGAGCTGCCCAGCACGCTGCCTGACACGTCCCGAACGCGCTGTTACAAGCCACAATGGCGGCCGGGATACCGACACCGGCCGTCACTGTGCCGAACACGGCGCCTCCCGCTGCGTAGCACGCTACCGCGACAGCAGCGCATCCGGCCTGGCAGATCCCGTACGCTGCCGGTCCAGCCTCTGTTGGTGGTGAAACCGTCAGCAACATGGCCATTATAACTACGGCGATCCATATTCTTGATGACGACATCCTATCCACTGCCTGAACATATGTAGTGGTTTCGTTATAAGATTAACACAAAGAAAAATCGTACCCTGACAGAGTTTATTGTAACTTGTATTCTGAATATTTTGCCCAAAAATCAAAGAACTGAACCATAGTAGTCCCAATGACATATGAGGTTTAGCCAGTCCGCGAAATAGCAATAACTAGCGCACAAAAAAATTAGTACATTTTAGTTGAAATCTGACTAAACCTCTAATTATTTTGGTACAGTAAAACCTGTGTAATCTGAACACCTACTTCGGTTCCTTAAAAAGTGTTCAATGTAAGCAACTTTTCAATATTCGCAGTAACATTTGCAGTTAACGAGGTGCGGCGGTTCCTTACTGGGCGTTCAATATACGAGGGTGTTCTACTTTTCACAGTTGTTCAATCTCACAGAGTTTACTGTAGTTTTGTTCTTAACATTTCCAGTGTAGTGGAGGGCGCTGCGACTGGCTGATTATGTACTTTTTTTAAAATAAACGTAAACACCATGGGAGTTTAGTGGACTAGCAATAAATAATATGCCTGTAAAAATATAAAGTTAGAATTTGTCCGAATGTAGGGCCGACCAGTTGCAAAGGCTTCGAAATCTAAGTTTTGGCCACCCGACATGTATTTATGAGATGCGTCATGGAAGGTGACCTCAGTATGACTGCGTCACTGCAGTCAGTCTGCTTGGTCTACGGTTTCAGAGCAAAAAATCAGTTGTATCCTTAAGATTTCAAGAACGAATTCTTAGAACTAACCTGAAAGACGAGACTGAAAACGAAGCAGTTGCTCTCGTGAATCTGTGATCGAATAGGCCAAGCGGCATCCGAATTTCTGGAGTATCAGAGATAAAAATGCGATTGCTGACTTAACAAGTGTGACAGCACAAGTTGCCTCACCAGCACAAAAGCGCAAATCTACATACTGGCATTTTTTATTACCGGCGGTTTATATACAGCCGCTGCTCCGTGAATCTCGAGCAAACAGCCCTCTAGAAACTGTAATGCAAAGAAAAGCGATGAGGTAATCATGATGTGATTTGAGTTCGAACACAATAAACGTAGGTACGGCAGCTGATATCATTGTGAGATACGATAAGTCATTATGGTTTCACATTTGCGTATCCAAGTCTTCAACACAAACGCACAATCAAGTCACAAGTGCCGTTAAAAGTACATACAGGCTGCACCTTTGGTAAGCCGAAATTCGGCCTGGACAAGCAGATACGCCTGGCGCATGCTGGTTTCGAGTGATTTTCAAGGCATAACAATCGGAATAAACTTGTTTATCTATGTGTGCACATTGTACGTTGCATTTTGGTGGTATGTTACAGTTTTCGATCGGTCGTGTGATTCGTTCAATTTACATACTGTATTTCTTTCATTGAAACTAACGCAGATACCAGTCCGTACCAACATTCTGCACCTTGACTGTCCACAAAAGCGTTCGAGGAATTAACGGTTGTTATGCAGCGTATTTGTTACTACGGTAGTATATTACCACTTGTGGCCATAATTTAGTGACATTTACGTAATAAAATAATACGTATTAGGAAAGCGATGCGGTTGTAGTAAACATGCGGTGGTAAGATGCGGTGGTAAGCGATGCGGTTATAGCTAAGCTGAATAATGAGAGCAACATGAATGTTGCGGTTATAGCGAAGCTGAATAATGAGAGCAACATGAATGAGAGCAACATGAGCGTTGAAACGTTGGGACATTTGTACAAATTTCAGCACAAGCGCGAAAAGTTGATTACATAAAAAAGTGGAAAAAGTGGATTTCGGAATTCTAAGTGAGAACGGAATTAGGAACGTTGGAAACCCCTTTTCACTTTTTTCAGTTTTCGCCGGTTAATTTGGTAAAAAATAACACATTAAAGGGCATCAACATCAAATGTGATGGATGTATCTCCTAATTACCTCCAAGTTACCTAGGACGAGGTAGCTCCACGTTATATCATAACTTATTATTCTTGAAATATGCATCTTTCACGCGCTAAAAATATAGCAGCTGACAGTATCACAAACATTAGCTTGGACGAAGTGTCCAGACCCTCATACGAAGTCTTATACAGTCACGTATCTGGAGCATTCTATCTGTAGGTATACAGTTATGACTGCAGCTGGGTATTGCATATGCTATCAAGAATGCCAAATGCAAAACTACTTATTCCACAAAGTTCTTTTGTCTCTCGATGGCTCAGAAAAAGGATTTTGGTCAACTGGCTTTACATACATATACAAAGTATTATAGCAGTTAATGTGCGTACAAAGCTCGATAAATTCTAGCAGGTAGCGAGCTCACGTGTATTATGCAAAAGCGACCGTGAAACAAGCAGAAGTGAATAAAAATTATGTGCTTCGCTCAACCACATCGAAGATACTGGGAATCATTAATGAATGAACAATCACTAATGAATAGGCACGACATAGCGTGCAGATGAACCTGAGACACTCTAGAAACTGTTACAAAACATGCATTCTTGCTGATTTGGATGGCGGAACGATCTGTGTTTATCCTCGAGAGATCACGAATCTCATTCATCTCGTCCATTTTGTATAAAGCACTGACGGGAGAGCTACTCCAAAATTTTTATTATCGCGTGAGCCTATTATCACTTGTAGCAAAAACCGTATAACTTACCACTCCTTGGGAATGAATCTTTCACGCGCAAAAAATTTAACAACTGACAGTATCACAAATATTACCCTGGAAGAGGGAACTCCAAGTTTTGTGCAGCTTACAATAGCTACAATAGTCGGTATCATTTGCGCCGGCACTGTATTGTACAACTTGCTGTTCATTGCCATCTTCTTTCGATGCTGCTGTCAGAAATCCGTTTACTGGCTTTCTTTTGAATGTATCCATATGTGACCTTTGTCTGGCAATTTTTAGTATGTCAGGTTTTGTCTGGTTCACCGCCTGGCCTTCTTCCTGCGCGGACTACTGCCCATTTTACATCTTCATCGACAAATATCTGCTTGTCGGCATCGGATACACTGTGATGCTGGTCAGCATCGACCGGCTTTTGTCACTATTTGCACCACTATACTACAGGAGCAAAAGCTCGATGCGGTTGACTGCTATATGTAGTTTGCGGCGCAACGTGGCTGCTCCTTGTCGCATTCCTTACTCCATACGTCATCATGGACACTTTGTGGTATAATCCCAAGTGCTCCGTGAACTACGGTGCGCAGCCAATTTATTCAGAAGTTATCGAGTTTCTGGGATACGACTTTCCGATAGTCTTTATTGCGTGTAGTAATATTGTCATACTTACCAAAATCCATCGTCGAGCACTCCAGAAGCGCGTGATACCTTTTGGAACGAGATCGAATACGATGTGTAAGTCTGACTTAAAAAAACACATTTCAATATAAATAATATAAATTCCGAATTCATCAATAAATTTTGCTCTCCATCTTAGCATTTTTTGGTACTAAATTATGTTTGCTTCAATTTAGCTCGCACTAGCCAGCGACAAAATCAGAGTCAAGAATCCAACAGCATGGGTTCCGTGGATAATGCCCTAACCCGCACTAGTCGAAGCGACGATGGCAAAATGTACCGGCTGTTTGCTTTGCTGGCTCTTTGCGTATTTATCTGTTTCATACCGCCGATGATTTTCTTCTTGTACGTCGAGTTCACGAATTACTGGAACGACTCCATTTTTGCCTTTGTAATATGCCTGCAGTACCTTAGCTGCCTTTTCAATCCGCTGATTTATCACACCAGTCTACCTGCATTCCAAGAAGCTATTAGGAAGTTGCTTCGAGGTCGCTGAAAGTCATATGTACGATCGCGCATCATGCTGTGATTAACTTCAGTTTTCTTCTTTGAAGCAAAGAAAACTTGTTGTACTGTTGAATAATTATTTTAATTATTTGAATGATAAAAAGACATCTACGTTTGGCATTATTTCTGTTTCGTAGCATTAGACAGTATAATTTATACAGCAAAATGGTACGGCTGTAAATAGGAAGGAAGTTACAGAGTAGTTTTGCAAAATTTTCGAATTTATGAAAACTCACAAAAATGCGATCATATTGGTTTTTGCATTTTGCGTATCATAATTATTATACATTTAGTTACAAAAGTAAGGTACTAGTATTGCGAAAAGCCGAGGAATAAATTAATCCACAGCAGAAGCGCTTCTGACTCTTAATTGTTGTTCAGTTGTGAACAAACACTATCCAGCTATGCTGCTTTCGTAACAGTCACGCACTACCCAATTTACCTCAGATTTGCTTTTCATTTATGAGGCTCATGAAAGCGAAGGAAATCGCACAATGGACGACTTAAAAATGGCACACACTACCAGGCAGTATAATTAGAATGATAGTAATATTGCCAGTATCACAATAACTGCCAATTCTGTTGACACAGGTCTACATTTGCTATAAATACTAAATACGAATAAATACTATAATCAAAAATTACGAAGATAAATTATTTAACTTTCGGTACAATATCTGGCGACTGTTACACGTGCAAGTTTATCTGGAGGCTCTGTTCCGAATTCGAAGCTGCCGGTCGTACTGAGGTCGACGGAGGAAAACAGCTAATTCAGTGTGACCTCGAGAAAAATATTGAATTAGTTTACATAGAGCTCCAGTAAATTAGTTCGGGTAACACTGTTAACGATTTACGACAAATAGACTCGTTGAGACGCTACTGGACCATGCATCCTTACCTGGACATCCTTAAAGTTTTCAACCTTCGAACTAACAAGTGAAATAAACCAACGTTGCTGTGGAACCAAACGTTACTTTTCAAGGTGCTCAAGGTATCACACAGCACTGTTTTTCTCCGGTTGCTCACTGGTCATAAAAGCGCAAAATTCTAGGCTTCTGTCGAAAGCCACATTACCTTTGAAAAGGGAGCAAACAAATCTCGATTCATCCTTTCAAGACCGTGTAATTACTGCTCCATAATGCCAATTGCCATACGAAGCAAAAATAATTTTTCTTTTAAGGATAAAGCTTTGCATTAATTTCTTGTCTAAACGGCATTTTCACGGACGAAAGAAAGGAGTTGTCCAATTGTTATGTGCATTACGGTCATTATATCGACTTTTCACAAATTAGCATTTATCAGTACCGGCCGACTGCTTTTCTGAAGGTGCGGTTACCGTGGACCCGGATTTCCAACCAAATAAAGCGTTCGACAAAGCAACGTCGTATAGAAAACCCTGGAATTAACCTCAAGAAAAACAAATTTAACGCCGCAAACGATATGGAAAATACCTTGAATTAAAGGGAGAAGTAACGTTCTGTAACCAGCAGGAAGTTTGGCTGATTCCATTTCGGTTTCTGTCTTCATTTAGTCCATGAGTCAGCAGCGTATCTGTACGCATCACCGCACCGCGTGATACAAGAAACGGGGCGGTGGTGACACGTGGCAATACCCCTGCTGGACGCCAGAATAAGCTAACTACTAAAGAAAAAAAATAAAGTACTATAATTATTATGTGATAATAAATTATTCGCGTTATGGGTAATGCGTGACCTTGCCTACTCCATTCCGTCAGTGTCTGCACTTAGGTCTATCTGCAGTACTCCGATGTGCTTCAAAGTCTGGTCGTTATGAGTGTACGACTTCGAACACCGATCACTCCTTGAAACCACTTTAAAGAACAAAACTTGTAAAATGACCGGTTTTTCATACTAAGCGCTGTTTTCGTGAACCAGCCACACGGTTATTTTAGTCGGAAGCTATTCTCTCACAGAAACAAGACCTATGAATTAAAACTCTGAGCCAAGGCCAGTGATCGGCGTTTTGAACCTCATACTCAAAGTGACCAGTTTTTAAGACACATCGAAGTACTACTGTACTTTTTCGCGGCTTTCGAAGGTTATCGAAAAAATATTAAATTTTATAGTACCCTGTGCACACTTTGCCTGTTTGCAGTAGGATTACATGAGCAGCAACAGCCTGTGTAACAACCAAATTGTGAACTACCAAAAAATCTATACAGAAACGGAGAAATTGTTGCAGATGGAAAGGTCACCAATTTTTATTATTGAAATAATTGCTCATATCCTCATTATAATTTATACCAATTATTGAAATAATTGCTTATATCTCGGAATAAGTTTTTCGCACAAAATGGACCGACTGAATAGCACTTGTGATCCCTCGAGGATAAAAACAGCTCGTATTGCATCCAGATCATGATCAGAATCGCGTCTTTTTTCTTTTCATGTATGCGTTATACCTATTCATCGGTCTTTAGATATCTGACGCTGCAGTGACGCAGTGCCTTAGAACCTACGAGTAGGCCTCGTCGAGTACAATACAGTATAATAATAAGTTATTATTTAATTAGATTCGCTTGCGTTAGTTTGCCTGTCGGTTTTGCAGGCAAACTAACGATTCACTTGAGCCCCTGACTGCTGTTGATCCATCCATGCATACTTCTACACACAAACTGCAACGCGAAACCACTTGATCAGAATCCTTGTGCTGAGCCATCGAAAAAGAGGAGGATGTTGTCGATAATGGTAACGCTTGTGGTTGGCAACCCTAGTAAATTCTGCAACAAGCCGCTGCAGGCGTAATTATACTGTATTGGTCAATCAATAAGGGCACTCAGAATTTACTACTATCCATTCTAGCCTGGTCAGACGAAGCTGGGTAGCCACCCTCTCTAAATTAAAGTAACAGAAAATGATGTCGCACCGCATATTTTTGCAGTGACAGTACTAACAAGATTAAATTTATCGTTATTTTGAGAACTGCTATAGAAGTATTTACTGTACTCTGTAGTCTACACCTCTCAGATGCATTCAAATGCGATTTGCGGCCGAAATAACGCGGTGCTGTTTTTAAAGGTCATGATCGTTAATGCGCGTTTTCTAGATGGTTTTGATGATCAGGTCTTATCGAAAGCACAGATTTCTTACCGGAAAAAAATATGCGATGCTTCAAGTAACAACATATTAGGGTTTTATTACGTGTTTGCTAAATGGGCGAACAAATTCGGTAAAGTTAATATGTATGGTATTTAAGTTAGCCAGGAAGAGTGTACCATAACAATGAGAAGATAATAAGATTATTAAAGTGCCATCCGAAAATAATAAGAACATGCTGTATAATTTACTTCCAGGTTTAAACTGAAAGAACGAAAGATTCATGGGTGTGAAAAAACACTTGCGACGCGCATGGGAAGTCCTAATGCGGATCAGACGACACATACTCCAAATTGCCCCGGTTCATGCTGGCATCGTGTGCTGCAGCAATACTGGTGTTCGCCGGTACGACATCTCGCACCTAAGGGAAGACAAGTTGGTGGCCCGCTGTAAAAAAAGGACGAGCTTACGGTAATGCAGCTAATGCTTTGGACGGGGCGGTTAGGTTATGCAAAATTTTGACGTACGATGTGTATGGATGTGCCGGTAGACAGTATCCCCACTTGCCAATGTCATGCAGACAGAAGCCACTGCAACAAGTGTGTCCATATCCCGTTCGGCAACGCGCTCCTTCATTTAAGCATTGAGCCTGACTCTTAACGACTAAGGTCATCACCATAAACATGCAGAGCACCGCTACGCTGCTGGCAGCCATTTTTTAAGCAGCAAAACAGAAATCTTGAAACAGTTGTAAGTATTCTGGGACCGCAAACTCTGTAGTATTGCAGAGGCAGTTGTGTCGATTTATATCGTTTTCGCAATCGTTGATCGAAGATGATACCGATGTATTGTACGGGCGCGAAGTTGAAAGTTCGAATTACTTATTAAATTAACCAGCAAGTTCAGCTTTAAATCGCAGGTTTTATTATAAAGCAACCTATGAAGTCAGGATGAACCTTATCAGATTATTTATACATGAAATCGCTGCGTCAAATACAAGCGCTGATTTACAGTTGTCGCAATCCTTTGAATTTCTATTTCCGACGGAAGTAATGCCATACGCAGCTACAAAATGCTGCCACTTAAGCCGACATGTTGCCATCTGATTCGGAGCACATCCGTATTTTGATACAGTCTCTGTATTAGTCAGCAAAACCCATACCGCTAATTTAACATTTTATCACTTTCTTATCTTGAGCTAAGTTGACAGATATCAGATCCTTATGCGGAACTAACACATTCTTATTAACCGGAAGCAAACAAAAAATATTGACGTTTCCGAACGGCAACTCTGGAATACATAGGCTACCAGTTGGTTCTTTACACACGCAAGGGATCCAACGAATTGGCACCGCTGCATCTACGCGCATCAAAAACATACAGACTCTGTGCGCTTGGAAATCATGTAAAACGAATACACGACAAAGTGTGGGCTTTACTTTTTTTACTGCAGAATTACTCCAAAATTTTGGAGCATTGGACGATGTAAACAAAAAATCGGTTGGAAAAATAAATAAAAAAGTTAAAAGAAAATAAAAATTATTAAAACAATAATAAAACACCGTTTCAAGCGTTTTTTTCCAGTTGTACACGTTTATTTATTGGTACTGCGCAAAAATATGTATTCGGAAAACGAGGAATCTCACCATAATATTAAACAAAAAATCGATAGTCACTTAATTAAGCTGCCTAAAGGTTGTTGTGCTTAATTAACTGACGACATAATACATGGAAACGCCGTGGACTTCGGTTGCGAGTTGATACCGAGTCGCAATGTACCAAGAAAGTTACCGTACTGTGTATAAGGCTTGTCACTTGCCACATTCACACTTTTGGCTAAACACCGCACGCGGATGTCAGCGTCGATTCGTTATTATTAAACATTGCATATCAGACCGCAAACCTATAATCGCTAAATTGACATTTAAGTGTTTGCAAACATTGTGGATTTCCGTCGAACAATGACATTTTCCAATCTGGGAATATTATTAATCGTCTCCTGCTGCATTATTTATTCGCACTCCAGTATTCCAGGTAATTGCCATACTTCTTTTAGAATTTTCTCTAATTACAAAATATTTGTTTTTACTATGTTGTGAAATACAGGACAATGTGGTGGCGAAATCGATATTCTTCCGGGTCGCAATTACACCTTCCAAACTCCGGGTTATCCGGCACAGCTTGCGCCAAATTTGAGATGCGACTGGATACTTTACACTCCAGAAGGTTATGATGTGGAAGTAAGATAACTGTTATTTCAGCACCAATAGTTTTCTGAAACTGGAGCCTTGAATAGTTTTTAGGTGGAGAATTTGAGGTCGACTACACTAACTACTTTCCAAACATATTTTCTCGTTCAGCGGATTATCTATATTTATCACTCGGTAAAGTCAACTTTTTGCAGGCATGTTAAAATTATTAAGTAATTATTACATATATTTCTGTTGCAGATCCACCTGTGCCGACAAATTCTACTAGATTCGCTTCTTTGGCATCCGGTGCGCAGTATGTCGGAAATAAGGCCCCGGAAGGGGTTCTCTTCCCGAACACAAACAAGCTGGTAAATAAAATTTTCAGCTGTAGTGCACTTACTTATGTGGCATTGAAACAACGATAAATGGAATTTTTCACTACAGCACGCAACCTTTATTACTAACGACGACAACAATCACCATTTCGGCTTCAGAATTGCCATTCGAGGTACATTTCCCCATACATAACATAAACAGTTAACAAACAGTTTCTTCTCCCATACATAACATACGTAAACAGTTTTCATAAATTTCTTACGTTTTTCATGATTGCAGCTGTGAGTCAACCGGCTCCATCAGGTAAATATTAATAATCTTTTTCGTGACTGAATGTGTTCCCAGTGTTCCTGAAATCATAAAACTTTCAGCTTCATGCAACAGAAATCTTACGATTGGTAGCGATGGAGCAATAATCCAGTATGAAAGAAAAAATCCACGGGAAACATTCTGCCAGTGGAACATCTTTATACCGCAAGGCGCACAAACTCTGCTGCGAGTTGAGAATGTAGGTACAGCTTACTACGAGTAGCATTCAAGCAACAAGCCAGTTTTACCGCATTTCTGTGCTATCTATAGTTACACCTACCTATTTACCTACCCGAGCCGTTGCCTTATAACGATGACCGTCGGGAATATGTCGTCTGCGAAGAGGAATATCTTGAAATACAAGAGAAAGGTTAAACCGTAGTCAAGCTGAACAGATAGTTCTCAGTCGACTGGTGCAGTTTAAATATTTACTGGTTAATTTCAACAGACTATGGCATCGTCGAATCTTCTCTTGCACATAATGCCGGCACCCTAATCCTGCGCGACGATCGTCTCTGTTTCAACAAGAACCATCAAAATCGCACTTATATTCTATACAGCCAAAATTTCGTAAGTCAGATTTCGGTTTAATGGCGGATTCGAATAACTAATATTGTGATGCGTTTTGCAGACTTTGACCTTTCGTTCACATCCTAATGCAGCTGATCGCGGGTTCCGTTTGGCGTTGGAACCCTACAACGTTTGCGCTACTGTATTTTCCGAACCAGATTTTAACGGAATGGTTTTAAATATTGTGGAAGATTCCGCTCAGAAGCAAGGTGTGCGTCAGAAAGACATCCCCAAAATCCGCTCCCTTAAGCTGCAGCAATCCTGCATGCTGTACTATATATCCGAAAACTCACGGTCGAGTATGGCTAATTCAACAACCAACAACTTGATTCTTCCGCCCCGTTCGTCTTATATTCTGTCACAATTTTCCTGCATTTGCCCAAATCAGGAAGTTAAACCAGGTTAGTCAAAAATCAGTAAATACAACAAATAATCGACAGCGCAGGTATTAGCGAACGACCACTAAAATGACTTGCCAGAATGTATAAATGTACTACATAGGTACATAAGAACGAGTCCAGGTCTAAAAAAGCAATAAAATTATCGCGATTCATAAAAAAAGTGTTTGTAATGTCTGGACTTAGTTATGAACGACAAATGAACTAGCATAAGCGTTATATCGTTTACTACAGACGACAAAAACTATTTTACCTGGCTATGGATCACGTTGACCTTTGCCTCAGTGGCAGTTGGTCTGACTGCCGGCCTTGTCTTCGCATATGCCAGAAAACGTCAGCAGCAGGTACGTGTAATATGCTGTGCAGACAAAATCAACGAAGGTTAACGTTTTCTGAAGCGGCTGATACATCTTACGCTTGGACAGAAAACCAATCCCAGCACCGTATCCACCAGACTTGCTCGTCGATTTCTGGGTTCACTCTACGACGAATACAAAATCCAAGCTTGGAATTTAAAAGCTGGTAATACTTCCTACTTCATTTGACGCTAATCGTACCAACTTTACGAAAAACAATTCGTTTCTAGACACGGATGCCGTTGGAAGTGGCTGTTATGGAATGGTCTGGAAGGGCATTCTTACGACCAGTCCTGAGCGACTACGACAGCTTTCAGTGAGTCCCAGCATGCAGAGCGCTTCGCATGCCCAGAGTGCAGTGGCCATTAAGCGACGTCAATCAGGCAGTGCGGTTAGCGAGAAGGAGTTCATGGAGGAAATCGCCATGATGGCCAAAGCTGCGTCCCATGTCAACGTTGTCCAGCTCGTTGGCATCGTAACGGAAGGTAAGCTTGCACCAGTTCACTAAATTAATTTATTTAATTAATAGGCAATAAGCCTTTATTAGGTAGTTTTATTTGCCATGGCCCTAAAGAAGAGAAGGGGTCCCATTAAACTCGCTTTTAATTTTCCGGCATCACCCACTTGTTTCAGGTTGCGTTAAGCTTGTAATGGAATACTGCGAGCACGGATCTCTGGATGTATATCTCCGAAATAAGCGACTGTGTGGTACCACCAATCAAACTTCTAATAATCAACAATTTCTGGATTATGCGCGTCAGATCTGCAGCGGTATGCAGCATCTGGCGTCCAAAGAAATTATCCACCGTGATCTTGCAGCACGAAACATCATGGTCAGCCAATGTGACGTTCTCAAAATATCGGATTTCGGAATGGCCAAATGTGGTCCAGTGTACAGCGAAATCAGAAAAGATGTAAGTAGATCTGAGGGCAAGATATCCAACACGGTTACAGATGGACTTGATTTGTAGCCTGTATAATTCGTATGACTAGATCCGTTCGCCCATTGCCTGGATGTCACCCGAGTCCATTCTCATCGGCGAGTACAGCTACTCCACTGATGTATGGTCATTCGGCGTAGTTGTTTGGGAGATCTTCACATGGTGTCAGCTGCCATACGTCGATCAGTTGGGAAGCTGCATGGCTCAAGATATTCTGAACTTTCTTGACAGCGGCAATCGTTTAAAGCAACCGGAGCCATCACCCGATGAAGTGTACGCAGTCATTTAACTATTGTATTTCAAAAGTATACTGAATGAGATGCACCGACCATAATAAAATCTTTTTGGCAGGTACCATATCATGCTCAGTTGTTGGGAGTGGAAGAAGTCGGAACGACCAAGTTTCGATTCGCTGAACAACAAGTTGCAGCGATTGCAAGTCGATGCTTTAAATTATCGCTATGTGGTATTTACGCCACAAAGTTTGGTTTAAAAATAATGAGACTTCAGCAAATAATTTCATGTAGAATTTCAGCGGAACTGCTGGAAGATTGTGATAGTCTAGATAGAGGCGAAACCGGGCACTAACTGATGCGGTATATACTATGTACATGATTACATCTTAATTACGGAAAACGTTTGGCACATATCTGTACCTTTGCATTTAATGGGAGCTGCAATAAATCAAATGTCCTTATTAAAGAATCTGCTTATTTATGTCACTGCCCTTTGTGATATTGTTTCTTCATTGGCGAATAACTTACTTGCCACTGTTTCTCGTTAACTCTGGAAACGCCATGCTTTGAATGGCAACAAAAGTGAACAAACTAGCCTAAAACAATATATCGCCCGATGCGGTATCAATGGTTTCAAACTCCGGTTTACAGTAAGAAATCCAGATTTAGTCTTATCCAAATTGTTCGATATCTTTTGTGCGTTATCACTCATGCTACCACTAAATTGTGTAATCGACAAATGCGATAAACACCATTTGATATTTACGCTAGCATTTCAACTAGATAGCAAATTGTAGGACTCGTGCATTCTCCGACCATTGACACTTCACTAGAAATCGAAATCAATTCACTTTCTTTTATAAAAGATTCTATTTCGTATTGTTTGGATCGTTGTAACGCAGAACCTGTAAGATGGGCAACAACTCCAGTTATGTTAGCGTGGCTAACGCTTACTCAAAAAATATCTACGTGCAAGTCCTCGGAATTCCGGCAGATTTACCGGATGGAGCTGGTAAAAATTTTTAACCCTTTTATAGTCTATTTAATTCTTATTATTGTTTGAAAGCACATGACGTGCAGATCACCGTTAGTACTGGTGCAAGTTACTAATCCTTTGCAGATGCTGGAGCACATAAGAACGGTTTTACGAAAATTGCTCCAGGCACTTTCTTAACGTTTCGGCCAAAAACAGAATCTGGAAAAGTCTACATTTCCGTGATTACGGAAGACAACAAATGGGTTTGCAAAAATCTCGAAGGGGACAAAGAAGAGGGTCTGATTATTAGTCCTGAGGGGGAAGCGTTCACCGCTCAGCCGGGAAATGTTTGGGTGGATACTGCGGGGAAGCGTCACCAGTCGTCGACCGTTTGGTGAAACCAGTTAGCAGTCCTAGATGATCTAAGCAAAGGAATCCAATGTCTGTACCTACCTTCTACCGTTTTAACTATGCAATTAATACGACATTTCACTTGCTTTCGTATATATCTGGAATAGATCTAGAAAGATGTGACTGCCATAAAAATGTCACTGCGTTAGTTTAAATTATTGAATGCAGTTACCTATTGCAAAGATATATTGTGCATAAAGTAAAAAACGTATTCCCTTCGGCATAATTATGTACAGTATATATGAGAAGGCGCTTGCTGGTTAACACCTGCTAAGAAGGAGATCAAATAAAATACCGGAATAAAAATTGATGATGTTCACAGCTGCACCTCTTCACAACTTACTGGAAGTGCAACTTTAATATTTGCTCACTTACCAAACGAATTACATTGATCTCCAGAAGGCAAGAAACCCGACCCGAAGAATATTGACTGCAAAAGAAATGAGGAAGATCCGTCACGCACCTTTGCAGTCTTCTAAATAAGTCTGCTAATTAGTACACAGTACCGTAACACACTACACCTCTTCGGAGTTACCTGGCTGCTCTTGCTTCAATCAATTTAATGCAATTCCGAACGCTTTGACATCATACTTCCGCTTTGCGTAGTGTATTTTTAATGGACAAGACCTAAATCCGGATGTGAAAATAACAAGTATCTATGTTCTTCGTCATTTTGTACACCATCAAACATCGCAGGTGTCTTTCGTCATATTGGGACTTTCAAAACTGTGATCTCGCTTTTATCGTAAATTGTTCATAGTTGCTAGACATTTTGACATTCTACGGACACTTTTCATTGGATATTCCAAAAATGAACCATTCAGTTGATGGAAATGAGACATTACGCGCTTTGAACAACAATACCGCAACTGTGCCGGATTCTGTACCTTACGCATATCACGCTATCGTAACCATAATCGGCACAACTACAATAGCGTACAATTTGGTTTTCATCTCTGCATTTATTCGAGATGTTACTATCCGTAATCCTTTTACTTACTACCTCTTGAACGTGGCCTTGTGTGACCTTGGTTTAGCAATGTTCGATATGCTGGGTTCCGTGCTGCTGGCTTTCCTCCCGAAATCCACTGCCTCCCGTTATTGTCCGTACTTTAATGTCATTGACAAGCCTCTCATTGTTGGTATCGGTTACACTGTCATGCTGGTCAGTCTTGACCGGCTTTTCTCCCTATTTGCTCCTGTGTATTATCGCAATATTCGATCGGTTCGATGCACATCCTTGATCTGCAGCTTGATGTGGCTGTTTCTAATTACATTAATTACTCCTTATACTCTGATGGACGCTGTTTGGTATGATCGAATGACCTTACCGTGCGCCGTTAATTACGATGCTCAACCGACTTATTCTATGGTTATCGAATACGTGGGTTTCGATCTACCACTGGTGTTTGTTTTGGGTCGTTATGGGATAATTTTTTGCAAGCTTTCGCGACGGTCGATAAAGAAGCGTACTTATCCATCCAATGCCGTTTCTAACACAATCAGTAAGGATTCAAATATACAACTGTATATCCGCTGTATGCTATTCAGATTTGATTTGAAAAGATTTAATTATCATGTAGAATTTGATCCAAGTCTACGTTGGCAGGTTGACCTTGAAAAACTGTTAATCCAACTATGTATTAACGCTTCGCCATTGTTATTTAATCTTGTTATGTCACAGGTCATTTCAGCACTCGGCCTGACACATCTGCGCCTCGGATTAGCGGAAATGCTTCCTCCCATGAGGATGCCACGAAGGGCAAATCTCGCGGCAGGCGACAAGAAGAGGCAAAAATGCACAGAATATTCGCTCTTCTGACCCTTAACGTTCTCGTTTGCTACGTTCCATCTATGATATACTTTATCATCGTGGAACTTACTAATTATTGGAATGACACTCTCTTCACAACGGTGGTATGTTTAAAGTATCTCAGCTGCGTCTTCAATCCCCTGATCTACCATTCCAGTTTGCCTGACCTCAAGAAAGCCATAAGAAAAATACTGTTCACCCGTTAAAATTTGCGAAAACGCTCAAAGCGTTTTCCATTCCATCAAAACCCCCGTCTTTTCCAGATAAATGGGAATTACCAGATCAATTCAAGAAAGAGCTGTCACTCAACCTAATCTTTACATTAATGATCGTAGATATTGCTGACTGTACTGTAGCACTTGCAGCGATCTTCATTAAATGTACTGTTGTGAATACTCCTTAAAATTTAACACGCATTTAAATTAGAAATGCACCGTCACAAGCACGTTAATGCACCTCCTCTTGAAAGGTAACACTTTCAATGTGTGAATTGATTTCTGCTTTCTACCCAAATATCCTTCGGGCTTCGGAAGTTGAGATCTAATGAGACATTACTTCTCAGTTTACAGTTTGTGGGTGTCTTAGCCAGTATTTAGCGAGTCAATTTCAACGTAGAAAATGGGCACGCCGCAAGTATACTCAGTATGTATCAACGCTAATAAATTTTGACTCGGCATTCGGTTAGAGCGTACTCCAAACGACTGATTTCATTGATCCTTGAAGTTTTGAACCATTAGGTCCATTATTAGCCTTTATTCCTTCGTATGAATGTACATTAAGAACAAGAGTTCTTTTCACAAGGACGACCGACGCAAGTTTATGCTTCCTTTATACATTCCGATTACCGAGCTCCCATGGGGTACGGATAATAATGTTACTGAAGGATTTCTAAAGGTTACACTACCAGCTGATCGAATGCATGGTAGTAAATCTGGCTTCATTCAATTTTAAAAGTTCTTCTTGGAGAAGTACGTTTTCCGCTTGGCACAAACCATGAATTCATCGTACTACAGCAACATCAATGAGTCCTTCATCTTTAATAATTCCGTCAGCAACACCAGTAGTGGTTCTGGCTACCCAAAACCGTACGCTTTCACAGCGGCTGTCGGTGTCATCTGCATCGGCACCATTGTATACAATCTCCTCTTCATCACGGCATTTATCCGGGACGCAGCAGTCCGTACTCCTTTCGCTTATTACCTTCTCAACGTCTCTGTATGCGATCTCCTCCTAGCGGTATTCGATATGTCATCTTTCGTGTGGTTCATCCTGTCACCAGTGTCCAGTGCAGCATTCTGCCCGTATTACAATTTTATCGATAAGCACATCTTCGTGGGAACCGGTTACACAGTGGTGATGGTCACTATTGACCGACTGTGTTCGTTGTTTGTCCCGTTGCATTACAGACGATTCCGATCGGTGCAGTGGACATGCGTCAGCTGCGCACTTATGTGGTTATTCATTGCGTCCTTCATTACACCGTATGTTATCATGGACACTATGTGGTACAACCTACACGAAGGCGCTGGATGCACGGTTAATTATGGTGCACAGCCCAAATATTCTATGCTGATTAACGTATTGGGATTTGACTTTCCGCCAGCGTTTATTTTGTGCAGTTACGCGGTGATATTTTACAAGCTGTCCCTTCGCTCGCTGAGAAAACGAGTCTTACCAAGTTCTGTAAAATCCGTGTCACTGGGCTCCAGTAAGTCTGCTTCCGGTCACGCTAAAGAAATATTCTATTATGTATGCGAGAAGAAAATAGACCGTAAATGTTAAAACATAGGTGTATTGCATTAAATCCGAATATCTAATACATAATATAATATGCTCTTTTGTGTTGCCAAGCTCGCTCTGGTCAACGGGAGGATGCTAATTCGCCCCAGACGACTGAAAGCACAGATGCATCCAAAGATTCTGCACCGCATCGACTCCGTAAGCGGGAAGAGATTAAATTGTACCGGTTGTTCGCACTACTGGCGCTATGCGAACTAGTGTGCTTCGTTCCGGCAGTCTTATACTATTTGGTTGCACAATTCACAAACTACTGGAGTGACAAAGTTTTTGCGATCGTCACCTGTTTGCAGTATGTGAGCTGTATTTTCAACCCCATTATCTACCATTCCAGTCTCCCTGCTCTCCAACGAGCAATCAAAAAAATGTTTCGCTTCCCGTGAGAAGAAATCCAGGGACAAGTTAGCTAACAAGGAAAATACTGTGCTCTCGTCAAAATTTGCGTAAAGGCCGAAAGTTCTTTACTAGCACACAGCCGTCTTTTTCCGGAATGGGAATATGCCACGTCGTTTCGAGAAAGATCTTTCATCAAACAAGCTTCAGAGAATCTCAAATCCGTCGTACGTGTTACCGGGACACCTAGAGACAGCTGCAGCCTGTGTGTACACACGCATCTCAGGGCCTGTTTACTGTGGATGCGGCTTTGAGCACTTGCAACGGTTATATTAAACGTATCATACCACTGTAACAAAAGAAATTGCTAAAATTTGATGCGCATTTCGTGTAATCAGAGTTTCGCCGATTGACATACGTTATGTAATGATATCTCCTCTTGAAGGTGACACTCTTATTTCGAGAAATAGGTCCAGCTTTTCGCACGACTGCCTTGGGGCTTCGGGACCATAAGGTTTAGTTTAGAATCAAAGGAACTTCCTATCAGTTTACATTTTGTGGGTGTCTTAGCCAGTATTAATAATGTTAATTTCACCCTAAGAACACAGCGTAAGCACAATAAGTGCCCACACTAATAAATTTTACTGGGCGTTTGTGATCATTCTAAGCGAACGATATCCCGTCAATATAGCTGTTTTTTTAGCCCCATAATCTACCATTCAAATCTAAATGCTCTCTAAGAAGCGATCAAGAAAATGTTTCGCTACTTTTGACAAAAAGAACGGGTAAGTTTGTTAACGGTTACCGTAAAAGGTCACTTCCGTCGTATATTTCCTGATGTCTTACAGTTAAAGTTTACCAGTGTACTGTCTGCTACGATACTATTACGGGTACAGTTTCTTGTTTCCTTACTGTAAAGAACTGTAAAATTTTAGTGCACGTACTCCAAAAAGAAACGAAAGATAAAATTGATAAAGTATCTGACTGTCTTCAATGGCGCATAGTACGAGAGAAGATATAGCGCTAGTTTAGCGTCAGCTCCGAATCGGTCCGGTTTTCGACCGGTCCGCGGTTCGGCTCGTGATCGGTTCGGTTTTCAGCCGGTTTGAACCGGACTGGAGCCGATTGTCCCCTTTCTTTGGTTTATTTTTCCCCACCCTCTTTTATTTATTCATGACATTTTATTTTATGGTATTTACAAGTGAAAATATAAATTATCAGGACCATTGGAGGCAGGACAGTTGTGCTTCTTACATAAATGATCCCAACGGGGATCAGAGAGAGGCTCAAAATCTCTAAGTTTACAGTTGCAGTAATAACACTGAACACAATCTTGTGTGCCAAAATGAAAAAATCCATCTCCAGCTAGTTCCATGGGTGAGGGTTTTAGATGTGGCCATCCTTTGAACGATTCCAATCGTGACTCTAAAGTGTCGTAATTGCCGAAATCATATATTTCGCGATTGGTTAGGGTGTTGCTGGCGTGTTCGGCAAGTTTGTCGGCGAGCATAATGCTGTTCTTGTATCCATCACACAGTTGGAGCCATGCCTGCGGTATACTTTTGAGACCGTGCCAAGCTCCGGCAATAGCACCCGCCAAGGTTGCAATTCCGTCAGTGCATCCACCAACCCGTATTGTAAGCGCCATGGTCGCTTCAAAAGCATTTTCAGGCGCTAGACTGGTTCCTTTTAGTACGCAGTAAATAGCCATAGGTACAGCTTCCAGTCCCGCGGAATCATTACCAAGGGCTTTCACCACAACACTCGTTTCTTCAGACAGCAGTGTTTTTAAATGTACTAGTTTTGGTTGATACAGCTGAAGGTTAATGCCGGAGTCACACAGCGTGATTAGCATGTCCAGAAACTGTTCTGGAGTAAAGTAGGGGTATTGTAATGCTACTGCAATAGCGTAGGCTTGAAGTTCACATGCTCCGTAAGCTTCCATTGCGGGATGTGTGAGTTCGGCAACGCTACGAACGTTGCGGATCATCAGCTCTGTCTGATGTCTAAAGTATAGTGGGTACGCTGAAATCCACGCAGCTGGGCCGTATCCCTTGAGGAACGTTTTCGGTACAATGTTTTTCGGTAATGTGTCAAAGGTGTTGTAATTGCTCCACTTCCAGTGATGTATTATATCCTTAAGCTTCCCGAAAGCCGAACGTATGACGGGATGTGCGCTGTAATAAGCTTCAACGCACGCTCGAGCGGCAGACACTGCATCATAACCCCCATCATTCAGCAATGCATTACCCAGCGCGTTTGTTAAGACAGTCTTCTCACGATAAGAGCGGTAGTCTCGTGTATCAACGAACAACTGCGCAACCTTGTGAACAATACCATGATACGCCTTCAAGGGAACGCACAAGCATTCCCCCAGCAAACCCCCAACTAAGCAACCACGAAATTGGTCCTTCTCCATTTTCCTTGCGAATGATAGATTTCCCAGTGCAACTAGAGTTTAAATATTCTATAGAAAAAAGTTGCTTTATTTACAACCAATCACCGCTCTCATTTTTTAAAAAATTTCGGGTTTCCGACCTACGTCACTTGCGGTTTAGCCAATCGGTATGAGCCTACAGTATATAAGGGCGTAGCTATTGTCGATTTTTCAGCCAATCATCGATGTAATAAAGTATTTTTAGTTTTGAATGACGTAAGTGTGAAAAAGGCGGAGTCTTGTCGGAATTTACGACCAATGGGGTAAGCGGTTGGTTTTCTCAGACACAGCTGGAGAGTATAAAAGCGGCGCGACTGGCCTTTTCCAAATCAGTCTGAAAAAAAGTTGAGAGCAAGTTTTTTGTCATATCTCAAGAAAAAATGGATTTCGCACGCATTTTAGATGTTGTTGGTGATCATGATGGCTACACTGTGTACAAAGTCAATAGTGTGGTAAGCCTGTTCTGGAATGCTAAAGAAGTACGGGCATTTCTTGTGTTCGAAGCAAATGCGGATGCTGAGGGCTTGCGTAAAGCATGGAATAAAGGAATCCGATTCGGATACAATGAAATCACTGAATTGCTAAAGATCCTGAAGAGTGGACATTTGAAAGATTCACTGGACAACGCAGCATCGGAAGGCAAACAGGAGAAAATGAAATTTGATGGCCCTGCTTGCCTGGAATTGACTTTAAAGGTGCACGAAAAGTACGGGCGCACGATCAGGTTTTCTCAGCCCGGGCGCTCTGTTCAGCTACCGTACATGGGATTCATCGATGTCGCTCGCATCTTGGACGATAGCTTTAAAGCGCAATCTCTTATTGTTTAACCGCTCTTTTCACGTTTTGTAACACTATAAAATTGTTGCTGTTGTTATTCTTGTTTTTTTCCTATTAGTCCCTTTTGTTATGAAAAAAAAAGGCTGAAAAACGCCACTATTTGCGACAGTCTCAGCAGTGAAGTATATAAAGCCTTCTTGCTGACACTGTTGCAAGTAATGCGTTCAGTCATGGATATCCACAACATTATTCTGGCGGTGCAGTTCAACGAGAAAGTTGATCTGCAGCATGTTTTAGAAGTTTTCGGGGAACATGCTACCAAGGTTAAAAATTTCAACGCAGTTAACATCAGACTTGTAGACCAGTCACATACATTCTGCCAGATCTTCCAGAATGGTAAGGTAATTGTAATAGGTGGTAAGTCCATAGAGGAATCAAATGGGCTATTAGAACAGTATTTGAGAATGTTAAGGGTAAACTGCATCGACGTGACTATTAAGGAGCGCTTTGTGGCAAATATAGTCTGTACGTATGCTTACAGTAAAATAATAAATTTAAATAAGCTGTATAGCCAGATTTTGAAAGAAAAGCCAACGGGTGTCGCATTTTTCTATGAACCTGAGCTTTTTCCAGCGATCAAATTGCGGTTTCCGTTATTGAAAACTACCGTAAACGTTTTCCATACTGGAAAGTGTGTAGTTCTTGGAGCGAGATCACTGTTGCAGATTCAACGCACAATTGAACAGATTAAAAACCTCCTTGAAAAGTATACCACTACGGTGTGGAAAAGTGAAAAATCTGATCGTTTCAAAAGCACCATTTGAGAGTTTTTGTAATTGAGTGTATTGTGAAGTGGCCGATAGTTAGCAACAGAACTCAGGAGAAATTAAAAATGGAAAAACTGAGTTTTGATTTCCGCTTTAAAACTCCCTGCGCGATATATATTTCTGGTCCAACTATGTCAGGAAAATCGACTTTTACAATGAAGCTCTTGCGAAATCTTACGGAGAGTTTCAATCCACCCCCTGTTAGAATAGTATATGCTTATGGTACTTGGCAAGATGCCTTCCAGGATTTTGGAAAAGATATTGAACTTGTCCAAGGTCTTAATCCCATCGTAGAAGATGAGAATTTTTTTGACAAAGACGTCCCGAGTCTGCTAGTTTTAGATGATTTAATGGAAGAAATTGCTGGAACGCCAAGGTGTTCCTCGATTTTCACTCGCGACGTTCATCATAAAAATGTTTCTGTAATTTTTATATCTCAAAATTTATACAAACAAGGAAGGAGCATGCGTGATATTGCGCTGAATTCTCAGTACTTGGTAATTTTTAAATCAGTTCGCGATGTTCAGCAAGTTAAAACACTTGCACGTCAGTTAGGTATGCCACATATGCTGGAGGCCTACCGAAAGGCTATAAAGGAACCCTTTGGTTATTTACTGATAAATCTTAGACCCGAAGCTCCAGACAATGTTCGTCTTCAGTCGCACGTGTTTGAGTATAGACGAATATATGTAGAAAAATGAAACCAGAAGATATTTTTCGACTTATTGAAGCGTTAAAGCTTCTGACACCACGTCAGAGAAGAAGCTTTTTTCCAGCTGGCAACTAAACAACAAATAAGCGCAATCGAAGAAGCCTGCTTAAACCTAGTTAAGCAACCCACCGGTCTTAGCAAAGTTGATTTAGCTCGGGCTCGAAAACATTCTTCAACAATTAAGCGTCTAGCTGACCGCAGTACAGACCGTTCAAAGAAACGTAAAATATTGCAACAAAAAAGGAGGATTTCTCAACGTTTTACTTCCAGTATTAGGAACGTTAGTCTCCACTTTTCTAGCAAAATGAAGACGTACGTTTTAGTTCCCGAAACCGAGTTTTTAAAACAGAAGCATGCTCGGGAAGGTGTTCCCGCGCCGACTGCTTGGAAAAAGGCCCAAGACATTGGTCATGAAATTACACAGCAGCTCATGGCGAAGGCTGCTTTTGATTACCAGCGTTTAAACAATACGGGTAACGCTCCAGTCGCGACTCCATTGTTGGAAACAGTGCAAGTTGAATCTGCTGCTCCTGCTACCAATACATCACCCATAATGATTGATAAAAGTATACAAGCTCATTCTACAGGTGTTCTTAAAGATCAATATAGTCAAGCGGGTCCAAATGTAACCCATCAAGTTGTGCAGGCTGTTCCGACATTTCATGAACAGGGTACTCAAGCAACAGCCCCTCCGTTAGTTGAATATAAGTATGTCGAGGTACCATCACAACCAATTGTACAATATGTACAAGTGCCTGGTGAGCCGCAAATACAAGTTGTTCCAAGCAAACCGGTAGTCAAACATGTTTATCGGAAGCCGAAAAAACCCCCTTTGGTCAAAAAAGTCCATGTTAGACGCATTCCGAAATCCGATAACACTTTAAATGCCGCTATAGAATACGCTCCTACTCCGCCTAGTGTTCCGATAGTAGAATTTCCTGCTGATGGTGTGTTAGAATATCAAGTACCTGACAATGGATCTGTTCCGGCTTTGGAAAGTAACCAACTAGCTATTGAAGGGTTAAAAGCGCTGGTCGTTAAACCGAAAACTTCAAACCGGCTCCGGCAAAGGACAAAGATCAGCAACTTGCTATTGAAGGGTCGAAGACGGTGGTAATTAAGCCAAAAACCTCTAACAAGCTCCAAAAACCACACCAAAACCTAAGCAAAGGGCTGCAATTGCTAGTGGTTCTCAAAGATTAGCAATAGAAGCCAGTGAGAAAGAGCAGGCAGCCATTACCGACGCACCGCCGCTTAAGGCTTTAACATTCGAACAATCAAATAAAGCTGAAAGTTCAGGTCAGAACAAAATTCAGTTGAGAAAACGTAATAAACCGTCAGGACCTCCCGCTAAAAGACACAAAGGTGGTATACAAAAGGCGGCTGGCTCTCCTACACATGATGAAGCCCACATTAGATGATTTGTATTTGAATCCTGTTTCTCAAGGGAGTTTAGGTGGCATAGACCGCTTGTACAAAGAAGCCAGGAAACATGGATATACACGAAAGCAAGTTAAAGCTTACTTAGAAACCAAAGACGCATATACACAACACAAACCTTTTCGGTCTAAGTTCAAACGCCGAAAAATTATTTCCGTTAATGTGGGTGACCAACATCAAATTGATCTTGTGGATTTTCAAAAATTTGCTAGTTATAACGATGGGTTTAAGTATATTCTTATGTGTATCGACTGCTTTTCTCGTTATGCATGGGCTGAGCCGGTTAAATCCAAACGGCCTGCTGATATTCGTGAAGCGCTTTTGAAAATATACAAGAGTGATTATCCTCCATTACGCGTTCAAAGCGATAATGGTAAGGAATTTGTTAGTAAAGACATGCGTAAGTTTTTTGAAGAATGTAATGTGACATTTTTTACAACAAAAAACGATGATGTAAAATGTGCGATGGTTGAACGTCTAAATCGTACAATTGAAGACCGGTTGTATGTGTTCATGACCGAAAACAACACATACCGATTCATAGATATCCTTCCTAAGGTTTTATCCGCTTACAATTCTACAAAACACTCGGCTACAGGAGTAGCCCCTAAAGACGTCGGTCCTGAGGAAGCTGAGCAAATTCTCCAGAAGATGGTTGATGAACAAAAAGGTATGAAAACTCCAAAACCAACATTTTCTGTTGGCGATCATGTACGTTTGGCAAAAAAGAAACAGACATTTGAAAAAGGGTACGAGACTCGTTTCACAGAAGAAATTTTTAAAATAACCCACACTACACGAAGCGGGAGCCATTACGTTTACACGGTCGAAGATTTAGCTGGCGAACCTGTAGACGGTAAGTTTTATCCGGAAGAGTTATCTAAAGTCACGATGGCAGAAAAGCCATATCATAGGATATCTAGGATATTAAGGGAAAGGAAACATAAAGGAAAAGTACAATACTTAGTACGTTGGTATGGATACGGTCCTGCTTATGACTCTTGGGAAAACAAAGAAGATTTGAAATGAGTTTTTACATGACATTGCCGTCTTCGGCTTCAGAGGGGTTATACTCTGAAAACTGCCCTGGTAAATTTACAACGCTTCTCGCTAGACCTATAGATTTAGACGGTGCGTGGGAAGTAGGTCTTTCGGAAATTATTCTACCGCCTATGCGGATAAAGTTTAATACCGGATTAGCCATTGCTGTCTCGCGTGACGGTTTCCCGTCTAGAATTCATAGATTCGTCGATCTACATGCTTTTGAGGATGAAAATCATTTAATTCGTACGGTTAACAAACTGCTGAGGGAAAACGTAGATGATAGGGACTCGAAAACCTACGGCCAGATAATAGTGAGTGGTCAAGCAGCTCAGTTAAACATCACACCGGGCCTCGCTTTAACTTTTACGGGCTCCGAATACGCGCGCGCACTAGGTATAGTACACCAGTACACATATAACAGCAGAGATGCTCTGTCTCATATGTTATATCCGGGACAGCATAATCGTCTCGTGCATGTGTATTGTGACGTGATTACACATGGGTTGGTAGGCGACTCAATGGTGCCTTTACTACGCACCTTATCGACTCAAGCGAATTCATTTCGAGAGACAGTAATTCGTTTTGAAAATCCGCATTATATGCCGCTAGCCTACCATACGTTTCAAACTATAGAAATAGCGATGCGCGATGATTTAGGGAAAGAAGTACTCTTTCATCCAGGTACATCAGTAATTAAATTACACTTTCGACCAAAAAAGCATTAAAATGGTTCTACAGGAGTTAAAATTTGACGAGCACCGCTACACCCAGATCTTTACCAAACAGCATGGGTACGGTATGCCATATTATCGTGGCGCACCCATGAAAGGTGGTAGTTTCTGGGGACGTGTGATTGGATTTGCAAAGGGTTTGTTCAGTAAAGCTGCGCCGCATATAAACAATTTAATTGCAACGGCCCAACCTCACATGAAAACAATGGCCAGCAAAGCTGTGGAATCCGTAATCGATAAAGCTGTTGAGCGTGTTAGCGAGAAATTACGCAACACGGCTCAACAACAGGGGTCGGGTATTAAGGGTCGTCGTCGAAAGAGAATGATCAAAACCACGAAACGTCAACGCGCAATAGACGCTATAAAAGACAAACTGTAACGATGGCTCTTATTGAAGCTGGCTCAGAACCCTCCATGCTGTTGGAAAGTCACTTGTTTTATCTTCCAGCTACGCTAACGGAAAGGTGGAATACACATGACTATGACTTGGGGCCGTCTCAAGCCGTAACCGACGATTCAAACGATATTGTATTTACAATTTCACCGTGTCAAACCGAGCTTATCAGCTTAGCTGACATTAGATTTTCATGTGATTTACACGTTACTAATTCTGCTGGAACTGTTCCAACAGAAAAAGACTGTCTTGCACCAATTAACAATATTTTGCATAGTTTATTTCAATCAGTTACGGTTTCATTGGGAGGTCGCAACATAACCGATAACAGTCCTTTGTATCACATTCGAGCGTACATTGAATCCCTTCTGGGTTTCACTGTTCAGGCTCAGAACAGTCAGTTGAGCCTGTGTGGATTTGCGTTGGACACTGACCTTGACAAAGACCCGTTATACATGAATGAGATAAATGGGGCAACAACATTTCATAGTAAGGGTGCCGAAACGCGAAGAACATGGTTGCAGACTTTCCGTCCGTTGCAGTTGTCTGGTAAACTACACTGCGATTTGTTCCAGCAAGACCGACCACTAATTCCTGGTGTAGAGTTGAGCATTAAACTGATACGAAACAGGGCTAATCTTTGTTTTCTTACTGATAATGATGTAGCGGCTCCAAAGGCTTTTGCTATTCGAAACCCCAAGCTGAAAGTTCGAAAGTATGAACCTTCTCCAGACTTTTTAGCAGCCATGACAAAGCAACTAGTCACAACTAATGCAAAATATCACATCGAACGGGTTGCTTTAAGACAGACCACAATGCAATCAGGCCAGCAGCAACTATCCTGGGCGAATATTGTTATTGGACAGTTACCCAAGGTTATGTTCTTTGCAATGTCACCCAATCGCTCGTTCGTTGGCGATTTTAAGTCAACTCCGTTCAATTTCCATCATTTCAACATATCTAACTTAAGTGCTGAAATTGATGGACAGCTTTTTCCTACGCGAGGGTATAACTTAGATTTCCAAAACGGTGCGTCAATTGAGGGATATGAAGGGTTGTTAGATACTCTAGAGCGGCTGCATGAAGGTCATGGCGAACTACCGTTTGACAGGTCCGTATTTAACAAAGGTGGTTTCAATATTTTTGGGTTTGACTTCACTCGTGGTCATACGGGCAGAGGAGCGCTGTCGCTGATAAGGCAAGGTAATTTAAACATCAATGTTAAATTTGCAAAACCGCTACCTGAAGGTATAGTTTGCGTAGCTATGATGGTCTTCGATAACATTATCGAAATTAACAACAATCGCCAAGTACTTTTCGACTTTGCGCCATGAACAGCCTACAAATAGATTCAGCGCTGAAACAAGATCCTAACGTTCGCGACATTTTTGTCGGAGTATTTGCCAGTGATACACTGCCAGTAAAAGAATTTCCAGGTGCATACATATCTAACACTCAACCGTCAGGTGCGGCGGGTGAACACTGGGTAGCATTTTATTGTACAAAACCCGGTACGATAGAAGTTTTTGATTCGTACGGAAAAAATCCCGGTGACTATTCAGATGACATTGAAAAATGGATAGACAATGACTTTGTTATAATGTCGAATACTGAGCGACAAAACTCTGATAGTACTGTATGTGGTCAATATTGTATGTTTTTCGTTTTATTACGTTGCTACGGGTTTTCGTATAAAGACGTCATGTCTGCTCTCACTAAGCATAAAGGGGTGAATGATAAATTTGTATGTAAATTCATCAACAAGTTCTTCCGACTAAGGACTGTAGTCCGTGACGCAACATTTATACGCGACCTTATAAGAAATGGTTAAGCCGTTAGCTAAAAAAGCAGCATCAGTATTCTTTGCAGTACTGGTCACCATGCTGCTGGTAGTCTTCAATACTTTAGAAATTGTTTCCTATTTTATCAAGTCCACCAATCGTACGCAGTTGGAAGAATCAAGAAAAATTACGAAAGAGGTGCTTGATGTGATGGTGAGCGACGAAGCGACGCAAACAGATTAGGTTTTCCCCTTTCTTTTATTGATTTTTCCCCACCCTCTTTTTTCTATCGCGTGCCAAAAGGCAGCGTTGTAAAATCATCCAACATGATGCGCTTGTCGTAAACAAGCTTCAATTTCTTAGCTAACTGAACAGTATTAATTTCTTGGGTTTTTCCATTTCGTTTGATGTATTCTGGATATACAACCTGCACGTGCCCATCCACACCATCCAGTAACCGCTTCAGCTGGTTAAAATCCAAGGCTTTTCCAGTCCGCGTCAGCTCCTTCGTGACCGAGTCCCAATCCAGAATATCTTCCGTAAATCCGTTCTGCATCATCCCTTTCACTTTCAACTCAATGCGCCCCGTGTCGGTTTCGTAGCTGTACACTTTTGGACCACAGGAAACAAATTTGACGATGTGATTCTCGCCAGCTTCTAGCTGGTTATCCCAATCCCCAAGAATACTGCCGGTATCAGGAAGCCAGTCGCCAGGTCGGTGAATGAATATCACGGAATCCGTGTCGTAGTACAGGAGGCGCTCGCCCAACTTTTCCATGAGGGATAACAGTATAAGTCGCGCATGGCTGGTGGTGAAAGCGGCAATGACAACATTCGTACCGTTGCTACCTTCATTGTAGTCATCCACTTTCGAGTGTGTTACCATCAGACACGTTGGGTTTACGCCATAGACATCATGTATTTCAATAGCTTTTGAACGACACAGATCAGAATACCGTTTGGGGTCGTAGACAAACTCCGTTGAGTTCATATCGCAACTTTGACCGGTTTTACCCCAAAGACTGTTCACCACAATTTTGGTGGTGCTCTTCTTTCCAGCATCAAAAACCATAGCATCCGGATCCAAGGAAATGCCTTCGCGTTCTTTAACCGTCTGAATAAACTTGGCTTTCTTTTCATCGGTATCGCACCACGCAGGCCAACCACTGGCTTCCATTTTCACTTTTAAAAACTTGTCCATGTATGCCGCAAAGAGCTTGGTGTCAGAATGCGTCCAGTGCCACACTTCATACATTTCCACAACACGATACCCCACATCGATTGCATGATGTAGTTCGGGTGTCGCCCAAACCCCTTCGAAACAGCGATCATCGTCTGTATGCGCACAGCGGTTCGCCGCTTTTTCCATCGCGCATTTTTTGCATAGAACAAACATGAGTTTGCCGTTTATCGTGGCCGGTAAGACTGGATACAGGCATTGATCCGGAGCCGCTACTTTGCAGTAGACCAGTCCAAAATAATCTTTGGCATCCTTGAAATTGGATACGATTACTTCAGGATGGCCGACCGGGTATGCCTTGGTCTTGTTCACGAATGGGTACAAGCTAACAACGTCATAGTGCCTAATTTCTTCGTCATCCTTCACTTGGTAATACAAACGACTGGCATTCGTTCTGCCTCCTTTGAAGGCGTCACGAGGATTCATTGGCTCACGAATGTTCATATTCAGCAGAAATGCGGCAATATCGGGATCTTGTCGTTCTTTAAGCCACTCACAGCTCCATTTCACCTCCACAGTGTAGCCCTGACTTTCAAGGAAGCGTTCGCGTTCCTGGAACTCTTCGTAAACTTCGCGCATTTTCTTTTTGGAGTATGGTACAACATCGTTTTCTTCAGTACAGAAAGGATGTCCATGGAAGACGCAGCCGTTATACTCGTAAACGGTTTGTGTTTCCTTGTCAAAACCGTCTACAAAGTATCGCCCAATTTTAACTTCTTTGCCGTTCCGACCATGGCGTATACGGCCGTTTGCGCTCATGTTCTCCCATTCCAGCCATTGCGTGGCTTGAATACTAGTTCGTCGGTTTCTGTGCGGTCCGTGACTGGATAACGCGGCAACTTTGTTCTCGGGAAGGTGGAACATTCTCCAGTACCGGTAGCAGGCCGAAGGCATGGTCATACTTTCCATTGGATTCAGCGACGTCAGAGCTTGGTAATCGCTGATAAACTTTAACGCACACACACGCAAAACCGTAACATCGTTCGAGCAATATGTCATCATCTGCTCGCGAAAATTGAACACCCCATTGGCGGCCGCTTTAGCTTCAGCGTGCCACTTTAGAAATTCTTCTTTTTGCTTTTTTCGCATTCCATCAATCATGTACTGTTCTGGCTCGGGCCAGGGCAAATCAGTTTTATCCCAATTTTCAGGCTTATTAAATCGATGTGGGAAGTCGCCTTTCTGCACCTCGATTTCCAAGCCAACCGCTTTTGGTAACTGACTCAACTTCAAAGCCAGAAAGTTGAGGGTATCGCGTGACCGGATCCCCAGTTTGCGGTACCGCAATTCCAACAACTGCGTCCCACGCTTGATGACTTCCACTCCTTTCAAACCATTGTCCAACATGTACTTCAGGACAAAATGTCCATCATAGCCTCGAAAATTGTGTGCTACGATAGTAAATCCCCGATGCTTTTCTTGAAACAGCCAGCGCCCAAATGCCTCATCAACTTCCGCATTCATCGGCTGACCATCTTCCGGAAAACGTACTTCCGAACCATCAGCATATTGCGCAACGATGCATGTGGGCACGTGACCATTCACCGGATCGTTGTAGGTTTCGTAATCGAAGAAAATGTATTTCATTTCTTCTTGCTGCCATGGTGGCGGTGCCTTGAGTGGTTTTATGTAGCACAAATGCGTAGCTTGGAGAAAAAAACCATTGCACGTGTTGCAATAAATTTCCCCGCACTGGTGTGTTACGTTTTTGCCACGACTGGACAGATTCACAAAAACACCGCATGTCTGGCAGATGAACATTTGCTCGCAATAATTCTTTCCATTTTTCCTTTTCTTCTTATGGATATCGTAACACTGTTGGTTGTGGAACCGACGGCTGCATTCAGTGCAGGAGATTGTATTGTCCACCAGACAGTCGCTCTTGTTGCGGTAGCACGACCTACATTTCCCCTCGCAACGATGACGTTCTTTATGATGATACGGTCGATCGCAATCATTGCAGAAGTAGGGTGAGCAGTAAAAGCCTGTCGCGGTTGTGACCAGGTCAAAATGCTCATTGTCCAGCAACAAAAAAATCTCCTGCATATCATGGGTTTTACGCTCGGGTACCCGTGCAATAATCATGTCGCCTTGATTGGCCGATATAACTTTAATTTGAAACTCGGGAAATTCATTTTCCTGAAGCACGCTTAGGGCATCAAGGTCGCAGTAATGGCCAGGCTGCAGATCGCAGTTATTCATTATCTTAGTGGCCTCCGCTTCCAAGTTCCGATTGCGGTTAGCGCGAATATAGTTTTTCCATTTACTCTTATGCGGCGCAACTTCAAGGTCATGCGTTAGCCGAAATTTCCCCAGGAACAACGCGGCGGGCAAGCACAGGTTATTTTCTACACGGACGCTTACAATGGATTTCTTGAAACGATTTCTGTCATGCTTAACGTGCTGATGCCTGAGAAACCAGGATCCACCAGCCGGCATAATAGAGCGCCAGATCCGTATGGTGAAAGAATCGTCAATAACCAACTTCTGGCCGGAGTTCAGAAGCTCAATACGATGCATAAAAGCGGGTATGCTAAAGTCAGAAAGTTTTCGCATGGTTAAATAGAACGCTCTTTCAAGCCCATCCGATTTGAGAGCCACAACAACACGGTCCGTCGGGGCAAATTCTTTAAAGCACAAATCCATTATGACGCGCAAGATTTCTGGCATGATAAGCATGGTTTCTTCTTTTGCAAAAATTCGCGGTAGCGAGGCTATTTGGACACGGTATTTCTGTTCAGTGCTGTTGAAGGTTTTGAAAACGCGTTCCGATTCTTTGACCAATTGGAACAGACCTGAGAAATCGGGCAGCGATTCATCTCGGACCGCATTTCCACCAGCTTGCGGCGCTGGAGGATCTTCATACTGCCAGTCGTCCAGTTGCGCAAGAGCAAGAGCGGCAGCTAAAGATCCTGGGCTTAACCGATCAACCTGATCCAGATGCAGCAAAGTCGTTGCTAGAGTCTGTTCATCATGTTCGTTGAACTCATTGGGATTAGCAAGCATGTGATCAAAAGCTGCTTGATCTTCAGCGGTTAACTGGTACGCATCATTAACTTGCGGCTGCTGCTGCTGCTCATCATCAACATCCATCCACGGCTCACTAAGTATGGCCGCAATAGCCGCATGATCAGAAGCAGATAACTGATAAGTCATTTTCGCCAGTCGTGAAGGATTTAAATGAAGAAAAATCTCGTGCCGCGCGGCTTTTATACACGAGCTGAATTACTGCAGCGTGTGCTTATTGGTCTGATGTTTTCTGTAATGCGATGCAATTGGTTAACAGTGTTTAAGCCACACCTTTGGGCGTTCCAGTGGGCGCGGGTGGATACTTACCGGCGCTAGCAGCGCCGGTAAGTAACCGCTCGGCCTTTTTTTCGACATGTTTTAACGTAAAAATCTAACGGAAAAGCGCCGCGTTGTATTATTTTCAACAACAACAACAACCATCTCCATCGAAAACAGTCTACACCATTACCACAACACTGTAATTCCGCTATTACTGTAACCATTATCCCACGGAATGCGGTATCAAATGAGAGGTATGAAAACTGTACTGCCATTAGCCCATGGTATGTATTGTATGTAAAAACAAAACCATAAAAGAAAAACACTACGACATTTTAGTTTTGCGTGTTCACCTCAGTCTCTTGCTTCTTGGCAGGCGGTTCCTCGGTGTCGTTGTTGTCGTCGTCGTCGTCCGAATGCTTTCGTTTGTTGCCGCCTTCGACAGTGTCCACAAGCTCAGTGCCGTTCAGGTACTCGTCCAAGTCAATGTCTCCTACCAGGAGAGTGTCGTCCAATTCCTCTTCGGCTTCGGTCTCCGGAACCGCGTCGATTTCTCCTTCTTCAGCTTCAGTCGCCGGCTCACTCTCCAACGTGTCATCCGCGAGAACGTGTTCACCTTCTTCTTCTTCTTCGTTTTCGTCACCCACGTCGCTTTCAGCTTCATCCGACGGATCGCCCTCAAAGAAACCCGAGTCAAGCGAGTTGTCCGGGGCGCCAGCAATGCGTTCGTAGTAGAAGTCGTGCAGCCGCTTCTATAAACATCAAGCATTGAATATAACTTAAATTATGCACAGAAAAAGTACATCAACGGCGCGGGTTCTTACCATAAAATCAGTTAGACGGAGAAACAGGAGAAGGACGCCGGCATTGCGGGTGTAACGCTGAAGATCAAACCACATATTCTTGGCCCGCTGATAGTACGTGTAGTAGGTGTGGATCTGGTCAAACTCAGTACGTGAAGCCCAGTCCGAAATCAAGTCGTTGGCTTGCTCTAAAAGGTTAAATATGTTATAAGTATCGGAACAGACAAACACGAAAATCTTGACGAAAATGCAGTGGCTCACCAATGTACTGTGCAAGTTGTGGAAATTCGTCAGGCAAATCCGGAGTGGGAACAATGAGCCGATAGTAGAAATCGTGAAGTTGTTTCTACATGGAAAATTTTGAAATTAGCGATAAATCGTAAACCAAAGTCAAAGGAGAATTAAGAAATGCAAATCTAGGTGAAGAATAAGATTTACAGTGGCTGCTTACCAGAAATTCAGCGACATGGAGAAACAAGACGAGAGCATCATAATGGCGGATGTAGTAAGCAAGGTCAATCCACAACGCATAGGCTAGGTTGAAATAGCCAGAATAACGCCGGATTCTGCGGCAGTGGTTGAAAGCCAACCAATCCGAAAACAATTCATTTGCGATCTCTATAAGAAGCCGAGGTTTTCTTTAGGTAATGGAGCAATAATCGTGTTATAAAGAGCCTCAATCTAACTATGAAAGGTCAGCATTACTAATGTTAGAAAAATAAATTTGACAGCTTTTGTAAATACATAAGTTAGCAATACATACTGTTTTAACTTACCAGTGTACTCTTCAAGCAGTGGAAACTCGCCCGGAAAACAGGAATAGCCATGGGAGATGCTGAAAATCCAGTTGCAGTGGTGCGTAAAATAAAACTGTTCGAATGATTTGATTTTGTGTTAGAGAAATCGACTTATATCCTCTGGCTTGGAACTCAACATTTTTTCTGGTGCGCAACCATTGGCTGCAGGTGATTTGTAAACTCCCACTACCCTTGACCAGACTGATGTGGTCCGAAGCAGAGAGTTTTTGGTCTGGTGGACACTGGTTCTCTAACGATGTGGGTTGGGCTGTATGATACGTGAAGCTACCAAGGAAAATTCCTTTTGACCTATTAGGTAAAAAGGCCCGAGGGAGAACCATTGTAAGAATCCGGAAAAACCGTGTTTTGAACAATGGAAGTCGCGACGGAATCCGGCTCGCAGATATCAAGCTACCAGACCAAATCAAAGGGAACGTGTAACCCAGATAAACAGGATTATGTCGGTAGCGAAACAATGCAATCTTGGTCAGTGTCGCGACGAATCCGGGATATTAGCTAGGCAACAGGGTAAATGAACAGGAGAACGACAGCCATTATACCAAAAATCTCAAACAATAGAAACCAGGTCGCTGACGCGACTTATTCAGGATCTAAGATACGGATGCAGGGTAAATCAAACCGTCGCTTGACCCAGAAAAACAAGAACATAATGGCTCTTATCCGGGTCGCGAGACGGATTACTGTTTATTGCTTGCGCTCTAACCTCTTGTCATAGGTCTCCTCTCAACTTTCCTTTACTTCAACACATACCAAAATTCCACAGAAACTTGTCTTTTCTTTTAACATTTGTACTAAGAAACTCAACCGTACGCTTCGTGCCTTGTTGGTTTGAACTTTTTCCTTACACGTATGTATGGAAACAGTAAGGTTTAGTCTTACGAAGGAGAAAGAGCCTTAACCAGACCGACTGTAAGGAAACAAAAGAACAAGTACGGTGAAAAATCTGGAAACCAAATTTTCGCTGATATAAACCAACTGCAGCCACAGTTAATCCATCAGTTGCTCGAGCAGCAGTTTTTGGACGCTTCTTGGATCTTTTACTGTTAGCTCATAACAGCGCTGTAGACTTAGTAAGCATCAGTTAACGAGTGACCTTTACATAATGTCTTCCCGAGCAGATTCAGTAGCACCTACCGGATCTTCTTCATCCTCATTGTCCTACGCATCATCTACTTCCTCCGATGGCGTGTATCGCCCATACAACTTGGTGGATCCTGGTTGTCCGTTTGCTAATGCTTGTCTGGAGATTGACCAGTTTTTTCATGTGTTCACTCGCACGCCAACGACTGCAGAGCTGGCTGCCATCTCCAATAGAGCATTCGGTAAGATAATTTTCCAATTGATTTTCTGTCTATTATTACAACAAAATTAAATTAAACAGAAATTGCTACCCGTATACGTCGTGATATGCTGGCCCGGCGTCCAAACGTAAGCGCCATGGATAATCTTCCTGATGCCTGGGTGCATGCTATCCATCTGGCTAATATGATTTTGGTAAGTTCCACGATAGATTTGGTTTTGTTTTTTTGCCCCACCTTCAAAGGAGTGATATTATTTGTTAGCAAAATATATTAGCCGGATTCTTTATATAGTATAGTTGTCTGCCTTTTATAGGGAGACATTCAGTTTTTCCATGACGCCCGTCTTATTTCTTTGGTTGGTCCGTATGGCCCTTGCGCCGCCTACAATTCAGTCTACCAGTTTGGCGTGACCGGCACCGTGCCGTTCATTGGTGAGAACCCCTTACCCGCCTCGCAGCCTTACGCACCGCCAAGCCCACCACCACCACAACCAGCTACTGGCTTCTACACTCCAGCCAATGACTATCCTCCAGCCAATGACTATCCTCCAGACAACACCCACCACATCTACACTCCAATCAACGACGGCGGCGTCTATACTGCTGCTTACGGCAGCGTCTACTCTCCGTTGCCTGACGACCACGAGCAAGAGCTAGCATTTTCCCTGCCACAACGTTCTCGCACACCGGAACCGACCCAGATGGTGGAGTACAGTCCTGCTTCTCCTGACATGTCAACTTTGAGCCATTACCTTACGCAGCCAGCACATACCTCTCGTTGGAACGTTGCCCGCGTTGCCCGGGATCGAATGCCTTCACCGATTCGCACACAGCCCTTCAATTTGATTCGCTTGACGTCACCATCTTCTCCCAGCAGTCCATACCGCGCACGTCTTTTGGATGCGCCACGAGGTGGACGCCGCCGCTCTTCAACTCCGCCGTCACCCACAATGCCTTCCACGTCTGATGCTTTTACTACACCGACTCGCAATCCATGCCGATCACGCTTTGTGAATGCACCGCAACGCCGCCGCCGCCCGCCAACACCGTTCCATTCAACGACTCCGCGCGCATCAACGCCAGTACAAGACTATTCACCAGAGGACCAGACCGCCGTTGAAACAATCAATAGCCTTCTTTCCCAACCTTTTATCCTTGACCAAATTAACCGCATCGCTAACTCACCGAGGGACCGGAGGAAATTTACAGCCAGCCGACTACGCGAAAGCGTTCCACCGATTCGCCGAATGAATCAGACCGGGGTTGGAGAACGGCTTGACGGTGGAGAGGGTGTTGGTGACTGGATTACCCGCTTGGCTTGGTTTTGCTTCTTCTTCTTCGGCTTGGCTTTGGAAGTACATGGCTTCACTGATGACGAAGACTTGGCCTTGAGCTTCTCTTTCTTCTTTCGGTCACGCTCCACACTGCCTGCCATTATAATGGGGACCGTATCCAGTTGTAAGTTGGTACGACGCGGATCGGGAACAATGTCACAACTCAAAAGGCAACCGACCACTAAACATATTATACAGATGTACCATTAATTTTGTGAAATAAAATAAAAAATCAATATACCTCCAACCGGTTGACCGCATGTAGCAAACGGTCTACCACCTTTCCCGGCTTACTCCATGTACAGCTGCCGACAAACTTCTTGACACTTGCACACAGATCTAATAAATTAAATTATCATTGTTTAAGTTCAAACCTTTTAACAAATAATAACGAGAAAACGTACCGATATTATACTGGGCACACTCCCGTTGCTCTTGTTCCGAAAAACCGTCCCACTGGGTTTCCAACCCCTTGATTATACCTAGCAATATTTTTTTTCTTAGAACAATAATATTAAATAGTTTTAATAATAAAAAATTATAAAGATTTTTAAAAAAGGGATAAGACTTACCACATTGCTGGCGGCACCACTCCTGATAATCCGCAAGATACTTGAAGGGAGCCATGGAGTAAAAGATAAACTGAACTAACTGAAAATATGATCAGGCAGGTATTCCATTGGATTAAAAAAACATTTGCTTGGCCGCTGAGGTTTTATACTCAAGGTACGTATTAACTATTGTTTTGTTACTTGTACTACGCCACCCGTTAACTGAACTCTGTTTAAAATTGACGTTTAGACTAGTGTAAACTGAATAAATTAATTTTGTTAATATCAGAGAGAAACCTACGTGGGCGTACTTCAGTTTCAAATCAACCAGTAAAAATCGTTCCTAAAACAATGAGTGACTGAAACGCGCTAATATCAGAGAGAAACCTACGTGGGCGTACTTCAGTTTTGAATCAACCAATAAAACCGTTCCTAAAACAATGAGTGACTGAAACGCGCTAATATCAGAGAGAACCCATGTGGGTGGGCTTAAACTAATACGAGCGTACTGATACAACAGCCAGCTATTACACAGACTTGAAATTGGGCATCGGCTTCACGCGCACACACCGAGAGGAGCGCGTGGTCCTCGCTTCGCTCGGACCACTGTGTTACGTCACTAGCTGTCTTATTAACCCGGATACTAATGAAACCTCTGTTGATAAAAGGGTTTTGTTTTATTGACCCATAGACCGCTAGTGTATAATTTGATTTACAATAACCTCCCGACTACAAACACGTTGAACCCGGATTAAAAGCATTTAATATTCAAAGAACGATGCCACTCATCTCATAAAACAATACGGTAGTTCCGTATTCATGGAAAGCTAACCGGAGCTAATCATGACATTCTTTTACTTAATGAATGGGCACAAAATGTAATAGTATCTTAACCTATACAGCCGGACCTATCCTTGTTACAATTAAACCAATACAGATAGACTAAAAACTTGATTTAATGACTAAGCTAGACAGAGCTTCTTCGTGCTTATAAACAAGCTAGACAGCATAGTTTAATACATGGCACCACACACTGTGTTTAACGTAGTTTAATACAAATCGCCACCCACTACAACATAACACAGTCGGCTAGTACAACATTAGTACAACAGTAGTACAAGATACCACAACATTAGTTCCAGGCTAAACATCTACCACAAAGACACAAGATAGTGACCAATAGTTCAAGTTTAATACTCCTAGTAATGCTGTACGTGGGGACGACGAATCCGACCCATACGATAATATCGCAGTATAACTAGGGGTTGGACTACACGGTGATGAACCAATAGCTGGCGAGCACACTGTGCTAGGGGTTTTACCTTGAGTTGACACGACTGATAGATACTATATAAACCCTAGCATTTCAGTGCGGCTGTTCAGTTGGTAGCCAAAATGGATATGACACAGATGAGCAATCGCTTCGGGAGTTTTGAAAACTGGCCGGATCAGTCCCTTGCCCCTGAGGAACTGGCAAGCCAAGGGTTCTTTTATCAAGGGCAGCATGACGAAATCCACTGCGCGTACTGTGGCTATATTATGGGTGACTGGGTGAACTCACGGTATAAACCATACTACCGACACCGTTTAGCACGTCCAGACTGTGTTAGGGCTATGGAGGAATCCGGATCAAGAAAACACATTCCGCACTCACCGGCAATGAAAGACTATAAGACACGCTTTGCTACTTACGCTGAATGGCCTGCTAACAAACACCAGCAACCCAGAGATATGGCTGCAGCCGGTTTTTATTATGAAGGCCGAGATGACTGTGTACGCTGCTTTCACTGTGGTGGTGCACTTAATGCTTGGGACAAAGATGATGTTCCGTGGGAAGAGCACGCTTGGACTTACCCGAAATGTCCGTATCTTGTACAAACAAAGGGCTCAACATTCATCAACGATGTTCGTAAAAAACGCCAAGAAGCCGAAACAACCTGTTGTGGACTAACACGAAAAGCTCAAGCACCTACAACTTCTGAAGACCACAAAGAGAAATTACGCTGTAAAGTCTGCTATGAAAATGATTCGGAAATCATGTTCAGACCATGTGGTCATTTAGTTTGCTGTGCAAAATGTTCAAGCAAGCTACTGTTGTGTCCGATTTGTCGGGGTGTCATTTTCCATAAGTGCTGGGCTTTCTTCTGTTAGTTTTTATTGTCTGTATCATGCATGTTCATTCATGTTCATAGAAAAAAGAGGGTGGGGAAAAATAAACCAAAGAAAGGGGAACAACCGATTAAAAACCGGCTAAAAACCGAACCGATCACGAGCCGAACCGCAGACCGGTCGAAAACCGGACCGATTCGGAGCTGACGCTAAGCTAGCGCTATATCTTCTTACGAGCACTATCGCCGATGAGCAGTTGAAATATTATTTTTCATTGTGGTGCCAGACCCGTCAATGACAAGTTGACAACATTTCCTCACTGAACTGTTGCTATTTGAGGAAAAAGTAGTACTTATATCTAAATTATATTTTAATAGATCTAGAGCTTTTTGACTTTTTCCGCACTTGCAATTTCATGCAAGGTGCCGTACACGGCTAATACCCCGGGCATCGGGACACGCAAAGTGTGCCGAACTGCCGATAATCAATAAAAGCAACAATAATGACTCATATCTCCTGCAACCGCCAACCCGAGGGGTCTAACGGTTACGGACCGGTTCCACGCCACACACGTGAGCGGGTGCGCGGAATCTTATAATTACAACCCCAGTTGACTCATCCAAATGACGCATGCGATGCTGATTGCTGCATTGGATAAAAGAATTTGCCGTTTTTACAATTTTGCTGATTCGGAATTTCGGATTTTGGAACAATTTGTTTTTAACAGTGGATCCAGCTAGTGACGCTAGTCCAGATTTTTTTGTACGTCTCCTGTTTATTGTTAGACTGTTCTCCTTTGAACTGTCAGTTTTTATATTTTTGGCGTAGAATACTGGAGTGATATTGAAGTTGGACTAAAGAAACGTTTTCTGTCCCTGTTATCAGCGTTATCATCCGTTGAAATTGGTTGTAATCGGAGGGCCATACTTTAAATTACTTTTTATCTGTCTACTTTAACAGCGACTCCTTCTCAATCTTTAAATGCCGGATACGAAGTTGTACGATATTTTGGGTTTGGAGAAAGGGGCTTCGGAGGATGACATCAAGAAGGTAACATCGTCGCAGAGAAACTGCGCTGAAGTTCCAGGCCACCAGCGAAAACCCAGATTTCTTTACGCGACAATTTAAGACAGCAAATTTTAATATGGTTTAGTCAGGAACTACAAGGACCTAATTTGCCCTGTAGTGCTGCGATTATTTTTATTTCTTCTTGTATCGTGCAGGCGTACCGTCGTCTAGCTCGCGAATACCATCCAGACAAGAATCCTAACGAACAGAATGGAGATATGGTGAGTTACTGTTTTGGTTTCTCCATGCTTTGCTAGCTGTTTTTTTTAGCTGATGGTGAGTTGCGTACAAATGTCTGCTTATAATCTTCTACATACTGTTACCTAAATTTGTTTTGAATTGATTGCTTGCATTAATTACCTGAATTATTAATAGTCTGTATAATTTCAGTAAGTTACTGCAAGTGAATACTTAAATTTATTATTTATTACGTAAATTAAGTATAAACATTATTAGTAATAGTAATATTATTCATAGCTTGTATAAATTTAAGTAATTATCTTTTTATTCCGACTATGTCAAAGTTTTCCTAATTTTTCCTGTAAAAATCTTGTCGTTTCACATCTTGCTGCCTTAATTGACAAATCCATGCACACCCGCCTATTGAACGTACTTATATTTTATCCGTGTTTTTTTCCAGTTTAAGAAAATCAGCTTCGCATATAATGTGCTATCGGATCCCCAAAAACGTTCGGTGTACGACCGATACGGACTGCAAGGTCTGCGAGATGGTCTGTCAGAGGGATTATTTGGAGAGCCTCCGGGAACTCCCGAGCAGCAATTATGTGAGTCCACTGCTTACACCATTTTCCGCTAATGTAGAGCTGACCGGAATGCATTCTGATCGGCAGCATGAATAATCGCTATATTTCTTGGCAATTTTATAATATTACTGTTCGTAATTAAATTTCGCCTGATAAAAGCTGCAAATTTAAAGTTGTAAAAAACTGTCGTTTACAGAATTAATAGGATAAATGTTTTTGCTTTTTACGGTGCCTTAGCGTTAATATTTACCGAAACTGAGTATTTTCCCTTTGCTTTGATCGAATGTGTAAATATTTTAATTTGTATTGCATTATTTAACTTCAATCTAGGTTGTGTGAATTTGTAGTGCGGAGGCTGTTATGTATGAAGTTAGTACTTAATGAACTCTGTGAAGTGTACTCGTACGAGTCGTATCTGATGCACGCAACAGTTTTAAGCCGTCTAAATTACAGTTAAATTCATTGGATTTTTTATTTGGCAGCATTAGTTTTTGAATACATCAGTATGTTGATGTATGTTCTTCTTCTCTTGTTCTTTTACTGAATGGCTGCGTTAACAGAATTTACACCAGTTCAGTTCGTTCTTAAAATTCAAAATTACTTATCCCACGGCCGTTTTGTGGAAATAGAGGTGGAGAGAGTTCTCGCAAATATTTTTTAATTATTAGTTCTCCGTATGTATCACAAATAAGCATATTAAATTCTAAAATAATGAGATTTTTTATGTGTATGAAGTATACTGCTGTATGATAGGGTTATGAAAATGACACCTAAAATGACGTATTATTTGTGTTTTCCATTCCAGTCGAAAGCGAAGATATCCTCTGCGACCTGTTGTTGGATGTGACGCGCTCCATGAATATGAATTTTACCCAGACGGGTATTCAGGATCTGATGGCCAGCGCAGCGCGCTTATACGGTGCATTGTATCGTCGGGATTTTATCTCCAGTATCAGCGAGACGGTGAAATTATCCGTGCAGATCTATAAAGCACTACCGGATCGACGATCGTCTCCTGGTGGTCGACGGGATCGGAATTTCCCTTGAAGTTTTCGGGGGATGACATTACCTTTTCGGTTCGAGTCTTTCCAGGTGAGCCATTATTGTTTCTTCCCAATCGTATACGGGCTAATTCGCTGCTTATGGGAGCTGAGTACTTTTGGGAATCTGTGTCGCTTGTGTGCCTTTTTCCCAAAACTTGAAGTTTTAAAATCGGTGGAAGTTGATGCTCTCTCGCTGCAACAAGAACTAACCATAAGTCTGCATTATTTACCGATGTATCGGGCTCTATTCTGCCGCACTAAAATTAATTTCCGTAAAATGTGTCTCTAAACTGCTACCTGTGTGTATGCGTATATCCTCGGTATTTGGCACGAACATTTTTCTGGTCTCGGCTTAACATTTTTTTATTCGTTTAACTCCTCGCACAGATCGCAAACTCCATGTAACTCCGTGCAGTTAAGTTCTTCAACTTTCGTAACTTCAATCGGTTAAGTAATTAAGTACGGTTAAGGCGATAGACTGGTTTTGCTTCATCCCCAGAGAAGTTACAGTAACTACATTTTCTAGAACAGAAAAAAATGCTTTTTAAAATGAGAAGTCTTTTGAGAAGCAAAGAACAGAACAGAAACCCAAATCCGTCTAAAACCAAAAGGTACCGCGGGTCCAAAACGACGGAGGGGTGCAGCAGCACGGTTCGATTCACGTAGCTGCCATCACAGTTTCAATCGAAGCATACCCAACCGCACGCGGGCTGCGTGTCTGCGTACCGCTGCAGCCGTGCGCAGGCGGCGATTTCATGAACGCCATGCGCAGCCTGCAGGTAGCGTGGTTGTCTGCTCAAACTGGTCCACCGATGCAGCGGACCATTTGCAAAACCCGAAAACCTTGATTTACTGGAAGTAAAGTTCGGAGAGTTTACGCGTATTGCATTCCACTGCCGCAATGGAATTGGTCGTCCTTGGTACCATTGGAAAGAAAAAATTATTCTACACACTGGGTTTTCTTGGTTTTGCGATATAGTCATTCGAACTCCAACGCTCAGTGATTTTCTCCGTAAGAAGAATTAGTTCCATGTTCAAAAACTTGTATCTTCCTAGCTTTTTATTCAAGATTTTTTCTGAATAAACCCAGTGTGTGAAATAATTTTAAGTTCCATTTGAAAACATCAGACCTGAAGATGTTCCATCTGGTGCTTGGCTTAGATTTTTTTAATGCTCACACAACAGAAAAATTTCTATCGCGTTTATGCTATTAGTGTTGATTTTGAAACTATGTCTATTAAAAAGCGCGATTTATGAGCTTTCTAATGAACCCATACACTCCGAAAACAGCTCAAACCAAGGTGCACAAACAATTTTCGAAGTAGCTATAAAGATTGGTATTTTACAAACTAGTCCAAAACTATCGAAGACCGGAAAAATACATATGTTAAGACTGCGCACGAGAAAATGTTTTTTAACCGGTTCACTTGTGCTTCAAGTAAAACAACAACCGAAAGTATATAGTTAATAACGTTAGTAGGTATTTGGTTGTTTCCACAGTTTTAATGTTCGTTAAAATGGTTGAAATGGTTTGTTTTATTAACATGCATTTTATTTGTAGGAGTTTTCCTTAAATTCTGCAAAGATGTATGGAGTATTTTAAATTCTCGCCAAATACTGGATACTAAAGAGTAAAGATATGATCTTATTACTTGGATGTTATGGATTCTGCGTGGTGTCTTCCACATCAGTTATAACGTGGTTGTGAATTATGACAGTGGTTCGTTTAGAATGGTGCCGGGAAATGTATTTTGTACCTCGTATACCGTCGGCTTACTCATTAATCCTGTTGTTTCTTTGCATGTTGTACTGCAGTACAACTGGACTGCAGTTATTGTTTGGTGGATTCCTGCGTCAGGGATGCTTGTGTCCTTTGGTTTTGTTTTGCCAAAAAGAAATTATTACACGTACTTATTCTCAAGTTTGAAGGCTGATAACTTACAAGTTGCAATGGAGCTGTAGATCTCGTCGATCCGGAGATTTCAATGAAGAACATGGTCAAATGATTTGGAAAATGTTGCTTGTACTCTGTAGATTACCATTCCAAATTAAGGAACATAATAGCGGCTATCGAATGCACGCTTGATTCGGCTTGAATAGTTGGGAACATGATTTGAGTGTCAAAGAAGAGCGATTATGTTTAACTAGCAAAGCAAAAATGTTTACGTGAAAACAGCAGTACAAAGGGCCCATTGTGCTCGGAAAGAGGAATTATTCTGTGCATAGTAGCATACCGCACTGCACATCTTCGATTTACAGTACAATTCACAGTGCAAAAGGTGTGTTCGTGATTTAATCCATAATTTTTCTAATTTGGTTTATGCAGGAAAGAATCTAAAAAGTCCTCCAGTACCTGGTGGAATAACCAAATTTAAAGGTAAACAGCTTACGAATTTTTAATTTACCTTTACAACTAAATAGTTATCGTGGAGTAAATGAAGTAAGCAAATGTAGCAAATGATGGAGTGCCGGCAGCTTGCGACAGTAAACTAACTCACATAAATTGTTGTACGAGTTCAGTGCGAATTTTGAGGTGCCGCTTCTGCCCAACCTAACAATAGATTACTGAAAACCATTTTATATGGATTTGGGCACGGAAAAATTTTTAAAAAGTCGCATTACAGATGTACTCGTAATTTAAAGAAGTAACGATAACGAAATTATTTAGTAACAGCGACTTTTATGTTACATCCGCAGTTTTAATGTCTTTTCGTATTATCGACCGACTGAAAAGGAAAAGTCATCAGACACAGAAATGAGACGACAACAAAACCGCCCAGCAGTGGGCCAACAAGTGGAGCTACTTCGTAAATCAGAATTTTCTAATGAATTGGCATAAAAAGCTCCCACAACCGGCTTAACAATAACCCACTGCAATCTTCTTAAATCAGCACATTTCCGTTTCTTGAACAACGCCACACGCCTTACCCCAACTCACTCTCTATATCGCAATTCATATTTGCGCACTATGCTGATTACAAATACACGCTGTGACGTCACAATGCATAGTGCAATTGATTTTCATTCAACCAACCCGGGATACTTTGTATATACAGCCGCGGCCGGTTGGCTGCACACTTTATCCGCCCCGATCAAACAGCCGGAAAATTGCCGCGTTTTAGTAACATTTTTCGTCAGCTGTAGCGATCGGCGTTTAATACTCAAGCGGCGGACAATATTGAATGTTGGCAAACTGATACCGCAAAATCGTAAAGTAAAAACGTGACGACGCGCATTTAATATTTGCTCATCGTGCAGCGGATGGTGATAAGATAGTCGACGCAACGTCTGCGGACGTTGTTGGGTTTGATGTGGATCATCATCTCGTGCGGTTGGAGGGTTTTATACGCGTATATAAAGCGATTGTTCACCGGCAAATAATAGGCAATTGTGCCCAATGTCGACCATGCGACATCGTCCCGGTGTACGTGATGATCTGGATCTGCAGGAAGGGGACTTCAACATGCACCTGGTGAATCGGAGTAACAGTGACCGCGAGGAGAAATTCCGCAAGCGATTTGTTGAGGTCCCAAAGGAAGAGGAATTAATTGATTGTAAGTGACGCTAGCTTTCTGCTGGTTTTTATTTAAATTGAAATTTACCAGTCCTTCTAAAAGCTAACTGAACCCATATACGAAAAATTTAAGCGCAAAGATTTATTGGGTTTTGAAATATTTTGAAGTTTATTTAGCCAGGTCTAAAAAAGTTCTGGAGCACTCTGTGCATTTCTTTAGAGGAATTTTTCGAACCTTTTTACATGGGTTAATTTTATGCTGTTTCTTCGGCGCCTGCGCGGATAGGAATTTATCACATTTAAATTAAAAATATGTAATTTGAAATGTTAATTCTGTTTACGATTTTGTAAAATGGCATTAAGTCTTTTTTAATCGTTATTCGTAACTGTATTAACTGGCAGGAATTCTGTAAAACTCAGATTTGTTGTTAGCACCGTTCAATAGCATTTAAAACGCAAACCGGTGATGTTTCCGTGTATAGTGCATTCAGCCGGGATTTGTACATAAAAATGCAGCGGCACAATGGATAAATTTCTGTAAATTTACAGTGAGTGAATCATTTATCCTAGAGATTACTGCATCGATCTTAGCTTGTACTCTATGGAAAAAAATCGATCTGCACTTTTGCAATACTTGTACATTGATCGAAGACTGTGTTAATATATTCAAGCACTTCACTTTCGTGTATATGTTTGCAACATTATCGAGAATAAAAGCATTTAAAAGGTTCGTGGAAGAGTCTTATACGTGCGTCACGATGTTAATCTGTCATTTTTTCGCACTAGTATATTTCATCAGTTTTTTGTGACAACGTACATGAGAAATAATTATACTATAATTAGGTATATTTCTGTACGATTTTGAAGTAATTACATAGGTATTTGTTTAATGAGTTTATTGATACTTTGTTCCTCGTGTGCAATATGCACGCATACTTTTATGTCGTTTCATTATGTTTTGTTGGATGGCACCGGCGTATAATACAATTCATTAACGTTTTTGTGAATCTTAATGAATCAATGTTAGCGGTGCGCGTACTATAAATAATAGCTAATTACACTATATCCGGCTTACAACGCTAACTGACAGTAACGCGTCTAAATGTATCCTTACATTGATGGGCTGCCAATCCCATCACTACTCTGTAAACTGTCCATCTGCCGACAAATAAACAAATTACACCGCAATTCAATTCCTACACCAGAGTACAAGAGCAATTTAAGCACCGTAGTACTAGTGTCATACGTTCACCTAGTACCTAGCGAAACCGCGATCCGTAGTTTCACACGGTAAAGTGATGCGTATTTGTGTATTTTATTTAGATTACTCGTGTGCGCTGAGTAAAGACTACTATCTCCAGCACGGTGCCATCTACATCACCACCAACCTCATCTGCTTCCGCTCCAACATATTCGGTCAGGAGCGCAAACTCATCATCCCCACCGGCGATGTGCAGAAGGTGGTGAAAGTCAACACTTTCCGATTAATCCCAAGTGGCATCGTCATTGTTACCGCTACACACAAGGTACACCGCAGCGGCTTCCTGGGAAGCGTTTTGTAGTGGTTATGCGTGACTCATGTTTTGCTCCAAAGAGTCCCGGTGAATACGGGATGATTCAAGTATCACCAATTAGCGTGTGCTTGCCAACCCGGTGACAGGTGGAAAGGCTTGATGTTTTTGAATTCCACACGATTTCAAGACAGCATTAATTAGTTAGTCGAAAAATTTTATTGATTAAAATTCTTCCTCCCTGTTGGCTTCGTTTTACCAACATTTTTACTGTTGAATTTGCCGAATTGCGCTTGAAAATTACCACAACGGAGTTTTTGACTCGCCCTTAGAAAATCAAGCAGTTCCTTTGAAAAATTGGTATTGTCGCTTACAACTGGCTGTACCTGTATCTTACCATTAAGTGGTCAAGTGCAACATTTTCTGTGCAACGTACTTTTTCTCTGCATTCCTGTTGCGTTTAATCGAAGATTTTAGGTATTGTGCGTTTGTTTCTGACCAGAAAAACGCTGGTTGAGTAAATTGTAAATTTTAAGCGTAAATTGTGTAATGATGAGGATGGTTTTCTTTAGTCCAGTATCACTACTCTAGTTAAAGTGTCGTACGGTGTAGTGCTAGGGCAAATTACCTTGAGTTCCAACGCGTTTGCTTACCATTAGTGACAGTTCGAATAAAAAATTTTCATGTTTTTTGTACGTACAGTCGGTACAGACATACTGTACGTTTGTGTAACAATATTAGGAACCGGTGTTCCTAAATTTTGCGGTTATCTTCTACAACATTTTTACATAAAGTCTGTCGGTTGATTTGTATTGAATAATAATATGGTGTAACTTAAAATAAGATTTTAATTGTGTTCTGTATCGTTGCGTGAATTTCGTGGATGGACTACGAAGTACCGATTCCTTTATTTTAAAATTTCAGTATCAATTCGAATCCTTCCGTAACCGACAAGCCGCCTACACCACCCTCAAGCGCATCACCTCCAAAAACCACCAACCCCACCCGTTGTCCAGCCGGACCACTCAGGTGCCCCTCTCCCCCGACGATCTCAACCACCGGCGACCTTCGCGTTTCATCAAGTCGCAGTCGTCGTGTTCCCTGGAACGGAAGGGCCTCAGCGAGGATGATAGCGGCGCCGGGAACACCAGCAACAACAGCAGCAGCGGAAGTCATGACAGCTTCCTGCGTCCGCTCATGCAGGATTACGTGGCGCGGCGGAATAGCCGGGTGGCCGGCAGTGCGCCGGTAAGCAGTTCGGAGAATAACATTTATGCGCTGGTGAATCGCAGTGACAGCACCAGTCCGCCGGATGTGGAAGAGGCGTGTAATGGGCCGGTGATGATGAGGATGCTGCCTAAACGGGAGCAGTGCAGTCAGACGGAGACGCTGGGAAACGGCGGGATAGGCCGGTCAGCGGAGCAGCCTGTGATTTCCATACAGATTTCCGAGAGAGCGCTGATTATTTGTGGATGTTTATTGTAAGGAAATTACCCCTACTTAATACGATAATCGGCCTTTAAAATGTTCCAGTTTTACACAAAATGGAAAGTTGTACGAATCACGCAAAATAATGGTATTCGCTTACGCATTCCGGGCGAAAAATACTTTTATATACATACTGCATTATTATAACTTTTGTGTCCAATAAGTAACAAGAATAAGAATTTAAATGATAGAAACGATGGAGAAAATTTGTACTGCAGAAGTATTTGTATAAAACGTTCATTTACTCTATTTTTTGAAGTGCTTCCTCTATCTACAGTAGGAACTTTTAGCCGTGACAATGGAGCTGGAAATTTCTTCGAATATAATTTTTCATCACAAAAAAATTTTGACCACAAAATTTTAAAGCGTAAAACAAAATGGCATTAATATGTAAAAGTAGTGTTTACGGCAAGTTAAGAATAAAGTGATGAGATCTAATTTGCTTCAGAACATTGTGAGATGCAACTAAAACTATAACTTCTGAGCCATTTTACTACAAAGCCAATGCACTCAGCTTCATTACTTTAACTGTGCGTCCATAGTTGTGTGATGTACACTTACTTCCTTACCCGCTGACTTCTACCAAAGTTTTATGAGCCCCGCGTTTCATAGTGATATTTCAATTTTTTTACGACCGTCTTGTTCACTTGCACATTACATGGACATTAATCCGGCTGCTTAGTGATGTTTTAATTCTTGGCACTGAGATGGAAAAAACGTCTCGGGAGAGCCGCCATAAATTGCACTGGAGGGGCTGTGATAATTCGATAATAGCGGCAAAATCGATAAAGGCACTTACTTAGGAAATTGTCTGGTTGACATTGGCTGTTTATTTCCGGTTCAGTGCCAATCGAACATGCTAAAGAAACTCTGTGTACACGCGTATAAGACATGGCTATGACCGCTGACGTCATCTGTATTGCTTAAGTGATTGCGGTCCATAAAATAATCCAGGTGTAAGGAAGAGTGTTTTGATAGGTACCAAAGTCAACCGTCTCGATGCCGCTGACGTAGAACGCTTAAAAATGTTGATATACGAAACTTTTCTATCTGTAGCCGGCCACATCACTGTTTACATTTATGCAGACAGATACAATCCAAAAAATATTTTTGACGAGTAACATGGACGGCAGTTTTACACCGAGTCGCGTTGTAAAGTTTACCTGACAATTTACCTGACAAGTTTGCTAAAATACGAGAGAATAACAAATACATATATATCTTAATTTTTTTAGTATGAAACATTTCAAGTAAATACAGAATCATAACCCAGAAAGCACGCAAAACGCAGACAGATACTTTAATGAAACCCCTCATAAAAGCAGTTTTTCGAATGGTTTTACCCAAAGAAAATAATAAATGTTGTTTCCTTGTCTGCTACATTTACTGAACGTTTTCGCGCACTATTTTAGGGAAAATTTGCAGTATTTTACGGACAAGTATTAAATAATTTTTTCAGACAACTATGCCGCTTGGTTGGTTGGTATTACATATATGTTCTTAGAATCATGGTAGCCTTCAAGTTTCTGATATGGGTGTGGCGTTAGTTGCTGTGAAATTCGACGCCGAAATGGGCTTTTATGTACGCAAACTTATATCTGTATACATAAAGATTTATTTTGTAGATGTATCTTACTGACTTTTTCGGCGCTGCTAAGCATTAAGGAGTTATTCATCTCTCCCACTTCCGTCACGGCATCTCTTCCGCACCAGCGGCTTCCCGTACAAAGACCGGCAAAGTAAGTGGTGGAAATTGTATTACAAGTTATTTCTTAATCCCGGCCACAGAGCGCAAAACCCTATCGATTGGTGCATTGTGTGTGTATTCTTTGACAGTGGCGCGTGTTTTCTCTAATCCAGATTACATGCTCTCAACCATACGTTCCATCTCCTTCACGCGATCCTTGACATATCTTCCAGTATACTGCTCCAGGTGATGCTGCCGTCCTGTGCAATCGTGCTTGTAATCGTCACTGCTTGTTTGTTCTGAATCCCGCTCGTGATTTTCTTTTTTAAGCAGTTTTTTCTTATGTTGCATTGTGCAGGCTTATACACTGAAGGTCATTGTTGCATACTTAACTAAATTTTGCGGAGGTGTCTGTTTTTGACTACTTTTTACGTTGTGCACTGAACTGCCTATTCATGAAATTGTGTGTATTTTTCATACACTCAATTCGTGATATTTGTGGTATTAGTTGATTTCGCGGTCAGTTAATTTTACGCTTCGCTGAACACTTTTTTTTGTTAAGTAGCGATCGAGATCCTTGTGCTCTTTAAGTCTGGAGACAAAACAACAAATGCTTTTTGTTGTTTACAGGTTCAAGGACTTGTCTAAGTGTTGACGGAATGTCAGGCGGTGTATATATACGCAGATAGCGTCAGAGCCAGCTTCTTGAATGCAACGAACACGAACATTTTAATTTTTTCTGATAGTATGACTGTACATAATTGTTTACTATTTGTGCTTTAAAATTAGGAAGTGGTTGATTTGTTACCATTTTGAATTTTTAGTTCCAGCCATTATTTTCTGTAAAAATGTCCGATTATAATCGTATCGTTAGACAGTATGTAGTGGAAATAGTTAATAAAATAACGCCGCCAGATAAAAGTAAACCAAGGAGAAGCACGCTGTTCTTGTACATAAACGCTATCGAGTCAGTGAATATGCCAATGTCTTGCTGTTGCTGTTTAAGGGGCTCGTTTTCTGCTAATTTTTTGATCCAGCAGTATTTATATCTTTATAATTCGCTACATTACCCATCGACATATTCTCCTCCTGCTTCATCTGCGAACGAATACGTAATGACGTTATATGCCTTAATCTTCTGTAATCTCTTCTTATCCAAAATAAAATGAATCGTAACCATTATGTTCACTCTACACCGAATTGTTCAGGCGTCGACACAGCTTGAAATACACAAAGCCACACCACTAACCTTAAATGCTCAAGGGTGAATTATGATTGCCTCTCCGCATTGCGCAATTAGAAATGGCAATCATAGAATACTTACTCGATCCCTGCCCTGGTAACCCGGATAAATTACGTAATCAAATTACCGGGTACGCCCAAATGCAACTAATTTACCACGAAAAGTCCACATAATTCGGATTAAAAATTCACTTTAATTCACATCCTGTTCCTCCCCAACAGTGAACAGCGGACCAATAATGCACGTCAAACCAGCAAAAGCTGAATTAAACTTAACAATGTTCTGTTTTTACCATAACGCATTATCACTGACTATTGCAGCTGTACACTGCAGACTAGTTATTAAGTATATCTATTGCTACACTGTTGCTGATCTGGTCGCTCTAAGTAGTTCCTGTCTTTTGACGCAAGAGCGCAGTATAAATTATTTTAGTTATTTGATTACTACATTTCCTGCAACTTTCGAACGTAATCTGTGTGATTTCTGACTGGAACAATCTGATTTTCATTTGGTGACCCTGACTACGTGCGTACAATAAATCTAACTTTTAGCACCAACCCGTGCGATTCTTGGAAACAGATACGATTTGGCAACATATCAGCATATTTATCTCAGCACATTTCATCACACCGAGAAATAATGTTGAACCGTCAAGAGCATTCTGTGTTTGCTGATGCCCCTGACTGCCGCACAGAACGTTTTAAATACGTGCCCTATATGACCTTTAATTCTGTGTGCGCTGCATTTCTGCGGTACGGATGTCTGAAGGCAACATGCATCATAATATACTTCCTTAGTTATACTGAATCCAGTAATACAGGGGTGCCGAACCAAGTTCGGGCAGTTGCGTAAATTAAACTTAAAAATGTTCGATATTTTGTTTTACTTTTCGTTTGCACTTTTTCAGTATAAATTTTTATTGCGGATCAGAGTATGCTAAGATTTGAAATGTGGATGAAGTAGTAAGTAGCAAACCGGTTAAAACGGGGATGGGGTAGTGGACACTTCCAGAAGGCTTATAACTGACCTTCTAGAAAATTCCCCAAGTGACTTTTTTTTCATGAAAATTTTTGTAAACTGTTTAAGGACCTAAAAGGTATGAGGCAGGGGTCAGCGAAAGCTTTTGCGTGATTGGTGCACGAGGTGACTCGGAAAGAAGGCGCACCTCCCAAAGACTTGTATGTTAAACAATGCTTCCGGAAGAATGTAGTTGCCTAGCGTGCAGAGATACATAACTTCGTGATGTTTTCCAAGAACGAGACATTCATTTAAGTAGAGTTTTTTTGTATTTTATCTGGTATCTACCAAGCATGCGATAAGGTAGAGCTGGCAGAAGAACGGAAGAAAAACCGACAAAGCAGTGGCCAAATAAAGTTTTTGCTGGTGCAAAAATGTGTTAAAACGGGATGTCGCGAGCGTTTTGGGCAAAAAAAGAGCTTAGGTTACTGCTCATTGCTTAGCAAAAGAGTTTTTTTACCTACTAGGCACATTCAACCTTTCACGATTCCTGTGCGAGCTTTCGAAAGGCGTCGTCCACCATTTTGGCAGTGTCACCAGTAATGTAATAAAAATTGAATAATTAGTAATTTGTTGGTGGATGACCAAGAGTGATTTGTAAAAGAAACTGCCCGAACTTGGCGCGGCATCCCTGTATTGAAACCATCATGATGTTAAATTGAATTGGTTGGAATTGGTACTTACCACTAGTACTTACTGTATTCGTTAAGAGAGTAATGCTTCGAAGTACTGTTGATGCTGTACCGGTACTGACCGTCATTTTCTCCGTTTCCAGACTGCGCTTGTTCATGAACTGTGAGATTTGAATGAAAGCCGGAAATAATTTTCGAAAAATTACCGGTGTCACAACCAATACAAAATCAACGTACTGAAGACGGTTATAATATACAGTTCCATGGAGCAGTAAATTTGCACTGCACTGTCATGTAATTACGAGCACTAGCAAACTCATTGTTAGGTGAACTTCACGTTAATGATTTGGAAAGATTTAGTGCGCTAACAGCGTCATCAGATGCTTTCTTTTACTTTCATAGGAGTACCATCATTTTACTGAAAACCTTCTGGCGGCAGCTCGTGCGTGTCTCCATCTGCTTAACGGGTCGTGGTGACGTGAGGAAGCTGCCGGCGTAACTGCTGTTTGTTTCGGAAGTCAAACTGTTCTTCTTACGGTCAAGGTGAACTGTAGTTTTCAGTCGAGGTCGATGGCTTTATGTTGGTAGTGCTCTGGATTCTAGAGTAGAGTGCATTACCACGAAGTAACCGAATGCAACCAAAAGTGTCGCTATCCCAGATATGTTGGTTTACTTTGTTGTCATCAGCTTAACTGTATACGGTTCTAAAATTTTTTTAGAATGGCAGCCAACACGTCCAACCCGGTTCCAGCGAATTATTCGAAGTGTACGTCAAACTGCACTGCCGCTCTTTCGGCTACCGACAGCATGGACAACATAACGCAGGCCATATTATTCATTGAAATCGTTCTCTCCTTAATCCTCACCAGCGCCGTATTAATTTACTACCTCCGCTCTCCAAGCCTGCATACTGCTTTTAATATCTACATTATCCAGATATTAATTTTGGAGACGATCACACTTTTGTTCCTATTACCAAGCCAGTCATTTTCTCTGGTAGGATACCGGCGGTTAAACGACCGTCTCGGATGGTGCTCGCTGTACCTGTTGCAAGTGTGGTTAACACAGGCCATGGCCTCGTCCGGACACGTTCTAATGGCCGTTAATCGGATCTGGGCGGTTGCTTTTCCCGTCCACTACCGGGAGCGTCATAGCCGAAAGGTCGCCATACTGATTTGCTGTGCGACGGGTGTGCTGATGGTGGCTACACGAATGCCGAACATCATTGAGGCTTTATGGCAGTATGACAGTAAAACAGAACGTTGTAGCGAAATCCTGCTAATACGCTCCATTCCAAAGCTGTTTGCGTTTGTACGGTATTTATCTATACCGCTACCAATGATTATTATCGCAGCGGTTCCGTATGTGCTGTGGAAACGCTACCGACAATACTTGACAGTTCACGCCAGCCCGGAAACTAGCAGCAGTCGACCGCCCACGCAGCGTCGCACTGTGACGTGGAAAAGCGAGCTACGTAAGACTTAAGAGTAACCCATAATTTGGCATTTTATTGAAATTACTTAGAATCGTTTCAAAATTACTTAGAATTATTGGTTTTGACAGGGATTGTACTTATACCGGCAGCTGCATGACCTTTCTTATTAATTTTAAGTACTCTCAGCTTCAGTAGGAGCATTAATTGCCAAACTGTTGGATTGTACACAGAAAGTATTTGCTTAGTTTGTTCTTTTCGATTAGTTCGCATGCATTCCCACGACGCACGTAACCACGTGAAGAGGTGCAAATCCAGATCAAGGCATTTCCAGGTGTTTTGGATCATGGCCCTCATTGTACTCCTTACTTGGATACCGGGAAGTATGAACAATCTGATTGGCCGACGACATCCACTCACCACAAATGTTGTGCACATTCTCTTTTATTGCTCCAGTCTGGCTGATGCCATTGTATTTTACGTGACGGCAACCCCCTTTGGTCCGCACCACACAGACACCGTGTAACCATAAACCGTGCACGTGTAGCCACGCACAGACACCATGTAACCATACAGACACTGGGCACTGTTTCTGGAGTTTCACGCTGTGTTCGGTTGATTTTGATGATCTTTTCAGGATAATTTCCAACGCGGCCTTTCAAATGCACTCTGTGAGAAATTTTTAAATTCGCGCAAGAAGTGCTGGGATCATCGATACTTGTATACCAGCTACCTATGTTTTGGAATGGGCAATACAATATGTAAAATAACATCTTTGTTGCTACAAAGTCTTATCCCAAGCTCATAATAAAAAGTAAGGTCAAGTAAACATCTGTAATTTTAAAAACATTATATGCAGTACTACAAAGGTGTAGATACTAGATACCTACTAGCCCATTAGGCGTGCCTGAATTCTCCGTAATGGATTTTTGCTGACGATCTGTTATGCATAAGCCAGAAGACAACAACATGGTAACTGTGCATTGCCGTATCTACGGGTGTATGGGGGCGATGTTCGTCAAGGTTCACGTGCAATTTAAAGAGATTAATCGCACCGTTATTTTACACAATGCGTTTTGGTCCTTTCTGTCTCTTGGATGAAATGTTAAAGCGATTAACTTCTTCCTAATTCCGGAAGACATGTTAAGGTCGACGATGTTTACCAAAGGCGTCAGGACAACCGGCATAGTCTGTGCCGGTTGAGTAACCGCAGTACAGAATATTTCAATTAAGGCAGATTGTGGTAGCATGGCCTATATTGCCGTGACAGTATTAATTTTAAAAAGCCTGCGTTGGTGTATGTTCCTTAGTTCCCGTTAATAAAATATTACTGTCGCGTTTCTTATGGGAATCCCGTTCGGCAGGCCGTGGATTGTTCTTTGCCTTTCATTTGACCTATGAAAGTCGGTCGGACACTGTTTCATTTTCCCCCCTGCAACTTTGTAATTTTAACGTTTATCTCAACCAACCAAGCATACCTGATGGTGCATAGTGGCTTCTCAGAATACACCGGATGGTTTAGCAATTATGATCGTCCATTATAACATGACAAATAACGCCCGAAATAGTTCAGCCAATCATTCAGATTTTGCATCAACCGGCGCTTCAACTGCGTCCGATCTGGATAACATCGTGCAGACTGTACTGGTAGTCGAAATTACTCTATCTTTAATTCTAACCGTTATTGTTCTCGTGCATTACCTCCGCCATCAATCCTTACAAACGGCTTTCAACGTATACATCATTCAAATCCTAATTCTTCAGGTAATTACCTTATCCTTCCTCTTGCCCAATCGTTTGTTTTCTTTACTGGGATATGCGCGATTAAATGACCTTTTCGGATGGTGCACATTGTATTTGTTACAAGCGTGGCTAACACAAGCCATGGTCGCAGCTGGACATGTCCTTATGGCCGTTAACCGTATTTGGGCGGTGGCCTTTCCATTGCGCTACCGTGCGCATCATAATACAAAGGTTGCCGTGCTGATCTGTGGTCTGACTAACCTGCTATTGATTGCCACACGTTTACCCAGTATTATCGTAGCCCTGTGGCGGTATGAAGCAGGAGCAGAAAAGTGCACCGAAATTTTATTGATGCGCAGTATTCCGGAATTGTTTGTTGTTGTGCGGTACTTATCATCGCCGCTGCCAGTAATAATTCTCGCCGCAGTTCCCTATGTACTGTGGAAACGTTTTAAACAAGGTGTTGCAGTGGGGGTTACTGAGGAAGTCAGCAACACATCGCTGCCGCCACCACATCTTGGCAGCTGCCGGAGAGGTCAGCATTTACACAATTTTGCAGTATCTATATACATATAATATTATTGTAAGTATTTCATTGATTTTCATAGGTTTACTAAAACTGTTTACATTAATTAAATGGAAGATTATTAGTACGCCTTATTCGTAATTACTACTGACAAATGTACCAAGTACTTTAATTATGGTAACATATGCAGTCAGTGTTAGATTGTCTTTTCAAATCAGTATAATAAGCATCTTATGGACCTATATAACGTCAACTGCAACCCGGTTAGACTGGATATTTTACGAATTTTACGAATCATAGCTTTTAATAACTCTAGTTTATCTTCTCTCTATAGTACGCCGCTACCTGCAGAAGCAGCCATCACAATCCCGACATTACCAAGTGTTTTGGCTGATGGCTCTCATCGTTTTTCTTACCTGGATGCCTGGAAACATATGCAATCTTATTGGCCAACAAAATATCCTAGCCAAGTACATCCTACACAATCTGTTTTACTGCTCTTGTCTCGTCGATCCCATAGTGTTTTTTGCGACTGCCACTCCTGTATCTTCTCAAAGCAGAAACACCAAGTAAAAACAGTTGCAGCGACATTTCAAGATACTTCAACTGGATTTGCAGCTGGCAGTGGGCACGAGGATTCCTGCACCGTACACGGTGAGGTAATTTCAGAAAGCGATCGAAGTCTGTAAATAGCCAGAACAAGTTCCAGCTGCTCTTGCGAATTCCGAAACAAAACTCACAAATATTTCGACACCCGTGGACCAGGTCCAACAAGAACAGTATAAGTACCGGCAACCGCGGCAGCATTTGTACAGCTAATAAAAAATACATTTAATTCTTCTTACAAAACTCTGCTCTACTGCAACAAACGCCTTGACAGTTGACGCCGTATATAAATTACTGATTTCCTATCTAGGCACATTACAAGTTTTATTTTGCGACCTTATATACCGTAGTTCGTAATGACCTAACTTTAAAAATCAATAATTACTTGACGACCAACATACATAGTACATAAACACATGAATCTGGTTTGAAATGGCGTTTATTATGCCTAAATCCGACCGCTGGCATGTTAGCGTTAATACTTTGCCGGGCAGAGAATCTTGCAAAATTCAATACTTTATTCAAGTCTTGCATTTTGTTTTTATTTCAAGTTTTCCTGTTTGAAATGGCACATTTGTCTTCGTGTTCTAATTTATGTACATGAAATATACATTGTATAATCTGTATTTAAAGAAAAACACAACGTAACCCAGAAGTTGGGTACGTTCCGAGTGCAAGTGACCATTTTGGCAGCGGAATCGTAGTTACGAAGGCGAGTCTTCCAGAGCCGTCAAAACCTCTTGTAAAATCGCAGTGAAACGGTGAACATCGGTGAAGGAATTGTATAAAGGCGCTGGCGCCACTCTCAGTACGCACGGTTCGCGGACATCGCACTGCAACAGTTTGCCGGCATTTGGCACTATTATTTTGAACGTCTCCGTGATCAAATCTATGCACATACCACAACCCCTCGCCGCTCGAGTTCATGGTTAATTTTTCTGACCGGTGTCCGAAATGTCAAAGATAACTGGGAGCCGCGCTCCTTTGGATCATCTGGAGTGAAGATTGTTACCAAAGGAGGTGAACCGTTACGATTCCCGCAAACAGTAGCATTGAGCAGGTGCTCCAAGTAGCCAGTCAGCAGTCGTTGCTTCTCCACGATTCTGTCCATACCAGCTTCGTCGAAGATCTGAATTTTAATAAAATTATTCGTTTGTTTCAGGCATCCTGCACAGATATTCATGTAACTCCAATATTCAAAATAGTATACGTATCTTCGAGTATCTCCAAATAGGCCTAATTCGGGTTTAGTAAGATTACAATTTCAAGCATTTAACAAGTATATATTAATAAAATTCGGCTTGTACTAAACAAAAATGCGCATGCGGCATGTATATTCATCTGTCGTACATTTACACGAGTACTTGTGCAGTTGTACTGGAGTATGACTTAACATCAATTAAAAGAGATTACTCTGGACTTGTTCAGATCATTATTACATGTGCAGCTGTATTAATTTCTTTTGCTCATATGATATACAGCACATTTATATCTACTTATAGCTGGGATAAATTTCATAGTTACAGTGGTGCGACTAAATAATGCACTTATATCACATTTTTTTCAGTACTGCGTAAATGCTGGTATGTTATTTGTCTGCAGATTCAGTGCGCCTTACCTCAAGGCTGGCCAACAATGGTGCCACTAACAACGGTGGTGGGTTATTTATACGAAACCCATACGCTCCAGGAAGAAGGTCACTTTCTAAAAGCACGTCACCAGAATTATATTCTGAACATACGCAGCGGTTTTATTAGTGAAAGGAGATGCGGTAAAAATACCGTTGTTCATCCTGAACCTGGTTTCGTGTTTGTGGCTCCACCATCCCTCGAAGCGTGGCAGTGGGGATAAACCTTGCTTCTTCATTTCGTCAGCATGCCATTTTTTATGAAGGAACAGTCCGCCTATCCCTCCCGCACCGGAGTTAAGATACTGAAATGTTATTACAGTGGAATGCATTAATACATACAACCGCGCCACAATGAGCTATTATATTTCGACCTGCAAACTGTATGTAGTGTACAGATACAACAATTCTATAGATGTGGTTCCGTACTAACGTAACGTTTAAGTACCAAACAACATCATGTGTCACTACGTGCACATATTTTTATTCTGTTTTGTATAACGTACGGAGACTGTGAATCTCAGCGAACGAAGGCCAGAAGTGAACTTATTAATTGTCACCGGAGCGTTACATTGTAGAAAATTAACGTCTGGAGGAAGTTGCAGTTGCAGGCCATGTTACGGAGCCGGCACTTACCACTTATGGTTAATTGTGTCGCATTTGGAACTAGAGGTAAATGCCGTAGTTCCAAATGAAACACAACCAACGGGAAAGTTCTATACGAAAATTTGTTTTCTGCCGTTTGGTACATGACGCGTACAGTTTCATTCTCAAATTCAAGAATGGCAGGCATTTGAAGTTAGCATACCAGTCTAAGGAGAAAATCGGTTTAAAATCCGTGGATGCGACCAATTTCGTGACATTACGGGCTGGTTTGCCAGCCGCCCAGGATGCATATGGCATACACGGTTGAGGCAATCGACTGCCATTAATTAACTGAACAGCAGCCTGTAACTAACATTCAATACTCACTTTGTAGGAGCACCAGGCGGCAAAATCCACATTCCAATCATGAAGATGCAAATGGGTATTTCCAATGGTATGCGCAAGGTCGAAACCAACTATACATCCCTATTAAAAAAACAAAAGAACTTCCTTTCCCATCTGTACCGCGATCTCTAATAACGTGCAGGGACAAGGGTCTTTAGACCAAACTGTTCTTTGCTATTAATTATCAAGAGCATTAGCCTTCGTCATAATAAGAAGGTTAACAGTGGCTTCGCACCTGGTCGTGTCCAGCGGTTGTAATGCTTTCCATGTCAAATAATTGCGCAGTATAATACTGCACACCGCTGAATAATATCACAGCAATTTCTTGTCCCCGTTTCACAATCGTTTGTAAAATATCGTCTTTCTCCAAGCACTCCTTTCCCTAAAATTTCATACTTAGAAGTATTGCAATAAACCCTGTAGGTGCACTGGAGAGAAACAACTACGTGCTGTACAAAATTAACTGATACCAGCTATATCGGTGCGTAATCAGGTTTCTTCAACTCCGTAATATTATAGCGCTGACCATTTTGTCAATCTCCTAATGTTATTATTTCTTACATTTAATTTCCTACGAGTGGTATCTGCACATTCGTTACGGTTGGTTAATTTATAGGTTAACGGCTACAAAAAAACATTTATTATAAACATTGGCGGCTTACTTCTCGAGGCGTGACCGTGATTATCGCACTCTCAGGATCGTATCCATGTAGCTTAATTTGAGATGCCACTATGTACTGCAACAGTGATAACATATATAATACGAGATTATAGATAATTTCTAATGGCTTATTTCGTGTGATTTTGCAAAATGACGGTGATTACATGATCCGACGGGAAAGCTCTGTGTTCCATTAGGATTTTGTGTCGTTCCTTGGTCGGACGGTAGAATGCCGTCAACAAGAGATGGAGATTAACCGATAAGCCACTCTGAAGACACACTTCTTCCGGCAGTGCGCCAACTAGACGCGCTGACGAATCCACCACGTATTCATCGCAGTGTGCCCACGGAAGATGTCCGTTAAAATGCCCGTGCACTCCAGTTTTTGCCCATTTTTCCAGCTCGCGCTGCACGTACACCGGCGTTGAAATGGGCATCAAACCCAGAGAATTCCCGCAGAGATAAACGGCATCATCTTCTTGGTTACAGGTGGCCCCGTCCACTGAACCAAATTAAGCACAATTTCGCTTCTCATTCAAACACAATTATACCAGTATCGACTTACGTAACAATAACAAGCGCGCTCAAATTTTTATTGGTCTTCTATATATAATTAAGTACAGTAATTGTACTGCAGCTGCATTGTACCATACAACAGTTCACTACCTTCAGGTAAAGTTGACTTTTTCGGATAGAAAAACCGCTGCCGGAATCCTTTTAATGGATCCTTGTCATCCAGAATACGAGCAATCTGAGGATCCTTAGATGAAATTCCAGCGCTTTTTGCAAGCAGTTCAAACGTACAAGAAAGACCTTTTATAAAAGTGTCTTTATTGTTTTCGGTTTTATTAACGTGTTCCATTTTTGTTTTGAAAAGCACATAACATAAAATGGCTCAACCACTAAATTACGTTTATTCATCGCAGTTGTGCTGCTGTTTAATTTAGCCGCAGTTTCCCACTGCCAGCTGGCCGATTGGTTACACACATTTACTGATAATTATGATTAAAATCTACTCGTATAATCTAGATTTGGCCATCTTTGATTTCTCTAAAATTTTGTTATATGTTACGTGGCTTGTAGCTCGAGTCTAGTACGAGATAAATTAATAAATATTTACGGTGAACAAGCGATAGCAAATGGTGCTCTGTGCTTGCAAAACAAATAACAATAAACAAGAAAAAATGTGTGGAAGTTAGGTTAGGTTAGTTTTATTAAACCAGATACATTGTATCTGTTACGATTTCTCAAATCCGTCTAACAATTAGACCGGCTGAGCAGATTAGATCTGAAATTTTATACTTGTATGCAAAATTCCATCCTCTTTGTAAAGATATCGTAACAGTTACACTGCTGCGTGAATGCCAATGGCAGATTCTCACCTCTGCAGTAGAAGTCACCGGCCGCTTGTCTGGGCAATCTACTGGATGATACCACACGTGACACTTCAAATCAGCGTCGCATTGCGTTTGGCAGCGTCGATCATCCCATCGCATGCTTGTGTCTGTGACAAACCCGTCGATGAACTCGGCAGGCATGGTCAGCGCTGCAGACATTTCGGCCCGGAAGACTCCCAAGACACGACGGAATAAGTGGAGAGTTTACTCGTGTTTTGAAAACCGCCGGTATCCCCTGCAGGATGGAATCAAAGAACTTGTCTGTCAAACACCATAAAAGACCGGATGTCATAACCCTCGTTCCTTGGGAGCGTGGTAAACTACTGGCCATTGATGTGACTTGCGTGGACACGTTAGCCGGATCGTACGTCGATCGCATATCAGTGGACGCTGGAGCCGCCGGAGTAATGGCTGAAAGGGGAAAACTGACCAAGCATCTTTTGCTGTTGCCGCGTTATGACTTTGTCCCCGCTGCGTTTAAGATTTACGGCCATTAATTGGAGAGAGGGCACCAAGGCAGCAAGGCTCTAGTTGACAAAATGGGGAAAAACCTAGCCGCAGCAACCGGACAACAGCGATTAAAGGAGTTTTTCCGGCAGCGATTATTTCTTCACATTCAAACGGGGAAGGCCATCTGAGTAGTGGGAACGCTACCCGACCAGGATGAAACAGAAGAAAAATTTCTATTGTAGAAATTTGTTATGCCTTTTTTTACTGTGATATTAAGTTATAAACTATAGTATAATTACGACTAGTAAACTGGTGGTAGTCGAAATTAAACTATCTTTAATTTTAAACATCATTGTTGTCGTGTATTACCTCCATCTTCAATCCCTACAAACGGCTTTCAGCGTTTATATCATTCAGATTGATCTCAAGTCTTCAGGTAATTACCTTATCCTTCCTGTTGCCCAATCGTACTTTCTATACGCGGGTATGCGCAGCTCAATGAACCTTTCGGATGGTGCACTTTATACTTGTTACAAGCGTGGCTTTCACAAGCCATGACCTCAGCCGGACACGTCCTTATGGCCGATAACCGTATTTGGGCGGTGACCTTTCCATTGCACTACCGTGCGCATCGTGATAGAAAAGTCGCCATGCTGATCTGCGGTGTGGCCAATCCCACTATACCCATTATTCTTGTGGCGCTGTGGCGGTATAAAGCGGGAGCAGAAAAATGTACTCAAGTTTTATCGATGCGCAGTATTCCGGAATTGTTTGTTGTTGTGCGATACTAATCATCGCCGCTGCCAGTGATAATTCTCACCGGAAACGTTTTAAAGAAGGTCTTACAGTGGGGGTTACTGAAGAAATCAGCATCACATCGCTGCCGCCATCGCATGATTCGCATCCTGGCATGCAGATGCCGCAAAGTTTCGCAATATGTTTCCTTTATTGATTACATTGGTTATACTGGTCACATTGGTTACTTAATGAAGTAATATAGAGGTACTTTATTGGAAGTATTACTTCATGGGTTTTAATGGGTTTACTAACTGTTTATTAATCGAATCAAAGATTATTACCCTAGTACGCGATCGCGCGATAATCGTATTACTATTGCCAAAACGTACTATGGCAATGCAGTTAATGATAGATTGTCTTTTCAAAAACAGCATAAACAAAACAAAAACATTTTATGGACAGATATCTATATAACGCAAATTGCAACCCGGCTATATAGCATATTTTACGAACCTTTGCCAATCGTTGCGTTTAATAATTTCAGTTGATTTTCTCTTCTATAGTACGCCGCTACCTGCAGAAGCAATCATCACAATCCCGACATTATGAGGTGTTTGGATGGCTGTCATTGTTCTCCTTGCTTGGATAACGGGAAACATAACCAATTTTATTGGTCAACAAAATACTCTAGCCAAGCACATCATACACATTTTATTTCTATTTTACTGGTCGTGTCCCGGCAATCCCATCGTGTTTTTTGCGACAGTCACTCCTGTAACTTCCAAAAACAGGAATAACAAGTAACACAAGTTGCAGCTGCATTGCACTGATTTCAGAATACTGAACTTCTTGCGTTATTAACGAAGATTGCTGCCTTCATTGCCTGTGCAGCAGGCAGTAGACACGAGATGTACTGTGCACGGTGATGTACAAAAATTAGATGTAATTTCGAAAAGCGATCGAAGTCTGTAACTTTCCAGCATAAGTTCCGGTTGCTCTTGCGAATTCCAGACTAAAGTTTACAGCTATTTTTCGGCACCCGTTGGTAGCAGGTCCAACAAGGACAGTACAAGTACTGGCACCCGCGGCAGCGTTTGTGTAGCTACCACAAAAGTATATTGTACTTCTTCATACCTCCAGTTCTTGCAAAACTCTGCCCTACTGCAAGAGACGCCTCCACGCCGTATATAAGTATCCGTGTAATTATCTTCCCTTTATCCTCTGTCACAGACCCGTGTTCAAAAGTTCCCGTTCTGCTAATACGACCGAATCATTTCTTTTTTTAGTTATTTGATCATATAACTAGGAACAAAAACGTAAATGGGCAAACAACAAAAAAATGCCCCCCGTCACAACTTAACGGTCTTAACCGGTACCTACTGACTTCTTGGTGTGGCACCACCTTCATGAAATCCGGCATATCCAAGAATTACCTACTCTAGTTCTGCGCACAGATTAATTTATTATCGCATATACGAGTATAATGCATTTGAGTAATTTGTACGGCATAATTGTGTACTGCACTTATCAACATGCACAGCCAGCACAGGTACAATATTTTTTTGCACATCAAATTTGTGTACGAGTATGGCTCTATTACATCCTTATACGATATTATGTAGTGTAATGGCAATTTTCAGTTCATGTCGTATCCGAAATTTCATGGTTAAGGCTGACGTTGCCATATCATTCATTAAAGTGATAAATGTGAATTCGGTTTTTTTGCTGTTTCGCATTGCAAGCTATACCTAGACTACGGTTTTGCAAATCTGGTGCCACGACAGAGCTGAATGTATTGATTTTAATTAAGGTTGAATATCAAATTGGCGGGTATAAATTGCTCTAGTTGCTCGTTTTTTATGTACACAGTTCCTGGTCAAGTCGTCTTTCCTTTTTCCGTAGCATGCGGTCGCCAGCTTGAAGCTTCTGGTCTGAATGGTCTGAGCGGTTCGAAGTCCAGGTGGTGGCAAAATAAGCAGCCTCGCATAACGCTGCGGTACTCGGTCTTGCCGGTACTGGTCGGTGTTGCTTCGACTCATGTTCCGCACCGATAAAGATCCAAAATGTGTGCGATAACGTTAGCGGAAAGAGATGCGTTCGTACGTTTTGTGACCCATCAACATTGCATGGTCTCTGCATGGTGCTCAGATCCCCCAACTAGGGATGCCAAAAACTTGAGTTAATAACTTGACTTGACTTTCGACTTGGTTTTTACAAAAAGTCGAACTTTTCAAATTACTTGGACATCCAAGTTTACTTTTTTGACTTGACTTGGAAACTCAAGTCAAGTTATTAACTTGAAGTCGACTTCAAGCGACTTGAAGTCGAATAAAAAGTAATACGAAAATTTGCGTATAGGGGAGTTATTAGGCGTCACACACCCGTTCCATGTACTGCTCCAGTCATCCGCCCGGAGCTTTGCCTCCTGGCTGCACATATAGTCTATGCAGCCGTGTGGTCATAATCCACTTTGATGGTTGATGGCTGGAACAGTACAGCGAAAGTGTGTTGTACGACACCATTATCAAAACATTTTAAAGATATAACGCAGAAAATGTCGGTTTACTTTAAAATTCCTCAAATTTTTTAAAAAACTCGCAAGTCGACTTGAAGCAGAACTTGAGAACTTGGTTTCACAAACCAAGTCGACTTCGTTGACTTGGTTTGGAAGGATAAGTTCAAGTTAATAACTTGACTTTTCCTCCAAGTTTTTTCGATTAACTCGAGTTATTAACTTGATAAGTCGACTTCGCCAAGTATTTGGCAACCCTACCCCCAACCGCGCTTGCTTGGACAGATGGGTCTGTCGACAACGTTAACGCTGTTTTCAAAACGTCGAACGATGTTTTTAAATCATGTGAAGGTAGTGCACAACAGAGCGTCGATGTCAAAATTAAAGACAAACACACTGCACTTCAAAATGATGTTTACGGATACCCATCTATACGCATACAGCGTATTAATATTGGCTGTTGGTGACGGTGTATAAAACTTTGTGTCTTTATGAAGTCCACTGTAAAATTCTCGAGGCTTCGGCCCCCAAGACTGTCTTTTTCGACCAGATATTTAAATTCGCTTAGCAGTCTACCCGAAAACTTCCATAATAAGGGTTAGCTTTATTGACCATTAGTACATACTATTTCTTTTTGTTCGGCAGGCTAATTATTGGTGTAGCCGCATTGAAGGTACAAGTATTTGTAAGTCGCATGTTAGTGGCCACTATAGTTGCCTATATATAACATACCAATAAACTTTAGATCTAATAATAACGGCTGCGCATTTTTACACTGTAAATCTATAAGTAAATATTCTTTGCAATTTTTTAAGCATTTTTTGTATATCCGTCGTTCCATCGCGAAACTTAAGTAGCAATTTATACGGAATTTGCTCCCAGAACTGTGTTTTAAAAACTTCTAATACCTAATTGCAGTTCGATCTCGTATGTAAAAATAAACTTGCTTTACTGATTAAAACTGCTTTAAACAGTACACAAATTTAAATAACCTGATGTAGTTGTACTGTGGTACATCGCGATGAGTTAAGCGTAGCGTGACGCCGTGGTCTCTGTACATGTGCATAGGATTATCCAGTTTGATGGCTTATTTTATGATTAGTGTTTTTCATTAATTTTTCAGCTAATATGTGGGCTAAGTGAACATAGATACAGTATATGGGCTTAATGAGAGAAATGAAATATAAAAACTAGTAGGATTTTAATTTAAAAAACGCGGCAGCTGTAATGAATACGTAAGTCATTTATTTCTACAATGTATGCATTTAATATACTCGTAGTTTGAAATCAGATAATCTATCGGTTCCGCATGCTGCGCCCAGTACCATTTTTACACGGCTATCAAACGATACTATTAAACACTCACACTATAGTAAGTACTTGCTACAATACTATTCAAAGTAAATGCATAATACTGTATGTGTGAACTCGATCATCACCACTGCCATCAGGTGCCAGGTGGTTTCTTTACTGTTTTGTGGCGTTACCGCAATCATAGCGGCGTGTTTATGTAACAGCAATAGAATTTTTTACTTTGTTTGCTAGTTGCTACTTTTTCCTTTTGTTGCACTTTGAGTCTTCGTACAAGTTCAAGTGGATAACCAGTAACCACGACTGCAGTTCGGCTAGTGCTGCACGTGCTCGCTTTTCAGACCGACTGCCAAAAAATTCCGCAGCGATAAGAAAAACTCGAGTCGTCTTATCATCGGTTTCTGGAAGCAGCAATTCGAGAAGTGGGTAAAACTGTAAGCGGGAAAAGCTGATCATAAGATTATGGTGCAAAGGTTATGTTTGGAGTTTATATTACTGAGACAACGGTATAGCAGTGACCTTTGCACGCGGCCAGGCGCCGACACACAGTATACTAGACAACGACCAATATGACTCACAGTACGACGTAATTCATAAACCTGTTGGGACATATTAAATTTTTATGTTATGCATGTATAATGATGTGCAACTCCTGATAATTATTCTTGATACAATTTCTCCACGACCCTAAAAGCGCAATAACATTCGCGAATGTACAACAACTATATTATGTGACCGGTGCGAGGTCCCGAATTTCCCGTTAGCGTGTTCTGAATTCGCTGTTATTTCTGCCTACTTCTAGCCTTCTTCTGCCTGCCTTTCATATTATTTATCACTTCTCTATTTTCAGATAAATCGGGAAATTTTGTCATATCCCACTAAAAATTTAGTTATCAATTTCAATACCGTAGTGAATAGTTAAAATTTAATTTAGTTAGTTACTCCTGCGTGATTCTTTGAGCTGACACAAGGCGCATACAAGGATTACAAGCACATATTATAAGCAAGTGTTTGACAATTAAATTAACAATAATTTTCTGGCTACGTCAGTTTTCAGTCTGGGAATGTGATAATGCTATTAAAAAACAATAATTCGAAACTTGTTATTTCTATATTCCGGCCGAATTATTTCCGATCCGTTCGGTCTGTCGAAATTCAAAATTAGAATTACGGGGGTCTACGGTACGTATACCACAGTGACGCAGTCCTTGTACAGTACAAATATCTCTGCTGTACATGCGCATTTTCTGCTCTTTATGCTGTTAAGCACAAAATCAAAACTTGAAGCTTAGTTTTTTTTAAAAAAGGCTATAATTTTACAAGAACAAGTAATTTTAAAGTTTTCAAGATATGCGTAAAAATTTCTTGATTCAATTCCGGCAATCCCCGGTACGTGCACAGTAAAACTGCGTACATTCGAACTACTGACTTTAATTTGTTAGAATCAGAATCGTGGTAGGGCGTATAGTCCTGTTATCTGTACAAGCGCAATTCCTTGCAATGCCAAATGTTTTCGCTAAACAAATAGAGCTTTACAGTTTTCCGATTTTCACAACAAAAACAAAGAACTTTGCGAAATTTTAAAAACTGATAGGAAACTGTATTTTAATAGTATAGTGCCTGGCTGTGGTAATGCCAAACCTGTACTTCGGCCAAGGGCGCACTTTGACCCTTAATGATCGACGGGTCTTATAAGCGGCAAACAATACAAATACAGCTGAGCAAATGCAACTGGTAATTTGCCCAACGAAATGGAAAAAACTTAATTTACAAACTGTCAAATTTATTAAGTAACATAATAACGCTTTGCGATAACTCACGAGTCACGAGGCAATTGTAAATACACAGTACAATCTAATCGCGGAGCTGTATTAAACTGTTGTGGCGTATTTCTAGCGTACTTCGTTTTTATTTTATTTTCTTATGTATTTGCTGAGCGAAGCGCGCTTTGTACGTAGTACGTACAGATTGTACTGCAAAAAACCTTTCTAATTATATATTAATTTTTATGAGTACCGCTTCTCATTTATCAATTTAAGCTGATAGCCGTGTTTCTAATTACTATAACTAAGTATATGAGTTTTTATAATAGATAGTTTAGCTCAGTTTTAGGTTCCTTTTTAAAATTTATATATGTATTAAAAAAAATGTTATTGATGCTGCTCGCATAATGTGTCGGCCTTTAATTTGAGTAGCTTATAAAATGTAAGGCTTCCTCGCGTTTGTCAGTCACCGCATGCGGTACGGTCGATTGAGCGCTGTGCTTACATAATCAGAAAGCATTTTTTCTCTCGACAGATACATTTCACTTCCGCACAGAGTGAGCCTGACAAGTTTGTTGCGAAAAAAGCCCTGCCGCGCTCCGCACTTATTCCACACACATGCCTCCCAGAATACACACATGCACGCTTTTTGTCCATGCGCACACACACGCCGTTCCCGAAATTACAGCAGCAGCAGCACTGGTACAATCAGCAACAGGCGGAAGGAAATGGAAAAACTTCTGTTATGATGGAAATTATCGTATGATCGTGCTCTCCACACTGGAACTCACATGGTGTACAGTCAGCTGAGAACAGGAAAAACCGGTCGACCGACTGTTTTGAATGTTCACCATAATAATATCGTAAATACAGCGATACCGCTTATAATAGCAGATTAGCCGCGACTGCAATCTCATCAGATGTTTGGCTTAAACAAATATATATTCGACTATTTTTCCATGAGAACGGCGTAAATTACCCTTCTCCCAAGAGCGCCGGATTTACATGTATTTAGAAAAAATTCCAGGAATACAATCTTCCATTTTACAGGAATTTTTTGAATGTTATTTGTTTTAAACCAATTACGAAAATTTCGGTACGACTGAGCAGACGCAGGTTTGGACTCTGGAGTAATAAAAATTAGTTACTTGTTGTTTATCTTTTGTTGCTATTATCGTTCAGACATACTCGAAAGGGAATTACGTATTGTATGCTGAACCCTTGTTCTACAATTAACTGTGCATTGTCTGATATATACCGCAGGTACACAATACAGATATTAATTCTATTCACGGTCAGTTGTTTTCGTAATAACAGAAGATAACTTTATTTCTCGAGAACCATCTATATATCAAAAAAACATCGCACTATGTTATATCTACACTACATTCCCCCAAACGAACAACACAAACTCCAATCCATCGTGCACATATCCGCCGCGCCCACGATCACGGAAAGAATCGAAGAAAAGTATTATAACACAAACAATATAGAAGGAGAAGAAAGCAAAAAAAAAAAACACGGGTTAGATTAAAAAACACCACCGACGCAGTCACCACATGAAGATAGAGAAACTGAATAGCGTGTTTTCTTTTATCCTCAAAAATCTATACTGAAAAATCACCCAACGCGGAAGAAAGGAAACACCACATTCCGGGCACAACCCCCTCCCCAAACTGTACAATTGCGACCATCATTCCCCCACCCACAGTTCACCAGTACAGCGCGCTAATATGCCAAGAAATTAACCTAAAATCTGCCGTAATAACATCCAAACGACGGAGGCCAGGGTGCACGTGTGCACGCGCGCCCGCCTGTTATTGATCCCTTTGCATTCCGGACAGAGGACAAAGGCGCCCGAAACGCCGTTTCCCTTCTGCTCTTTCGCGGGATGAAGGGGGCGATGATGATGAAAATGAAGCAGCCGCGCTGTATGGGTGTATGTTGATGAAACCATTCCGATGCCGAACAGCATATTTTCCATCTATGACGAGTCACGATCCATCATCTTCCTTCCACGGGCATATAGAGAGATATGTACACACAGCAGTCACACGGAGGAGGAGGACGATAACAAAAATAACACTTTTCTTCCGACGCGCGCACGCGGCGCGTTCCTTCTCAACAGGGGTTTATGCTATCAAAAATGCGGGATGAATATGGTGTGGGCCAACGGGACTTGGATCAAAAATGGACAACAGAAGCACACACTCTCGGCTCAATATAATGTAGAGGAGATATAACCATCATTTATCTTTTCCGTTCAAAGACCAAGAAAGAGAAGAAAGAGAGAGAGACGTAACAAAAACAACCTACAAAATCAAAAACGCACATGACAAAGGTTATTTCAAAGTGCACGCTCGTCAATCAAATTACATAAACCATGGCCATGTTTGCAATTTGAATGTCTTTAAAACCGAACCACAGCATTTTTTCTAAATAATGGTTTAATAATCTTAATGCAAGTTACGCTGTGGAAAAAAACTAACATACCACTTGAAAGTTATGCAGAGCTATTAGTAATTTATCGTTGGAAGAAGGAACTGCGCTTTATCAGAGCTCTGAATGCAGCTGATAGCCCTTACACTACGCAACGCGCTAATACAACGTAAACACTAATTACAGCATGTGGCGGGCGGCGTAGCCGTTTGCCTGCTGCTGACTGCCTGACCAAATCTCATTACACTCGGGCGCCATTCAACATTAAGTAAGGTCATATGAGGCATTACTGATCAAATAACATTACGACCTCGTTATTCAATCGATCTGCTGCAAACGAAACGAAACACCGAGCCGCTGGGGCTGATTTATCGTGAGTCACGTGAAAATTTCCATTTCCACAGGAAAAATCTAGCATCTGTGTGTTAGACATGGCCCATGCCGACGCGGAGGCCGTGGCCTGTCAGATTGGTATCGGGGGCTCAAAGTAATATTATGCTAAACTGACCAGCTGCAAAAGAGGCGACACGGCCGTAAAGTTTACATAATCACCCGGCGATGTGCACAAGCAAACCATTTTCAGTTAATCCATAATCTAAAGAAAATAACTCATTCCCTGTGTCCCCCTGCTTGTTACAGCGTCAAGCGAGTTCAAAAACCTATCGACAAAACCATCAGTCATCAGGATGTACTCTGTCAGCACGAGGGACAAAATTTGTCCATGTTCTACTTTGCGAGAAAAACGCCACTCGTACGGGGAGAAAAAATCGCCACCGTGTCGACTTTTAAACGTGATGCGAAAAACCGCCGGCATATAATTAATCGGAACGGGCACGTACAAAATTACCGCAGCAGTCATCGAACAGCGGCATACGTAATGCGACCATTCACCAGCCTTGCGACCTGCTCGAAAACAGGACGCAATCGACCGTTTCCTCCTATCTCGCACACAAAGAGCGACGAGGGCAGCGAGCAAAACCCATGACGAATCGTGCAAATCGAATAGATTCTACCCGAAAAGCTCCGCTTCCCCACGAAAGGATCAATAAATGACTGAAATCGATACAGCCATTTTCGATGGCAACCATCATTGGGAAACCGTTTCATCTCAGAGTCGAGCATGCGATCATAAATTCCTTTATCATATTAAGGATTTTATCACCTATATAAAAATCCGGCCAAGTAATTTGAAGTAAATGGAAGAGTCAGAAAATTTATAGTTTTAATTCTAATTTTCTGCTTTCATTTTAAAAGTAAAAAATGCAAATACTATCGCCCACTATGATCTGTAAACGCTATCGATCGATGTACTGCTCTATCCTTCCAATAAAAATTATTAGTAATACTTATTGTACTAAACTGCTCAATAAGATTATGTTTTTGTTAATTGCCGAGCATGCCTACGGAAGTTTATCACTGCTAACAAACAATCAATCATAAGGGAAAACCATTTATTACCTGAAATAATAAATTTGGTGTGAATATCCGCCCATATGCATCACGGGCGTCACAGTTCCATATTATCGGCCTCATCCTCGGAGAATTCACTCATGGAGCTCTCATCGTCATCATCATCCATGTCCTGCCGATCGGGATTATCCCGCTGCTCCTGCAGCCGCAGGGCCTCCTCCGTGGCATAACGCTGTACATATTCACGAATTTTCTTCTTATACTCTTCCGGCTTCTGTAGGAACAGAGCGGCCGCATCACCATTGAGGGGATCACTTGGATTGGGGTAGGTCAGCAGTTGAGGCAAGAAGGTCTCAAAGACATTCAGCAGATCGTACAGCGGCGTCCATGTCTGGTTAATCACATCCAGACACACCGTCCCGCTGCACTCATCAATGTTCGGATGGAAGATCCGGTTCATGAAGCCAATGGACGGAGATTTGAAGGGATACTCATCCGGCAGGAGGACACGGATCTTCCACACGCCGTCTTCATACGGGGTCTCCTTGGGACCGCGGAATTTCACCGAGAAATGATTCAGACCACCCAGGATGTTCACCTCCAGTTTGCTCTCAATCAGCTTGATCACATCCGTATCCAGACGGCGCTTCCCGGCGCTGGGAGACGACATGACGCAGCCTCTAATCAACAACAACATAGCAAATTAGTGCTGAAATTGGAACGCGATCGACCACTACCCTGTTCCGTGAGATATGACAACCACGCCGATGTACCGAATCCCATATCGAGCACATTAAACTGTCGTCATTTTACGTTTTAACGATTAACATAATGCCGCGCAATTAAACCCGTTCCCCGTACGGCTTTGCGTTGTTTACAAAATTACCTGTTTACAGCCTGATGCAACCTTTAACTTTATTGCTAACGTAGAATGAACGCAGACGATTCATCATTCAATAATGAAATTCAGAACCATTACCATGTTTTCGCATATCACAAATTAATTGCAAACTCCTTATTAAAACCGACTTTCCGAACCATTTGCTGGATTATATTTCCAATTAGGACAGGCTTTTATACAAAAATATATAAAAACTGTCTGCTTCTATTTAAAATAATTGTTAAATAAGCGAAAAATGTGAACCAAAAATAGAATTATAAATTTATTACAATCATACTGGAAGAATTAGCGGCTTTAACCTTTATGGTTTATAAAAAATCAATCATGGCGCAAAAGACCAATCCCTGTGCTGATCCCTTGTGTAATTCGATCTTTCTCTCTCTCTCCCTCTCCCTTCTGACTGAACGAGCAGAGGCTGGAAAGAACAGCGAAATCGTGCTATTTTCCAGTTTCCAAATGCAAAGAATATATTTTCCTCTTTTAACTTTCTGGAAGAAATCCTCTAAGAATGCAATCGATGGCACTTTACTTCTAACACGCACACTTACCCCGCAATCCGCACAGCTACAGACTAGAGGATATCGAACCGATTACGTAAACGCGTCCACAAAGGCAAGGCGAATCCACATCCACACCACAACAACGTGGAGGGGGGAAATTCGTATCAGAGCATGGTGGCCGCTTTATAAAGGCAGTCGCGGCACGTCAAGAGCAGCACGGGGAATGGATTGCAGCGGCCACTTGATGAACAACCGTGGTTGACCTCGGATTTGCAAAAACCAGGAAAAAAGGACACGTTTTTACTCTTCAAGCAAGGCAAGGAAAACGAGTGAGCGAGCAGCTACAGCGGAGAGAAAGAGAAGTAGTGATTATACAATCGACGTTTTCAGCGAGTTTGCCAACACCAAACAACACCTAACACGCGTTGTGCGCAGCCAGCATTAACGGAAACCAGTTGACAACATTCGCTCTACAGCACTGTATTTTTAGTGAAACTGGAAATTTCATACTGTACATGCAGCATACACACACAGCAGCCAGCAGCTCGAAAGTGTGCGCGAGATGAGATCACGTGGAGCTCTATTTCCTTGTGCCACGACGGCCTTCAAAACGATAACGAAACCCGTTCATTTGCTGACGAATATCGGTATTGGTCGACGGTCGTTAAATCGGCCAATCAGAGCGCGGATAACTGGATCAAGGCACGCGCTGGGCGGAAGCGGAATGTTTTAAACACTCAGCTGACTCGAGTCGGGAGAAACGATGACATCAGCGATATGTGTTGTGCACAGTTGCCAGCTCGGCTGCGGCGGCAGCTGCCTTGTGTGTGACTGTATAAAAGCCATTGAGCCCATTGCCACTTTGCCAGGACAGCATGACCAATTTTTAAACGGTAAACGCTGGCGAGCATTGGCTGGTGAGCATGCCCTAGACCTGAACAAATAACTCATCAAGATTAATCATCTGCCTATTGTAAACGGGGAAAATACGAATGTGACGAAAACGAATGCTGCATTCTGCTCGCGGGAGAATGCCCTTTTATTCTCAAGGTCGACCAAGGGGAAATGTTATGATGCGAGGGCGAAAATACTGCTTAATGCGAATAATTTTGCAAAAATTGCAATAAAAAATAACTGCAATCGACGAGCCACTAGTAAGCAAAAAATTCAGAAAAATTCACGTGAAAATCAGTAGTTAAAGCTAACGAAAAATAAACAGGAACCAAATATTAGAGAAATACCAGAACGAAAACAAATTTTAAAATTTAAAAAATAAGTTCTCGTACTTATGCAGGGTGAGCGATACTTTGCTTTCAACTTTATATCAACTTCCAGGCCGAATTTCCACATTTTCTTGGCGAAAATATTTTTATTATTTAATTTATTGTCCAACATAGTAATATTTGTAAACCCCAATTCTGTTTTTTGCAATTATCTTTATCTTATTCCGAAGCCGATCAGTTGACTAGACGCATCTGAATGGTGAAGGGCCCAGAACCCCAAGTCACTCCGGAAGTTAATAGCCCTTTCGTTGATATTTTCGGCTTGCTACGCTTCAGTTTGTCGTTGCTGAAACGCCAAACAGAATATTGAAACCGCTTTTCTCTATTAAATTAAATTTTGTAAACAATTAAAATAAGTAGTTTTCGTCGCGAAAATTAATATAATCTCATCTTTATCTCATTATTATTTATGAAGCCCATGTGAATTTAATTGCTTCCAAGCCTTCCTTTATGAGCCATGGCTCAAACCCCAGCCAAGAATCTCGTTATCGTAAGCAGAGTTGAAATAACCCGAAACACGGAAAATATGGAAGTTTTGTTGACATGGGATCTGATTTTATTAGGAGAACGAGGATCTGCCGTTCGAAGAAGAGTGCCTCCGGAATCCGTACGCCTTGAGATCATGGCAGCGGTATATTGAACATAAAAAGAAGAAAGGCATCGTGCCTACTAACGTGATCTACGAAAGAGCTCTCCGACAGCTTCCTGGCAGGTTCGTCGTCTGTTGATCATCCGCTTTCGTCGAAATTCCCCATCAAACCGGTTGCTTTGCAGTTATAAATTATGGTACAATTATCTGCGATCGCGGCAAAAGCAAGTGAAGGGGAAGAGCCCTGCGGATCCTGCTTTAGACGAAGTCAACAATGTTTTCGAGCGATCGCTGGTTTTTATGCACAAAGTAGGTGTTTTTAATTTTATTAATATTTACGTTGCATTTTAAAGGTATGGTGCACTGGTGAGTAGTTTCTCATACTGTACCTTTTGGGATGCTACAGATGCCTCGAATATGGATCGAATACTGCGAGTTCCTGTTAAAACAGCCCAGGATTACACGAACCAGACGAGTTTTTGATCGCGCGTTGCGCTCGCTGCCGGTGACACAGCATGCTCGTATTTGGCCAATTTATTTGCGATTTCTCAAGATGCACAACATTACGGAAACGGCGCTCCGGGTGTACGATCGTTACCTGAAGGTACTTGAAACTGAGCGCTGGTTTATGTTTTTTAACTTTCGCGTTTTGATAAAAATTTTAACAAAGGTGTGGTTTTAGTTAATCGGTACTGTTCTCATTAATTCGGCAAATATTATGTTGCTCGTGCTAAAAAGAAGATACTTGACAGGCTAAAACTGGCCTTTTATAAGTAGATTTCCTTTTTGGCTTGATCGAACGTGAGTTGTTCGTGCTATTGAATATGGCCGTTTGTGTAGTGCACAGGCTTTGCTGTCTAACATGAGGAAGTATTTATGTAACCGGCATTGCTATTTAAAATTATTGTTGAAAAACAGTTAATAGTTTGTGATCATTGCTGTTTTTGTGTTCATGTTTATTATGGACAGTTTTTGGAATGATATATATTGATAAAGCTTCAAGCTCCCTAACCTCGGCATCTTTAAAAGATACAAAAATTTCTCATTTCTTGGGATTCGGGCTTGTTGAAAATGATTTAAAATGAAGAGCTTTATGGAATAATGCTTTATTACTTTGTTTCTTTTGTCATCGTTTTTTGTTTTGTGTAGCTCTGTCCGGATGATGTGGAAGACTACATCAAATATCTGCGTAGTATCGACCGTTTAGACGAATGCGCCGTTCAGATCGTCAAACGGGTGATCAACAATGACCGTTTCCTGTCCAAAGAAGGCAAAACCAAGATTATGTACTGGAATGATCTGTGTGATCTCATCTCCTCCAACCCCAAGGCCATCAAGAGCCTCAACGTGGACGATGTGATCCGCGACGGGATCAGTCGCTTCCCGGAGCAGCGTGGTCGTCTGTGGAACGCCTTGGCGGATTATTACATTCGTGGGGGACAGTTTGAGAAGGCCCGGGATATCTACGAGGAGGCCATTGATACGGTGACGATGGTGCGGGATTTCACGCAGATCTTCGACGCGTATGCGCAGTTTGAGGAGACCACCTTGTCGGCCAAGATGGAAGCGGTAGCGGAAGAGGAGACGGAAGGAAACGAAGAGGATGATGTGGATATTGAGCTGCGGATGGCCCGCTTGGAGATGGTCATTGAGAGGCGACCGGTTCTGATCAACAGGTAAAAAACGAAATGTGGGATGCTGGTTTCTGAACCTTTTTTCGCTGCTGTGATACTGAGTTAACATGTAACAATTCGAAATTTCAAATTTCGACAGTAGAGTTTTATATAGAGTAATACTGCAGTATTGCTGAGGATTGCAGAATAATTTTTTCTAGTTTAGACTGACGTTTTAAATTCATTCTTTGGTTTTTGATTACAGTACCGAATGCGAGCGGTTTTCTTTGCTGATAAGGAATGCAGTGAACAGTTGCATAGTTTGCATAATTTGTAGGAGTACTCGTAGACCGTAGTATGAGGGCATCTAAGCGCGTGCTTGTTTTTGCGGTGTCGTCTAAATAGCCCCTTATGAGTTAATCAATAGTTAGTATGCTTACGAATTGTCTTGTCTTGAATTTTTTTTATTCTGATTTCACTTTCTTCTGCTCACGGTTCGAACTTACTCTATGACGTGTATTTTTGAAAAAATTAAATTTTTAAACTTTTGTATAAGTGCTCGGTTAACAAAATAGTGACGAAAGTAATTAGCTGCGCTGCGTGCTAGTACTGTGACTGCGACAACTGCTGCTCGACCAGTAACACAACAGTTCTCGCAGCTCCGCAAGTGTATTTGAGAGCAATAGATATCTTTCCGTAGTGCAGTGACTTACCTCCCGCCTTATTCGAGCTTTCGCGAAGGTTCGGAAGTCTTACTTACGGCGCAGTTGTTAAATAGTATTTTTGTGGTATTTTTATTGTGATGAATATAGTATGTTCTCAAAAAATTTGAAAAAGTGGAAAAAAAAACCGTTTGATAGAAGAATAATGCACGCATCGTGGTGAGTGATTTTGTCAGCAAGATTTAAAAATCAGATTATGCACCGTTGTGTTTTTGCCGATGCGCTTGTTTTGTGGAGTAGGTATATTCGTACTTGTTTTGCTAATTGTTTGTTGTAGTTTTCTGCAACATATAACGGGGTTTCATTGTAAATGATTTTTGCAGTGTTCTCCTACGTCAGAATCCACATAACGTTGGAGAATGGCATAAAGGAGTCGAGTTATTCAAGGACAAACCTGGGGATGTGATTAAAACGTTTATGGAAGCCGTTAAAACCATTGAACCCAAGAAATCATGTAACGGACGATTTTCATCCATTTGGATTGCTTTTGCGCAGTTCTACGATAAGCACGGCCAACAAGACGACGTAAGCGTGACGCGTTAAGTTTTCTTTTACCTGCGTTATAGTTTAATTTTTATTGATCGATCGGTGAGATTTCCATCCGGTAAATAATCAAAACTAAATCACAAAAAAGTTAAAGAGAAAGCTGCCTAACTGTTCGGTTTGTTTAGGCTCGGATTATTTTCGAAAAAGCGCTGGAGGTGAATTATGACAAGGTGGAGGAACTGGGCGATGTTTGGTGTGCATACGCGGAAATGGAACTGAAACACGAGTAGGATAATGTTGTCTGTCTCTTTTTATGGTGTTGTTGTCGATTCGGTGAAACAGGAAAATTGGCATTCTGTTCTACTTTGCAGTCAACCAAAGCGTGCTATCAAATTGCTGCAGCGGGCCACCACTCCTCCAGCCCGGAAAGCCGGTTTCTATGACGAGAGTGAAACTGTACAGAATCGCATCTATCGATCCCTGAAAATATGGTCTTTTTATGCCGATTTGGAGGAAAGTTTTGGGACTTATGAGGTACGCATTATTGCGCACGGTCGCATTTTACTTCTGTCATTTCATTAATGCCATTAATGAGCGCCCAGTGCAGGTGTAAGAGTGTAGTACTTGTCATCGTAGTTTAACGGCTACAGCGCGCACTGTTACAGTTCGGTCATTTTAGTTGCCCCCGTGTTATGTTCGATATGTAATTTGTTTTGTGATATTATTTTTACGTTAATCAGGGCTTGGTCTTATAATTGTTTTGTAATGTGTGAGATTATACACGTTATGATTATTTACTGACTACTTTTTGTGATTTGTGTTTGTTTAGTATGTTTGTTTATGTTAGCACGGAAGCATTGTTTTTATGTGCTCATGGAAGCATGTTACATAATAACACCTTTGCAATGGAAAATAATTTTTCTAATAATTGCTTCTTTTCTAGACGACCAAAGCTGTCTACGATCGGATAATTGATCTGCGCATTGCTACGCCCCAGATTATCATGAATTACGGCGTGTTTCTGGAGGAAACCAACCATTTTGAGGAAGCTTTCAAGGTGGCGGCAAATATCCAAATTAACTGGATAGAAATTTTTAACCGGTCTTGGCAAACTGGGAGCATTGTGAAATTGTGGTGTTTTTGTAGGCCTACGAAAAAGGTGTCGGATTATTTCGTTGGCCCAACGTATACGACATTTGGAATACGTACCTCAGTAAATTCGTGCAGCGCTATGCCGGCAAGAAATTGGAGCGGACCCGCGATCTCTTTGAACAGTGCCTGCACGACTGCCCGCCGAAATTCGCCAAGCATTTCTATCTGATGTACGCGAAATTGGAGGAGGAACATGGATTGGCACGGCATGCCATGAAGGTGTATGAGCGCGGTTGTACGGCGGTGCTGAAAGAGGAGCAGTATGAAATGTTCAACATCTACATCAAAAAGGCCGCTGAGCTGTACGGGATTACGTCGACACGGGAAATCTACGAGAAGGCCATTGAGAGTCTCCCGGATGATCAGGCGCGAGAGATGTGTATCCGCTTCGCGGATTTGGAGCGGAAGTTAGGGGAGATTGACCGGGCGCGAGCAATTTATGCACATTGTGCACAGATCTGTGATCCACGCGTAAGTAGATAGGTTACTGTAGAAATATTTCTGAACTTAATTTGCATCATCTGCACTGATATGTTTTGTAAGAAAAATAGAGTTTATTATTTTTTCAATAGCCTTAAGAAAGGATTGCATGATTGCTTATTAGAATATAACTGCCGTAATCGTAGTGCAATGGTTCCACAAACGAATAAATTTTGACAGTAAACTTTCAGTTTCTGTCAGGGTGGTAAACCTTGTAAATTATGCTATAATAACTTTTTGTTATGTTTTAAGTCCCATTGGAAATAAAAACATACTAAATGAATGGCTGCACATAAAACTTTTCATCGGTCATTACCTTTTATGAGGTTGAGTGTATAATATTCAAGATTTTCCTTGTGTTATTTGTTGAATTTGTGATGTTATGAAATCTAACCTTACAGCGGTTGATCAGGGAAACCCGCTCGTTTTATTCAGCTTGGCTACGGTAAAATCTGTATATGTTTATCTAGTGTAGACGAGAATTAGTTTCTGTGTGACAAAAGTTGAATTCACGAAGGCGCATGTAAAATTTCGATTTCCAGGTGGCAGCGCATTTTTGGGAAGTATGGAAAGATTTCGAAGTCCGTCACGGTAATGAAGACACTGTGCGCGAAATGCTGAGAATCAAGCGGTCGGTGCAGGCAACCTACAACACCCAAGTGAACTTTATGGCCGCACAAATGATGGCTGCGCTCGGAAAAGGCGTGCAAGGTACAGCAAAAATAATAAATGCTCTTTGATTAATTATTTTGATTATCTAGCTTTTGATAGCAGTTTTTTGTGTGGGCAAGGTTAAATAAGCTGGGTTTTAATTTTGGACTTGTGGAAGTGTATGTACTATGTGTGAAGCGTTAATCTTAGTGTGGTGTATTTGGTGTGCGAACACGCAAATCCGATAGCTTTCCCCGAATTCGATTTCAAATCGGTAGTGTTTGATCGTAAGCGTCCTTTTCCATCCTGATTTTTAGCAAGTATTAAACATTAAGTTTTTGTGTTTGTGTGTTAGAAAATCAACCAGCGGATGACATGAAGCGGTTAGAAGTTCAGGCCGCAGAAAACGGCGCTGCAGTGCCGGTCTCAGCGACAACAGCACCTTCAATAATCCAGAAATCTCCACAGAAAGCCGTTTCCTTCGTACGCAGCGATGAAACCGTACCCGGAACAGCCGGTCAACTGATGCCGGCGGCCAATCCCGAAGAAATCCAACTAGACTTGGATGATGACGACGAGGAAGACGGTGAACAGCCAGCGCAGCGTAAGAAATTTTAACTAATTTGTGACGTGTGCGAGTCTGTTGTAAAGTAGGGTATCTTTCAGGTGTTGTAATTGAACAGCAGAATATTCCCAGCGAAGTATTTGGAACGCTGGCTTCTAAGCGGAAAGCGCCGGATGATGAGGAGTGAGATATTTTTCATTAATGGGATGTAAGGATTTATTTTTTGAGCCTTAAATATTGAAAAATAGTCTTGTTGACCATAGTTCTGCCATTTACTTCCTTGTTTTTATTAGATTGATCATTCGAAGCATACTGTATCTTATTTTTTCAATGCGGCGATGCGTTACTGTTTTTGATGTTTTAGCCCTTCCTATTTATTTGACGGTTTATCTCAGTTTTGCTGTAAAATTTGTAGAGCAGATTGAGTCATCAGTTCAATAAGAAGCAAAAATACCGATATTTAATTCCGCATTTTTGTTGCCGTTCTGGAAGCATAAAATCAGAATTTAATTTTCCTATACATCAGCCAAGAAATACCCACGGTTTAACATAGAAAACGGAAGCCGCTGTGGAGAAATTTGAAATGAAAATCTGTGCGACTAGAAGGAAGATCTAGGACAGTATACACAAAATGTGTGGTCACAAGGCATCCATTGAAGATCACATTACAATCTGTCTACTACTTATTAAAAAACCTAAGTTATTGCAACCTTGCATTTTCCGCATTTGTTGGGAAAATTCGCATTTGGGGAAACAGCAGCAAAACAACAGTCAAATTAGCAAGAAATTCGAACAGTGTACAATTATGTATTACTACAATGCACCGCACTGTAAAAAAAAGGTCACAATCCTGGTCGTCGAAAGAAAGCATACTGATCCGCCAAAAAAGCTCCATTATGTCCATATCACATCACTGACACCCTGTTGCTTGGGTTCATTTTGGCACCTTCGGGACAGGAAAAGGCTCGGCTGAATTCGGGAGAATTCATCAAGGGAACGTTGACACGGAGACGATTCGAATACGACCGGTCCATGAAGGTATCGGCAGTCCGCACGGCGGACGAGCCAGGCGACTCGCACAAACTCTGAAAAACTTCATCGTGTTACTTTCCTGCACCCGTATACAATGCTATACAAGTAGAGTACGTATCGTGCACTTTATCTTAATATTTTGTCATAGTACCGACCTGCGCAAATGAAAGAATAAACTGCATTTCCGGTGTCAGTTGTTGCAGTGACGGTAACCAATGCTCGTCTTTCGCGCCAAATTCTTTGTAAGCCTGTAACAGTAATTAAAGTTATTCGATTATCGTTACCCAGAACAGACAGAATGCCGAAAAAAACAATTTTTTATTACCACTTAAGTTACTGAAACGGTTGCTTAAAATTTTTCGATTTTTGTTTGTTTAGTATTGTTTTCATTTGTATTGGATAGTTAAAAATTTAAAAGCTATTTAATTTTTCCTGATTTTTATTTTGTTTAATAATTAAAACATAATTACGATAGTTACGTACAGTTAATGCCAACTGGAAACCGACATTATCCGCAAAAAGCGCATTCCGATCGACAACAGCGGACAGTGGTCGGTCGGGCGGCGACAGTGACCAGTACTGCGTCCACAGCTGATTGGCCAGATTGCGGTAGGCGTGGTACACATCTGTCGACCACCAGCTGGCCAACTGTCCCGTGGCATTGTAGCGGGAACCTGTTGATCGGCATTTTCAGCGTCATCGGCACTTTTTCGAAGGTGCGGAGATAAAGGCATTATCAAAAATGAGAGAGCCAAGAATTTCCCGTCTTACCGTGCGCATTAAACACTTCGGTCAGAATGTGCCCGTACAGAAAACCGATGCCAGCGAAATTTGAAAAATCTGCTGCATCGGCGGCGAAGATGGGAAACTGTAGCACACCGGCGGATATTCCTATAGAAATCAACCGCAGTCAAATTTTTTATTTGCCAGTAAGACAGCAAAATTATGTCTATAATTCTTTCATAATTCATAGTTATGTACTTCATATGTGTTTTAACAGAGAATCGTAACCTGTTTGAGCAAAGAAATTAACTATTTTTATAAATACACAAATGTACTCCACACAAATCTAATAAATTTGCTGTTTTTCTTGATAAATTAATATATATTATATATCCATCCTGTGTGTTTTTACAATAAATACTGCACATGTTGGTATGAAAATTAATTAGGCGTTTTGGTTCGGAAAAACAATTATCGTGTATGTTTCTCGTTTTTCTTACCGACAATATTTTTCGTGAAATAATAGCGCACGTCGGCGCTAACCGGAGCGGAAATATCATCGGGCGTGTTGTTTGCTGATAATTTCTGCAGCTGCTGAATTAAGGCGAAACGTGATAGAGTAAGCACATTCTGGAAATGCACTTGTGTTATATTGACCTGCAAATTGCGAGAAGGTTGCTGATTATTTAGTAAAACCAAGATGCTTCACTTCTTTCTACGACATATGTATTGCTGCCGAACCTGTTGTAGAAGTATATTAAATGCTCAGCTGAAATTAGCAGTTATGCATGTTTACAAGTAGTGGTTTATGCAAATCGTTATCACATGAACTTATACGTTACGAAAAATCGCATAAAATTTAAACGTACGCCATCCAGACTGTGGTCCAGTGCGGTATCGTTGAGGTTGTAATCCGAAACTCCCAAGTACTGTCTGACAGTATTCAACTTGGTGTTGGCCATGATTTTTGCCGGAACATCCATCCATGTGCTGGCGTTGACATAAACGCTGGCAATATTGTTGATCGTCTCGAAAATGTTTTCTAGCTGAAAAACACACATGTGGTCATGGTGTTGTGTTTTCTGCATGTACGTAGCATGATATTGCTGATATAAGCAGTTCTTCGTATTGCGAATACATATTTTATGTACCGGCAATTAAACAAAACATCGATGCGTTTGTTTATAAGCAATTACTAGAAGCTGCAGAACTCGTTTTTGTATATTTAGCGAATGTGGTTGGATACGCATTACAAGAGAGTGCTTCTATAATTTACGAGTAGTCAGGTTTCTGTAATGTTGGTTAATTTCTGCGGCTTATTGCAAAACTGTATTCTACCATCACAAAAAACATCAGTGCGAAATTCTAAACAAGCAACTAGTACCAGAAGTATAGACAAATCGGTCACAACGTCGGACTCAATTAAACAGTGATTCTAATTATGATTGCAGAGTAATGGCTTATAATTTGCCGCCCGCAGTAAGTTAGCACATAAAAAATATTCAAATTCAGTTAGAGCGGTGACGAATACGATCAGTGGCGTGCAAATATTTTTCAATGAAAAGTAAAATGAATTTAACGTTTTTTAAAAAATTTATCACGTTTAATGATAGCAGCTGCCGAACTAGTTTAATACTAATGTTTATTAACAGTGTGTGACGGTGCGTAGGAAATATTATACGGTGCTTAGTTATCTGTAACGGTGTTACCTACCTTTGGTTTGTAAGTCGAATCCAAGTACGCTTTCGCATACATCCCGGTGACCACATCCGGCAGCGCGACGTTGACATAATCCACGCAATTCTGCCACAGGGGAATCTCCAGACTGGCCGCGCTCATCTTTGTAGCATCTGCAAACCGGCGAAGACTGTCGCGAAAATCCGGCGACAAATTCCGCAGCTGTGTGGAAACAATCAGCCAGCCAATATAATTGGCCAGAATTCGTTTCCCATCCTCTTCCAGTCGTTCCTCCGAAGCCAGTAAATTACTCAAACCGCGAATAAATTGCGGATTCTCCACATTAACGCGTGTATCGGTTCCGATAGAATTTTCTACGTTCAGCTCGTAAAAAACACTCCGAAAAATCCGTAATAAATTTCGCTTTAAATTCGATGCGGTGATATAATTTTGGGTTAATCGAGCCAACGACATGACTATTCCTTTAGTATTATTTCCGGTAAAGGTCACATTGGCTAAGCGTTTTTCAAAATCTATTATATCACGAATCTGTAGTGAACGATCCGTGGAGTCATCCCCCGACAATATTTTCGCGCTGTCACTTATTAATTCCCGGTATGCGGCGCGTATGACGCCGGTGTCGTCCAGATTGTAGGCATCCGGGGATTCTAGACCCAGTACCGCCTGTCCAACATTGATGATATTGGTTGCCGGGTCGGAGGGATTTTCGATGATATTCCACTGAAATAATACGTCGTAACCGTAGGTTTTAGCGGCGATCATGGCGCCGTAGAGATCAAAATGCGAGGCATTCCAGTTGGGAGTGACCAGTGGCCAACCGCCCGTGATGTTGGTCAGAAGGGATTGAATTGTGTTGACCGCAGCAGCGGACGTCTCGTCTGCATCAAATTAAATTTTGTTCATTACAAACTACATAAACGACTCTGCCGCTATTTCTAATATATTTTTACTAATACGCACTTACATAACTGATAAACGTAATTAAGCAATCGTAAAAACTAATTACTCCACCCTAATTCCTTTAATCTTAAGTTGAGGTTAGCAAAAAAAATATTCTACCCTTGATAGTTGCCAGTCTTTTCCTGCCGGAGTGGCGGAGTTACAATGTAGAGCAAGGGCACGATGCGAAATCGGTATGAAGTCACGTCTTATGTGCTTCGTCTTACCTAAATTTACACAGGCATCGTAGACGTTTCTGGTTTTTATTTTTGCCGTGGACTGTGTGCTCTCTCTGCCTTCCAGAATATCTGTAACGTAACATACTATACATATCATAATATCTACTCTATATAATATAAAGAGAAACTTGTGCCAGTTGAAAATAATTAGCAAAATTGAGAATGCAGCAATTTAAATCCGCAATCGCAGCAAAACTGCAGCTGTAAAAGCTTATGATTATAAAAAAATGTTATAATTAACTAGTGTATATGGCTTTATGTATTAATTTTCGACAATATTAAATCGGTAAATTTACCGCGTAATCTGTCTCTGAGATTATTTTTAATAATGGTGAGAACATTTCTCCCGTCGGCATCGATCCCCATGGCCGACGGCACGAAACTTCCACAGGCAAACTGATAGAAATCATCGCATGGATCGACACTTTTATTGAGACTGTTCGCTGCCAGCTCAGCTGAAAAATAAAAAAGGCAAGATGAACACATTCTGTCTGTAGTCGCGGGAAAAGATCAACAATAAGACGGCGCATTCTGTATTCCTAACCGATTGTACGTGTAATTGATATTATTGTCCGATTGATCACCGAAAATAAATCCGAGTAAACAAATAAAATAGCACGTGCACCGCTGTGGATGCTTTGCACAACATGTATTACAACATCGACAAGCACTTTGCTAGAGCAAAAATCAACACACTGATTAACAATCCTGGCTGAAATGTTTGCCTACAGTCTACATGCGCCATTGTCGTCGTAAGTACCTGCTTAAAACGCTTTCAACCAGATTTTTATGATTTTGCGGTTTTATATATATATTTTATTTTATATATATATATATTTATATATATATATATATATATATATATAAGAATAAGCATTTCTATGAATAAACATTCGGAAATAGTAATTGTAGACCGATGCTATCGTAAAAAAAGTTCCGGCGTTAAAGTGTTCGATTTTGATGTAATTATTTTCTTCAGATTTCGATTGCAAATTGTAATCATCCAAACACGTAATAAGGTACTAATCGTAAAAACAATTTCAACTTTGGCCATAAAAACCCGTTTTTATGGTTACAATACCCGGAAAGACAAAAGGTACAACTGATGCAATTGTACGTAAAAAAGGGGGGTTTTGGGCGTTAAAATGCTAAACAGATTTTTCATGGCAATTATGTTTTTCGGTTAGCAAGATTTCGCGCATAGAGACCATATATGTATATGCAAGTATTAGCGTACTAAAAACAATAAATGTAATTTCACCTTGAATAAATCGTATAAGAAAGTTAAACATGTATGTGCATGCACGAAAGACAAACTAAATCAGCGCTTTTGCGATTTTGTTTCAGGAGTATAAATACCTCGTAAAATGCACTGCGACGTTTTTTTCGTGCTGTGGTTAATTTAATTAGGAGGTCAACAATCGAATCGCACAAGACGCGGTATGGATTATAAACCAAACATACAAATATTAATGTCATTGTTATCAGGCATATTTACAATTATTTCGTCGAATAAACTTACCGTATTTCTGGCAGATGTTACTCTGACATTCTTCCCTTCCGGCAGCTGACGTAGGTGCCGGAAAACGGCTGATATTAAGTGAGCTGGAACTGGTTACCGGTATAACCGCGGTGGTAACCGGAATTGTGGTGACGACAAATCCGGTAGCGTTGGCCTTTGCGGTGGTGTTGATGTATTCCTGAACGTAGGGATACGTGGTTGTTGTCTGGACTTCACCCCATTGGTCAAAACTTTTATCCACAGCATTGCTGTCAGTGAATATCATATTAGGAGCTGTAATCATGCAACAGTTTTTGAGGGAACGTTAAGAGATAGTTGTCTAGTATAATGGATCATTTGTAGACGCGAAACAACCTACGGTATCATTATGAATTTTGTAAAACTCGGCGCACCATACAACAGCCAGGAAGTAGACTTCCAGTTAGCAGAAACGTTTCAATATGTTAAACAAGTAGTACTACAGAAAGGGGAAATTGTTTTTAATAATTATGAAAAGTGATCATATCAAAAATTACTGCATGGGTAGAATTATTATTGAGCACTTTTAAAAAACTAAACGGTTTACTGGTAGGCATTTTCAACTATAGTTTGCCAAAGCAACCATAATCGGAAATCTGCATGGAAAACGAGCCGTCCCATTTTGGCCACTATACTACAACTCTCCACTATTTGTAGGTATGCAAAATAACATCAAAAATAAAGAAATAATAGCTCTGCAATTAAACGATACAAATACCTTACAGTGCTTACACACCATTGTTTATCGCTTTAAAGCGCAGTATTTTTATTTATTTGTTCTTTATTCCATATATTTTCAAGTATGCTAATTTATTTTTATGATACCGGTATTAGAAATTTCTGTTGTTTTAACTTCTATATTTCCACTTACTGAGCGCCTGGAAAATGGATAGGAGAATCGCAATTAATTTATTAAGAATATCCCCAAAATCGGCCATCTAACCGGGTGGTAAAACTACAGGTGCAGATAGCAAGATGACCGTGACGGACATCTGGACAAACAAGGATATCCCGCGCATATACACAATAATCACATCGCACCGCTACAATTCGGTCATCAAATGAAAACCGCTTCACACGCACTCAGCTGACCACCTCACACACTCACAGGCGCGCGTAGTGTTTTGACGATCACCCAGCATAAAGACGATTCTGCATATTAATAAGCAGCGGAAGAAAATGCCGAGTGTTGACAATGGACGCTAGGATAAATAGTTTACACAGTCTCAAATTCTGTCCCGTTAAAATCGGCGCCGTATATAACATGGAGGTAGGTACTTGGCGCTGTGCCGGAAATATCTTTTTTTATCACCTGTATTGCAGTCTTTCGCTCTGGTTCCGCAGCTGTGGAGAGAACAGCAATTGTGCCGGTGTCAGCATGTTTTACGCGTATTAGCCAATTGCTAACCGGCAAATATTTATCACCTTCCGAACAGTCAGTGCACACAGTACACTTCAGCCTGCCGGCGGAGAAAAAGAAGGCTTGCCGACTTTGTTGTAATTCAATCGACTTTTCCATCACTTTAAGAAGGCATGCAGATTGTAATGTGCAATTATTACGTAAAACGACACCGAACAATAGGATCAGTATGCAACGGTTTGAAGCCGGCCATGATTTTAGCATGAAACGTTGCAGTGAAGTGGCAATTGCACGCTGCCCTTAATCCAGGTTTCCGCTGGTAACAGTCGCAACTTTATAGTAAAATCTACATATAGGATTTATGGAATTTTTTCCTCGTGTGACGCGATACTGTTAAACCTATTTCGAATTTAACTTAATTTTTTTGAATTTTATTAATTTTTTAATCTTATTTTTAGTTCACATACAGCGTACTCTTCATATTTTCTTCATTTCTCGTAAATTTTCACTATATTTCAGTTGTTATTGATATTTTCACGAACTGGTTTTTTCATTTTAGAAGATTTTAATTTACACAGTTAAGAAACAATTCGGTGTCGAATTATCTTCTAGTGCTTTCTTCGAATTTGGGTTATCGGTAATTCTAAAATATTGCCTATCACCCATTGCTTTATAAAGTATTAATTATTTATTATTTATTTAGTTTAGCGATCAGTTTTATTAATAATTAATTTAGTAATCAATTAATAAAGAAATAATGTTGGCATAAGCAAATATAATTAATTTGACTGATAATAATCTTATCAGTAAATATTGTTTAATATTTTTTGCAGGTCAAAGCGGAACATGTGCAAAACGATGCCCTTTACACAACACTGAATCAGCGCTTTCCCGACCACGATGTTGTCTACATGAAAAGCGACGACCTCAAACAGCTTACCCTGGAGATTGCTAGTAACTGAATTTGATTTCGAAGCATTAGCCCACGTTCATATTCGACGCTGTTATAATTAGTTATCCACTGCCATCAGTCTTTGATCGACAGTTTTAGCATATTCGTTCCTTTGCGGACAACGAACAACATTCACGGACTGTTCCGTATAACCACTAAAGATTATTACAGTACTTCTTACCTTATTGTTAGCCGTTAAAATCAGCATTCTCCGTGGCAGACATCCGGTCAGAAGACGTGAATATTATAGCGCAATAAACCCCCAACGGCAGAATGCAAAATTCACAGGTATTTCATCATTAAACCATATCCATAAACTATAACCGCCGAATAAAAGTGAACGGTTTACGATCGACTTCCGAAAACCGGTTCGAATAGTTCCGCCCATGCACGAGTTATAATTTTCATTTTGTGACTTCCAGAAAAAAATATCACTGACGGCGTTTTAAAGTGTTCTGCAGATCGTGATGCACAAAAACAAATTCAGAAGATATCTGTACTGGTGAGAAATAATAGGATACCTTTTTGATTTTCGGTAGCCGGTCAAAGGGCGTTGAAGCAAAAACCGACTGTAATTTTATTTATTCTCAGCGATGCGATACACCAGGCATGCAAGGTTTGTCTGAACCTGAATTTATGAACGGTATGTGCAAAAGAAGTAGTGTAAAGGTTCAGCCATGGAACTGACTTCATCCTTCTTAGATTAATGAGCAACCAGTTAATTAATAACGGAAATGCGAAAATTTCGTTTTTTTTAATTATTAAGCCGCAGATCTCACGCTGCGACATCGCCGAGAAACTGTTTTATTTGATGCACACAAATAAATCTTTAAAGCAAGTGCATATAGCGATGCAGCACCATACGGGCCATAATGAAAAACAATTCAAACCAAGCGCAAAAATTTCTTCACCATAAATAAATTACTATTAAAACAGAAAAATTTTCCAATTCCACCACAAACCGAAATCACACTAATACATTAGAACAGTAAAATTTTCTCCAGTTACACAGGATACTGATCAGTAAATGCTCACACAGGTCCCCAATTAACCACTTTAAAACAAAACAAGAACCTCTTTTTTTCACTTCGAAATCTCACAACAACGCCCACTCCCCCATCCGCCACATGACGGCACACAGCGTCATGGGACTGACGTTCATCCGGACGTTATCGTGCGGAAAGAACCGCCCGACCACATCGCGATACCCGCGTCCCACACTGACCAGCCGGGCACCGTCCGGACTCTTTAAAACGCCCAGCCCCACCACCCGGTCGACGTGCGGTCGGATGATGGTCAGCGGGGCCAGGGTGTCGCCCTTGACGATAATAAGGCTGCCCCACACCGTCCCCACATACACCAGTCCCTCCCAGTATGTCATACAGCATAAAGTGCGTTTGGTCTCGTCCCGCTGCGTCTCCTCAATCACAATGGAGTTCAGGCTCTCCGACACCGGAATCAACCGATCACAGTCCAGTTTGTGCACGATGCGCGGCTTCAGCAGCGCCCAACAGAACAAGGTAGCATCTGCAAATATATAATGAATTTTTAAGATCAGGTTTATTGCATCTAAATTTTGCTTACAGCAATCGAAAGGTATCTATCTCTATTTCAAAAATATTTAAGCGGAATCCCATTATTATCTTGATGTTGTTTAAATAAAAAAACCACTTGTCATGATTTCCAGCTGCTTTCGCCGCGGATTTTTTAATTTCGTTATTCTACTAAATCTATTTTGATAGGAGACGACAAGAGTTATGCCCACTTGTATAACAGAACGTACTGCGAGGGCGAATGATTCTCAAATCCCTTCCGCTTACGAAGTTACCTTGCAAGCCAAACGTCAATAAAAGAAACTGCAGTTATGAGTTAATTTTTCCTAGTTTTTGTATACGTGTTGATAAACGCTTTCGAATCTTCAGTAACTCGGCTAACTGACGGCTCGGGTAACTGTTTGCCTTAGCTGGGATGGACAGAGGAAAATCAGGAAATATCGCTGGATATTACAATATTAAATACAGAATATGACTGGATGCAAATGCAGAATATTAACCAGGCAGATATTTCAGCGGCATTATACAAACAACCACAACTCGCTAGATTACCGTCTTCCAGATACGTCCACGCCAGACCCTCTTTCCAGTTGGCCATCACATCGGCCACCTTCTTCTCCCCACTGACATGGTCCACAATGCAGTCTTCCGCAATGCCTTCATCCCGAACATTGATGATCATCATCTGTCCCGATTCCCCACCGCCGACTACCATATCCTTCCCGGCGGCACATAAGCAGTTCAACCGCAGCGTTACCGAACAAAACGCTTCCACCAGTTTATTCTTCCGCAGCGAGGCATGGACGTTCATAACCAAAAGCCGTTTGGACGCCAAGGATATGACCACACGTTGACGATCGGGAACGTACACCCAGGCGTCGATGTCAGCCTCTTGCAATGGTCCACCAAAGGATATCCGGAATGTCTCGGTTAAATCCAATGTTTTCGCACTACAACGAAAAAAATATTGACCATACGTGACTCGTACAAAACATACACATTATCCACAACAACCATCCTGTTTTTATTAAATACATATCGACATTATAAAAAATTCGGATGTTTACACTTTTTCGATGTTTTTAAAATGAAAATATGTTTTAACAATTTTTAAACAAATGTGAAAATAAAAATTTAGTTTAAAACAATTCAAAACATAATTTAGAACGTGAAAATGTTATATTTTTCACACGGCAACAGCCGCCGCTCACCAGAATACTGAAACATCTTTCCCGCGTAAAACCCATACAAATTCGTGTGTGACAAGGCAATTCGTCACGGCATCCGATGACGGCAACGATGTCGTCTGCAACAACATTTTTCGACTAACAAAAATATCAAACGAAAATATTCCGTTCATTTACCTTGCAATCCAGCCACTTGTATCCCGTCGCCGAAACGATATTAACACTCCCATCGGCCAGCACGATGCCCACCCCATCCGGCACACTGACAACGCCCCCGACGGCAATATTCAGGCTGACATCCTCCAACACGGCCACATCCTGCAGATGGCCATACTCTGGTGTATTGCAGATGGATAAAGCTTGGCTGGCGGTCGGACGATCCCGTGACAGCTGTGACCAGGCCACCACCAACAAATCCAACATCAGCGAGGGATACTGCAGCGTCCAGGCCACCACGGCCGGCCGTCCACCGTCCAGGACAAAGTCCTTGATCTGATCTTGCCCTTCGAATGGCTGATGAAGGGTAAGCAGCTCATACATCAGCATACCAAAGGAGAAGATGTCAACCTGTATGACACCCAGAATTAACGTTGTACAATGTTTTGTAGTGTAAGTAAGGGATGGTAGATTGTTGCCAGCTGCCGAACTGGTATGTTCCTGTCGTCAAAAGTTAGCAAAATACTAAGAAACCCAGTTTCTTACTGCGGAAAATCGTTTATATTTTTTAATCAAAGAAAGTGTGATTCAGCATAGAGTGTCATTCTTTGTTTTTATAGCAGATTAACCAAGACAGGTTAACTACAATAATTAGTAAGATTGGGTGCATGTTAAACATACCCCGAGAAAGCTTCGCCACTCACCCCTTCATTATACTCCTCTTCACCTCCATACTGAATAATTTCCGGTGCAATATACGCTTCAGTTCCGGCAAAACCTTTAGTTGTACTGGCCGCTGTCACCACTCGAGAAATGCCATAATCCGTTAACTTTACCAACACTTTCTTATCCAAACTCCATACAAGAACATTATCAGACTTCAAATCCCTGGAAAGAATATTGTCGACTCTGCAATGCCACCAAGCATCTGCTTACAGTCACGGTTTATATTTTACCGGTAAATTATCCTAAATCCGTGCAGATATTCCAGCGCTTTCGTGATCTGTATGCAGATCATCTGCACCGTCAATGCCGGCATCTGTTCGTTATTTTGCCGGAGACTTTTCACATGATCCAACAAGGAGCCTTTCGGTGCCAACTGCAGCACGATGCCCAACGGCTGCAGACACAATCCCACCAATCCTACAATGTGATGATGACTCAAAGTGGTCAAAATGGACAACTCCTGGCGAGCAGTCCAATATGCTTTGCAGTAGGACTGAACCGGTTCGTGTTCCCACTGCTGCATGACACTCTTGTAGGCACTGACCACGGACGCTTCGGCGTTGAAGCCGGGATCCACGGGAAGGAGCATCTTGATGGCGACATCCTGGGAAACACGGTTGGCCTGCAAAACCCGCCAAAACATTTATCAAACACGTCGAACAATGTGAACGGTGGCAGTATCCACAAAGACAGGAAAAATCGCACACAAATCATGGGCATAAGCAATGAATAAATATTATACATACTTTTATAAAACATTTGTAAAAAGATGCGCCTGATGCGGAACATTTTCAAATGATTTATTATGGTGTGATAATATCACTTAAAATTGCAAGGAATGGGTTTGGGATACCATTGCATTACGCTAACCCGTACAGTTGCTTTGCACGAGGTATGTTTTCGTTGGTATTTTCGAGAAGGTAGTTTTAACAGCAACGCCAAATTTAATAACCCCCAACGAAAAACGGATTTAGGTCTCTGCATCTTTTTCTTGGATATGCATTTTAACAGGCCAGAACAGATTTACTGGCAGTCTCCAGTGCGATAACACCAGCCAAGCTATCCTTACATTTGGTTTAACCGTGGCGCGGTATACGAATCCAAATGCTCCCCTTCCCAATATCCGGCCGCGCTTCAAATCACCAGGAAACATCAGTTTATCCGGAGGCAGATCCAGAAACATGGTTTCTGGAGCAATATCGGCTATCTTCACGTTCCCATGCTCCGCACAGACCACTTCCAGGCATCCCGTTACACTTTTGTAGATAATCTGTAAACGTGCACAGCACAGCACAAGTAAGCCATCAATAAAATAAATACACCGACGCCAAGTTATTACCCGTTCAACAGAAAATCTTTACACAACTTACTGAAAAATAAATTACCAAAACAACAAATTCCAGCTTGAGGTTTCAACGGTAAATGTCCACACAACCCAATAAAAAATGACTTACCAAAAAAATTACGAAAATAAATTCCACTTCACAGTCTTTACTCATAGAATATCGACACGACTCAAACCAAAATAAATTACCAAAAAACAATGTCAGAATGCCACTACTAAGCAAAATAATTTACAGGAAAAAAACATTCCAGTTCAAAGTTAGTATCACCTGTTCGACAGAAAACGCCCGCACAACTTTCTCACTCTCCACATCCGCTTGTCCTTTCCACGCCGCGACGCACTGCGGACACGGAATGAATTTGGTCACCAAATACTGTCCCGTCGATGTATGGATGAACCGCGTTCCCAAACTGGGATACCAGTCTTCCAGCAGTGAATCAATGTGATTGACACAGCGGTTTAGCAGCATGGACACACTGGGCAGATTGGTGATGACCATGTCGTTCTTGCGGTACACCAACAGTGAGATCTCCATCACCGCCTTGTTATCCAAATGCAGGTGCTTCCACGATGTCTCCCGGTCATGACACAAATGGACGAACGGCAAGAAGGATCTCGATGACGGGATTTCGCGGATGCGCAGGACGGAATGATCGCCGTAGCACAATTCCATAGCGTTCTGCCAGCACAGCCATTCCACCGTAAGGTTGGACTGGTTTTCGTCTAAATAATAGTTCCGCACATCGCGAAAGAATTTCTCATCGGATACCAGACGGGATATCAAGCGGGCCCAAAATCCACTGGGAAAGTATAACATAGTGTAGTACCTGCAAGGGTAGTACCTGTAATTATTTAAGGGCAATCTAATCATATCGATAGCGTGGTGACAAACTAGCAACCAAATGCATAAGCACTACTCGTACAAAAAATCGAACACTTTCAACAGACTATCAAAATGATTATTTTTAATCCGTTTAAAAGTTGATCAAATTAAGAAATCAAAAAAATTATGGTTACGCAGTCTTAAATAACTTTTCTGTGATTTCATCGTTATGAAAAGCTTTAAAGCTAAATCACCAGCTTTTAATAAACAATGCAATAGCGAAGCCAGCCGCGTTGAGACGATTAGTAAGAATGTGTCGAGCCATCGAACTACGGTTTCCACCAACAATTTGACCATCAGCATATTTCATACCTTCGAATCTGCAGGCCCTTATCAACCGTCACTCCTTCCACTTTCACCGGTGGTTCCTCCGGGCTATCCAAAAACGGCTTAAAATGGATCCAATTCCGACCTGAACTCTTAATTTCAATCTTTAGCGGCACGTCCCGATCCCCATTAGCGCGACTTTTTACCGGCAATAAACATGGTATCAATAGCGTCCGAGCGTCCAATTTCAAAGCCACCTCGAATTTATTCAGCAGACTAAGGATGTACGTATGCACATCCACCAACGCGTATTTGGATGGTTTGAACAGCACTTTCAAATCGTCGATTTTCATGACACCTTTCCTGACAAAGGGATTAATTTCCCGAATGGTGATAACGGTGGCCAGCGTATCGCACAACCATTGCGGATCGATGAAGTATAAATCGCGCAGACCGGAACTGTCTTCATAGTGAAGGAGAATTCCATTATCATGCAGAAACATCACAGCCTGACGCAGTTCCGAGGAATCGCGAAATGTCATACTGAAGCGCTAAAGAACGAACCATATGCAAAAGCCGACAGCAATTTTATCCCGTAAAAGATATCCAATACGATATTTTCACATTATTAAAAAGATTCATCATTTTAAATCAAATCATGAAGTCGATAATACGCAACGAAATGCTCAAGCTCGCCAAACAGAAAAGTCCTATTCGATCAGCCATGCAGCCGTTAAACTACGTTCCTGCAGCAGTTTACGTGAGCGCCGTCAACAGGCTTTCGTTCTGCTACGGTGCTACCTCTGAATTCCGTTTTCCAGTTAATGTAAAAGGTTTTAATTTTCGAAACAATATATAAATAAAAGGGGAAAATCAAACACGTTTACTAAAGTAATTAATAAAAATCGGCAGAAATTAAAAAATCTTTTAATCGCTGGTAATGTTACACGCATCACAAAATAAAAAATTCATTATTAAACCAAAAACGGCACAACATGATTACCTCGTGCAGTTCATGTGCCACAATTGCTCTGAAATATTCCGTGCTGACCACGGGATGCTGGCCACTTTCGCGATATTCAAACGCCAAGGCCGACACCAAATCCTCAAGAGCGATATAAATGGCCGGAATCTGTTGTTCCATTAAACGTTTATTCGTCCCCGGTTGCCGTAGATCCCACGCTGTCTCCACAATAATCTTGGCCAACTGGGAAACATTCTGCTTTGTTTTACAGCTGATCTCCACGCAATTAACTACCCGCGGTAGACCATGCTTGTCGGCATCAATGACACCCATGAAGCGCTGTCGGACCTCGCTTTTCAGATTCTCCACGTGTCCGGGAGAAAACTTGGCGCCTTTCACTTCATCCAAATGGGTGCCGACAATGATTACGGGCGAACTGGGGGCACGTGCCTAAATCGGTCATATCATATCATAAAGAAAAAAATAACCAAGGAAAAAATATTAAAAATACAATAAAAAATTAGAAAAAGAGATGAGAATATAACTTTTTATCGTGCTATGAGATTAATTTTTAAGATAGTCCGGCAATAATCATTTCTTATACGTTTTGCGCACCTGGATATTAACGAGCCACTGAGTAACTTCGTTGATTCCACTAATCCCATCTAACATATTCCAGACAACCAGGTATAGCGACCGTCGGGAGAGAAAATATTGATGTGTCGCGTAATACTCCCGTTGGCCGGCAAAATCCCACGTTCGAAACGTCACTTCATGTTGACCATCACTGCAGGTCCATTCGCCTAGATCGATACCCACCGTGGACATCTGTATACCACCTTTCCGATCACCTCGGTGGCCCATTCGCTGCGTCCAGTTCGACTCACTGGATCGCGATTTCCGGTGCGATTCTTCGGATTTCAACGCTCGCAATAAACTGGTCTTTCCTTTGTTTTCTAATCCTACCACCTACGTAATAATTAAGCACCATAAAAACAAAACATGGTGCCGTTTGAAATCTGCTACGGAATCAAATTACAGCAATAAATGTGTAGCAGAAAATATTAATGAAACTGCATGCAATTAACTACAGAAATGGATTAACGAGAAACCAAAGTTTAATGTGTAAAATACGAGTCAACGTGAAACTGAGTCTACAGAAAAACTGAGCTACAGAAAAAAAGTAGGAATAATAAATCAATTTTTGAAAGTTTACGATCAACCAAGAAATTAAATAAAAATTACAATGATGCAGAAGATAACACACTAATTTACGGTATACAGAGCAGAAAGTTACCATCAATTTCATTCGGGTATATGGCTGACAGTTTTCCAGCAGAGATTTGAGATAACCCAGGATATCTGCACTTTTATACTGCTTGCTCTCGAACATGGATTTTAACGGATCCGCTAAATTGCATCCATTAGCATTAAGCGTCCACAACTTCGAAAGCAATCCCAACTGTGGTGGAATATCGGCAATATCCCGATTTCCCTCGAAATTCAACACGGAAAGATTGGTCATATTCGACAAGGCTTCCGGCAATTCGAACAACTTATTGTCGCTCAAATCCAGTACTGACAGATTAGGATACAAAAGGGATGTACCGGAACTGGAAAAGTTATCCTAAAAGGCAGTTAGTTATCAACTTCACTGACAGCAAAAGCTGTTCTGGCTTAAAAATATAAAATTACATATAATAACACCTACCAAAAGACCACCAGATCCTGATGAGGATCGGCTGCCACGTTTCACAGGCGGGCCACCGGCCACTTCGAACTCCATTAACCGGTTTTTGGCTACTGTTAGAGTCCGCAGATTTTCCAATTTCCAGTGTTTCCGGTGGGTGCATGTTACGTCACTCAACAATGAAACTGAAAGGGAACCGCATATTAATTTCCACACAATTAGATATACAATGGTGAACGTTAACAGCCTTTAAAACACAGAAAAACAACTCAAAATTCTCGAAACTGAAACGCCGATGAGTTTTAATCAGTACTTGTATAGCTGTGTTACTATTTTCTTACAAATCAAACACATACTTTGTTACATCATTTTGATACTAGTGTTCGTTATCTGTTTAATGTCTGTAGAATATTATAATTTGGAGAAGCGAAGACTCCGCCGACTTACCGACGCGTTTGCCTTTGTGCCAGCTGCTGTCCTCGAAGTAACAAACATTATCCATTTCATCCGCAGTTCCTGGACGTAGTGACACTTCCAGATGGTTATTCGATGCATCCAAATGTTTCAAACCAGCTGGATAATCTTGAATAATACCCATTGTTTCTAAAGCATTGCCGGACACTACTAGCTTGGCCAGGTTGGGCGCCAAACAACATAGTCCCAACGGAATACTGGACAATGCGTTATGTGCCAGATTCAAAATCTACAAGATTACAAACTTACGAAGTACGCTGATGCGAAGCATTGTAACAAAATTATAAACGTAAAAAAATAATTCGAACAGCAGTCACCAAAGCCAAAGAGTGTCGAGGCTACTACAATCCCGTCCCGAAATACAACATCTAGTGTGCATTGAGCGTTATATTGGACTAAAGAATGCTATGCACTACACTACATCAATCGCAACGACAAACTGCGCTCTGCACTCTGCAGTAAGATCGTCAATAAAAGGAGGAATTCCGCCCAGCTACCATCCATCAAGCGATTTCGGGTTATTCTCATTACAACATTACTTAACATTACTCACCAGGGGGCGGCCATGACAAATGTACGTATGTACCGAGTACCAACAAACGAGTAAACAATGTGGCGCAGCGCCCGTAGTATGCAATTCGCCGTAATCCATAAATTTGTATTTTTCCTTGTGCTAAATGTCCTGATGGGACTGCATTATTCGTACTACGAAACTGAGCGAAACACTTGCTGCACAGTTATAATAAATAATAATAAATAATAATTAATGATAATTCAAAAAGAGTGGAAACATGCTGCTGAAAATTTGTAAATTAACGGAACTTAAGTTAACCCACCTTTAATGCCAATTCCTGCTTGTCGCTGCGCACTTCGACACTTTTTACCGCCTCGACAATTAGCCGTGAACTCCATAAATTATTGCGATGCACGGGTTGAACCATCACAGCCGGCGACAAGGAAGAATCATTTAAACTAGCATCGGACGACAATCTTTCCATGATGGAGGTGGACCGTTCCGCAAAGGGCAGAGATTTGTCGGATTTAATCGGCAGCGCTTCCAGCATATTATTGCTCAAATTCAGATCTTTCAACGCGGGCGCCTGCCACATCGCAAAGGGCAGCGTGGTAATGGAATTGTGGGAGAGATCCAGGTGGGAAAGGGACGGGAAGTAGAAGAGATCATCAGGAGCAACGGTCAGATCATTGTGGGAGAGATTCACATCCTGGAAAAAAATACTAGTGAACTTTCCAAACAAATCAGCAGTCAAAATACAAACTACTAAAAACTTCCGCCACTTACGAGAAGTTTACCAAGAAATCTGTTCTGCGGTAGTTATCTGGAGGTTGTATCAGTCGAACAAAATACGAGAAAAACTAACAGTAACAGAAAAACTAACAGTAACTAGAAAAACAGTAATAGTAACGAAAAAAACTCGTATGAGAAAAACTAACAGTGACAGCAAGTATTCTACTTTTCTATTTTTTCCCATTTCGTGGCTTGCAAGAGGAAGTCGTTGTACTTGGGGCTTAAGCCACTAAACAACGGGCGCGCTGGATCTGTTTTTCCAGTTACGGTCGCCATTTTACAGGTAGCGGCGCGATATTCTGCCATTTCTCACAGAAAAGAAAGATAATTTTTATTTTACTTTGCCTACCTGTAACACGGGGCACTGGCAAGCGGAAGAATTTCTACACAGATCCAAGGGCTGAAAGCGGCAGATGCGATTATTCGATGCATTAAGGGTGCGTAAACTCTGCAGACGAAAGACACAAGTAGGCAGTTCCTCTATATCACCATAGGAGACATCCAGTTTAGTAATGGCAAATAGCCCCATCCGTCCAACAATCTTCGGGTTCAGGGCGATGGCTGAATGCAGTAACCACGCCTCATCAAAACGATCCAGTCCGGTGGCATTCTGCCATATAATGGCCACGGGGACGGTGGGAAAAATCGTGCTGTACGTCATGGCACCGCTCGCGCCCGATAGCGGCTTGATGCCTTTCGCGGAAGCCAGCTCCATGAGCTTCTTGTTAATCTTAAATTCCGTGTCTAAAGTTGAGAGTAAAAAATTTAAATGCAACAACGTGATTTACAGACAACGTTTAAATATAACGCAGACGGGCTTGAACGTGCCTTTACACTACGATAATCACTTTCATACTTATGATTCCCAATAGTTCCCAATCAGTGAAACTGACTACATACACGATATTCCATATAAGTGAATAAACTTTCCAAAACCAAATATTTGATGATCGAAAGGCATACCTCGATGCGCATGGAGTGCCAACATTTTCACGAGTAACGCAGTTTCCACATCGGTTTTCGCCGCGGTACTTAGTGCACAACAGCCTTTGTCTTCTGCTTTCGCAGCCATCAATACCTCCGCCATATTTGTATCACAGTTCCTCACAGCAGCCGCCAGTACGTTGGTTTTTTGTACCGGATTTCCAACATTCAGCGCAAGGTTGGGATCAGCGCCTCGCTCCAACAGCAGTTTCACTATCGCGCTGTGCTTCGCCTTTATAGCCGCATACAGAGCGGTTTCGCCATTGTAGTTGACCAGATCCAAGTGTAACGGACTAAAATCTTTGGTTTCCCCTAAAATAAATTTAGAGTAATAAACCAGTAAAGATTTTATTTTCCTAACTACGTCCCAGCTATTGTAAACACTTAACTGTGACACATTTTCATTCACCGCTTAGAACTATGACAGTCCAACGCAAAAACAAGTACCAAGATCATTTACATACAGATACCTGATTAAATTTATAAACATAAGATGAAACATGCAAGTGTCAGCATACTCATAGAGACATACATAGACAATATCCACTGTGCCCGCGCGCGGCAATAATGACTACTCTTGCAGATGAAATCTGCATTTACAATAAGCACAAATCGGATTACGATGAAGAACTGATTCACCACACAGAATACAACAAAATTGCATAAATTCCCGTAAGCGGCGTAATAATCATAAAGATTACTTACTAGATTATTTACTTACAGTCATTAATAACCTTGTACTTTTAAGCGCCGTCAAAATAATACGTAACGGCTTCAGGTAGGGTGGTTGGTCCATCGGCACTAACAATTTCTAACCTTTTTCGTTCCATGCTGGGACTTTTTTGGCGATCAGCTGCTCTACCAGCCGTATATTTCCGGTTTCCACTGCGAGGTACAGCGGGCTCTGATTATCGGCAGTCAGGGCGTTGATATCGAATCCCATCCGGTAATTCCAAGTCATCGATATATCCAGATAGGGCTGCATAATGTCATCCGGCAGCGGGCTGTTCAGTAGCAGATCCACTATAGACCGATGCTGCAAGTTAATGGCAACATGCAGGGGTAACCATCCAAGACCGTTGGGTTTCGACACCAGTCCAGGAGCACGCTGTTGGAAATGAAGGTGTTCACACTTTACAGCCACCTCAACTCACAAGCACTGTCAGCAGTGTCTTGTGAAATCATTACATATGTATTTTACAAGACATTGTTGAAGATGCCGCGGTTATGACTGGTAAATTCGCATCTCTTTCTTTGTCAGTAAGCAGATGAAAATTAAGAATAACAGAAAACCATCACGCAAAATGTAGATAAACCAAAATCTTAATCAGAATTTTTAAAGACACAGATGGTGGGATGGAGATACTAATTTTGGTACACGGTGGATTAATACGATGCGCAAGATGCTCAACCATCAATGCAGGCACGTGCACTGCTACCTCAATCAGCATCTCCGCTATGTCGGAATTCCCACGAAAAACTGCTTCATACAAAGCAGACCCTTCCGCTGTTTCAATATTCGCATCGGCACCGCTTTTCAGGAGCAGTTTTACCACTTCCGCGTTATTCTTCATAACAGCCCTACAACAGTACATTTCTCAAAAACGACCAACACTTACAGCATTTAACTAAACACTCTATACAGACTCCGCAGACAAATATAAATTGAAAAACTGAATAACAATATCGGAATTAAACATTTTTCTACTGTTAATCAATATATGGAATTAAAACTGATAATCAGAACCGAAAAAACGAAACCAACCTGGTCAACAATGGTACACCGTCAACTACAATCGAATTCACGAGGGTGGACGAATCGGACTTTGTGGCTTCCAAAATCGTTTCCATCCTTATAATGTCATCACGACCAAAGGCTTCCAGAAATTCTGGAAAACCGCAAGTAACTGCGTTTTCAAGCAATCTGACAGTGACATCAATAACGTAGTTGCTCAAAATACCTACTGCGGTGAAATCATGTAATAAAGGTTATCACGAAGACTAAGATGTACCTACTCATATAGTTACTGAATTTGAAAAAACTTACCCTTTTGCGCAACCGCAAGCCTTTCCGCTTTCGCTTCTGGAACAGATAAAGCGTCAGTCATGCGAAATGTCTGATTGATGCCACATTTCTGCATATAGTATAAAATCCGTAAATATATACAACGCAGAAACGCTAAAAACTGGAAAGTGTCAATACAGCGGTAGGGTGAAAACAGTAATATAAAAATTCCATTAATGCTGGCTTACCGACACTGCTTCAGAAAATCGGAACCGAACGACTAAATTAAAAGTTTTTCGGAAAAAACCTAGAATTATATCGGTTTAAACTTTAAACTGTAAGGTGTACATGGAAAACATTTAAAAAACAACGAATTCAAAAAGTATGAACTACTCGTACAGCCGCTTTAGTCACTCAGTCAATGTTCATTCCAATTTGCAAATTATGTAAGAATTTGTAGTCCCCATAAAAAGCCACATACTACGAAATCTTCGCCACATGTATCGGCAGAAATTAAGCGTAGACTTTCCTGAGAGCGATCTCCCACTTGTCAATCCGAGTTTATAACGATGAAAACAGTCGAATGCTTCGTGGTAATATTATCACGCTCTTACAGATTAATTTGCTTTAATGAAATGAAAAACTCATTCAAATGTTGAATAATGTATTCAAAAAATGGAATATGCTGGACGCTTTTCGTACAGACCTTACCTTGATAGATTCGCAGCATTTCCACGCAATCCCGTTGACGCCGCTCCATAGCCACATCCAGCGGTGTCTGGGCACGAGAATTTTTCGTATGGACCGAAGCACCCGAACTTAACAAACAAGCCACGGCTTCCAGTCGACCGTGGTAGGCCGCAATGTGCAGCGGAGTCTACCAAACGAAATTAACGATTTATTTGCTGAGCAGAGTATGCAAGCGCTCGACAGGTGATTGTAATTACACTGACGGTCCTCACCGACCCACTTACCTCCGCGCCGGCCCGAATTGAACTTTGCACATTAGGATCGGCTACAAAGAAAACAAACATGGCACCACTGATAATTTTGAGCAATGAGTCTGTGAACTGGTCGTCCGACACAGGCCGATAATGTATGCAAAAATGACAACATGATAAGACTGAAAGAAAAATTATTACACTCGTGGGATTGTGTTTGAACAGACCAAACAAGTAAAAGAAAACTGCAAATTGATCGCTGTAAAAATCGTAAAAATTTCCGTATGTCGAAACAATAGCCTAAACAAACCAAAATACATAATTGATAAATTAGAAAATATTTTCGAAATTGTGTAAAAATTTTAAAAAAAGCAACAAACAATTATGTAGAGAAAATAGGATTTATACTGGCTCTAGCTCACTAGTTACGCGTTTTTTTGATCTGCTATTATTAATGTATTAAAAACCAGCAAAAGCGCGATAAAAGCGCAAATTTGCGCGACAGCATTCTTTTTCTTGAAATAGCAACATTCAGAGCATCGATAACAATATAACAAAATTTCAAATTTCAAAAGTGAATCGTAAAAAAGTTTAAAATCCTATTTAAATGTAGCCGTACACGCCATTCATACGGATGGCGTGTACGGCTACATTCCTGTAGCCATACACAGCTACTGCTCCTGGCCGAACAGGGAAAAAATGCCCTTCAACCGCAACTACGGATGCACTCACCCCCAGCGTTCAGCAGCACTCCGACCAAGGAGAGATTCCCACTTTTGGCTGCAGCATGCAGTGGCGTTCTCCCGTACCTATCCTCGGAATCAATATTTTTTGCTTCTTCACCGTTCTTCAATAAATCCTCCAGCAATTCCGCGTTTTCCCATACGCACGCTTGGTGCAACAAGCGGCCTGCACACGACGGCAATAAAAAATTAATCGTAAATCTGCGATGACTAACGCGCTGACAATTTGGGAGGTTCTTCTCGTACACACTGCTGATGTTGAATCACAAAAACACAGACACAGTCAAACCAAACCTGGAAAATCGTTTTCAGCCATAATCACCAGTTAGATAAACAATCCATGCCACATTCCAATCAGAACCGTCTCGCTGATATGTGTAACGAGAATTATTACAAGATCAACAACGATCCATTCATGTTACAGCTCTCATTTTGATAGTAGCAGACCGTCCAACATTTTGAAGCTTCGCGTTAATTTTATCATTTCAGCGAAATACTATCCTATTTTGCAAATATATCATGCAAAAACTCGAAAGAAATCCAAGACGCTAACCAGATGTGCAAATATGAAATGTTTTGGTTTTGTAACCAGTGATATTCGCGACTTCGTCAGTTTCACTTTTCATCAAACAGCTGTGTGAGTGATGCAATTGACAGGGAATTACTGAAGCCAGCCAGGTAAGAATATTTAACAAGTATGAAATAAATTTCGTAAATTTTGTTTTTTCAAATTGCATCCATTCCACAGTGTCCCGAGCGTTAAGATTCACAACATAATTTTAGTAACGTGAAATAACTTATAGTAAGTACTTATGCTTGAAGTTTGAAAGTATTGTACTGTTCAATATATTGTACTGTTGTACTGTTGTTTTCTAAACGTAATTGCAGTTAAAAAATTGTAGCCTTTTTTTGGAATCCGTTAGTGCAACTTGATAATTTTAAAATCATGCCACAAGGATGGCAGTGGATAAGTAATAAGTAAGGATTACTCTCAAAAGTCTTCATTAATTTTGAACTTTGAAGCAACTCAATCAAACACTTGTACTTAATTTGGAGGCGGTTGCAGTTAAAGTAATAAAGTGGAATAATCAATAAGTTAAAAAGGAGTAGAACATTAATTTTTTAAACCAAAATGTAGTAAGTGCCAGCGGTGCATAAGCTACAAGTAAATATCTTCTTATCTATGAATCTATCATTATTTGCACATTTAACACAACGATTAATGCGTTTCAGCGTATGCATGCTTCTTATAACTGAATATATAGTAATAAACGGAAATCTGCCAATAATCGCGCAACTACCACTAAATTATGTAATTTCTTTTGCTATTTTCGATCATGCAGTTGCTGTATTTATGTACTTCGATCTTCTCTTTTCAATAATACGCAGAAGTGTAGGTACGAGTACAGTACTCATATAATAGTTTTTAAATTTTTACAATCGGTTATGAATTCTTGTAATTAAATAATCAACCATACGTATCTACGCCTACTATCAGTTCCATGAATTATTTTAAGCGTTACTGTAAGCTACAACGTAATAGATATTAATTTTGATTTAGAAACTGACTTCGACCTACAATCATACAGTAATTAATTAATAAGGCACCGTATCTTAATGGTAAGCACAGTATAACGGCATGGTTAGGAAAATCGATCCGATACACTCAAAAGTGCAAGCCAAGTAATTAAGGCGAGGTCACCGGTCAGCGGTTCCAGTCTTTTATAATTATTACGTTGAAATACTTAATATCTGATTTTGAACCGCGTCCAATTGCTCATTAAAGAATTTCCTCTTCGACTGCACTGATAGAGCATCATTATACAGTAATTTATCAGCAAAAGATAAATGAACGACTTGTCGCACCCTTCCGGCCCTCAATGGGAGATAATGCATATCAGTTTGACATCATATTAATAAAATTATTACAAACGTGTGCACAACTCACAAGTACTGTACATATTCTTTAACAATTACATATTCTTTAATAATTTTACATACAAAAAGGTTTTATTAATTTTTAATTTGATACAGTAATTATTATCAAATTAGAAAATTAATAAAAAATTTTTATATGTACGGTATAACATGTTATATAATGCTTTAATAAAATTGTTATGGTTCTCACTTCTCTGAGTAAGCTTAAGTACCGATGTTGTGATGACATACAATTGTACACGCTTAGTAGCTTACCCTTATTATAAAATACTGTAAAGGTTATTCACTCATAGTGTTAGTAACGCTAACTTTTGCTAAACTCATTTGGCTCATTTGCTTTTTGCATCTGATTGTTGCGGAAGGTAGGAAGTTTTATATGTACATGCTGAACTACGCACATTCAAGGCACTTAACTTTAACAAGCCAGAAGTGGTTCCATTTCAGTTAACGTTTATGCAATTTTTTAGCTGACTGTGCCCTTTTGCGATATCTCGAGCCGGAAAACAATGACACTGAGAATATCCTAGCCATGACGAGTTACTTTGTATTAGCTTACTGTTAACACTGAAAACTGCAAATGACGGCATTCATGATATTAATTGTATCATTTATGACATCATCGCTTTTGGGTAATATAGATATAATGGCATTAATTAATTTCGCACCTTCAAGTTCTTGTACAATTAGAATACATACGGAGTACAGATTACATACACATACCGCCGGTCCGCCAGTGATACAGTACCGGTACCAACCATTAACTCATTCATGCACTTGCAAGTTTGCAACAGGCGGTTGAAATCTTTAAAAACTGCTAACTTTCGTTTTCAACGTAAAATTATAAGTTTAATAATACAAAAATTTTTTATAACCACCGTGACGCCGCAGTTCTCACGTCATCGCTCGCCACTCGGCACGTACACGAGCCAGTCAGGTTTTTTTACCAGTGCTTAGAGCTTAGTGCTTACCAAACCTGTACGACGTTTCGACTTTGTTTGCGTGTTTAAAAGGTGTCAGGTTTTGTTCTGTGCCTGTTAGTGTTGTCTGTATTGGTCCACGCGTATGCTGTAAATAGACGTTGAATGGATTAATCGTTACTCTGTAGTCTGTGCAGAATTAAGTTATGGGAAGTTTTGAGCTTCTGTTTTTCTTTTTTTTGCCTTTTCAAAGTTTGATGAGGGTTGATAATCACTTAATATTTTGGGAATAACTGTTGCTAATACCTGATTATAATTTTATATCATTATATTAATCTAATAATTTCTTTCAGAGGGTTGATAAAGAGACTGAGATGCCCTTGTTTGATTAATTCGATCACAAAGAAAGCCAAAGGACCAAAGGTAGGACCTCCTAGGTAGGTGCTTGCAAACGTTTTACGTTCAGACGTTAATGTATTAAGATCACTTACTCACTTGATGAAATCATTGTTAATTTGTTGTTAATTCTGGTCAACTGCGAATGCGATTAAGCTTGCATATAATTTCGAGAATCAAATTCTTTTAGCGTTACAATTTGCACATCTTGGGCTTAACCACTTGGTGACTTGGAGCGGAAAGTTGTGGCTGAAAAGTGAAAAGCAATCCGAAGGATTTCATCGTTTTGTTTATTTTCAGTTGTTCCAGTTTGTTTACGTTCATTGATAACCGATATCTTATCTGTGCGGAATTGTGACGTCATCGCAAAATGTGGACATCGTTATTCTTATCAATTTTATCCTTTCACCTGATTACGGGATCCCCGTGTCCCATCACCATCAGCGAGCTGCAACTGGCGGTAAAACAAGTGAATCAAGAGTTCATTGAACTGCGCAAACACTGCGCCGAGCCCGTCGATTTATCCCCATACACCCTGGTGTTTTGGCGCGGCCATGGTGGCAAAGCCAACAAGCGACACCCCCGAAATGCTCCCGATGCCATTCTGCAGCACCGCGTCAACTTCACCGCGTCAGGCATTTCCCACATGAACGAGACGTTCTTGGTGATCGGCAACAACATCACCGCCACCACCACAGATTTTTACACTTTTGAACACGTAGGATGGAATAAAAGTAACGATTTTTATCTGGATCGCGGCAACGCCAAGACAAATGCCTTGGTCCTGTACGCTAATCTCACTGATAAAGATTTGCCAATCAACGCCACATTGAATGACATCACAGCACACCACGATAAGATTGTCGATCTGCTGTTCTACTATCATTCCGGGAGTGCACACGGGATTAAGGAATTTTTGTTCCCGGAATATATCGTGGGACAACCGGGCACGAAGGGCTCATCGTACTACCGTTTGTGGGATCAGCGGAACAACAATAGCACCGACAGTCATTCGTTTAGTTTCTGCTGCAATGACACGATGGTCAGCAGCAAATGGCCAATGGGCTTTAAGTGGACGGAACCGACGCCCGGGGCGGAGAACAACTGTACGGCCGAGTACTGTCTAGATCCGAAATTTAAGAATTTTCCCATAACGCTGGATCGGTGTGACGTGCAGAAGGTGGAAAATTATTTCGTCACCACCACTCCGCCGCCTACGCACCCTACCTCACAAGTGACAACAGGTACTACTGAAGAACTAAAATTGTATTTCAGAGGTTTTGTGCCGTTTTGAAATGATTTCGTTTATTTTTAGCTGCCGTTGATGACATTTTCTTTTTTTTCTATTTCCTTCGTGCAGTGACTTTTATTTAAATTTATTTCGAATAAAGTGATTATGTTTTTTCAGACCGTTTGACGCGCGAAAAGTTCTGTTTATTTATGAAACGATAAATGAAATAATATTATTATGAAATGTACGAAAGTGTGGTTTGTACGTATTAGTTTAAAGATTGTTGCTTTTGTTAGGCGCGCCGGCCGCGTCAACCACGCCACACAGTAGTACGTCGCTAGGGATTTCCGTTGGAATTCCCGTCGTCCTGGTAGTGCTTGTCCTGGTTGGTCTCGTTGGATTCTGTATCTTCAAGCGAAGGTACGGTCCATTCGATTAATGGAAAAATTCCGAAAAATAAGATACTAAATAACTTACTTAATTGAATGACACATAAAAATCATAAGCGAAAAAACTAATAAATAGATAAATTTGTTCAATTACAAGTAAATAATTTACAAAATGGTAGACGCTTTATTCATCCCGGCACGCTAGAGAAAATGCATCAGTTTCGATTGCTTTTGCAGATTAAGATTGTGTAGTTCATGCTTTTAGGAAAGACTTAAGACGCGATGCAGCGATCTGTGTACATTTTTGTTAAGAGTTGTTGCTTTGCCAATCTTATTTCCGTAACATCTTGATGGAGGTGTATTAATCTTGTCGTAAATATTGTAAAGCCAAGTTTGTGGCGTTGCAGAGGATATTCGCCCTTGTCAGCGGATGGTGGCGGTGGTGTGCATTGCCTCAACTGCTTCCACCGGCAAGACGAAGGTGACCGGGATCGTCTCGTATACTAAAACTGCTTGTTTGCATATTTTGATTGCTCATCATGCTGGACCAAAGCTGTGAAGCAAGTTCCTGTGTATTAATGTTGCCGGAAGTGCTCCAATCTAAAATGAATTTCGAGTATTCGAAATTCAAATACACTACCGTTTGAATTCCGAGTAATCGGAATTGCAATTGCAGGCATTCCAACTCCGAGTAATCGCAATTTAAAAGGACGCAGTTGTAATTTCGAATATTCGGAATTGCAATGCATATCATATGAATTTTAAGTAATCCGTTGTTAAAAGAAATTTTACTTAATATTTTGATTATAATTTATCATCAAACTACGTACTATGGAACTGGAAGTTTTGATGCGATACCTTACATAGAAGTAGTAATACTGATTACGTATTTATGACCGAAATAATTTTATTAATTAAATGACAGCAGAATTTAATTTCGAGCGCTCGGAAAATTTTAGGGCGTGGTCATTAAACGTTGATGTACCTTTATCAGTTCGGCGTACAATAAACTTTCTATAGCAAAAATAACAACAAAAACAGGTTTCCGTTTAAATTGACATTATTCTGGCTTTCACCGTCGCAAATGAACTGATCCATGCTCATCTAGCGTTGTTGGCTCAAAACTCATCGGTCAGCGTTAGCGCAGTCTACGGCTGCCTGCGGGCCGGTGCGGCTACTACAGCGCCGACGTGTACAGTAATGATTTGGCCAGCTTTTATTTGGGCATTGGGTGATGACACTAGCACCGGAACACAGGGCATCGGAGTAACTGGCGCCGTTGTTCTTCATAAATTCCGAGTCTCCCCTCCTCACAGAAGGGTGTGTGCGGTAGGGAAGAACGACTTGTTACATTGAATTATGACCTTTACCTGATACAACAGCAACTTAAATACATTAAACACAAATGCACTATCGCTGTACCACATCCGCATTGCTTCTCCTATTTATACATCAGGATGTACATCCCAATGACACACACTGGTCCCTCATGACAGACCCACTTCATTAATTCTACCAGTGCCACTGATCTCTACCCCTGATCGCGCAAATATGTTCTGCCTAGCTAGTCTGCTTACTCGTAAGTCGTAACAAACACCTTCTTGCTCATTTAACGGTTGCCAAGTCCGCAAAAAGTATTGACTGATGAATTTATGGAAAGTGCATGCCTCCTATATATATAAGCCTCCTAAAAATGACCACTAACACACCATTTAATTGCCCCTTAGCTCTTTACAGGCGTGCGAAAAGTTTTCGTTTTAATAGACCTGGATTTGGGAGAAAAAGTTATAGTACGAGTACTAAAGAATAGTTCTAAAAAAGTGCAGCAATAAAAGCAAAACCGTATATGGAAATAATTGTAATTTATTTTTTGTTTTATAATATACCCAGGACCTCATAAGAACTGCCGGCCGGGGGTACCAACCAGAAACGAATGCGGGATGATATTTAAGCTTTACTTGAGTCACTTTAGATGTGAATTTAGTCAGTAAAATTATAGTACAGATATAACGGATTTCAACAGTTCGCATAATGCAAAACTCGTATATCAATGTATTCTTAAAACTTGTCTATACTGAGCCTGTAAGTAATAAACAGGGTGAAAAGGGGTGCCTATGTGGCTATAATAATTACCTGGTCGCGAGGTGTGCACATACTAGTAACGGTTTCCCTTTTACACCGCCCTCAGTTAGACGTATACAGTAAAATACTTGTACATCTACTGTAAGAATCTCAAGATTCTGCTCTATTCTGTTAGTGTTAAATAAATTTCAAAGAAATCGAAATTCAGAAAAGTCCCGTTCAATTCTGAATATTTGGATTTTATTTTACCGTAGTTTAAATTTCGAATATTCGAATTCGCATTGCCACATTTTGAATTCCGATTACTCGGAATTCAAAATGTGGTAGTGAGTTCGAGTAATCGGAATTCAAATTACGGTCTTTTAAATTTCGAGTACTGTATTTGGAAATCTAATAAAAAATATTTAGATTGCTCGGAATTGGAAATACCTGAATTTGAATTCCGATTATTCGGAATTGGTATCGAAATTCTTTCACATGCAATTTGGAGCACTTCCGGCAACACTAGTGTGTATATTATGCGGCTTTCATTTTGTTGTTTAAAATTTTCTGGCCATTATTTTTGAGTGTTAAAATGTTAATGTTGTTTTCCTCTATGTCCGGTGGAGAGTAGGAAGTGACTGCGCTTGCACAGTGCGTGGTTACAATTTGTACTCCCTTTTTCCACTTGTTGAGTCGACAATACACCACGTCAGCCCGTCCGCAATTTTAACGACACCCTGAAGTAGAGGACAGATTGTTTCCTCTACAACCTTTGTTGCTAATAATTTTTTACCGTATTGTCCTCTTTTTATCGCATTCCAGATTTGGACTGCGTGTTCGCGGCTTTTTGCAAAAAAAAAACAGAACATAAATCTAATACTCCAATGTTTTGCGAAAATAAAACAGAACTAAATCTAATGCTCCAATGTTTTTTTTGGATTGGGCTCCAATGTTTTGCGTTTTTAGATTTTAAAATATAATTTATCAAGTGCTGCATATTTTGTGGTTTTCTTTATTCTTCCATACCTCAAACACAACACTTGTATTGTACTTGTACAATACGTGTACAAGTACAACCCTTATAGAGTGGGATTAGTCAACTGATTATTTTTGCACGCGTATAATGTCGACGTATTTGACAATTGACAGTGACTATAATTCAGATACAGGCTAATAAAATCAACACAACAAATGTCCACATTTTCCGGATTTGTTGGATTGTTGCATTTGGAAACGAAAATAAGTAATTTTATTGTGCCTGTTTTAATAAACCGCTGAATTGGTTGCTTGTGCAATAAACCAGGAAAGACGCAAGAAATTTTTTGAAGAAAGACAATAATACAGTAGCTGACAAAGATAATAGCTAGACAGAGCCACAATAATAATGAGAATGATAATAATAGTAACAGACCACAAAGCGGACGCACGATCCCATAGAAAAAGCTATAGAGTGCGTGCGTCAGCTTTAATTTGTATCGATAGTGATACAGCGATATTTGCATTTTGAAATATTTGGAGTACTGTAATAATTTTAATATTGCTCCACGTGCATGCACTGCTGCATTTTTTCAGATCTCAGTGTGAGTTTATTTGACACTGATAGAATAATTGATGACGAAGATGATGTGTATGCCGGCATTTTACCGGTATACGTAGTACAGAACTATACTATGGAATCTTAAATTGCTTTATGACATACTGTATGGCTGCATTTTCTCAAATTCAAAGCAAGAGTGTAGCATGACGGCACGCTGGGCGGCTTTAGTGACTTGTGCCTAATTCCGGTATGCGTACCAAGTATCTGACCCTACCCTAGTGTTATCATCAGTGCAATAAAAAATTGTCAATAAAATATTTTTTCATGTTTTAAACCGAGCAGACTATTTTGTCTTTGAGTTTGGGTTACGTTCTGCAATACCAGTGTTCTGTACTTTTGAAAAAATTTTCATTACGCTTTGCCAAATAAGCACATGTACGTAAAGGGCAAATCGCTTGAATCAAATTTTCCGCAACATCGTATCATTGTGCATACAAGCCCATCCAACAATTCTTTGACCGCTGTAAGCGGGAATTTAAAGAAACGTAAGCTTGAGCCATTTAATGTGCTTCGACACGTCACGCCACATGGGTCTGCGTATTCAGCGTAAATAAGCAACAAATCTGCATGTGTTGCAGTTACTGTATCTGTGATATACATTGTAATAAGTTTAGAATTATTTATGGTAGTTCATAGACTGATCTGTTTCTTTTGTAATTACTGATAATTTAACTGTGATAATTCCAACTGCGATCTGTTTGGTTTTGTTGATTAACCTGATCATTTTAACTGTGATGATGGCTTTATAAGTGATTAATTGTGATCTAATATATTATTATTGGTAGGTAGGTTTTTATTAGGCAACAGCCAATGCACATATCGGTATGCTTTCACAGGTTTACACTAATTAAAATGAATAAAATTTAAACATTGAATAAACACCCATAATCATTATTGTCGTTCAAGATCTTATGACGTGCACTCAAGGTGCCCAAAACAGCTGCTGCGTTTCCTCTGACAACAGCCAAACTTAATCGCTGTCTTAAAAAGGCCGTGGATTATTATTGGTTGAATATTTATAAATATATCTACCACTACACTACGATGCGTATTTGCATTACTGTGCGCGATTTATATGCGCTGCGCTTACAGCGGTCAAAGAATTGTTGGATGGGCTTGTACAATATACGTATATCATATGCTTCCCTGCCTCCTGCATGACCCGGTGAGTGGTTATGCAGTTATTAAACCAATTTGGGCAACATGCTGTGGATAATCAAGCACCGGAAATCCGAAAATACATAAGCTAACGGTGCATCGACTAGAAAGCAATTCGTGAATTAGCTGCCAATCCTTTTGTATCTGTACTTCTATAAATATGATTCTTTTGATCAGTTGTATCGCTCGAACAAGTTCCATGATAGATTCAAAATATTGGCAAAATCAATTATCAAAACCTGCATAAATTATTTTGATTATTTACTGATAAATACATCTGAAGCTAGAGATCGTAAACAATGTATGTACATATTTCTTACACTACTCTAGATCGTTTAAACCCGCTATAGGAACGAGTACAGATAGTACGAATGCTGCAGGACGCGTAGTCTGCATGATACAAGCATAATGATCAATCGCATAGGTTCAGAACATAATGTCATATAAAAAGGTTTTATCATGTTACGTAAATTATGCGACAACATGCTATAATATAAAAAGTCATTAACCTGAACAGAAATTAACAAAAATAAAATAAAACATAATTAAATTAAATTACAAGCTGATCTGAAGTTCTAAACGGGTAAAGTGTTGCTCGCCTAAAATATGTTTTTCTCGCTGGAACATAGCCGACAAGTCTCTACCGGTTTCCGGCACAAATTTCGGTACTAACGGTAATAGAAGTACGAGTACTGATTTTTAGCCATCGTACAAATTTCAAGCACCGCGTGGAGCAACTGTACCCGTATACAATACGTTTATAAAGCATACGTAAACAGTTTGTAATTTGATCGCCAATGCTAAATTTACAATGTCATCAGCTGGAGAAATTGGAAGGGAAATGAGAAAAGATCAAATACACTAATGGCGTGAGATTGTTGTCGCCGCAACATACGGGATCTAAAACGGGATCGCGCAGCTGAACGCTGGGATTGCCCGGATGTGGAATGGGACTGTACAGTTAAATTACCGGCTACAACAATCTGTGCGCTATGTTCCTTTAAACACGAGCCTGATGGGACGGGATCATGTACATGTACCTAAAAACTTTCGCAGTATTTTAGTACAACATCTACACAGAGTGTAGTGGAAATCCGTTGGCGTGGACGCGGTCTTGAAATCGTTAGCGCGACAACATGCGCCGGTTTATCCGCGCAATCGGTGTTGATACCGCATATCCACATTATCGTTAGTCTCACGCAATTACACTAGCGGCAAACGTCCGTTTAGTCGTTGAAGATGACGGACAATCTTTTTACAGGGAATTGCTAGAACATGTGATAGGATCATTTAGTATCATTAGATAAATGCACTTTGTAGCGCATGCTCGTTAGTGGCGTGTGCTTTATCTTTGTAAAGTGAATTTAAGATCTAATGCGGTGACAAGTGTCGTGACGCATTTTGTCATCTGCAGCGCGGTGTCGGATGTTGCGGGATCAAAATTCAAATCGATAAATCTGGTGATCGAGCTAGGGGTTTTATTCTCCAAACCGAGATAAATTATTTGCCGGGAGTTTTAGTTAAACAACCGTTTTATCATGGCCATTCTACAGTAATTTCGGATTATGCAGTATAATTTTTAGCATTTTGTCAATTACTGTACTGTACGCAATAATTAAACACATGTATATTAAGTACAAGATCTATACTACGCGCGGCGCCCCATAGTACCATAAAACTTCTGGAAAAACGGACAACGCCATTAGATCCGGGATAGTTCAGAAGTGGCCGGCATGTGTTTTTTTATGAAAATATCGAGCCGGCATCAAGCCGCCATCAAGACCAGATTGATCCAACCCATCTTAAAGGTCACCTTGAAACTTAGAAATATTTGCCTAGATACAATACAAAATACCAATTGACATAATTATCACACTAATTAAACCGAAAAATAAATAAATTATTGTACTTATTCAAACACTCGCGTTATTCAAACATTGCTGCCGGAGTTGCCGAGCTCGAAACACGTTTAAAATCAACCAATATAAAATGTAAAAATATCAAATATAAAATCAATACGAAAAATCACTGGACGAGTGAGTGACCAAAACACTATCACCGACCACTGAGCGGAATCTCTAGGTGAGTGGGTGACCGAGCTACCACCACTGACCAGTAAGAAAAATCACTAGACAAGTGAGTGACCGAAACACCATTACTGCCCACTGAGCGGAATTTCTAGGTGAGTGAATCATCGAGCGGGCTTTGCTCTTGCTCACCTAACGGGCTCTGTGCACTGGACAGTAGTTGTAGCAGGGTCACATCCTCACCTAGCGATTTTTCTCCTTACCTAGCGATATTTGTTACTGGACAGGTTGAGCTCGGTCAGTTACTCACCTAGTGATTGAGTGCGTCAAAAAATCGCTAGGTGAGTACGTGACCGAGCTACCACCACTGTCCAGTGCCCAGAGCCCGTTAGGTGAAAGAGTACCGAGATACCACTACTGTCCAGTGCATAGATCCCGTTAGGTAGCTGGATGACCGAGCTACCAATACTGTCCAGTGCATAGATCCCGTTAGGTAGATGGGTGACCGAGCTACCAATACTGTCCAGTGCATAGAGCCCGTTAGGTGAACGCGTGACCGAGCTACCACTACTGTCCAGTGCACGAACTCCGTTAAGTGATCTAGTGACCGAGCTACCACTACTGTCCAGTGCATAGATCCCGTTAGGTAGATGGGTGACCGAGCTACCAATACTGTCCAGTGCATAGATCCCGTTAGGTAGATGGGTGACCAAGCTACCAATACTGTCCAGTTCACAGAGCCCGTTAGGTGAGCGCGTGACCGAGCTACCACTACTGTCCAATGCACGAACTCCGTTAAGTGATCTAGTGACCGAGGTACCACTACTGTCCAGTGCACAAACTCCGTTAAGTGGTCTAGTGACCGAGGTACCACTACTGTCCAGTGCACAAACTCCGTTAAGTGATCTAGTGACCGAGCTACCACTACTGTCCAGTGCATAGATCCCGTTAGGTAGATGGGTGACCGAGCTACCAATACTGTCCAGTGCATAGATCCCGTTAGGTAGATGGGTGACCAAGCTACCAATACTGTCCAGTTCACAGAGCCCGTTAGGTGAGCGCGTGACCGAGCTACCACTACTGTCCAATGCACGAACTCCGTTAAGTGATCTAGTGACCGAGGTACCACTACTGTCCAGTGCACAAACTCCGTTAAGTGATCTAATGAGCGAGCTAGCACTACTGTCCAGCGCATAAACTCCGTTAAGTGATCTAGTGACCGAGTTACGAGTACTGTCCTTTGCATAGATCCCGTTAGGTAGGTGGGTGACCGAGCTACCAAAGCTATCCAGTGCACAGAGCCCGTTAGGTGAACGTATGACCAAACTGCAATATTACTGAGCAAAATAGAGCAGGCCCTGCTAAGTTCTTAATGGGTGACATATCTAGCACCACTGTCCAGTCTTAGCGTCCTTTTAGTTTGCAATGTGATACTCTCGTGGGTGATTAGATCCGGATGGTTTTTCGCTAAGAAAATTTAACAAAAAATGATCTATAAAGTCAAAGTAATTGCGTTCGACTGCATGAAACCAAAACATCCATTTTTTTATAAAATTTTTGTTGTCGGGCTCTTCAGATTTATCCGTTCTAAGTTAACAATCCGTAAACCGGCCAAGGAGTTTAGAACCCAAGAAACGCGGAGGCGAAGCCGAGGCTGTTTCTTGTAATATATAGTTTCCTTATTGTTGGAGGGTTTCTTCAAATAATTTACTAAACGCTTTGGAGATGAATCGATTTCAAGGAAAAACTCTAACAGACCATACCTGCATGGATGCAGTAGGTAGCTGCAGATTCATGATCAGTATAAGCGCAACTTGTTAAAAAGAAATTAATTACTAACGGCTACTTCTAGTTGCGAATATTTTGGACGATGATATTTTACGCCGATGCAATAATGCCGCTGACAAAAATATTTGGCTGATGTTTTGCAAAGATTTGCAGTGATATATTGGCTCGTACTGGTAGAGACGTTATGGATGTTAACAAAGAAAACCTCAATCGATTTTGAGTGGCATCTTAATAATTTAAGTGTGACACTTGGGCACTTCACGTGCGTGTCTTTAATCGCATCCATCACCAACAATTATTACTGGATATCAAACAAATCGGAAATTTAGCGCCCTTTTCCGCAAAACAGCAATTCTCACAGAAAGATTTGTCGATCCCTTTACAGATCCCCTCATCAAGAATATTATTCACATCGTATAATTCTTACGGTTGCGGCTTAAGTATTGCACCGAAATAGTCCGAGGTCATATGTGTGAGATAATGGCGGTAGTTTGTTCCCAGGAACGCGTTCCGTATTACTACAATGGCTTCAACAAACTGAAAATAATTAAATGAGGAAATTTAAAAATACCGTAATATATCGGTGTCTCGGTCAATAACCGTTATAAATGATTTACAATGGGTATTTAGCTACCAAGAATAACCTTGAACACTACAAACTGCCAAAATAGTGTACGGTAATAGAGACGCGCTATCGCTTAATTTGTTGTCGAGGATAGCACACGTGTTGATTTTCCATGCGTAGTGCTGGTCAGGCCGCACCCAGTTATCAGACAATTATCATTTCCCAGCAACGCCTTTCTCTGGGAAATGCCTAGTGACTTTGATAACTATACAGAGTTGTATTATTCACGACAGTGATTTTAATAGGGAAGGACAACTAAGGGTAAATCGCCGTTTTCTTTTGCGGGGTGACCGTTACTAATTTTAGGTGCGGTTTGTCCCGTCTTCCTCGCCTAATTAATGGTATTTTTGATTTTCAATAGACTTCTCATGCTGTCTTCGACTTAAAATAATTTAACAATACCCATACACTTTCCAGAGAGTAGATCTGGTGAAAAGGCCCGATGACCGTGGACATATTTAATTTCATTTTCCGCTATCTGCATTGACGGGAATGACACACAATACCCACCTCATCATACTTGTTTACCGGGTGAAAGCAGTGCCTCCAACGTCAGTCCTGACCGGGATACCGTGTGGTGCCTGACCTCATCGGCAACAATCAAGCCGGTGTCAGTTTACGCACTGGTGCTTTTTTCCTGCACACCTTGCGACCGGACGTCGAGGACGCTGGAATAAAAAAGCGGGCCGGGGGATGTCATCCTTACAGCATCGACGACGTTAGCGTGCACGGCAACCAAGTGTTAATTACGTTCCGTACACAAGAAGCTATTTACGCAGAAAGTCCGATACAATTTCATTACAAAGCACTGCGCGCGTACAATCCGATTTGTTCGTGCGCCGGCAGGCGGTCGGTTCTCTGTACAGTGGTGACCGGCAACATTGTAGTCAATGACGCCCCGTGGAAGTTCAGGGCGTGAATAATCGCCCACCCTTATCTTTTTATGGACAAATCTCCGCCGCGGCGTAATGGTGGGAGACGTATGTATATGTTCTTGATTATATTAGATTGTACTCAATCCAGTGGCGTATATGTGTGTGCTCTTACGTATTAAACACGCTCTCGACATCCAGATTTTCCACGTATATACCAAGTGCAAGTGCATGCTTAGCCTGTTAATCCACCAAGGAATTGTCGCAATCCCCTTCACGTTTATCGCCACTAGTTTCCGTTGTAGCTTTTTTACCCCGCTGCCACTAAAAGCCCGATTGATTTAATTCTTAACCAATATTCTTTGGCCTTGAGGCGCACAAACACTGCGGCGCCAATATTGACTTCATAGTGCGCATGTTTGCTGTGTAGCGACGCAGTCATCGTTTTCTGGGTTACAGGATCGCATCTCGTCTCAGAGGAAGTATAAATCCCGGCTGGTCTTATCATGGCGACACAATAATTTGAATACAGCCATTCATGACCTTGTATAAGGTCAAGGCCTCCTAAGTAACTTCCACTGTCATTAATAAGGCTTACGCTGGTGACCTTTCGGTTTTGTATTGCTTATCCTTTCGCATTAGTTAGTACAGTTTAGTGAGATGGCCGTAAAAGTTCATCCCGTATTTGTTTCCTGTTTAATCGTCCTGATAACGCAGCACTGGACGTTAAGCTGGGCGCAGAAACGTGCCCGTCCCGCTGTCGCTGACTTGGAGATGCTTATCGCCAACGATTCACCGAGTGGCCTGTCCAATTCCGAAACTGGTGGACGCGGTTACGAGAACCTGGTCAATCTGGCTGAAACGCTAAAGCGGCTCCAGGAGCTGGAGAAATACGTTACACACCAAGCGCGTCCCAGGTATGTCCAGCGGTTTGTGTATTGTACAGCACATACGTATATGCGCATACGGAAAACAGTCATCATCTAATGCATCGTACCAATACGAGCAATCTTGATAACGTTAATATGATGAATAACGAATTTATTAGAGTAAGACGCATCAGTTTTTTACAAACATGATAAGAGAAAAGGCATGCTTATGTAACTGATTGGTGGTGTTTGTTGCTTTAATTTATTACATGGTGTGGTCGAAGATTACTGTAGAACAAAGACTCAATCCACCAAAGCTTCATTCGATCAATACTTAATTCCTTCCTAAACAGACACATTTTTTACAGGTATGGACGCAGTGTTCCTGTGGAGCCCCTTGATCAACCGGATGGCAGTGGTGTTGAACAGTCGTCACCCGATACCAAACCGCGCTCGCCTTACCGGCGCCGGCGTTCGATCGCAGCCCAGTTTTCCTGATCGGAGATGCTCTTTGCTGCTGGATGGCCAAATTATGGCATGCAGTTCTGGCTTCTGCTGTGTTACATAATTCTATTCTTAGCCCTTGGTCATCCTGCCCATTTACAATATATCCGTGCTGTAGCCCCGTCGAAAAAAGCAGCCATTACCGCGCTTGACCTTTGGCTGGTTCATTAACGATCCATTTCCGCCGGCCGTTTTATATATGGCACATCGACCGTTTTATTGGTTTACATACTGCCAATCCGCTCCGTTCTGATTTATGGTACTGTCGGCACTCCAAACCGTGACCTCTGCACTTTGATTTTTTACTACACATTCGTTGTGCATCCTGTTACTTTAATTATACCCTCTAGTCCTAATACACATGACACTTTTGCCCACTTATAATAATTGTAATAATCTTCTGCTATAATGTTTTGTTTAATAAGATATCGATTATCTCGTATGAAAATGACTTAGGATTTTACTAACCGAATTTATGTTTGTACGGCCCTGCCAAATGCTGCGCTACAAAGACAATGCATAGTAACTGTGTTGTTCCAGAACTCAATCTACATAGTGTTCATACTCGTACAATGACATGTTAAAGTCAGATGTGCGAGAACTTGCTCCGTAAACAGACACTGTTTTTGGCATGCAATTAAAGTTATATGTACATGATAGCCCAGTGTGTTGTTCGTAATTTCCTCACAAACAGCAAATTCAATTGTGCAGTACATATCGGAAACAAAGACGACGGCGCGCAGTTTCAACGTGTAACGTGTAAAAAATTAGATGCCGGTAAAAAATACATTGGAGAGATAAATTTATTTTATTGTTGGTGCTAAACAAGTTTTCACAAGACACGAAAGTGAATGCAGGAGCCAGAAGCCTTTAATAAACGAAAAAAACCTTATTATGAGGACGTCATTAATGCATTTGCTGCCAGTTTCGAAACTCGTCCGATATAAGTCAAGAAGCGCAAATTTTCCATCCGAATCACGAATAAAAATGGTTTGTCCACCTTAAGGTCAAGCGCTGTGCCGACAGCAATCGTTCGCCGTGCCGCCACCGCCATAGAACTAGCCGCTACAGCTTTCAGGCCACGCTCGTTAACATCTACAATAACAAGAGGAAAGTTACGTCAATAGCGATAAAGAATATCATGAAGAACACAACACAATTTTGAAAAAAACCGCCTTTACTTGCCGCGCGTTAAATCTCTTCCGAAATGACGTCACTGCCTTAAACTTATAGTTTGAGTACTTCTGACATTTTCATTATTACCAAGAAAGGTTATTAGGTATCAAAAGTGTTATACATGTGCAGGATACGAAAGTCGATATCTGAGTACACTTCCGGAAAAAATATTTTTCTTTTACCGATCATAGCTTTATGGACAATGCCGTCAATCCGTACGGACTGATCTGTCATTGACGTCAGATCGACACCTGACCCAAACAGATCGATCACACCCAATCCCTTCACCGCATCCGCTAAATTTACCGCCTTTTCAATGGCAAATTTCGGCATGGTCAAATTGACCAATCGTCGCTGCGCCGTGTCCATGGCCTTGTTCAGCATGTCAGCCGTTAGTGTGCGCTCCAATACCGGCATCATTTTCATATCACTCGGCAAAATCACGGATAGAACACCGGTACCCCATTTACTGGGCAAGCGGACCATCTGGAATGCCGGTACACCGGGCGCCAACTGCCCAGCCTGATGATTAAAATAGAACAAACTGGTCGTAAACAATTTCATGAAATCCACCTGGCTGGTTGATCCGTCGGCATTGGTGAACGTGCCTTTCACTGTCTGCTTCGCATCAAAAGGAAACGCCCAGTTGAACTGCAGATAGTGGGCGTTAATGGCCGTTAACTGCGTAGCACTCGTCACCGCACCCGCGCCCAAAAAATTCTTCACATTGCCCATTGTCTTCGACTCCACCCATTTGTTAATTTCGTTGCGGGCAGCGTTGGGGTTCTTCTTGAAATCCAGTACACCTGGGGTTTGATTGAAACGCTGTAATAAATCCGCAGTGAATGCCGGCTTGAGTGCTACGGATTTATCCACAAAGGCACGGTTGGCGTTAAAGGTCATATCGTCGTCGCTCTGCGGTGGATCGGAGTGATGCGGTACGGTGCGGTACATGTCCTGTATGATGGCAAACGCGTCCAGACAACCGATTCCCGTGCCGAGGTTTAGGCTGTCGATGATCTCGGATTGGGTGGCGCCACTAGCGGCGTTGCAGGCCATCAGGAGGGCGTTGGAGGCGTGGAGTGGGAGGAGGATGATGTTGTCCGTTGGCACGGTTCCTGGGAGGGCGGTCACTTGCTGGTACATTTGTACGGTGAACTGGTTAATGGCGGATTTGATATCCTCATTGGTCAGGCATTTGTTCGTATCTGCCTGCATTACGGGACACTGGTCGTCGGCATCGTCCTGAGCAGCAGCTGAAACAACAAGGAGACCGGCAACGAGAAGAGCGATCATCTCCATTGCGATGTTCATTATACAATTAAACGTTTAGTATAAAAAGAAAGAGGCTGGGAGCCTGGGACCACACGTTTGATTTGAGCGATCTCGTTTGATTAGAAAATTGCATAATATAAGCAACAGTTTCACCACTCGTACTTCGTAGTGGTTCTCTACTCGTACTCGCAGAAACAACATACGCATCCAGTACCTATCCTGTACAGTTTAACAAAGAAATTTCTTGCGTTGTAACGGTATTCTTTTGTTTATCTGGGCTTCAAGAACTGAAATGCTGACTATAAACAATTCAGAATTTTTAGTGCACCGGTGTGGGTATGTCCGAAAAACAGTGGAGAAACAGATTTCTATTATGGCAGTTTTATTATGGAGCATGTTGTAAGCTTGTTTCAAAAACATGCTGATTTCGCACAACTTTTCTTGAGATTAGCCTTGCCTTTTGTGGAGCAGTATGATTTTGTTGCTCTTTTGTATCATTGTTTACAAAATTGGTTTTAACTCTTTGACTTCTGTATTGGGTAACTTTTCCAAACTCTGGCGAAACGTATGACATTGTGTCATGTTATGTAACAATAAACAGTGGGATGAGTATTAATATGACTGGGTATACGTATAAAGTACATGTCCTGCAAGTACACGCAAGGCGTAACAATTATTATATAATTTTTATAGAAGTTATTAAAGAGTAAATAATGTGGTACAGGATGGGCCTCTACTCTGTAAAAATGATTACGGTAATGATTTATAACGCTACGAAATCTTGGCAGGGTGGTTTTGTAAGCCACCTCGGGACAGTACTAACAATTGTAAGTACATATAGCCCATAGGTAGCTTTTTGCCGTTTTACTGGTTTACGCAGCGTTGTAATATCCATAGCCGGGAATTGTAAACAGAATAATTAATTATTTATGACAGCGTATCTATATACTTCTAGTCTCTACTCTAGACGTACGGATGGATGTCGACAAAACACTCTACAATGGCGGACTACAATAATGCTCACGTACAACGTCAGTCACGCTAAATACACACAAGCTACCCCTCGTCAGAAATATCATATAGTTTAATAACAACTTTTGAATTAAGCTTAGATATAACAGACCATCTCTTTGTTTTATACTTACGAATAATACTTACGAATATGAAACATTTAGATATGGATATCAGAGATCATTTTGTATTTATTTTGCAATATACCACATAACTAGTTTTGCACAAAAAAACCAACATCCGAGACATACTTTCTCATGAAAACACCAACATAATTAAGTAAAAAAATCGATTTGGATAATGCGCCAGAAGCATAAACGGAAAACTGACAAGAGCAATAGAAACTGCAAAAGAGCCAGCATGGATAGCATTAGCGACTACTAAATGCATAAGAAATTAATTATCGCCACGATGGCAAGGACAATCATGGATATCGACATCCACGCACTTCCCGGTTAATTTTGCGTCTGGCAAAGGGCCTGGAGAGCAATACTTCATCTCCCCTGCAAAACATTTAAATTTTGAACCATCAGCATGGTAAACTTACTTACAACATGATATTTTCAGATGCACAACAATTGCACTCAAGTTTTACTTGAACGCAACAGACGCTGCATTCCAGATTTACTGCATTCAAGAACGGTCATCCGTTATAGAAAAGCGCTGTGTGTTAGGACTTTTAATACACTAGCAATAAAATTGTTGTGCATGTCGACATGCAGTTGTCAAACAAAAAATCTTAAATTAGGAATTATTGCTTTTGTCAACGGAGCATTTGGCCAATAAAATAAGGCGAATGGAAAAATCGACACTCTGACATAAACATTCTATATTCTTTTTATGAGCCAACTGCAATGGTCAACACAGTGCAGCAAAACGCATTAAATTCATTATTTATTATTTTTTAAAAATTTACTATTTAAAAAAAATCAGAAAAATGGCAAAAACAAGTTATGGACACTTCATATACGCACCACCAATTACGCACTGACTGCAACTTTTGAATAAGGCATGTCGACATGCTAATAAGCGATAAAATAGACTTAAATCAACTCAAATTTTAATACGTTGAACTTGTCCGTGATGCATTTTAAAATACTTGAAGAAAACTTCTTTAGAAAAAAATCTAGTTTCTGCTCGCTTCTTAAGTTTAATGTAACAAAAAGTACTAAAATTCCCCTTAAGTAGAAATTCGTTTTATCGTTTTGTAGCTAAAAATAGCGCTCTACTACACAATCGGATTACCTTTTGCTTTACTGCATGTCTTCATGCACATTTGTCCATCGAACAGCGCCTCCTAAGGATCTAGAAATAAAAACGAACACAATAATTCAACAAGTGCTATCTTTATGACGTTTAAACTGGAAGCTGTTCGATAAGCTCTTACCTTCGTACTGGTCCAAAATTGCTGTGGGTCCTCGCATCACTGCAGACTGCGTCGAATGTTGCACTTTTTCTCAAAAGCATGCCGTGCGTGACAGTGCCACGCATAAATATCAACACTAGCAGTGTTTTTTTAAATGTTTTAAATAAAATTTGGCTATCGAGAGCCATAAAACAAAAAAACTTTAAAGATTCAAAAAAAATAGCAGAAACCATTTCAAAAGCACAGTTATAAAAAAGTCGAGAATTGCCGTTACCAAAACTGGCTGTCAAAATCAGCTTGGGCGCAACGGCGCTGAACGTGAACTTGCGGTGAGCACTGAACTGCTATACAGCTAATCAGAAGCAGCATGAAAGTAGCCTATAGTGAGCGTAGTCGGCAGCAAAGGTAATGCAGCCACCGCGCGGGCAGTGTCAGGTATTACTCAAAATTTTGTCGTTGATGTTTTGCCTCCAACTAAGTAAATTGGAGCAGTTTGTTTTGTTTCGAAAACTTTTGTTTCCTTTTTGCGATTTTTTCCTTTTCGTTTTCGCGACTTTGCTTTTGAGGATAATTATTGTCGGTCGACCGATCATGTGCCTGCACAGAAACTATGCCTTTGATAACAAGGTTCTGCAGAAAAGCTTTGATGCTCTATAACGGCAACACGTGGATCAAAATCGCTTTTTAGATTACGTGGCGAGGCGATCAATGTCGGTCGGCCGACAAAGCTTTCGCTTTAGATGCAATATCTTACATTGTTATTCGCAATAAATCAGAACCGCGACGGCGTCGGGACTGTTGGCAATTAACAGGGGGCACTACGAATTGATTCATAGTGGTGGATTTTGGAATTTGGCTGGTTTATTTTTTTACTTTTCTGGAATTGTTTCTTGCTGAGCGAGATATTGTTTACGTGTCGGTCGACCGACAAAGCTTTTGTTCTTCTTGTATTACGTTTGCTTCTGTTTAACGTTTTGGTTAAACTGTTGCGAAGACGCGGATACGAGTTTCGAATAAGTTTTGTAACTTCGATACGTTTTCATATTGATATAAATTATTACATAAGATCTGCTGCCAAAATCATGCCGTCGGCACATTTTATGATAAACGGCTTAACATTTGAGGTATGTTGATACAGTTTATAACAAACTTTTTGACGAGGGTACAAAATGTACAATTCTAGTATCTGCAATGAGCTGCAGCACAACATCTGTATGGCTATCAAAAATTACGGAAGTCAGAGTATGGTCTATTCTGTTAATTACTTACAAATACTTTATTAATTATTTGTTAGCACTTTATCGGTATACCGGTTCGTACCGTAGTATAATGCAGCGCATGTACCGTATAGATATGCTACAGAGTGTAATTGTGACTTGAGATACTTGTACAATATCTGTATGTACAGTATTGCGCAGGGCGTGTAATCTATATTAGCTTCTGTCCAGGTACCGGTATACTGCGCATATCCTGGAGCATATCCCTGCCGGATTCGACGATTTTGTGGTTGCCATAACCGGGTCAAAAACCGGCACTTTTCCACCAAATTCACCGCTAATAACGCCTCAAAAGTACCATAGAAATGAGTGACTTGCAAAAGGAACTGATTTCCTAACAGGTTGTTAATTCAGCCTCTAGCCAATTAGATTGCCGACACTTCTCACAGTCGTGGTTAGGAATATCTATAATACAAAGTACTATTTTGTTACGATCACGTTAAGAGAAGCAGCCAAGCGCGAATTTTGTGTACTGCTTATGACTTATGCTATTGTACACATATAACTTATACTTCAGTACATTGGAAAATGAGCAGTCTATATTTCTTCGAATTTATTTTCTCTGTGTTGCTGATAACGGCTTCCTCGACGATTGGTCAGGATTTAGAGGAACCCCCACAATGTCCGGTACAAAAGCCGGACAAATGTCTAAATACCGCGGATATCAAGGCTGCCTTAAACGATTTCACCGTACGCGCCTATAAACAGCTGGCGACCTCCAAGAGCACTCCAGCTGATTCAAACATCGTCTTCCTTCCCCTGCACGTCAGCACCGCCCTGCTGTTGGCTTGTGCCGCGTCCAAAGGCCCCACCCACGACGAAATCATCGCGGCGCTCAATCTCGGCAGCGGTATGTTATGATATTTTAGGCAGAGCGAAATTACTACTCGTACAACCGAAAGGTCAGAGCGGCCGTTGATGTACATAAATGACAGGATTTTATTAACCGGTATCGGGAAACAACAGTACAGGCAAATGCCGGCACGTAGACCAAACAAGTCCATTTAACAAACACTGAAACGTTGCAATGGACTTGTATGTATCGGGGACAGGAGATGTGCGATAATTGAGCCAGTATTATATAGGCTATAGCAGCATTGAATTAGAACAGTGGTATTTATTTATCGTGAAAATCTTTGTGTAACAGGTATTAACTGCGAAGATGCCTATGGAATTATCCAGTATCTGTACCGTACCGCGCCGCATAAAACCGATCCGCCCACACGTTTCGACGACGCCACCTTCGCCATTAACCGATTGTACGTGGACAAGAGTGTCACACTGCGTCCGGAGTTTGTCCACGCCGTACAGACCAACTTCAACCAGACACCGGGAGTGGAGGATTTCAAGAATAACGCCGCCGGGGCGATTAACAACATCAACAACTGGGCAAAGGAGCAAAGCAGCGGGAATATTCAGAATGTCGCCAACGAGCAGACCATCAATAAGGACACAACGGTGACCTTAGTCAACAGCCACTATCTGCAGTTTCTATGGTCTCAACAGTTTGACCCTAAGAATACGGTGGCAGGCGATTTCAGTCTGCTGAATGGTGCCAAGGCCTCGGTTAAAATGATGGTCAACAAGGAGAAGAACTACATGTACTTTAACAATCTGGACGGTAAAGCGGTTCCTAATGTACCGGCATTTGAAATGATCGACTTGATGGATAAATGGGCCACGGGTTCGGTACTGGTGTTTGTTCCCAAAGATGCCAAAGATCTGGCCAATCTGGAGAAAGCTTTGACGCCGGCTTTGGTAGACCAAGCGTTTAGCAATACGAAGCGCACGTTGATGAACCTGAGCGTGCCCAAGTTCACGGTGGAGTCTGTGACGGACGTCAGTAAGATCGCGTCCGGGTTGGGTATCAACAAGTTGTTCAGCAAGGATGCCGATTTGTCTCCCATGACGACCAGCAAAGGGGTGACCATAAAAGGCATCGCTCATAAGGCTATGATCGGTAAATGCAACTTCGCTCTTTCATTACGCAGTGTAATACGCACTAAAAATCGATTTCTTCTGTCGTGACTAGTAACGTCTACAAAATCACCTCAATAAATAACGTACTGTAAAAAAATGTTTTTTTTCAGACGTTAATGAGCAAGGACTGAAGGCTGCGGCTGTTGGTATTGCCACGGCAGGCAAGTCTGCGTTCAATGTGAAACCGCCCATCAATGTGACTGTCGATAGGCCATTTGTTTTCGTTATTCGCATTCGGGAGACGGAATTCTTATCCTACGTGGGTCGTGTCACAAATCCAGTACAAAAGTGATATTTCCATTAAGTCTCGTTTAATTTGTGGGAGTTGGCTACATAATTTTGTTTCGGTGTAATGACAGTGGAAGTGTGTAGCTGTAACTGGTGACGGTTGTTTTAAATTACGGCAGTCAAAAACCAGATAAAAAATACTTCATCTCTAACTCGTTCCGATCTTTAAAGGCTCACTAGTTTCTAGAATTCTAGTAGTCTTCGATCTTTTAACCCCACTAGTTTCTAGTAGACTACTCAACGATACTTTTCAACGATATCGGAATTTATTAAAAACACTATTATTATTTATCTGAAGTTTATGAAATTTTTAGTACAAGCAAGCAGAAGCAGTAAGCAACTGATTTCAAAATATTATACTCAGTCACAGAAAGGTCAGTGTTCTGCATAATTCAGTCAGCAAACAAAGCACAATTGGCAAAATTATTTTGAACGCATAGTTTTGAGCTGATTTAAGCATAGTTGCCTTATTAATATTTTCGGCAACATCGAAATAAATCAACAAGTTTTTGCCGGAAGTCATCGTGTAGAGCTGTATATAAAACCGGGTTGACTGCCGAGTTCAAGTAAGCCAGCCAGTAAGTCATTGTTAGAAACCACGTTGGCAGTGTTCCCCAGTTGAATAAGGTCACAAAGAAATAAACGTAAAAGGGGATCCAACAGATGGAAAATGCCACGACAATTGCTCCCAAAGTAAGCAATGCTGATTTTTCCCGATTGGCTGTGTGGTTTATTTTCGCTGGCCTGTTGCCGAGTTGCTTTTCATCCCCACCAGCCGTTAGCGTTGTCGAGTTAATAATACTTTTCTCCGTCACGCCAACGTGGGAAATTGGGGAAATTCCTTTGTAGCGTGGCTGAATGGAGCTGCCCTCGGTTTGAATGGGGGCTCCCTTAGTGGCACGAGTTTTCCGAAATCTGTGTCAAAAGCAGCCATATACGTACATATGCACACGTTTTTAATCTGCAATATTTTCAAAAACGTAAAAACATATTGTTATAATATCTGAAACACGCAAATTTGTGCCTTGGATTTGCAGAAGATAACAGCAAATATTAACTAACCTTTTACGCATTTTGAATCCAACAATCGTATACGAAACCACCATGGTAATAAACGGTGCCAAATATCCTAACACTCCGATGTAAAATCCACCGGCGTAATTTTTTGCGGGATCCCATGCGCAGTCCTCCACGACGTTATCATGGTTAAACCGATCATAAAAGAACGCCGGCATCCAGATGGACGCCACAAACACCCACGTACACACAATGACCAGCCGCACTTGACCGGGCGTGTGCCACTGCTTATAGGTCACCGGCCACGTCACCGACCATAACCGTTCCACACTGATCACCGCCAAGACCATCACCGACTCAAAGGTCATGAACCAGTCGGTAAAGACCCACACCGAGCACATCGGTTCCCCGAACGGCCAGTAACCGTAGCAGTTGTACAGGAAGAAGGACGGCATAACGATGATTCCGACAAAAAGGTCAGCGATGGACAGATTGAAGATGTACGTGTTGAACTGGGTGCGCAGATGTGGGAAGCGCAGGAACGCATAAATAATAAAACCGTTGCCCCCGACGGTTGTAATGATGGCCGAGATGAGGATGATTCCGAGGGGCACTAGTGTGTCGAGGGAGGGCGGGTCGGGATAGGCGTAACCGGTCGACAAGGAGACGTTGGAAGCGTTGCTATTGTTTTGAATGGCAATCGACATTCTGAAAAATTATCAGAAAAATTTCAAGTAAATAACTAATATTCCTTAATAGAATAAAATCCCCGGGAACAGTAAGTACTGAAACTGCACGTTCAGAAAAAACCGGCTATTAACTTCCCGATTTTATAACTGATCCCACGTCTTGTGCTACTATAAATATCGTTCCGCCGTCAGATAGTGAGATGAACTATCAAAAGATGAGGCAGGCGGTACCAATGTAACTGAACAATAATAATGGCTCGCGTGTCGGTGTCCACAATAATGTCGTGGATGACTCCATTCTCTTTGCGCAAGGATCTGTCACTGTCCCGCTCAGATGGTTACCGGACACCACTTGCTTTATTCAGTAAGGTCAAGGGCATCAAGTCAATACTGAAACTGCATGCCCACCAGTACGGCATTATATGAGTATACGAAAGCCAACACTGCATTTTAAGGAAAAGTAAAACTGAATTCTGTACCGAGGTACTGTATCCACCTATATTCCCGTGTACATTATTCCCTAATCCCGTGCACAGATGAATCCATTCAGTGTAGCAAAGTATCCATTTACCTGCGCCGTTAAGTCATAATTATGGGACAACAGATTGCCCTTTTGCACATGCACTTCTTTTTCAAACACCCGGGCGGAAGTTGCGTACTTATCGCTACGGGAAGTATCGCATCCCGGTGCGAATGTTATAAAGCGGACGGTATACACGTTCTCTCACCTGTCAACTGATGCCGGCTACGGCCCATGCGACGATGATGGAATAAACAGCAGGGAACGAGGCATTGTTGCGTATTCAACATACAGGCATTCAGCATTCGCACGACGCAACGCATTTACATACCGGCATCGCGTAATTTTTTGCCGTGATTGTTAATTGTATCAGTACAAAAACCCACTTCCATCGGGACAAAAGCATCCGGTGGATACATCAAACACCTATTTGGATTTTTTGTTATTAGCACAAGCACAGTGCAAAGCGTTAATTCGCTTAATCCATAAATGCCGGCAGGTGCGTCAGAGTGGCACATCCAAATCTCCAGACAAGTAATCGTTCCCGATTACCGCGAGTTGCCTGGATAGGAAAACACTTATTGCCTCGACTAGTTCATTTCCGGTTGCATGATTTACCGTTTTTCGTCATAAGCATTTGTGACATGTACTGTTTGGCTTGATGCAATAGATGGATAAATTTTTCAGAATGGTCTCCACTGGTTTATTATGCACGTTTCCGTACCGAAATCGATAGTAATGAAATATGTTACCGGATGGTTGCTATTGACTCGATTTCTTTTTTTCGCGTCTACTGGTTGATTTATGCTGTGGGGCTAGTTAACAGCTACTCCGTGAGATTGGCTATGTGAAAGGTACGATGCGGAGGTGTGCCCGACATTTTTAACGAGCAAACAAGATATGGTGCCGACAAAAAAACAGAAACGGATGTAGCTGGTGCTGATCGATTTCTAGATCGGTCTTCCTTGTCGAATCGGAAGTAATAATTCTGTGACTAAGAATTTAGATAATTTGGTAATAATAAGTTGTCACGCTGATAATCCTGCAAAACGCGAATATCACTGTAACAAATACGAGTACAACGACTAATTTTGTTACTTGTAATGTAGAAAAATTCTTGAAAGATTTATTTGAAACGACTATAATACCATGCAAAGGTTAGTCAGATCACAGAAACCAGAACGTGCGCTAATTACAGTAGTACGAGTATAGGGGTTCTTCTGCCTGCCTTCCCTATTTACCGTAAGTGCCTGTGCACTTTTAAACCAGATTTCTAGTATCCACATCGTTCTAAAAGCAGCTATTCGCATTTTGTAGCTGTTGTGAAAATATCTACTTTGTAGATTTGCATTGCAACCTTTTTGACTTAAGAGCGATTATTTATGATTTTATCGATCTGTTGCATGGAGCAGTCCAGGTCCAAGCAGTGTTTTACAAATCAGCTGAATGCACATACTGCTCCGCACGCCGCCGCAACGATGAACATAATAATCTCTGTTCATATTTTATGACATACGAGCATACAAAATTCAGCAGACATTCTTAGTTCTTGGAATTTCATTTTGCTAGCTTACGTTTTTGCTAACAACAGAAGCATATTCTTACGTAAATTTAATTATTTTTGTCTGGCGGTTTCGTCTCGTTTGGTCAATAGCACAGGCAGGTAATATAAATATAATAAATTTTGCGGGTAAGACATTTACAAAAATATATGTAGAATTTGTGTGTACAGAAATTGTAAACCTGAACATTATAAACTGCAAATATAAACACCAAGGTAACTAAGAGGGAGACACAGGAACATCATATCGCAGTTAAAATGCATTGGCGGCATCATTAATATTTATACGTGTCATATTACTGATCGGCATTACGCGTTTTCTTCGGCAACACAGTATTTCAATAGCCTTCTTCCGCATATCTTCATTCAGAGCGGTGTACAGGACAGGATTAACTGCCGAGTTTAGATACGCCAGCCAGTAGCTTAAGGTCAGGAACCAGTCTGGTAGTTGAGCCCAGGCAAACAGCGTCACGAAGAAATACACGTAGAACGGTATCCAGCATACCGAGAAGGCGAAACCAATGGCACCTAAGGTCACCAGGGCGGATCCCTCCCGAGTAGTGGGTTTGCTGCTCGACGATTTTTTCAGTGGTCTCTTTTTTGGCTCATTTAGGTCATTATCTTCAGGATCTTCTAAAACTTTACGTGGTGCAAGCGATTTATCATTCGTATGAACAGTTATTGCCTGTCGAACGCTAGTAACAGTCCTGTCCTGCTCCACTGCAAGCATTTTACGTAACGGTGCGGACCTATCAAACACAACCAATAATTGTACTATAATGCTTTAGAACTCAGTGCTCTATTCATGCTTCGCGGATAAAAAATACTGAGCATTTTCAGTAACAAATATGAGTTGATCTAATAAGGCCAACCTTGTTCGAACTTTCCAGCCTACGATCGCGTAACACGAGCACATGAGTAGAAAGGGCAATAAATATCCCAGAACTCCAATATAAATTCCGCTGGCAAAATTCTTCGCCGGATCCCATGCGCAGTTTTCCACAATATTATCGTGATATACTCGATCGTAAACAAGCGCCGGTATCCAAACAGCCGCTACCACCAACCACGTCAGTACAATCGTACACCGCACCTGATTGGTCCTATGCCAGGTCTTGTAGCTGATGGGCCAGGTGACCGACCACAATCGCTCTGCACTGATCACCGCCAGCGTCAGCACCGACTCAAAGGTCATGAACCAGTCGGTAAAGACCCACACCGAGCACATCGGTTCCCCGAAGGGCCAGTATCCGTAGCAGTTGTACAAGAAGAAGGACGGCATAACGATGATCCCGACGAAAAGGTCAGCGATGGACAGATTAAAGATGTACGTGTTAAACTGTGTGCGCAGACGGGGAAAACGGATAAATGCGTATATGATAAAAGCATTTCCTCCGATCGCCGTGCATATGGCTCCGATTAAGATAATACTCAATGGGATCAGTTGTGATAATGATGGCGGCTCTGGGTAATCATATCCCGAAGCTGTAGTGTTGTTGTATTGCGGGGTAAAATTCGCCATTTCTAGCTTAAAACCAAAACCTTGCCGAGGTCGTGTCAACAAAATCCTTAACGAAAAAGTTCCAAGAAGGAATACATGTAGTGATCATCACACAGCACGACACTTTCTGTGTATTCCAGAAAATTGGCATTCGCATCGGCAAAACAACGTATCGGTTGATCATTAACGTCTCAGGTGGCCTTGTGTATTCCATCCACGCAATTTTCCGCGTGTCGTAAAATCCGGTCTACTACATGTCGCTTATTGGCTTCGTTTTCGGATTTATACTCTTATAGGTCACGAGTATCTCTGATGATCGCTCAACCAATGATACATACGTCGCCACTATCCCGTTAACCCTAAACATGATCAGCCATCGGTTTTCCGGTTTTAATTACCAACACAACTGCTTTCAAAGTTGCCAGAACGCCGGTAAATCAAAACAGTAACCAGTGCAAAACGGTACGGTTGTGGCAGGATTATGCATGTGGGCAAGCAGCTAATCCTGTACACTGGTTCCGGGATAACTCACGCAGTCACGCGTCAACTTTCGACTGATCCAGCTAACAACAGTCTATACGCTTATATAAATCTGCCTAACTGCACGTGGCGCCCGCTGTCATGCAAATACCAAGAAGCCGCAGTTTCTGAAAACTCGTGGCGTTATCCATCAATTTAAAAATGGCTTCTGCTGAACATGATAGATTTGGATTAATCAAAGTTTTCCGTGCACAAGGTTAAGGTTGTTCGTTATGTATGTGGCATAAACAACAATCATCATGACGTGATACTTGTTGAATACGCTTGTCTTGTGTACAGTTTTTAACGGTTCTTGCACATAAAATTCGCGCACAAAATTTTAAATATTTAACGAACAGACTTTATTCGTGTTACATTAATTTTTTACTGTATTACGAAACTCACGTTCAACGCCGTTACAGTATAGTGCATGCAGAATCGATAATTAAATAATTTTGGGCAAAGAGAAAATTAAAAGCAAAAAAGATCTCGTATTAACGTGGAAGAAGAAAACTATGCATAGTCACTGCCATAGTCTGCGTATTACCATATGCCTTAATAGTGCGTAATAGTACCATATGTCTTAATAAAATCTTAGCTGCAGAAAGGTGTTTTTAACTGCAGGCAAAGAAAGTATTAATTACCAATTTACCTAATGGTAAGCTGTGGTACCTGTGTATCCTGAAATCAGTACTTCGAAGTACGAGTGATTTTTAGCTTTTCTCTTCAATCTCATGCATGCCTTAGTTATTATGAAGTATACGGGCCAATGTCAAAACGACGGCGGAATTTTCTGCCGGCGGAAATTTTTCGTGGTCAAAGCGACGGCGCAATGTTTTGCCGGCGGAAATTTTGTGTGGTCAAAACGCCGGCGGAAATTCTCGTGGTCAAACTGCCGGCGGAATTTCCTGAATATGAATTTTTTTACGGAAATCATAAAGTTATACAAAGCCAACTTATTGGTAAAATAATTCATGCGTGCATTCTTGTCAAACAAACTTCTGCTACTGCTAGTTTCAAAACACGCTTCATCGTTCGGCAGATAAACAGTCAACAATAACAAAAGAGAGCTACAACTTTAAAGAAGTTGAAAAATTAAAGAAAGCACAAGCAAACAGAAGACACAATTATAAAAGAACATACATACGTGCTCGAAGTCAAATACCAACCAGCTAATACGCCGGCAGTTTGACCACGAAATCTCTGCGCGTAAAGATTCTTCGTCTGAGTTGGCAGTGTCAGTCTATATTCAGAGAAGTTATGAGTCTTCCCAGGAAAGGCTCCAACGGATCAGACTAGATCACACCTCAGTGTCATCGCCGCGGTGCCATTGTCAAACACCTTGTTTGTCTTTTTTTGCGCGGCTGAGGTATTCTCTTGAACTTGTTCGCGCGTTCTGTGCAAACTGCCGACGCAACAACGCCCATACAGACTGTACATAAATACATGCGGCTCGATAAAAGGCTTATATTGATAACGGGGCGCCCGAATCTATGTAAGATACATTTTTCTTTGCAAAACTGTTTTTAACTATCCACAGTAAATGAAATTAAAAAGTTACGAAAATTCCGCCGGCAGTTTGACCACCAGAATTTCCGCCGGCGTTTTAACCACACAAAATTTCCGCCGGCAGAAAATTCCGCCGTCATTTTGACCACAAAAAATTTCCGCCGGCAAAAAATTCCGCCGTCGTTTTGACATTGGCCAGTATACGTACGGTTCGTGGTGTAAACCGCCTAGCAAAAGCGAACGGGTATTATCCATCACATTTTAATGATTAATGCTGTCAGCTTCCTCGTTTATATGCAAGTGCCGGAGAGAAAGGGACTAAAAGGTTTGCTCTTCTGGGAAGACGGGGTGGGGTGGGGCAGTTCAAAAAGTCGAAGCTGGACCACAAACGAAGCTCTCATATTACATACTGCCTACAGTAGTATTTGACCAAAATTTCATTAGCGCGATCTAGTACTGCGAAAAGTTACTTATTAATACAGATGAACTTTCTGTAGGAATGGTACGGTGTTCCCTCATTCAGTTTTCCGACTGAAGTCTGATGAGATTAATGTTCCCAAGATCTTGATTTTCACAATCAAAAAGTTATTTAAACAATCATTGCTTAACCAAATCGTCTTCGTTCCTATAAAAAAAGAATGCGACTTAAGATGTAAGTGTATTGGTCCTTCCATTTGGTCAGCCACGACCAATAAATCAGCGCTTTTGCTGTATTATACTCGTATGTACTTGTATATTAACTTTCAACATGTAGGGTAGTCCAAGGGCAAGATCAACTTGATTCAATGACAGAAATTTCTGTAAATGGCTGTACTGACCATTTGAACAAATTTCCGGCAGCTGTATTTTTTGCAAATTTTTTAAAAAGCTTTTTAAGTATTTGGTAACAGGCCTAGGACCGCAAGCACGTGAATAAATAACTGCTGCGACAAAAACAAGCAATTAAACGAGATGAAATATCAAAAAACATGCTCTGATGAAAAATTTGCTTCGACGTCACTGTACAACCAAGTTCTCACGTTGCCTTAACTGACAATGGCAGCTGAATATGCAAGAACAAAATTTCAAACGGTTGCAATGGCATCGTTTTACTTGTTTCTCCTCAATGAATTATTGTACCAGCCGTCTATATACGGGTTCTATATTTCGGACTAAAGACTTTCAGCAGACATTATTCATTACTATACGAGCTACAGCACTGAAGCCGTCAAGGACAAATAAACCGCGTTAAGTTTTTAAACATTTTTTAAGTGGTCAAATTAAATGAAATGCGACTGACAGGGATTATCTTGGTACTTTGCCTGCTTTTCAAAACGTACATCTCTTTTCCCGTACTGGAATTAATATCGTTTTTGCCGTACAACGGCTCCAATCCAGACGTCGTGTTTTCTACAGCCGCCATTAATTTGACGATGGAAAGGCTGTCCTGGCTGAATGAGTCGACGGACGGTATCAGTGTTCACTTTGCCTGGTTGTATAACGCGTCAAGTACGACGTGCGAAGAAATTGCCGGAGACGCTGTAAACATGGTTGCAGAACATTTCTATGAGCACCATAAACCGGGTCGCTGCTCGGCGTTAATTGGTTCAAGTAATAACCTAAAACTAAACTAATGCGAATATACGTGGATAACTTATGCTTGCTGTAAAAGTGTATTTTTGCCGCAGAATGTGGACTGACAGATGTCTCACCTTTGGCCAGCGGTACATAAAAAAATACTGCGTTTGCTAACGTTTACTTAAACTTCCATAACCATGACCTTTATTTATTCACTAAAGAAATTTACTGCAAATATAGACAAACTTTGTTAACATACTATTTTTGGCTTTTCCTAGTTTGCGCGACTGGGCAAAACTCCTTCCAAAAGTTTTATTTGAATTTTGTAGAAGCTGTTTGCAGTTCTTACCTTGTATATAAGTAACTTGCAGATCTGCAGTACTTCTATACAAAAATTATTGCTTTTCTAGAGTGGAATGTTCCTTTGTTCGACATGTAAGTGTTTGTGTGCGAATTTTTATTCTGAAAAACTGCTAACTAATTAGACTGTTAATTGCTGACCCTTGTCACAGTCTTGTTAATGACAAAGTGTACCTGAATCCAGCTGATTACCCAACGGTTGTGATACCAACGGATGGCTACAACCACTTGGTGGTCATCATCGTAAAACTCCTCAGCATCGGACGCTGGGATAGAGCCTGTTTGCTGTTTGATAAGTCGGTTGGCAGTACAACGGCTACTTACTACTGGGAACTGTTCAGAACATTCATTGCGATGGATTCCGTAATCAAAATGGAACGCAAGGTTGTCATTGATGTCTTTGACTATTCCAAGGAAGTGGAAATCAATCGCAGTCTTGCTATTTGTCGCAGTCGTAATATTCAAGGTATCTCATAGCTGATAGTTTCTTGTTTTACAGTGCACGACAAAAAGAAGTTGATGAGGCGCGACCGCACACTGGCCGGTCGATTTCAACCTCTTTTTGTCGTCCATTGTAATGCTGGTAACAAGTGCACTCATAAATCGCAACTGCCAACTCAGTTTTATTTACTCTAGCGATTCTGATCATATCCGACACAAACACAACCATTCGAATTATGGTAATTTGTTTTTCAGCACGAGTACCTACCACAGGTAGCGCTCATTTACTTTTTTTTCTTGTATTTAGAATCATGCTTTTGACCTTGGTATGGGAGATGGCGATACGGTATGAAATGTGAACGAAACAAATCCAAGGTTTTGGAGCCCTTTGTTTTTAACTTACTGTCAGCCATCCAGCAATAATTTTCCAAAAAAGAAGAGCTTGTAAATCGGTGATCATTGCTGCCCTTTCTTTACCTGCAGGTTTTTATACCAATTGTGCCAATCAACAGTCCGATACATAGCAGATTCGAATTGGCCAGTGGCATGCGAAATCGGGTACGTTGGCGTAGAATGTCACATCAATAATCAATTATTCGCAAGTCAAAGTTCATTGATTGCAGAATGACACGATTCTAAGATCTATAATGTACGTCACTTGGACGAAACAAGTGCCGCAGTTTCGGGAGCGTGACGAATTACTCTTCCGACATGCATACACTGCCTTTCCTGATACAGAGACTTCGTATATCGCTCAGGTATAATTACCATGACCGTGAAATCTGTACCTTATCACCCGTATAGCAAGTTAAATTTTTGCACAGCCAGGAGAACTCGTCAGTGTATGGAACACTTTTACGATTGTTGGTTCGTGGATACGATTTGCCCAGACACTGCCCAATCCGTGCGATGGACGAGAGATGGCGCAGAAGATTCGGGCAGTACTGTCAAAGGTTGACAACGGCAGTATGAGTGCGTCAGCATGCCTGGGTCAGCCAGATGCACTGGATGTGGCGGTACACGTATGGAGTGAAACAGACGAGCGATTCACTGTAAGCAGCAAATTGTATGTGCCTTTTGTTAATAAGTGACCTTCGAAACCTTGTCCGGCTAGACTTTGATTAAATACAACCGGACAGCGAAAGAATTTGACTGGTTCTCTTTGGACGTCAACGATTGGCCTTTTCCGTTACTGTATCGACTTAAGCTTTGCTTGGCTGATCAAGGAGCTGGATGTGGGCCAGGTTCGAATACCGCACACAAACAAGATATATCACTGACACTTGCACAGTAATTTTGAGAACTCGATTTTATCTGTGACGCAGAACAGCCTTTTGCCATCCCAGTTGAACTGTCAGCCGATGCGATGGTGCTCTTGCTGCTGGTTCCATTAGGAGCAGCGATTTTGTACAGGTAACCTAGTCCGCAAATCGTACATTTTCGTACAATTTATTTTGACTGATTAAGTACATGGTTACACGTTATAGCTCTCTGATAATTACGTACTGTACGTTACAGAAAGCAAAAAATCACAAGAACCTTGAAACAACAATGGTGCATCTCGGCAAGTGACCTCCATTTTGGTGATCGCCTTGGAGACGACAGTTTGTCTCCGGGTGTGGGTGACTTGCACGGTATGCCAGTGTGGACGATACCAGTTATTCGGAAAGCTGCAAGAACCTCGGCCAGAGTGGAAACATCTATTGCGGCTTTGTTGTTAGAAGTACGAGCACGATTATACTTTCATAGATGGATAAAAGCGAGCATGTTCAAGGGTACGACACAATTGTTCGGTGGCATTGCAGCTGCACAGTATTCACCATGATAACATTCAGCGCTTGTTGGGATTATGCTCTACACCGCAATACATATGGATAGTAGTACCGTTGGTGAAACGTGGGACTCTGGAGATGCTGATGGCGGTCATGGAGCTGGACTGGGATTTTCGATTGTCGTTTATCAGTGATATCATGCAGGTGACACGCAAAACGTCATTATATATATTATACATGAATGTTTCTTTTCATTACTTTTAAATATAGGAATTATAAATAACGTTGCTAAAGGTCACTTAATAGTTATCCATCTCATTGGTAACCGTAAGCTCGTAGCTGCTGTACTTTTGATGTTCTAATGGGACATATTAGAGATAGTACATAAACATATTGAGCAATATTTGACAAAATATTGCAGGGCTTGTCGTATATTCACAATTCTTCGCTGAAATATCATGGAAATTTATCGGAGCGGACATGTCTCATTGACAGCCGCTTTGTCGTGAAAATCGCCTGTCTGGGGTTCGAGCAAATAAAGGCTGTGGTATCACCGACTAGGCAATCCCGTAAAGTGAAACCGGTGCACTTCAACGTATATCAGAAAACGGATATTCTGTCATTTCACGCTCTCGTGATCCTGTTGTCTAAATATGTTCCCATGGATTTGACACATGTTGGCGCTCCGCAGTCATTCAATCTGCGGAAGAGAATGGAAATATTTGGCAGCGAGATAGAAAACTGCCACTGCATGGAGAATGTGGAACAGAAATTCCGGGAGACATTCCCGGGCAGAAGAAAAAACCCCATCGAAAGTGTCCTGGATCGTCTGGAGGGGTACACGGATACGTTGGAAAAGGCTGTACAGAGTCGCACGGAAGAGCTGGCGGTGGAGCAGGACCGATGTAATCAACTTCTCGAACAGATTTTGCCTCGGTATTCACTTCATTACAGAATGTACAGTATCATAATTATACAAACAATTGTCAGGTCTTATTAATACGTACAGGGCCACTGGCATACTCCAGTGGATTATCGTAGTGAGATGGCAGTCTGTAGTGACATGTTTCGTGTGGAATGTTGATATGCCACGTAAACCGCGAAACGATTGTGATAATAGGATTCTGTAATACAAAATTGATACAGATATTAGTTTTTTTTTAAATTTGCATGGGTAATTCATATATTCGTCTACTCGTATAATTATACAGTTATTTAACTGTGTTATACATATTTGCTGAAGCATCTATTTAATACCTGGGTTACGCTATTTAATAACATGGAATATGTTATGTATCGTAAACTTTATTACGGTAACACAGTAACCAGTTTCAGACAACTGACAACGCGTTCACATGTTTTTTATAAAAATGAAAATTATGCAAGTGAGTTTGATGATCTGTTGTTGTGTTCGTATTATTCTTTTAGTCCGGTTGTCCAAGCATTACGAAGCAACATCTACGTAAAACCCGAATTGTTCGAATGCGTGAGTATCTGCTTCACGGATTTACCGGGATCCGTAGCATGGATCGCTACTGTTTCCTCCTCCAAGGTCATCAATCTCCTTCACGCCGTGTATCTAATGTTTGATGAGGAAATCAGCAAATACGATGTTCACAAAATTGAGACGATCGGAGATACTTACATGGTACCGTACACGTGAATTGTGATTGTACCGGAAAGGTAAGGTTGACAGTGTACCTTGCAGGTGGCCAGCGGAATTCCGGTGCGGAATGGAATCCAGCACGTGACGGCCATCTGCCGGATGGCCAAAAGTATGATGGATCGCTTTGGCACTTTCTGCTTACCGAAAGGAACCCACATGCAACTGCGGGCCGGTATTCACAGCGGTATGTGTCTTTGTTAACTTCATTCTTTAAGCGAATTACAATGCGGAAAACGAGATTCGTTTGCAGGACCATGTGCTGCTGGAGTGGTGGGACATAAACTTCCGCGATACTGTTTGTATGTTTGTACCAAGAGGTGTTGTTGCTTTTTGGAGATCTTTGTTTGTAAAGTAAATAATCCTTAGGCTTAGAATGCACTATTACTGGCTTTACAAACTGAGGTTACCATAAGTTATTGTTGGTTCTTTTTTGTTTTAAGTATTAACACTGACATAACAGATCTAGTGTGCCTTTAGATTTGGAGATGCGGTGAATACGTCTTCCCGTATGACAACGCACGGTGAACCAGGTCGAATTCACGCTAGTGAAAACACCATTCTCCTAATTCCGAAAGACGCCATGGATGTGGTCTATATCAATAGAGGGGAAATATTCGTCAAGGTACAAATCTGTTCTGGATAGCATACGAGTCCACATTGCATACATGGCTTATACTGTCGTGAAAATTTTGCAACTGCTTTATAGGGAAAAGGTCAAATGAGTACGTACTGGATTGTTTAGTCATCAGTGAGCCACAAGAGATCGACAAGGTAGGTCTGGCAAAAAAAGTTGGATTGTGATTACGGCATATTACCGGCAATGGCTTGAAGTGCTCTTAAATTTTCTTAGCGCCAATTTTATGCTGATAATTATGCAAAAACTGCTGGGCGTTTTTTCAGCCTTGTCTGACGGTAATGTTATTAACCGCGCATGCGCTTAATTAAAACGGATTTGAACGGAAGTTTTGTCTTGAAATGAGGATGCAGTGTTAACATTCATATTTACCGCCGACTTTAAACAAATCGTAACAATCGTAACAAAAATATCGTCTTTCGAATATGTAACTTCAATATACCGAGACACCAAAAACAAGAGACGACTTTCTCAAACAAGCTTCGGGTGAAACTAAAATTCATGCCCAGTTCATAAACGATGACTGGCACCTCCATTACATAAGACTGTCGGAAAGATTAAAGGTCAACACGCTACGCGAAACCAAGATTAACGCTTAACGAACACACATCAGTAGTTAACGGTTTAACCATTTCAAGGATTCGGGAATCCGTGTGGAGGATTACCAGGATTATTGTTTTGATTTTCTCGTGTAAACGTGATCCAGCTCGTCCACCACCCAGTTGCTGTATTGGTGTACAGTACTTACTACTGAACTGTAATCTGCATGTCGACTACGCCCTCTGCTATTTCGCCGTTACAGAACTTCCCATCAAATTTTCAGCCCCATTGATGTGACAATGCGGCCCACGACTTTTGCTAGTTCCCTTCGGTAATCGCGGTTCAGTGTAAAAAACAAAACCTGCAGATAGAAAAAACTTTAAATCAAAAGACAGTTAAGAGAAAAAAACACAATTTGCATCATATCCTCATGCAAAATTTTGAATGTTGCACTTACAGGCGTCATAGTGTAACCGGACACAAATAGCGTTTGCGACCACAGCATCGCGGTGATTTTAGCATAAGATGGTCGCATCATGGCAGTGAACAGCAGCGTGTAATAACAAGCAGTATACCATAATGCCGCCGCGAACAACATTCGACCGGTGCGAATGCGTCGCTTGCGATGGCTGTCCAGTGCTCGTACGTCGTACTGCTGCATCCCTGCTGCGCCAATCGGATTTGTCCGAACAAACCACAGTTTCACACATAGAACAAAATAAACCGAGAGTGTCAATGTCAGCGGAATATACGTGCCAATCAATGCCACATGCATCCACGGCGTTCCCAGTTTGGGCAGAAAACTACAGCTATTCCACGGCGGAATAAGAACATACGACCCTTCAGTGTTGAGAACAGTGGGCAAAGTATTGCTGAAACCAATTAGCCAGCTCAGCACAATCGTGGCGACAATCGCACGACGTGTCGTACAACGGTTATATAGATGCCGATTAGTCACTGCGATAAACCGGTTGACACTGATAACGAACTGCGACCAGTGTCCAGTCTGCATCGTCACCTGTAGTAAGAACTTCATATACACACAGTCTTTAGAGCGAAAAATATCGTACTGCCCCACATATACACCCAGTAACGCGAGCGGCATATGGACAAGAGCTAATTCGGTCTCCACAATAATCAGATGGAGGATCAGGATTCCGGATGATTTCTGGTGCGTTTTTAAGCGAAGCGAGACGATCAACAAAAGCGGAAAAAGTACAGCGGAAATTAGTATGCCAATGAGAGATACGACAGCCCAGTTGAACAATTCACCCTTTAGAGTAATCCATAACGGTGCGGATTTGGTGTCGTTGGCAGACGTAAAGTTATGATGAAACGGGATCATAGTTTATAAAATTGTGTCGCTGAACAGCACATAAATACAGCAAGCGTGAGAACAAATATTATAATCCATGGAATCGGTGACCTGCATACTGAGTAAAATTGCAAAACTATAATCGAAAAATGCCGGGAACTGGAAGTAGTGTAGTTATCGCTTGTAACACTTCGAAGCGCGTTCAGCTCTAGCGAGTGCATATACCATCCCCCCGCTTTTTATGGCTTTTTCTCGAATCTACAATTACAGTACATATTACAACTTACGCCGCATATTTCCCAGCCTTTCCCATCAGATATCTGGGTAATACCTCGCTGCATAATACGATTTCCAGATTATCCCTAATTATCTGCTACGGCTTTATTTTGCATCGACTTGGCTAATTCTGACCTTTAGCCCAGTCAAATAACAATACCAAGAATGCAAACCGGCAAGAGTCATCCTTTGAGTACTGAATTTAGCCACTGAATTTGCAAATCCTGGAAGTAACTGTCATGCATGCATGACAGCCATTTCCTGGTTTTGCAGTAACTGTCAGTGAAGCCTGATAATTAAGTATTTTTGCTGTGCTAAATTCCTGAAGGTTTTGGTAAAATTTAATTACATTAGCATCCAATAATACCCTTGTTTAATAAAGCTGTTTAATAATGTGAGACTGAGAGATTAATAATGTGAGATTAATAATGAGACTGTTTAATAAAAGGGTGTGGCTATTGCCACCACCTTGCACCACCTTATTTAAAATGAATTGTGACACCACCTCTTGACTGCTCCCACCTCCTCTTTGCGTTTATACCTTTATGGCATAGTTTTAAAAAAACTTTTCGTTCACCGTAAAAGCACGTTTTGGGAATGTTGCTTCTTAACGCTCCGTATGTTGAAAGACCACAGTTGTTGACAGTGATATCAGTTTAATGGACACAAGCGGCTAACAAATCTTTAGTCAGTTTGTGCGTTATAGTCTTTAATATAGGTAAAGAGAAAAATTTTACGGAAGTACGGAAAGTGTTACTAGAATTCGGTTTAAATATAGCTGTTCCTACAGAGGAAATTTTGTTGGAGCTGGGTTTTTCCACAATTCTGCTGTCTTCATATCGCTCAGCACAACAGAAAATAAAACAGAGGACTTATGCTTTGCTAACGCAAATGTTTTGCAGAATAATGTACTTGTACGTAAATACTAGTTGTACGTAAATACGATTACCGTTTAAATACTATCTACAGAGTACCCTTAGCGAGGCAATTCGTGTCATACAGATGTGTTCCAACAATAGAATCACAACTTCACAGTGCTGTGTATCAGAGTCACCTTCAATGCTGCATTGGGACGAGCTGATATGGTACACAAAGTGAACTAATTTTTCGTCTTGTTGCACTTTCTTTTTTATCAAATATTACAAGATTACCTATCGGCAGCTCATGACGGGATAAACTGTTGTCAATAGACCGAAAGCCAAGGTACAGTAAAGAAACAGTCAAACAATGTAATCAAAAGTTAGCACGTAACGTACGGGGACGGAAGTGTGTTTTTGCAGCATAAATACAGCAACATAAATACAGCTTCTACCATCTGGCCAGAATGTTAAAGGCACATACCCTTGCAATTCGACTGCGAGCCAATCGCAATTTCGGAACATTTTTCGTCTTTTCGTTGAACTAAAGATCCACAAAAATGGCTCGGTCTGTTATCTTTGTAACAATCTTTCTAGGGCTTGTAATTGCAGGTTGGTGCATCCAAATATTGACATTTTCCCAAGATACAATTTGTGCAGTTTATGGCCATGGACTGGCATCAATGCAAATCTATTTCAGAAATCCAAGGTCTCCCGTTTTCGAGGGCCTGGCAGCCACTGGACTACTGCAATTGCATTAGTTTCGGGTCAACAGTGTGTGGTCGAAATGGGGTTACGTATTCCAGCAAGTGCTATGCTGACTGTCTTGGTAAATCACGCTTTAACTGGTGATTTAGACTTTTCTAAAACAAAGTCGCGTATATGCCCTTGTTTACAACGTAGTTAGCAATTAATTTTTGTAGTAAAAACACCTTCACTGCTCATTTCCGCCATTATTATACTGTTTTCCTACACGTGCTCCATTAGAGTACTAACGTACTGACGCTTGATAATTTACAGTACTGACGCTTGATGAAAACCCTAGTGCTGACGATTCAAAAAAAGCGGCCTTTAAACTTTCTATTACAGTTTCTGGTCGCTGTTCTAAGATTCAGTCAACCCTGGGTGACCTTTTGCGTATCTAGATTATTTTATGCAAGTCCACTTTAATAAGTCGTATTTCGTCATAATGTTAGGTGGAGGTGTTGCCTATAGTGGAGCTTGCCGCAAGAACACCAAGGCCATCTTGTGCACTTTGGAATACGCACCCGTGTGCGGTGCCGATGGCGTCACGTATAGCAACGACTGCCATGCACGGACTGTCGGTATGGTATTGTGATGATCATTATATTTTTAAAAACTGTAGAAGACTTGTAAGGTTAACGTTGTTTGCAAGAAAATCTTTCACTGAGTATCGTAACGAACTCAGCTGATTAATAAAGCTAACACTAAGCTGAGCCTTTGCTTCCAGGGGTTGCCGTATTATACCGTGGAGAATGTCGACGCCAAATGGTAAGCTGGTAGAATTAATTAACGGTCACCTTATGCACACAAAAAGTAAATCTACAAAGTATATAATGAGTAATAACAATCAATTTAGCCCATGGTATTGTTGTATTTTAGGTATCCAAGTAAAACACTGGATCATGCAATTTGCGAACACTTAATCGACAACAAGTTGCGACTCGTACAGACTTCTAATTTTGTCATTGTTTCTATGAATTGTTTCTATTTCATTGTTTCCATTTTTGTCATTGTTCCTATAAGTAATTTATGGTTGCCTAATTATGTTGTGAATTCAGTTTGGCACGGCCAGCAAATATTGTAAATTTATTTGCAGTTTTAGGATTAACTGATGCGACAGTTTCTTTAACTGTACGTAGAATCCTCGAAATATCATGGACATATAAAATGTAATACGCAAGCGCGCTTCGGTGTTGAACCAATTTAAAAGCTGTGGAGAAAGTTTTGGGAGGCCCAGAGCAGATTCGGTTGTGAACTCGGGGAGAACGTTTCGGAATACCGAACTGACAGCGAATTTGGTGAATCTCGAACTGCGACCTTTTTCATTCTGACACTACTTATGCGCTGTATTTGTGCGAAAGTATACTGCTTTCTTGTACGTTGCAGGCTTGTTATAATTTTATCCTGATGAATTAACAAACCTGACCAACCCAGATTGTTCACATGCACTGTAACCGTATAATATACGGTAGCCTTGTCACTGGTACAATTCACTTTAATAATAATGCATACAAGCACTCGTCTAGTTAATTAGTAAGAGCTGAAGTAAATATGTAATGCTGCACCTTTGTATTATCTAAGACAGCAACAAGATTTTCTTGTTCTTTGGAACAATGATGCGAAACCGCAGCGTAGATGTTGCAATATTTCTGCTGATAAGCTACCGAAGTTGTGCTCGGCTGTTTGAACTCCCCGACCTTATTTTGCACTACGAATCTACGGTATCAGTGAATTTCATTCAGAAATCTCATATTATTATCACCTCATCGTAAGTGTTTCGCCGAATCAAAGACAGACTATCAATATTCTTTAAAGATTTGTTTACGTACCCATTCGCCTTCGTTACGGTGTGCCAAATTGATCAGGTGCAGCCCGAACGGCGCCAATACAAAACTGCTTTAAACTGGAGTTAATTAAGAAACCTGCAGATTAAATTAAATGCACGCATACGAACCGAGACTTCGGACTTCGTCCAATGTGGCTGCAGCAATTTCAGTAGCATAGCTGAGATTTATAAATCATCCTAATTAAAACCATTGTGTAATAATATTTTCTGCATAACGTATTCACCTTTTTGCTAACTACAGTAATCATCTTACGTTAGCTGATCTAAAAGCATGAGTAACCTCGGCCTGGTCAGTCACTATGTAAAGATCTGATTGTTTGTAAAATAGCCGCTGACAGCCTTTATCGAACTTGACCATGCCACAAAAAGTACTGACCTTTTGGATATTTGACATTTATTTGTAGTGCATCTGGCATGCTCACCGCAATCAAAATAATCAAAGCAATAAAAGCAATATAGGATCAGGCACGTTTTCACGATATCGATACCAAGCTGCACATCGTTATTTTTTGAATACCGGTTGTGGATGTTAACTTTAAACTTCTTTGAATGATGATCAATAATCACAAACCATGCACTTTAACACACCACCCAGGCCCCTGGCCGTATCGTTATAACAGCCAGCATAAAACGATGGCTAAACTATCTGAATCCATAATGGAAATTATGGAATAGCGGAAGGCAACAAAAACGCAATAAAACAAGCAAATTGTTATTATTTTCGTCTGCATTTGTATACGCAAACGGCTTGGTTTTCACGGTGTGTTCTAGCTTTTCTCTATCTATTGTGTTATCGCTGTACTGTACTTACTGTCTTCCAGTAAACCTGGTTCTACTTGGGAATTCCTAAATAGAACTTGGGAATTCGGGAATTCGAATCGTACAGCTAAAACATAGCCTATAATGGTTTTCGTTGTTTGCGTGTTGTTGTTATTGTTGTTACCGCATTCATTCCTTTGATCGGACCGCTGGCAACCACGACCCTTGATCATTTGCAAATCACAATCATCACTAACAATGTTATTGTGGTGCCAGTTGCACGACTGCTATTCGCTGCAGTATGTGCTGTACATAGCCGTACGTACATATAACGTCTTAATCCAGCTATAAAAGCAAATCCCGGTTGGCAAATTTAAATTCTCATAATTATTTCCAATAGTTTTGAACTGACGATTTAACTAATCCTAAAAAATGTTTGAACACTCTTTCCTTTTTTTCGTTTCCGTTCTTGTTCTTGCTCCCATCGCAGCATCGCGCAGAAGCGCCGTCCAGGCACCCGACTGTTTTCTCACCATCAACGAATTCCAGCTGGGTGCAGAAAAATTCAAACGGGAATTTATTGAATTGTCAACCAACTGTCGTCCTCTTGATCTTTCACCTTTCGTGATCGTAATGTGGAAAGGCGCCAAGGACAAACCAGCCCGATTGTCCCACCGCATCCGCTTCACCCTGGACAGCAACTGTTCAGCTCTAAACCTTATGCAAACCTCCCTGGTCATCGGCACTCAAGATTTAGAAGCGAATTTATCCATTAAGACGGACACGTTATTCTGTCCATTCGATTTATTTAACGTCAGTACTGAATGGCCGAAAAACCAGCATTTCTGGATCGACAAGGGCTCATCCAGCATCAACGCCATCGTGGTGTATAAAAATGTCCCCGCGGAGAAACTCCAGGTCAACATCAGCATCAGCGAGGAGACCGCGTTCCGTTCGCACATCCAGGATGTGGTGTTCCTCACTAAAGACGGAACGGGACGTAGTCTGAAGGATTTTCTCCTTCCCGACTACGACGTGGCCAATGCGAATCAGAGCAACAAAGGGTACTATGTTCTGAAGGAGCAGAAATTACCCGGGAATCTTTCCGCGGATACACGAAAGAGTTTCAGTTTTTGTTGTAAGCCGGGACAAGGTCGGGAGGAGCGCAAGTGGCCGATGGGATTCAAATTCGGCAAGCCGTCACCGGGTGAAGAGAACGATTGTATCGGAGAGTACTGCTTTGATCCCAAAGGGAGCACATTTAACCTCAGCCTGTTTGATCGGTGTGTCAAGGCATCGGTGCATGAAAAGTTTCCGGACGGTAAAAATGGTAAGTTATTGACGAACATGAAAGTTCATGTTTAATTGTAATTTGCAGTACAATGGTTATCAATCTACAGTAGGGTAGCTAACACTGACATCAAAAAGGTGGTTGCCGGTATTGTGCATAGTTCACTACAGAATTTTGTATGTACGGGACAGTGCGAGCCACTGCGACATAACTCAAGCATCAGAAGGCGACAGCAGATTTGGACCATTTGGTTAATAGGAAACCCAGAGTATGTAAGGATTATTATAAAAATTTCTCCTGAATTTATTGTATGTAGCCAAAAGAATTCCGTTCGTAACAAACCCAAATTCTAACTATGTAGCCCAGCCTTGTGTGGGACCTACGAGGGCACGCATGAATACATTCGAAGTTTTTGATCAACATAATATGATATGTCTGACACAGAATTATGTTACGTATTTGGCGTTTTTTTCGTTTGTGATTGCGAATTGCATGGTTTTTCCATAGTCCACGCCGTTGCGTGCATGTACACTGTCATATTGTCTGCAGTCAGTGCATGAATACTACTCGTATAACAGGACCGTCAGGATATCACTGCAGATCACTATCACCATATTAGACTACACTGCAGTGTCTTCGCAGATACCGTACCTAGGTGTAGTTTGGTAATGATATTAATTAATTTGGTAATGATATTAATTTGGTAATGATATTAATAGATATCTAACCGTGATATCAGAAGACTCCAAGGAAATCTTCGCTCTCTTGTGCAGCGCCCTAAATTATTACTAACAACAATTAAAATATGTACTACCGTATCAGAACAGTCCTGTTATCCTAGATCCGAACAATGCAGCCGATCGGCTAAATCATGTTATGTTTACTTAAATCCAGGCCGATAAAAGAATGCTCTGCAAGCTGCTGTCCGTTTAATTTTAATGAAGTGGCCCGTGGAAGTATTTGACCGAATTCTTACCTTAGTGCGAAGTACGAATACGAAGACGATGGACTACAGAAATTTTAATTAACCCAGGAAAACCGGGTACTAGAAGGGATGGGACTACAGTTTTGAAAATTGGCAGTCTGGGACACAAAAATTCAATTAAGAGAAAAACATTTTTTTCAAAATTTTATCGACCATAGGTCAAGCAGGAGATGACCATGTCGGATTGACACGCATGGTAACCATGTTGCACCGACATGTTATCCATTGCCGTTTACAACAGCTGATAGAAAAATCGCCCATAATGTGCCAATAGCTCAAACGATAGATCTCGACGAGTACTAAAGCAAGGACGCATTGTGATGGTCATCAAGCTGACCAGTGGTCAAGGAAAATTTGAAAACAAAGAATCACTCATGTGTACCAGTGCAGAAGTGCTGCTTCGATAATTCGCAACAGTTGGTCACTTTCGCTCTATGTTTTGGACAGTTGGTCATCGCCTTTATAGTGGACCACAATTCAAGTGACGTACACAGTTGAAATATTACTATATCCGGTTGCGCAACTAAACGGGATAGCTGGGATAAAGAGCAGGAAGCATGGTTGATATGGTTACCAGCGTTATAGACCGGTAGCCAATTCTTCCAAGTGTCGTCCTAGTGACCAGTTGCTTCGCAATATGGAAGTAGCGCGCGAAAGGTTCAGTAATGTTGTGCCAAGAAATGCCTATCACTTACTGTACAGGAAAACGATTTATTTTAGGCATTAATTGTCCAAAACTTGTGAGGGATGGCATGTACTTTGCATTGTCTCAGGCGCGCTACTGAATAGTGCCTAGACGCTGTCCATACTCAGCAACGCATTGTAAAATACTCCCTTCTGATGCAATCACCGTTTTGCACAGATCAGGGCTAAAGGTTACGAGCCAATCGACCGGAAGGTTCAAATGGCATGGTTAGTGCAAGGGCGGAAGTTCAGTTATCAGAATATCAATGCGAAATTAGGGTTTATTTACTTGTTACTGCAGTTGCACTCATTTGAAACTTGAAAAGAATAAATTATAAGGATTGGCATAAGACAATCAGTTAGCCAGGTTGCCGAATACCATCCGTATATATGGTAATAATAGGGTTCAAAGCACATTGAGATTCATCGGGCCATCTCCTGAGCATTAGCGTGACTTCAGCGCTATTGAGAAGTGCTGTTATAAAATTCGCTTAAATTCAGTTCACACTTATTTTAGAAGCGTTCAGTCAAAAACAATATTTTTCGTATTTCCGGTCAGTGTTGACCAGTGGTCACTTTGCTGACCACTATGCTCATGTCATTATATAAAGGTTTTTATGAGCTTTCTTTTGATTATTAGTGCTACCGTGTACGATTTTTCTATCAACTGATATAGAATTTTAAAGATTATTGATAAATTAGTTCCATGCCCAACCGTGTCAAACTCGACATGGTATTTTGAGTTGACCAGAAGTGACCAGCGGGTGCTTTTTCTCTGAACTTTGTTTCATTCTTCTACAAAGCTTGACAATAACTTCCTTTCTTATTTTTGTGGTAATTATCTGATGTGAAGGTTAGTGCAGAGACAAGCAGGACCTCAGGGAGCCCAGTTTGGTCAATTTTGACCACGTTTGGTCACCCTCCAGACTTCACGGACATGGTGCATCTAACGGTTACATAGTTTAAACTGTAGCCTAACATCACTTCTTTGAAATAAAACCATTTAAAGCAACCTATGACCACAACAACGGACTATAGAGAAGAAGTCCTCCACCATGTCGGTCTAACACGCATGGTGTGGAACGGGTTAAAGACCATACCATAGTGATAGATCACAGCCTACATACAGTACCTGTATAATACATTCAAATAAAATTATATTCGAACTCATGCATTGTATTAAAATACGTAAACCAGTCCTGTGCATGTTCTGATCTGGGTTTTAATTACAGTGTTTGAGGACTTTGTTAAAGAACATCCCGTAGCAGCCGGCGTTATAGCCGGTAGTGTGGTAGCGGCAATTATCGTGGCGATCGTTTTGGGCATCAGCTACCATCAGCGTCGAAGGTATATTGCCTTGTAATATTATATTTTTTGCACTAAAATCTACAAATTTAAATTCGATAACAAGTGCATGCAGACACCGTGCAGTCGATTATAAATCTGGACAACATTAACCATGCATGCATAGGTTATTGCGCGCAGTGCACGCTGTACGTTGTCAGCTTTCCATAGCGCCAGTTTTTTTTATTTGACAGTGAATGTCAGTATTTGTGCACTCTGTCCTATAAAAGCTGAAACTTACGTTAATTATTTTTTCCTACTCTAGAATTCAGGAGTTGCGGATTATTAAGCATCTATCTCGACAGCGTTCCATCAAACTGCGCACCGCATCTGATGACAGTATCGACGGAAATGTGGCCTTTGACAGAAATGATCGTAAATGAGCTTTTGGCAGAGGACCTTGTGATTAGTTCTGATATTGCTGTTAATTCTGCGCGATCCCGTGGTTGAAGTTTGCTGGTGCCAGATATGTTATTTTGCAGTTAACTCGGAAAGGAATAGTGGAAAACTTGGAATGTAAAACGTGTGTATTGTACATGTGTGCTTTCGTTATTGTTATGTTTTGCTAACTTTTGTGAAAAATGTTTAAGTCACAGGAAAACAGTATTTTTTGTGCATTTTGTTCATTGTTACCGCCTATTGTATTATATGTGTCTGTATCATATTTTATATACTCTTTGTATTTTTAATTATACTGTTTATATACACTTTCATCGCATGGGCCATATGTTTACAATTGTGCACACGCACTTACTGTATTTTGTGTGTTTCTGCAAAAATAAGAAAGTACATTGTATCGCTGTCTGCTTCCGCATTAACATGCCTAGCGGTAGCGTGCTTAACTTTTCTCACTTTTAACTTGCGTGTTAAGGCCTTAACTTATTATTATTAACAGAAAGCTTTAATAAACATACATAACATAATAAGACCGGTATATATGTACATTTTTGTATTATGTACAATTTAAAGCTGTGTAGGTTAGCACAGCGGTGTCAGCATCTGCAATATTAGAAGTATATTTCGGCTTCTTAATTATAAGCCACTCTCTGGAGAAATTTATGGCACTATGGAATTTCTAACTGCAAAAAAATTGGGAGTAATATAACAATTTTTATATCTGATATTCTGAAAACAAATATCTGCATTCTCGTGCGATGATTTCATTTGGATAACAGGCAAAATAATTGCCATCTTAGCTATCTTGATAACAATACCGTGAGATTGGTCAACGAGACCTTATAGACTTCTACATTCCTATGTAAAACGCCAAACGATAGTGTATACAAAACAGGACCCTCTATGGGGCCTATTTGGCAATTTTGTATAATTTATTTTCTTAATTAATTTAACTAACTTTATTAAATAATGAATTAATTAACAACAAGTCAACTGTTAATTAATAAACAGAAACTAAATGAAATATTTCATTTAATGTTCAAGTAGTGTATAATATTATCTTCTGCTGATTCTTACCGTGAGCAAACGGAACACGCCGAGCAGGCGGGGGCCTACTATGGGGCCTATTTGGCAACTTTGTATAATGTATTTTCTTAGTTAATTTAATTAACTTTATTACATAATGAATTAAGTAACAACGAGTCCACTGTTAACTAATAAACAGAAACTAACTGAAATATTACAATTAACGTTCAAGTAGTGTATATTATTATACTCCGCTGATTCTGACCGAGCCGAGCCGTGTATATTATTATACTCCGCTGATTCGCCCGCCTGCTCGGCGATTCCTGCTGCCTGTGTGGTATCGCTTGAATGTTGCGCTGTGTATGAGTCATTCGTCTGTTCTGTTGTTGGTTAGTTTGAATTTGGTCTGGATACAAAACAGGACCCTATGTTTAATAATATACTATACCCTCTACCCTCTAACAGATTATAATATACTATACCTCGGCGTGTTCCGTTTGCTCACGGTCAGAATCAGCAGAAGATAATATTATGCACTACTTGAACATTAAATGAAATATTTCATTTAGTTTCTGTTTATTAATTAACAGTTGACTTGTTGTTAATTAATTCATTATTTAATAAAGTTAGTTAAATTAATTAAGAAAATAAATTATACAAAATTGCCAAATAGGCCCCATAGAGGGTCCTGATTTGTATACACTAAATCCTGTTTGCCACCGTACAGCGAGTATATTTTGAAACTCACTATAATGGAACGAGGTGTCAATATTGGATTAGACGACTCACGGTTACATAAACCGGCTAAAAATCCATACATCACAATTTTGAACGCGAATCTTTGACAGGTCACTGGCAGCATGTGGAACACACGCGTCTTATAAACAACACCACGAAATCCGTTCCTCGTGCGCCCGAACCATTTCAGAAATACTAACACTCGCAAAAAACTTTCCTGAAGTTTTTATCTTACAGAGTGTACTTTACTGCGTGCTGCACCGGGTCATATTTAAGATTTAATTAAATTCAAATCTGTTTACCAAATACGTGCAATATGAGTGCGTCATCGCTTCCTAACCGGTAAAACGCTGAGTAGAGTGTTTTTCCCGGGTGGTATTTGCACATGCAAGAATTTTCTAAATTCAGCTACCTGACGCAGACGTGTCGGTAGAACGGTTCCAATGTCCAAACATACCGAATATCCATCGAACTTGAAATTCTCTTCTTCATCCATCTGATCCACGGCGTTATTACAACATCCTTGGTTATAATCCTCTCCGGCGCTATTACATCATGACCAGACCGATTCTCATAATACTATTCCTCGTGTCCTTTGCCGGGAGTATTTCCGGCCAGAGAGATCGCAGCCCCGACTATGACCTTTTAGCCGAAGAATTTCTCCGGGAAAACCATAATTCCTTAGCAGAAAATCGATTTTCCCGCGACGATGACCACAGTGGTGGACATGTGGAGCATCGTGATCATGACATCCCGTCGACGGTAGAGAGCCTGGTGGATACGGACGAGGATACGCCGACCACGCCCACATCAGTACCATACTGGGTGGCGTTGTTTAACACCACGTTCCAGTACCAGCGTAATCACGAAGCGTTCGACGCGTTGACCACTGAACACACCACAACGGATGGGGACGACGAAGTAGAAAACATTAACATCGAGGATAACGATGATGACGTAACCATTACCGCCGTGACCAATCCGATTATTGGGATAACGGAGGATGTTACCATTGATACCGATGGCGTTACCGAGACGGTCACGCATGTTACCACCGATACTGATGATGAGGTGGATGATACCACCACGGAAAGGACGGTCAGCGTGGAAGTGCCGGTGAATGTGGCGGAATCGGACCATGCACCCTTGACCGTCAAGGTGGTTCTCACCATTCACAATCATTCGGAAACTGCCACGACAACAGACAGTATCACTGACGCGGGAACAACAGAAACCGACGATTTAAGTGATGTAACAACGACGGTGGAAGCGGAAACGACGACGGATGACGATGATGATGATTCTACTACGACTGCGGAATCGGTACTGGACGATGCGGTGATGATCAATGACACGCTGTTCGTCAATGTTACCGAGGCGGAAAACGTAACGGAGCCGGGACTGGAGAGCGATAATGCCACTGATGCCACGGTATTTTACAATGCGACAGTTGTGGTGAGAATGCGAATTCATATTACACAAAAGTAAAGACTTAATTAGTGTAACTAGTTATAGAAGTACACGTGTTGATTAATGTAGGTAATTCTAAATATGCCCGGTTAACGTTATCGTTTTTAACATTTACGTTACGTTTTCTTTAAATTTACAATTCGCGCCATCAAAACGTCAGCGCCCATATCAATCAATAGTTAACATATTTCTAGTGGAAACTAAAGTGCGCCATAATTCATGACTTGGATATTCGTACAATGTGGTACAAATTACGTGAAACATAAAGAGATGTTTAACAGCGGCAATAATTATTGTATTCTTGGAGATATCGGCCAATCTGACGATGAATATTTCCCTCGTTAATGCGACGGACGACATTTTGGACGACGCAGTGACGGTAGTGCCTAAGGGAAGCGAAACAACGGAGACAACTACAGATGAGCCGGAAACTAGTACGACAGAGGAGACGGCTGCTACCGAAGCGCCCCCGACACCGGAAATAGTTTATTCGACAATAGTTTTGATACCCACAACTGCACAGCCAGAATGGATAACGACGTCGGATGATCAGGAAGAAGAAGGTAAAATTTTACTTGACGATTGCGCAACATATACCATTTCATTTTTTTATTACAACCATATTCGTTGTCTAAGGATTTATTAACTTAATTGAACTTGCAATTTGTGTGATGGCTTTAAAATTAGAAACGCCAGTATTGGCTACGTAGGATTTCATAACTGACGTCATCTGCAAGTTTGTACGATATCACTACTTCTATTTTCATTCATGATTGTTTTCTGTGAATCACAGAGCCAACAGAGCATCCGCTGCTGGTGTTTGAACGAGTCATTCATGCGTACAGGTACGCACTATTTTCTTTACGTCTACTGCCGCCAAACTCGGACAAATTAAACCTTCTGTATGTTTTTCTTGACAGCTTAATTATATTTGCACTGGCCCTTATTTTTATCGTCATACTATGCTGTATGTATGGAGCATGCTGTTCGGAAACGTAAGTACCGTATAATGATTAAAACTTTCTGCCATGTGTTGATGAAATACTTATTAAAAAATACACAATAAAAATAAAATAAAATAAATAATTTGTTAATTATTACATGCAGATTTTTCTACTTACTTATACATGGGTTCAAGTTATGTCGTGTGCAGTTTAATTTTCATACTTCTTAACCTAAGTACATAATTAATTTTAAATTGTTTAATGAAGTGCAATTAAGAAAATCAAATCAATGATTTGATATTATATAATTTCTATATAAACTTACGTGCATATGCTTGTGCAGTGCTTACTCGTATAGAAATAATAATCAGAAGTCTATAGTGCATACATAAAAATACTCGTACGTTATTTTCCCCAGCGCTTATGACAGTTTATGTTGTCAGCGGACGCGTGATGGAATCGCGAGAAGTTCGAATTAACAAAAACTATCCTCTGGATGACCAGTTGAAAGGTCGTTCCTTGAAAGGTGCCGATGAGCCGCTGCTGACACAAATATAGCGCCGTGTGATTGCTGCGTTACTCGTAAATGGTCTCTCAAGATGTTGATGGAACTGAAGATGTTGCCAAAAATGACTGTGAATGGATTCTATGCCAAGTTAGCTATTTTCGCTGAATGGAAAGTTATACTACTATTGCATTTAGACGAAAATAGAACCACGAGACTGCAAAATAATTTAAATGCATGAACGTAACTTAAAAGCTGATGGATACTCACAAAATGGAAAATGTTTAATTTTTCGCTGTATTAATTTGTCAGGGATGGATCCGAATTCTAGATAGCTCACGAACATGCAACAGTTCGCAGAGATCGGGAGAATATTTGTTGCATACTTATTGCTCTACATGACGTAGAACTATTATAATTGTAGCCTTTGATGGTCGTAGTACATCGCAATAAAGTCGTCATACTTGTTTGCTTGATTTGCACAGTATGGTGGGAAAATTTTATCCGCAAGGGCTACCCTGGCCAGTTCAGGTCACAAGAACGGCCTAAATTGACCTGATCGAGGACGGTGCGTTGCTGGGATGACGTACTTGCTGTCAGTGTTAATTCGATGGTTTTGGGAACGGTTTTCTTTACGTTCGGGAGGTGCTCAATTTATCTCCTAATTTCGCTCAACGAAGTTTCCATCCAATCGGTATCGGAGAAAAGCAATCAAAACTGCAACACAATACCTACAAAAACACAACAGTCGCAAATAAATGTAATGATTATAGTCTGTATTCATCCGTCCTAGGCTTGTAGTAATATATATACTTCGTACTCTTACTTCTATGTACTCTCGCTATCGTGAGCGAATATCTATACTTGTCAGTTGTCACCAAACTTCGCACAGTTGTCGGAGAAACACCGGACAGTTGGATGGCCATCCCACCTTATTGGCGAGTGCAGCCGTGCAGCGAACGTGCTTAATGTTTTATTCCGTATTTCTTACTTTATTGTTAGTGCGGCATTCTTAACAATAATAAGTTGAAGCATCAACAATTCGGTATTACTGTAGCTCATACGAACTGCCGGTATAAGTACTACTCCGAGGTACGTAATAATATGTACCATAATAATGATAATATCTATATATGTATCTATATATAGATATAATAATTATTATGTATTGTACACCCCTGTACATCCAGACGATCTTTGGAGTTCGAACTTGACTGACGACGTTGGTGTTATCGGAAGCCATGTTTTCCCGGACATTTAACCGCAAAACAACAGTTTCTGACCTTTGAGTTCAGTTGCTTTTCCTGCTACCATGTAACCATGGTACGCTCGCCTTGCATGCCTTTGCGCACCGCTCTTTGCCGTCCCTGGTTGTTACAGTTACCGTGAACATGCAGATCGCAGATACCGTACTTGTACAAACTGCACCGGTTACGGCTTGTGCGAATTAAAACTGCTCGTTTACACTTGCAGATTGTTATCAGATTATCAGATCTTCACTCGCACTCACACACACAGTAGTGACAGTACTGACTGGCAGACAGAAGATTAAAAACGCGTCGACGCGTGTAATCTGCCGCTACCGTTCTTGCCTTGTTATTTCCAACTGGCATGCACGCATCATTCTTCGGACGACGTTCAACCCTTTTTCCGTTTCCGCGATATCAGATGAAAAATAGCCGGTCTCAATCTGTCTGTGCATAATCCATTGTTGCAGTTTTATAATTGGCCTATGTGACTCTTTTCACCATGCATCTTAAGGTGATCGTATTGTTTATTGTCCTATTATTTGGAAGTATCAGTTGTCAGGATGAACCAGCAGCACCAGATCCAGCAGATCCTGCCGTGGACGAGACATCACCCGATCCAGTAGATGAAGCTTCTCCGACCGATACATCAACCAGCCCGTCTGCTGTGGATGATGCGACAACAGGTGATACTGTGGCACCAGTCCCAGCTGTCCCTGAAGAAACAACTGTATCGTCAGCGGTGGATGCAACGGACAGCACACCTGATGCGGCGGGAAGCGCGACTGATGCTTCAGCTGGTGTACTGGATCCTGGTGCGTCGTCCACGGCCGCGGCTGCTGATGCAGTCACGCCGGGTGAAGAAACTGTTCCGCCGGCGCCTCTTATAACGGACGACGCTGCAGCTTCCACGAGTGGGCCTGGGGAAATTGACCAGACCACCGGTAGCCCGGTGGTGGATCCAAATACAGATAGCAGCCCCACCGATATACCACCCGTGGCTGATAATTCTACCGATCCTTCTTTACTGTTTCCTGTGCTTTCTACGTTTGATCCAGCAGCAGGAGGTATGTAGGTGCAACGTCTGTTCTGATACGTATTAACTGTAGTGTTCATGGGTCCCTATTCAAATAATCAAGTAGAATTAATTCATGATCTCCACAATCGGTATTGAGAATTTCTTCCTGATATAGGCACTATGACTTCATTTTATACACGAATTTAAATTTAACGGACTTAAATTTTGTATTTTAACAGTACAGCATAGATGTAACACCGAGTCAAAGTCAAAGTTTGAAGCGACCAAAAACATTTTTTAAAACTATTTACGCTTTAACCATTTGTATTTTTTGTGATGAATTTACTGAGCCAGCAACAGCACAAAAGACCAATGAATTACACACTGGGACGCCTAAGAAAATTTGCTTCTGGTTACAATTAGAGAATGCAGTTTCATGAGAGGAAACCGAAAATCGATGCATCTAACTGCAGTTAACATAAATTATAACACGGAATCTGCTCACCCTACATACTCGTACTTCTTTCTGTAGAGCGTAGATTTTATCTATGTAGTATAATACAGATATATCGAATATATTGTAGTAATTTGAGGTTGTAATTAGTGTATAATTATTTGCACTAAAAAAATGTTTACGTCGTATTTAGCGTTATCTTTAGGACTGAGATGAAACATGCGAATACAGGATACAAACTTTTTATTTACTCTGTAGTCCGCAATGATGATTTAAAGATATCTTGGAGATGAATTGTTTAAGCATTCGTAACCGGAAACTGACTGGCACTGTAATAGCAATCAACAGGAGCCGATAATATCAGCGTGCACACATCTGTAAACGCTGCATTTTTGCTTTGCTATTGTACGTCAATGCACATACGGTCTAGTACTCGTACTGTACGGTATGTCTGTATTATCAAAGCATTGGGACCGTGCATACTATTCGTTTTTTGGTACTTCTAATGAAAAGAAAATTAAAATAATTCTTGTAGAAGCCATTAACCGCCAGTTAAATTATTTTCCTTAGTGCGCTGAGCAAAGCTACACAGTCAAAAACAGCGAAGTTCTTTTTGAGTTACGAACTGGTCGAAAACTGTTAAACCGGAAATGCAATTGCACGGAAACTTCTCAGCATAAACTGCAGCTGAGTTAAAATTAAATGCAAATACGTAGAGTTACGTGCTGTAAAAAATGTAGAGTATGTTTGTAAAATCTGAGGTCATAGCTGCCGATTGCAACAGTTGGAAGTACAATTGTATTACAGTGTTCTTCTTATACAATTATAGGAGAGGAGATCACTACATCCACGGAAGACATCACTACATCCACCGAAACGTCTTCCACCACTTCCGAAGAGCCACTGGTTGTACCGGTAGTTGTACCACCCCAATCAAACATGCCGCTCAGCCCGGATCCACGACCGATAAGTTTGACATCGCCCGGTTCGGCCACTGCAGCTCCTGGTATGGATACCCATTCATTCAAGGATTACACAATTATTTAAATTGACAACGCTTTTCGTTGTTATAATATTTTTGCTGGCATTTTACCGGTAATTTTTTATAACATTATCTTAGCTAGCTGCTTTGTAATTTATGCGTAAATTACCTTTTTTTAAAATTTCTAACGCAGCATTTGCAATAAATTTTCCGAAAAAAATCACAGTACATTTGTAATGATTGCCAATTGCCATGACATTGGTACCTGTTTTTGCAGCCAGAAATGTCGAAAGCGAATGGTCATGGAGGAAGGGTGGATTATTAGTTGCAGGGATTATACTTTTGATTGCCATCATCATCGGCTATGTTTACGCGTGCTGTTGCATAAAGTAAGTGGAAAATTTTGCACTTTGCGGTTTAGACTTCAGAGCTTGTTAACATAATATGCTTCTTCCATCGCGAATTGTGCACTTGTGATACAAATAATGAAAGGTTTTGTTACCTTCTACAGTACGTGATAATAGTTAGCATGGTTTTAAATCATCGATCATGTAACCTTATGGCACAGTGTATTACAAAGTCACTGAGCAGTGTAGAATGCACAAAAACTAGGTGCACAAAAACTCATCATTTCGTGTTCTTGAGAGTTCTAAAACAATTTTCAATTTTATTTATGCATGCGAATAAAGTATAATGGCTATTTCACAATTTTTGCATTAAAAAATTCGGTAGTCTTTTCATTAATTGTATCGAGCTGAAAACTGAGGAATTCAACTTTTTTGCAATGTCCTTGTTGTATTAAAGTTGTTTTCTTGACCAGAGATGGACCGGCTGCACGGCGCTTCTCACGTACTGACGTGGAACATGGCACTCTCGATACCGTACCGATCGTGAAACCGATCGACAGCTTGACAAAGTCCAACAAATACGTCGATGAGATGATAACCAACGCCAGTTATCACTACCAGGAGACGCGGCGGGAAAACACGGTGGCCGCCAGAAAAGGTGATCCTGCAACGCCCAATAACAGTATCATCGCACCCGGTGAGGTCTCTTCCGTGGAAAACCAGAACTCCAAATACGCCAATGTAAGGGTGACAGAGAATTTATGGGGATCGCAGCAGGAGAAAAAAAATTTTTCATGTCCTTAATGTGAAGAAAACAGTTTCCACCGTTTTTTTATACCGGACAATGGCTCTTTTACGTTTACTTTACTTCTTAATAGCAGTTAGCAAAAAAACATCTGAAACAAAGAAATTATGTAGTATGCGTAATATTTGTTGTCACGTCTGAGTTCCCCCTGCTTTGCCTTATAATTTTAAATAAAAACTATTTCGAACAGCAATTGCGACAGAGCCAAAAGCCGGCAAAAGTTTCAACTAAAAAATCCGATAAACAGTTAACATATGACCACTATTTTTAGAAACCCGGTAAACCGACAGCCCTTTCCATCCCCATCGGCACACCGATCAATTCCCCCGCCGCCCCCGTCACCGGGCCCACCACCCATTTCAAATATGCCTCGATGCCCCGCTCCACGGATAAATCCTACGTGCACACCGCCCCCAGTCCGTGGGACCGCCGTCTGGACGTGCCCAGCGGCCCTATCACCTCCCGCGACGTCATTAACGCCTCCCGCGTCAACAACGCCGTAATCACGGTGGCTGCCGCCGGATCCGCTCCGCTCAAAATTACGGACGGCGACCGCCCGGTGCTGCGGGGTGGGACTCTCCCGGGGACCCCGCCCATCCGCAGTCCCACTTACCGGACCACACTGCTCTTGACGCCGGTGCATAACCGGGACCCGAATGATCCCGTACTGCCGCCCGGCGAGGAACTGTCGTACCGGCAGTACGTGGAACAGGTCAAGGGCCCTAACAGTGATTTCGCACAGTACTCACCCGAGTACAATCGGGATTTGGCGGAGCTGGAGCGGAGGAACGCCGAATCGCAGTTATGAACAAAACCAGTGGTTGATTGTAATCGGTTTCGTTGAAATGTTTTTGGCCCGTATAAGATGGAAAATCTACCATTATCCTATAAAAAAAGTTACGTTTTCGGCTCTTTTGATTTGAGTGTGGCCGTTTGTGTCTGTTATTGTTGCTATGTTGTTTAAGTGCAACAACTGATGTACACGTAGTCATACATTCGTAATTTTTATTTTGAAAAATTTTTTTGTTTTTCGAGGTAGATCGGGAATATAGCTAATAAAAATTATTCATACCGGGAGTGCTGAGATTCATTTATAAGGCGTAGAAATAGTGGCTAGTGTTTACTCTTAATTAATGTACTGCATGTCTTTATTATAAGTACAGATATAAGGCCGTGAAGCGTGAATCGAAGCTCAGATGTGGGCGTTTTACATCCCAGTCCGCTTGAAAACTGTTCTCAGAACAGTAACATTTTACAAGTTGTCAAGTTAAAAGGGTAAATGTTGTTAGTTGTTATTGTCTGTATATTTGGCAACGAATTCCGGTGGAACATGTAATGAGTACAAACTCCATGAGAGGCAAACCGCATGTTTGCCTTTAGTCCGGAGACCGGCGTTCATATTAAATTATTAACCGGAAACATGCCATGCAGCTCATATTGTAATAACTCACTAGACACTTGCTCTTTCAGACGTCGAAAGGTCTTGCTGCCGTACAACCTGAACGTTCGATCTTCAATCAGAAATGCGGAAATGCTGAGTTGAATACAACGAACTGTTCGCTTACCCCACCATTTCCTATGCCGACAGTTCGATCGTTTTTCTAATATAGTTCCGGATTTGCATAATATTACTGCAAATGCTTTTAATGGGCAACAGCCAATCCACATATCGGTATGCTTCCGCAGGTTTACACTAATTAAAATGATTAAATTGAATAGCAGTTACTGCAAATTGAATAGCAGCATACGCTTAAGTAAGTCCTGCTGACGTCGATCCCTAATTACACAAGTTCTGTTGTGCGAAATACACACGTATCTGTACAGAGGGTGATTTCGCAATATGCTTCCAGTTTCTTTATGAATTTATTGCAATCATCTCCATGCATATTTTATTTCTAAAACGTTATGCATGAAGGCCCTTTGTAGCTATCATCTCAAATTAATTTTAAGAAATAGGGATCAGTTCAGAATACAGCGGGATTTTGCGAAACCGACAAGGGTCTGTGCACAACACTAATTAAATCACAAAACGTTGTTCGATGCTTTCCACTAAAAATTTGCTGAAAAATCGCCATCACTCCGTAATCTATCGGTGTCAGGTTTATTAAACTTTTAGATGATATGGCTTTCAGAAAATATCTGGCTTCCTGAGATTCGAGCCATCAGTACGTTTTATCAGCCCTGTGAACTGGAAGATTGACACCTGGACCGCTTCCCCGTGTTCCTCGCCGGGCTACAGATCCAGATTGTCTTTTTTGGAAAACTTTTAAGCCACTTACTAGTACAGAAATCTCCGGGCGTTTTTACCCTGGGAGGGACTAAATGCAGTGATGCACTGCATTTTTATCCCGGTAAATAATTCCGGAAAACAAACATCATTCGTTTTCATTTTTTTTCCAAATTTCGATTTTTTGTTTTTACGATACTTAAAAAAATGGCAACACGGGATTTCGTATCTCCCGCCCGAGTAAAAAAGGTACATCCGCGCCTCACCGATTGCGATGATCTATGTCAAATTTCAAATGCTAAGGAAACTGGCAAATAGAATTCTTCGTTAAAAATTTGTTCCAGTTTGGAAAACTGGGCGTTCCGCTTTAAAATCACATCTGACTTCTGAGTGTCACTTTCTTCGTTCTTAGAATTCGATCAATGTTGAATCATCAAGCACATATTAAAATATTTTCAAGCGACAAGAATGAAAGGAAAGAACAAGGGAGAAAACTACTTCGATGTTTCGTTCGTGCTGGAAGCATATTGCGACATCACCCTCTGTATTTAGTTTGTTGCCAGTTTACGGATCCATGCATGCATAGTCCGAATTCCGAAATACAAATACTTCGTATGCTGAATAATACAATAAATACTTCGTATTAATGCTGCATAGCGTTCAGCAGGCGTACGAGGAGGATTATAGTTGAGTCGGTAGCGCATAGCTGCTGCGAGTTAAACTGAACACCAGTTCCGTAAGCTATTGACGTAACAGTCAACCGTGGATGGTTGCGTTTCCAACAGTTGAACAACAGTCAGCCGTGGGGGGTTGCCTTGTTAACTTACCAACCGCAGCTATTGGCGTGTGCAACCATCCACGGTTGGCTGTTACGCCAACAGCTTACCGAAATGGTGTTCAGTTTAACTCGCAGCAGCTATGCGCTACCGACTCAACTATAATCCTCCTCGTACAGAAAACAACGTAAAAATTGTTGTATTTGTTACTCGATTTGTTACTCGTATTATACCAATAATAATAGAGTATAATACTGCATGTATTTTATAATAAACCAAATTGATGGCAGTCAGCAGACGTAGTCTCGATCTTAAAGTCACTCAAGAGTAGCCATTCAGACTGTGTGTACTGTACGAGTACTGTAAAACAATCAAACCTGTAAGAGGTTTCTGACTTCATAAGAACTATAAATACGTATTCACCTAAAATTAAACCGAACCATAAATTAAGTAACCACGGGCCCGAAAATAGAATGATGAGGTCGAGAAAGATGGCAACTACTGTATGTATTCATTCACTGATTATATATGCAGCGAGAAGTTGTAAACGGAGTTTGAAGTCAAATTCATCAGCTTTTTAATTGTCACAATCAGGTATGTACTAGTACGGTTCGTACGAAGTTCACCAACAGGTTCAAAAGCCATTTAGAATAAAAGCAGCCCGCTAGGAGCGCATTGTACATCATGCGCAGTGCGCACACATGCTGCACTGATGCGCGCAGTTGTTTTCAGCAGCACAACAAGGAACGAGATCTTGCGCGAATAAACATGTTGAAATCTAGCCGAAAGCAGGAAAGCTTCGATCACTTGAGTTTGAGCTTCTTCCCATTTTTGTGAACGATTTTGGTGTTTTTCAAATTTTTTTGCTTCATTATCGTCAGTTTTCATAGCAGCTTTTAAGAAGTACTGAGTATTTCACTATTTCTTGTAAATCTCCTTCAGTGCAGTCAATGGTATGCGCTCTTTAGGAAGCCCGTAATGTCAACCAGAATCATTATCGGCTTTTAATCAACGACTATCGGAACACTATCAGGTGATTATCAGCGTTTGCGGTTACTGAATTTTGAGCGTTTCGAGAATTGCTTGTCGCAGTTTGCACTTTGCAGACTGCAGTCACAACAGATCTGGTTTGCTCGATTTTTTCTCTTTCGGGAAATACCGGAGATTCGTTTCCAGCTCGAGACATTTATACAAACCATGGCATTTGCGGCGGGCGAACCGGAGCTAAGTGAAGGCTGCATTCGGGTAAGCGTAGATGCTGCCTTATAATGAGGACGGAATGTTTTTTTACTTTCTCATCTGTCAGAAAGGGAGAGAAAAATGAAAATCATCCAAGACAGAAGAACTGAACTGCTAATAATTTATCTCACTGCTTACCCTCAATTATTTATTAGACAATGAAATCTTTCTGTGTGGTAATAAAAACTCTTACTTCACTGCTGGTTTAATTCGCAGAAATGATTCGTATCTTATACTTGTTTTCGATCTCTGTAGGCCATTCTGAACGGTGTGGACATTCATGAACCTCGAGTGCAGCTACTGGTACGTACTACGTGAAAAATTGGTAATAATTGAGTATTTCACTATTTCTTGTAAATCTCCTTCAGTGCAGTCAATGGTATGCGCTCTTTAGGAAGCCCGTAATGTCAACCAGAATCATTATCGGCTTTTAATCAACGACTATCGGAACACTTATTCCTGTAAGGAAGTCGTGTATTTCGTTAGAAGTTGCAGTTCGTTTGAAACTTTAGAAACTTGCAGTCGTCATGTTGGCCACCCAACTGAATCACCTCGTGGACAACAACACCTTGACGCCATATTCTGTCATCATTATGAAGAAATACGTCGTGAATAACCGGGAAAATAAGTCAGTTTCTTGGAGTTTTTGGGGAGAGGGTTAATTTTCAAAATGTATTAATCTGCGCATTTTGTAGGAGTCTCATTATCCTGTTGGAAGTAAAAGTTGCCGTTCCAGGCGATCAGATTGGCCGAAAACTCGGCTCTCCTGTTTCCTTGGGGGACAATGGGATGCCAACTGGAGCAGCCAGGGCAAATCCTAACGCTCATGCAGGCAATCCAGCCGGTGCGATTTTTCTCATATTTGAGCGTATAAACTAGGGTTATGTGATTGTTAGATTGGTAATTATCGTGCTAATTTGGGATTTGTAGTTGCGCCGGCTGCATTACGTCCGCCTGTTCCACAACAGGGGCTCCCGAATCCAGCTACTTTCAGCAGCTCTTCATTCCAGAGCCCTTCAAAACAGCCTGCTCCGTTTCCAGGCGGACCAGCTGCGAAACGTCGTATGTCGAACAATGTTCGATGCACTCTACAGGCTTCGAATAATCATGTTATTTTTACTTTTTTCAGCAAATCTGGGCTCACCATCCAAGGGGAATAACAGTTCTGGTGCGGGAAACGTCCCAGTGTCGGCAGCGTATAATTCCGGCGGATCCTTCCAAGCACAGCAACCGACAATGCCACCATTGGGATCCGCATCGCTCCCGCAAAACGATACCCAGAATATCCACCCGATTTCGGCACTGAACCCTTACAACAGCGCGTAAGTGGTGCGGTTTCATAAAATCCGGTACGTATGACTATAAAAGGCTGTTATTCAACTGTGGTGTGGTTTTAGTTGGGCTATTAGAGCTAAAGTGATGAGTAAAGATTCCATTCGGTTTTGGAACAAGCCCAATTCTCAGGGTAAAGTGTTCAGTGTTCTGGTGACCGACGGGGAAAGCGAAATAAAAATATCTGGATTCAATAACGAAGTCGATCGGTTTTACGACGTGTTTGAAGTGGGCAAGGTGCGGTCATTCAGTCTGTTTTCGTCTAATCCGTACGTCCTCCTCACTGCTTGATTTTGATACTATTTGCATTTCTAACAGACTTATTATATCAAAAATGGATTGGTTAAAAACGCCGATCCGAAATACAGCCGTGGCCGGATGTATGACATCAATCTTGAGCCGGAAAGTATTGTTGAAGAGTGTTCGGAAGATGCGGGACTCGTTAAAATTCGCTACAACTTTGTTCCCTTTTATTCTTTGCTAACACTCAGCAAAGATGCGAACATCGGTTTGTTTTGTTATTTCGCTAATTTCAGTACTTGTAAACGTAGTTGCGCGAGTGCACAGGTAATATGTTGCAGATGTTATTGGAGTTTGTTCATCGGCTGGAGAACTCTTTCAAGGAAAAAATCGCCAAAGTGGGCGAGATTTTACGAAGCGAGATTTGGATATCATAGATGACACCAGTACTTGCGTGCGTGTCACGTTGTGGGGGCCTCAGGTAAGGACCAGTTATTGATATGTTACTGGGATTTATAAGCGTCATCTCATTAATTTGGAGCCACATACAGCCTTTTCATTCTGCGTATAGATATGAGCTATTGAGCTGCTCCAAATCGGTTGTGTAGTTCACCGGTTGGCTAAATCCATTAATTCAGTTCTGCCGTGTGAACATGGTTAACGATGTAGTTCCGGTGCTTCTCTTTCACATAGGCGGAAAAGTACGAGAAGAACGTGGTGCTAAATAAGGTGGTGGCCATACACGGCTGCCGGTTAGCGGAACTGAACGGTACTCGTAGCTTGTCTACCTCGTTCGACGCAATAGTGGAAGTGGATCCCGACATTCCGGAAGGTCACAAACTGCGTGGGTGGTACGATAGCGGTGGCTGCAATGTCGCTACGCAGGCACTCATGGGCACAGGAATGTCCGGGAATTTCGGTATGTAGTTTGTAGCTCGTACAAACCACTTTCTGTTTCGGTAAATGTGGCATAATGTTCACATTTTTATTGATTAAAATATCATGCATGGCCTATGGTAAGATCAAAAGTGTTTATCGGTATTTGTATGGCTGCTTCCAGGATCAGGATCAACCCCTTTTAAGTGCTTCTGGCAGATAGAAGCCGAAGGGTTGGGTAACGGGGATAAAGCGGATTTTTTCATGATACGTGCTGTTATTATGAAGGCCTTTGCACGTGATAACACCTTGTACCGAGCCTGTGTCAACAGCGGCTGCAGTAAGAAGGTTACGGACCAGGGTAACGGGACATTCCGCTGCGAAAAGTGCAACACCGAAAACGACAGTTTTGTCTGGCGGTTGATGTTAACAGTAAGGATATTTGGTTTACTGCTTAATAGCTATTGGGATAACTAATTTTGTTCATATCAACATACGGTAGTATGTTGGCACTTTTCAGGTTCAAGTGGCAGATTGCACTGGTAGTGCCTATGCTACGGTATTTCAAGAGAATGCCGAAAAAGTTCTGCAGCAGGACGCTCAATCACTCGGCGAAATGAAAACCCAGGACGCCACGGTGTTTGAAAAGGCCATTAATAACTGCCAGTTCCAAGCATTCATGTTCAAGATGAAGGTGAAAACAGAAAGCTACAACGTAAGTTTTGCTGTAAATTGTGATTGCTGTAGGTTTGGTACTTCCCTGTACTTCTTTGTTTTTGTACTTCCATTTGTTTCTCAATGTTTCTGTTTATCTAACGTTGGAAATATGGCTGTTAAATTGTTACTTACCGCTGGTGATTGACTGTGATTTTACAGTTTTTTACACCGAAACTGGGTAAACAGCCAGATGATATTTTTATATCAGTGCTGACCTGCCACTTTTGTGATTGCAGGACGAATGGCGACGAAAGTACACCGTTATCACGGCTGAGCCACTGAATTTCGCAGCCGAAACAAAACGGCTACAGGAAACGCTGGTCCAAATGGGAATTGCGTGAACTGTGATTGATCTTCTCATCGGATTATTTTCTTTCGTGCAGTATACCGTGAGCGGTTTCAATAATACAGCAAATAACAGTTGGTTGTCCCATGTCATATTTTGACTTTTTAATACTCTATCGTATTTTGTTTATTATCATCAGTGTGATCTTCCAGCAAGCGCAGATCGGCAAATGTACACGTCTTTCCTCGTTTTTGAATGTCCAGGTTTAATATACATAATCTGTTTTTTCGTACTATTTATCTTCGTACTATTGTTGTACTATTTCTGTCAGTCCTTGTGTAGAAGAGAGTTATATCAAGCGGTTCGGAATATGCCGACCGTTGCTGATTGTTATAAAAAATCTATTCAGTGTTGTTCACGGTTGGGCTTTTGGTTTTCTTAATACAAGGTAGCCTCGCGCATCCGCGCTCGGCACTTAAGTACTGGATAGTGGTGGCTTTGTTTTGGAAAGGTCATTATAGATATATAAAGGCTGACATTTGAACTGTCTGAGGTTCTGACAATTTTACTTTTTCACGTTCTGAAGTTCTGATATTCTGACGTTCTAACGTTATGATGTTATAACGTCCTAACGTTTTGACGTTCTGGCATTGTTACGTTCTGACGTTCGAACGTTCTAATGTTCGGACGTTCTAATGTTCTGATGTTCTTACTTTATGACGTTCTGACGTTCAAACGTTCTGACGTTCGAACGTTCTGACGTTCTAATGTTCTGATGTTCTGACGTTCGGACGTTCTAATGTTCTGATGTTCTTACTTTATGACGTTCTGACGTTCAAATGTTCTGACGTTGTTACGTTCTGACGTTGTTACGTTCTGACGTTGTTACGCTCTGACGTTCTGACGATCTGACGCTCTGACGTTCTTAACGTCCTAACGTTTTGACGTTCTGACGTTGTTACGTTCTGACGTTGTTACGCTCTGACGTTCTGACGCTCTGACGTTCTAATGTTCTGACGTTCTAACGTTTTGACGTTCTGACGTTGTTACGTTCTGACGTTTTCACGCTCTGACGTTCTAACGTCCTAACGTTTTGACGTTGGTTCGAACGTTCTGACGTCTAATGTTCTGATGTTCTAACGTTCTAACGTCCTAACGTTTTGACGTTCTGACATTGTTACGTTCTGACGAACGTTTTGACGTTCTTACGTTTTGAATTTCTGACGTTTTAACGCTCTGAAATACATAATTATGGACTTTTGCATGACGTAATGTACATATTTTACCTAAAGAGCAAGTATTTTTATGCATCCGCTATAATCTCCGTGGTTACAGTCATTATGTTAATCGTAAGTACTTTTTATTGCTGTGCAGTGAATACTTTTTCGACTGCTCTTTACGTTCCTATACTTAAGACCTGGTGAAACCATCTTCTGACCGCTGGTTATTAAAAACAAACAAAAATCTATTGGCACACCTATGGAAAATATGGAATTTGTTAAGACCAAGCTGGACTTAAACTGACCACGCGTTGAAGAGGAGATAAAAACGGCGCATAAATACGCTTTGGTCGGTAAGATTCATTTCAAGAATACCTATGGAAAATAAGATTCATTTCAAGAATAAGTTGGACTTATTCTGACCAAGCGTTGATTTATCCATAATAACCCACGAAATTACGACTTTTGACGGTAAATTATTATCTTAGTACAGTATCGATATTATTATATCGATACTAAGATAATGACGACAAATAATGACTCCGTGGAAACAATTCGATTTACACGTAAGAATGTAGTACCACTGTCCTAAGAGTATTCACTGTAATACTGCAGCATTTTTCTATACTTAAGGACTGGTTGGAATAACTCCTGACCAATGGTTTTTAAAAAAAATCAAAATTCAGAAGGCACACCTATGAAAAATAAGGAATTTTTTGAATCTAACCCTGACTTAAACTGACCACGCACTCCGCAGTTTATAAAAACCCAGGAAAATTACGTTTTTGACGGTAAGATTGTATGAATATAGAGATATTACGTAATTCCAGTTTGTAATTACAATCAAAAGTACTTAAGCTTAAGCGAGAATGCATACTCGTACTAAAACACTTGACTCATAGTCTTTACTTCCCGATTCCTCGATCAGGACATTGCGATGCGAGAACTGAAGTTGTATTTAGTACAGGTTGCGGCCGAACAAGCAACGAGTACAACCTCCATAATCAAAAGCAAACAGCATGTTGACCTTAGTCCGGAGGCATATTAGCAGAGAAAATGCCGCGCAGCTCGTCCTGGAATATTTCACTGGACACTTGCTCCTTTGGGCTCCGGAAGGCTTTGCTACCGTATAGCTTAAACGCTTGATTTTCAATCTGTAAAGGCGGAATGTTGCGCTTCAGAAGAGATAGATCGAATACCGTTACATTATATCGACGTAAATATACATACGTACCTGATCGTAAAGTTTGCTTGCTTCCTCCAGTGAACGTTTACCAACAGCCAGAACTTTTTTACAATCCAACTCCAGATTGACCGCATCGTGTAACTGCAGATTTGACGATAAATACAAAGTATCTTACGATTGTTGCCAGATTGCTGCCCACGTTAACTGCTCAGTACAATAGTTTCCTTCCAGTACGGATTTTGTGTATTATGTATTCTCCGAATTTATGGCCCCGACAACAAAACATACCACACAAAAATCTAATTCAGCCGTAGCGCTGTGTTAGGCATCAGAACACATCTCTGTACAATAGTCTATATTATTTATATACAGTACATGGAGTACTTACCTGATGGGTAGTCTTATACAGTTCTTGCACAATCGTTTCTTTCTCTTTCTCTAGATACTCCTTTCTTTTCCGTACCTCGTCTTTTCTACCTCGCAACATATCACAATCTAAAAAACACCGATAACGAATTTATGGGATCACACCATCCCAGTCACAGCAGTACATTTTTTATACATAAGGTAGTACGAGTAACCTGTAGAAATATTTTACGAGTAAATGGTAGTACCCGCCGGCAGATACGCACACTTAACTCAACATGAAACTGTGGATATGCGCCAGAAAGTATTCAGCTTCCATGAATTCTTCCATGAAACTCGGATCTCCATACCGATCAAAGGCTTCACGAAGCGGTGTTTTCTTCGTTGTCGACGACGGTTTTTCGCGATGCCGGGTAATTGTCAGTTTGACCGGTTGCGGCGTCATCCCGACCCGTCCCAGTGCTAGCAGATTCGGACCAATGGTCAGCTGGCTCAGGCTGGGCATGGGTGACAACTGGAAGGCTTCCGAGCTGAATGTTCGCAGTATCTTCCGCAGCCGCTTCTTGCGATGACGATTGTACCGTGTCGCCGGTTTTACGGCACATTTCTCCATTTTTTTTAGCGAAATCAGATTAAATTTTACATCAAACTGGAGACCATCACTGCAAATACTTGAAGCATAATCGAAATAAATCAGGCGACCTTTTTAGCGCGCGTACCTTCATCGGTTAAATTGTAGCAAAGTGTACCTGCAACAAACGCATGTACGCCAGCTGCAACCTCCTTAAATTTTTAATTGCCACGTGATTACGGATATTACAGTACTTACGTGAATTTGTAGAATATTGATCAAGCAACGGTAAAACCTTAAAACTGTGTGGTATATGCACTTTCTAAATGCTCGCCTGATTTGTTTGCCGACTTCGGGATGGTTTCTAGCTTCAGTCGTCCATTCCCCAGCAACAAGTTAAGTATGTAAATAAAGCAGTATTATTTTGCTAAATAATTTAAAGGAAGATTATTACTACCCTTGCTCTAATAATTTTACTTGTTAAAACGTATATTTTCAGCTTTTCTGTTGCAATGCCAATGCATTGTACTGTGTACATGATGGTTTTATACGTTTGAAGATTTTGAAACTATGGTAAAAGGGTTACATATACTTAATTCTACAGGCCTACCAATGTTTTTTGTTGAATTAAGCGAAGTCCGAAGATGATGTCCGAAAAATGTTTAAATACCGGCCCTATCGGTCGTTTTCTAATACGCCACCACTTATCTTGAGAAAACAACATTTTTTATAGTTATGCATTTCATGTGCTTTTTTGTAATAATTTTTTATTTTGCGATTATCGAAGTGGCGAATGGTCTATTACTGGCTAAACTGTATGTGAATTGCGTAGCAGTTTTTTTAAAAATTCCCGCTCTCGAACATCCGCACAGATTCTTATTATTGTTATTACGATACAAGAGCAAACAGCCGCAAGGGGACTTCAAGTCTGGTCGAACAAAGCAACAAATAGTGAAGAAAACAACAAAGAGCAAATGTGTGGAGACGTAGAACACTGGCATGCATGTCCAAATCCTTGCTGTGTGCGCTGATGCACAGTTGCAAGATACTCGTATAAACTTTGCGGGTTGCAATTTCGCTTTACTGTGCACGAATGGATTCAGTATTATGAAACCGGAATTTTACACTTTCCACATTTTTGTGTGTTTGTTAAACTGCGGTTTAATTGGCCAAGAATACTGTAATTGAATGCGTTGTCCAGCATTGTTTCTGATATCAAGTGCATGTCGAGCAATTTACATTTATCCGCAGGATAAGATTATATGGCGCGCGAAGTGTTGTCTTCCGGTTTGGGAAATCACCGGCAAGAGGACCACATCCTTGCACATTTGCCGTACCGCAGGTATATGCTGCATTATTATGTCTTTATGTACTCGTAGCCTTCTAACAATATGTAGCTAACCGGCGCTATCTACACAATAGAACAAAACGTTAGAAAAATGGAGATTCAATTCGATAATCAGTTAACGTTAACGTTGTATCGCATCCACTTTGAATAATAGTATGCCTAAAGTTCTAAGCCTAACAACGTTTTATTGTTGGTTTTGATATCGAAGTGCAGTTAGATAACCAAGCGTAAGTACTTTTGCTCATAATATCATGTATTTATATTTGAATATTCAGTCGTCTGTACCGGCAGCGGTTAAGCAGCATTAAAGGGAAGAAACCGCGTTTTTATCCTTTTTATTCACTGAAAAAGCTTTTGATGTACAGTAGTAATATTAATCGCTCAAATAAACCGTCATGGAATTTTTCCACATATTCTACACCGTACTAATCGGTTCGTCATTTGTCGCTGCAGCACCGGCAAAAATCGACGCAAGACCACCAATTGACCCCACTTGTGTCAATTCCGTGGTTGTTTCTTCCCATCCAGCGAAATGTTTTGAGACTATTCAAGAAAATGTCGACAAATCTGAGGAGTTGCAAAATCTAGATGAACCAATTCTTTTTGAAGGAGATATTGCCGGAATTATTGCACCAGGCGACACAATTGCCGATTTGGTAGTAACCACAATTATTTCTCATTTTATTAATGTTTAGTGTTTACTATAGATACCTGGATAATCTTGAGTATTTTTCCTAAAGTTTCCTTAAGTATGTTCTTAAATTTCGGAAATTTTTTAAAATATTTTTTAAATTTATTTTTTAACTTTTTTAATTTCGTTTTTGCTTATGTTTATATGTAAGTTTTGATGTTAAGTTGAGTTACCAGTTTACTTGTAGGAAACTAAACTAAGCGGTCTTAGCAAAGGTGGTGTTTTATCACACCAACGGTGGCCCGGCGCCTGGATGTATTATGACATATCCTCTGCTTTTACTGCGGCCCAGCGAGACATCATCCTGAGCGCTATGCGGGAATTCGAAAGCAAAACGGATACCGTGCGGTTCTTCCAGCGTACAACCGGCATATCGGATTACATTAACATTCTCAAAGCTCCAAGTGCTGATAAGTAAGTCCAGGTTAATTAACATAAAACGTCCTTGTGATTCCTCCGATAAGGCGAACAATCGGTCACGCTTTCACCAGCATGTGTTTTTAGGTGCTGGAGCATTATCGGTAAGCAGGGCGGAGCCCAGACGCTATACTTGGGAAACAACTGCGTCTACTTCGGAACTGTCGTTCACGAACTGATGCACGCGATTGGATTCTGGCATGAACAAGCGAGAAACGATCGGGATACTTATGTGGAAATAAATTGGAATAATATTAATAAAGGTGAGCAATGTAAAAACAATTTAATAACAATTTTGAAAAAGTATGACAACTGTACAGACTGTACAGACAACTGTCTGTAGTTGCATATGTTTCTTGGATGAGCGTAGTGAGATGGCTATGGTCAAATAATTTATTGTCATTAATGAGCGTTGCTAATGCCACACAGACTTTATGTAAAGCTTTCTTGATCATTAATTTCCTGATGTGTTTTTTCCTATATAAAGTTATTACAGTTTCAAATGTTTACAGATGCTACCTAGTTGCGTCACTTGTGAGTATCGATAACAACAACTGAAGCATCTGTTTAATAATACGATAACATGAGACAGGAAAAACCTTTGCAAAAAAACACTATACGATAGAAACTCGTATTACTCGGCTACACGATAAGCGATTTCAAATAATTTTACCTTATGTTAAATAAGCAGTATGTTGTGTATGAAAAGATTAAAATGTAGATTGTATGTTGTTAAAATGTTAATACTTTGTGAACATTAGCTATCGCGTTTACAATAGTCCACACGAAAATTAAGCAAAAAATAAAATGGTAGTATTAATAAAAAATTTCATTAACCCAAAAACATGAAGTAATAAGTAATAAAAGAACTGCTGGCATACAGTGGCAGGAAACATCTTTGTGTATGCCTTTTTAGAAGAACAGTATAATTTCAACAAATATGCCGCCAGCTCCATGGACATCTTCGACACCGGTTACGACTTCGGCTCCATTATGCATTATCCCAAGTACGCCTTCGCCGTCAACCCGTCCACTTGGACCATCCGGCCAAAATCCCCGTGGCAGAACTCGGAGATTGGACAGACCCGGGGTCTGAGCGCGACGGATATCAAGGAGATCAATGGCATGTACCCTCTGTGTGCCACCCTGTGGGTGGATCCCAGCTACACCGGGCAGAGTCAAGTGTACGTCCGTGGATTGACCTCCAATCTCCATGCCAGTCTGCAGGATAAGTTGAGTTCGGCGAAAGTGACCTTAGGCTGTGCACTGACCATCTACGACCGGGTGAATTCCCAGGGCACGTCCACGGTGTTCAAGCCGACGCAGGAGGGCTACGTGTACTGGTCGTTCGAGGGCAAGACGTGGGATAATGCTGCGCGGTCTATTAAATGCACCTGTGTGTGAATTGTACACTAAATTTATGGACAAACGTGAAAACGGCAGTATTTTCGAAAATTGTTGTGCTACTTTGTAAAAACATTTTAACTTGCTGAAAGTATACCAACATAATGGTTGATCCTTGCATTGCAAATGAAGTCAGAACGTAGAGCAGTGAATTCAAAGTATAAGGACGTGGATCACCCATGTGCGAATGTAAGGACTAGAAGATCGACATTCATGACATAACTCCGATGATTAAAAGAATTTTCAAAAGACAATAAATAAGCTTTTTCGATAAATTCAAACGTTTAATAAATTTTAATTTTAAATTGAGCGCTTTTATAATTTCGTTGCTAACTATGGAAAAGCTTAATCGCATTATGCATCGTAAACTGCAAGCGCGTCACGAGAAACCGTACTCATATACAGTGATTAAAAGATAATTTCCGATGCAGATTGAAGAATGCTTAAACTCAATCCGCAACAATAATTACGCAAAGTATTATCATATGAACGAATATTTTTAAACTTTGATATGGGCTATGACTATGAGGTACTGCACACTGTAATTTTGCTGATATTAAAATATTGCAGCGCCTTTCTATAGCCAGCCGCCAACACATGCGGTACATTGAAAACCGATGTTTTGTTTATTTTGATTACGTGGTCATTGACAATTGTCGGCACACCGTGCTGTGGCCCTGTACTGACACTGGCGACGACACCGATCAGCAAAAATTATGTTATTCTACCTTTTACTCATTTTCCTGGCACAAAATGAAAGGACAATATAAAATATGGGAATGGTCCAATGGGCCTGGCAGTAGCCCTTGTAGTATATAAACAAACGGCAAAAAACCAAATAACAAAAAGTAGATCGATGTGCTAAAAATTCTTTTAGTACCTCAACGACCGCGAGGCTAATTCAGCGACGCTGTATTTTTAAAAGTCACTAACGATTTCCGAATAAAGCTTTATTGCTGTTAATTTACCTTTGGTTCTAGCGCTTTAGTGTACGGACGCAGTGTGTTGTTGGCATCATTTGATCATCGTTACTGCAATACGCTGATATCGACTTGATACAAAATTAATATCAGACTATCTGGCAACATGAACTCTGCCAGTTATCATTATTGGATATTATCAGTAATATGTTTCTCGATACTGGTAAGCCAATTGCATTAAATAGTTCGCCATATATGCATTGTGTATTTTTTGTATTTATAATATACAGTATTATCTGCTGTTGTTTAAGTAAATGCAAATTAAATACCTCTCACCTTATGAGAATTACTCGTACACTGAAGTCCGTGACTCATAGAAGATTTTGAGCCTTTAAAAAACCGGTTTTCCGTTTGATGTCCGAACTTGCTTTACAGAAAACTGTTAAAGGTCAACAGGATCAACAGCAGTCATCTGGAGCCTTCGCGCAGCTCGATCAGCTTCGAGGTCGTACTGCTCTAAGCGCAGCGGAAATTCGCACGCTGGTAGCCAACGCCAAGCCAAATGTAACGTACCCGGCGTACAAAACCATCCCCAAAACGTCCTTTACCTGCAATAATGTTAAGCAAGCTGGCTTCTACGCAGGTATACTCTGGCATAAATAAAGTTGTTAATTCAAAGCTTCCGGTGCTAATGATTAATTATGATTGATTATTTAATAATTTTAATGAGCACAACTCGTATACTTTTTTGCTGATTTTGTTATAGATCCGGACACAGGCTGCCAAGCGTATCGTCGCTGTGAACCAGGGATGGCTATGGCCTCCTATTTATGTCCAGCTGGAACGGTAAAAGCAGGGGTTTTTAGTAGTTTATAAATTGGGCTGGTTTAATTTAAAGGTTACATTTACGTTTTATTAATTTACATTTTATTATTTTATAATTACATAGACATTTACATTTTATTGATTTACGATTTAATTACTCTATCGAGGAACGTTCTACAAATTCCAGTGCGATGCGTGCAGATTAAAAAATCATAAAATATCTAGATCTATTTTGTATAATTATGGGTGGGATGTGCGTGTTGCGGATTTCGAAGAAAAGAAAAACAGTATGATATGAGCACTGCAACAATTCATTTTTTATTACTGTATTTGCTCACTAATTACAACGCTTTTTCATATTTGTATCCTTCGCAGATTTGGAACAATATTGCTCTTACGTGTGATTATTGGTGGAACGTTCAATGCAGCAAGTAAGTACGAATAATACGCATATAACTGTCAAAAGTTTTTGAGCGCTAGAGGGGAGATGAATCAATACGTACTATGTGCTAACATTATACAATCTGTACAAGTATTTTTTAATATTTTTAGTAGATATTCGACCTCACAACGGATCCACAAAACTTTAAAACTTAGATTACAGTGAAAATTGTAGAGTGTGGGCAACTGATGTATTGCCCAAGGACGTTTACTTATGCGTACGCTATTCATTTAATAGACGGCAATCACAGAGATCAACACTTAACGAGAAAATTAAGGATGAATTTTTTTTACTGGATGGTTTTACGGAGAATTTTGTTGTTTTTGCATTAGCAGCTACAGTGACACCGAGTGAAAGTGGTCAACAAAAATGACAATCCATCCGACACTTACAGAATTATACATACCCTACCAAGTAGCTGAATATCTTATAGAATATTCACGAACATGAGAAAAATTTGCCTGTCAGTTTTTAAAATCTAACAACGTTGGCAAATGAATAAAAATAGTGAGCAACAGCGTAGCCCGAAACAAATCAATAATGGCAGACCGCCACAATTTGCAATTAAAACATCTACGTATTTTAACCTTAAGGCCTAAATACACTGAAGCACTACGGGTAGACAGTAGGCACACTGTTTATGTTGACCAGATCGGCCCAGTTCTTTGACTATTCCAATCCGCGCATTTACCGCGGTCCCAACGTGCGCCTGCTGGATGACAATGGCAATGGTGGTGGATCGGGAAGCAGTGCCGGTGGAAGTTCGGTCCTGTCCGGCTCATACGCTACTGTCAACTTGGAATCCGCCTATTCCAACTCAAACTCCGATTCCTATGCATCTGACCAGGAACAAGACAGCAGCCAGCTATAACATTTCTGCTGATTTTGAACCGACAAATTTCCGCGATTTATTTTCTATAACGATACTGTAATCAGTACTAAGAATTACTTATTATTATTGTCTTGTGCGTAATCGTAATGCTGTACCACCTGTGGTAGCATTTAATTACACATGAAAATGTGCATTCGAATCTGTGTTAGTGTTTGTATTCATCCAGACCAGACTCGAAAGTTGAATTTCCGTTCTTTTTGCTTTGCGAGAACTCAGAATTGCGAATACCGTGGTGCAAAGGCCCACACAGATTTATACATAACTGCATAAGTGCATACCTAAACGCTTCCTGAACGAAGAAAACAATTTTAAAATTCCTTCAACGTACTTTTTATCTTACAAAATAAATCAATTTATTCACAGTTTTCCTCTAGAAATCAATATACCATTGTTATCACTGTGTTTTTCTAAATGCAACAAAAATGCATACCCGTAAATATTCCACTGAACGACAAAAATTATGGTGTGTGCAACTTCGTCATTACCCAGAATTGTATCGAATAATTCGTAACATCATTAGAAGGGTGCATCATCCCCTTGATTATTCATGTTTCCGTAGTGCCGTAACATCCAAACGCGACGTTCTCTATTTGATAGAAATTCCATATATACAAGACGGGTCAAAGTGTGCGAAAGTACGCAAGCAGAAAGAACACTCTACACGTATCATTTACAAAATATTTACAAGATATAAACGGTGCGCCAGAGGAGAAACACTGAGACAGAGAAAATGAGAAACAAACAAAAACAGTTTTCAACAATATTGTGCTTTCAAAAAATTAGAAGGTTCAGTAGTTCATTTCCAACGAATCGTCAAACACAAGCACACTGAAAGACTCACTCCTTGAGCCACGGAAAGGCCGCCAAACTCTGCGGATCCCGATCGCCATAATCGTACAGCAGTTCCTCGCCCACCTCAATATCCCGTGCTGCGCGCAAAATCAGGTGGATCTTCTGCTCCGAGCTGGGGATTTCTTTGACTTCCGGTCGCAGATTGGCTCGACGACATGAGTGGTTCAGCAAGCGACCATAGCGTCCGGTTTCCGCAGTGGCATCCACACTGCAACATTTTTCTATGATTACATAATTAAAAAAAATTTAAACTTACGGCCACCAAAAATTCCAACAACAAAACTTCTCGTATTACCCACTTTCGGTTGATACATAGGCTCTATAGTTTAAAGCAGACATGTTCCATGTTATTTTTCAAGAAATAATCTTTTCTAATAGTTCAGATGCTCACCATAGTCTTCTGCCTTTGTAATTGAAAAAGTACATATAACAGCCGTATTTGGACGGTTCCTGGGCGTAGTAGCGTTCGCGTTGTTTAGCGCAGCTGACATCCACTAAATCTCCCGCGTACTCCACGACATACTCGTCTTTCTTGAAAGCACGTTGCGCGACTAATCCACGGCCTTTTTCCTCAAACAGGTGGATCTAAATACGAAAGCAAAAAATCTGTTAAACTCATCCGTTAATCTTTGCATTAATGATTTAACAACTGAATGTTGAAAACTGAAAAGCGCTTTCAGCCATCCCATCACGTTTAAGAAAGCCAAACTACTACGCTACTCGCAGCAACACAAAACAGAAAATAAATTCATGTTGTTATCCAAAAAATCTCACAAAAAGCCCGCAAAAACATATGGGGAAGGCTCCGCACACCACGTTTCACCACCAAAGTCTCCGCACACCACGAAACACCACCGCCAGGCTCCGCACACCACTTTTTATTAATTTTTAATTTTTTTGAAAAAACCACTTTAATCTCCTAACACCACTAGGAGCATATTGCACACCACCAGAGTCTCTGCACACCACTATTCTGGATGAAAATTAAGCAATTGTTATAACGGGCGGAAAAAAAAGACAGCTCTTTCGTCTCGCGGTCTGGCTCCTCTTTTTTGGTCCCACTCGTTAGCCTCCGCTTCCGTTATAGTTAGCGATTTTTTCGGTTTTACTCGCTCGGCCGCCCTGCCAGGACGGTGTTTGAGTTTTTGCACACGCTTAGCTTCAAATGATGTTATAACCCACTCCCTCAAGCCTTTTCCAGAAAAGGTACTCTCCTGTGGGTCAATTCCATTGAGCAGCTCGTGCGCAAACGCTAAAGCGTGAAGGGCACAATCGATTCCGTTTCCTTAATTTTGGACAGCCTTGTGGCTAACCGTAATCTGCTTTTCCGGCAGTAACGTCCCATAAAGCAGCCATATTTGTTCTTTAACCTGCCAGTTAAGCTCCATCGCCAAACTATCATACACCCAAACTTCCTTTGTCTCGCGATGCCAGTTGGTTGAAGTGAACATGCACGCAAAATTTCTCCAAATCTAAACCTCAGAAATCTCGGCGGAACATTCCGTACGCCCCAATCAGTCGTAAAAAGTACGCGACATTTTTTTAGTATGACGATGAATCAAGAACGATTTTTAGAATAAAAGTATAACAAACAGGCAGTCAGTTTATGGTAAATTGTGGCTGCAAAGAACTTTCTCTGCTTATTTACAAATTACGCATGCTGTACAATCAACGGCTTGCCTTGCGCTATATCGAAAAAACCAAAAAATTGTAACTTAGATACACCGTATGTTAAGTAAAGTACTGTTCTTTGTACGTACACAGAATTTAATTACATAGCCCATATTAGTCGTATAATTATACGACCGACTACCGCATACATATCTTCGAAACCACGAGCAGAATGTGGTGTCCCGAGACTACCGACGTTTCAAATATATATAGTGGTGGCGTAAAAATGGTGGCCCGAGACAAAACGTGGTGCGAATAGTGGTGTGCGCAGCCTGGTGGTGGTGAAAGGTGGTGTGCGGAGACTTTGGTGGTAAAACGTGGTGTGCGCAGCTTTCTCCAAAACATATTTAAAGCAAAACAAGCTTACAATGCATCACTACTCAGATATGCATTTTAGTCACAATCGTTGTACATTTTTAATTTTCACGCAAACTGCAAGCACTTATTCAACTTATTTTCGAATAAACTGTTTTCGCTTGCACAAAAAATGGAGTTCTCGCTGTGCTTTTTTAACCACAAAAGGATATTTATACTGTAGCTTGCCGTTATTACTGGGTCCAAGCGAAATTTTGACCACACAGCGGAAAACGTCTGGGGCACAATTTAACAGCTAACCTGAATTCCCGGATCTTCCAGTTTGCTGACGATCATGCGCGTTATGGTGATCTCCTCCTCTTTGAGTCGTTTATCCAGCTCCAGACTGGCCTTGACGCGTTCACTCTTGGTCTGGCGCACCACCGGGTTGGACTTGACGGTGGTCGTGCCTGGCAAAGCGGGCCGTCCGATCTTGGGGCCCTTGCGGGGGATCACGGTCGTCTCGGGCGAGATAATCTGGTGGCCCCGCACCGCGGAGGAGCGCTGCACGGGGGTGCTGGGTGGTAGGCCATTGGCGATTCCATCGGGGAGGGTGCCGTTTTTCTGCGGGGTGTTGGGTGGGACTTCTACGGAGTAATAATGGGGAATGTTCAGATACAGATTCGGACCGATTTGCTGCGATTCCCAGATTAACACGATCATTTTTGACGACAGATTCTACTATTTTCTATTTCTTTTATGTCTAACGATGAATTACACTACATTTCGTGTATGCATAATTTACGTCAAATGCCAGATTAGACAAACACTGAAAACAATCCAAGAGAATTTTGCACGCGGAGGCCTACTTTGGCCTTGTTATTGTCTAACGGTTGTAAGTGGGGTAGCGAGTTAAGCTACCGTGTGTAGGGACATCGGCTACATCATCCTACATGCAGGATGCAACTGTCGCGCACTTTGCTTAAAACAACCACATCAATTTCAAAATTTTACACATTTGTAATATGCATTAGATTTTCTTTAAAAGATTAAAATTCTTGGTTTATCATAATTCTTCTATTTGCCTTTAGGTTGGTTGCACAATGGTTGCAGTCATGCAGACGGCCTCAGAACACTGAATACGCGTCCTAACAATAAGATCACGAATAAGTGAATAACGATTTAGGATTTTTTGATTTTTCTAATGGCAATGGTTACATTTGAATTATTTCAAACAAACCAAAATAGTAGAGTGCATCAGCAGCAGAGACAGCAAACGTGGTGGTTTCGTAGTACAAGGTAACAAGGGTAAAAGCATCGCCGCCCTCCCCATGAGGTATTTACGCACTACGTCTTGAATTATAAATGAAAATCTACTACTGGCACAAACTGTGCTAAGATTTAAATTAAATCTTAATTTATGTTTTTTCTGTTAATGGTTGAGAGGAAAACTACCGCTAACAGTAATACGATAGGTCCGGAGAAGAAAGGCTTATTAATAAACACTCTGCAGTCAGTAATACTGTGACTGCTGAATGTTGATTGTATTTTATTCGATAGTATTTTATACTGACTCAGTATAAAACACTATCGAATAGGTAAGCAATTTACAAAACTTAAAAGTTTAAGCCGTCTAAAAGTTCAAGTTTAAGTTTAAAAAACTTAAACTTAAAAGTTTAAGTTTAAATTTTAAGCCGTCAGGCGAATCCACCCATTCGACCGCTGTAAATTTAGCACATCGTTCTGATAAAATTTTTGCAGTTGTGCTTATCTGCAGCATGCATGCTGACTATGTATAAGCTTCCCGTTAACGGTTAATAAAACAAAATTAATTTCAACAATCAAACGGCTTCTGCCTTTACTTAGTTCGCTATCTTTAACGGTGTAACACTGTAATTCGTGTAATGAAAAAAGATAACTTTGTGACGGCTCTGTACAACCAGTATCCACTACATTATCATGGCAAATGTAAGTGCTCCGTAAAACAACCGGACATCCCTAGCTTTAGTCAGAAGACGGAGTATAAACTCTGAGTATTCGCTATTACTGCACTTACTGGGAAGCTGCACTGCTCGTTTGCGGATGACAATCTTCAAGGGTGAGGGCCTGGGAAGACCAGATGCTGCAGCATGCTTGCTGATCTTCTGGGCTGCGACGGAAACCACTTCAAACTCGGAAACCGCCGCGCCACACTCAACGAGATCACCATCGAGATTTTCCTCAAATACTACCGGTTCTGGCGCAGATGGCGCAGCAGGAACAAGATCATTTGGCGGAGGTTTAGTCGCTGCGCGGTGGAGAACTTCATCCAGTTTGGTTTGTTTGAACGATCGACTGGCAGCGTTCCGCGGCGGATTACGACGGGTTGCTGCCGTCGGCGCCACAGGCTTCTTTGGCGGCATGGCGAAGACAGCGCGAGATCGTCCTAAGAATCTCCAGTCAAAATCAGTATTTTAAAGGACATGAGAAAAAACTGCTTTAGTTACACCTGCCAGATCTACGACCATTTTTTATTAAAAATAATTGAGACAGAAAAATTCAAAAACGGAAAATAAAGCGATGTTTTGCATGCCAAAAGTAAAACCATTGAAGAATACTTTATGGCAAGTAAAGTGCGTACGCAGGCGGCCACTCTTATTTTTGCATCTCATAGTGGTAACCGGTGCGTCTGGCAGTGCCAAAAAGTGCAAGTACAATTTTGTTGTGACCAGTGACTCTGTAAACGTCTGTCTCGTGGTCTTCGATCTTCAGTTTTTTTAAAAAAAAATTATTTCATTTTCATAATTTTCTTTTCGCCGTCGCATGCTGTGAGACACTCGACAGCGAGTTTTTGTGACTTATGTGATGAATCTGTCAATTAGTTTCGTTTTCCCAGAATAAACAGTCATTTGGCTCAAATTTTCAACTGATAAAACATGACATCCCTTCAAGTTTGCTCGCACTTCTCGCTGCCGATCACTTCGAACAGTGCTGACCGTCGTTCCTTGTCCAGCCTGGGCTTGGCGCCCCAGCTGAAGGATCTCCAAGAAATCGGTGCTTTCTCGTTAACTGGTCCCCTGCCGAACACATTCCGTCGCAAGTATCATGACGATCGCAGTGGACTGCGGGCATTGCGGCGAAAGGGACCGGGACGCACTGTCAAAAACCTGTGCATTGATCTGAATGTGGGCGCAGACCAGTTCCAGCCGCGACCGGATCCTGACGATCCCGAAACCAACGAGCATTTGGACCAGCTGCTTACGTGGATTATGAAGCATCCGGAGAAGTTCGACAGAATTCGGTAAGCAAACAGACGAAATCAGTGAGATGTTCTTTGTGATCCACTGATAAGTACCTAAATGCATGTTACGTAACGGCGGATATCGAAATCGAATTAGTGGATTCCGTAAATCCATTATCGTCAGGATACTGGATACATAATTATAGCGTATGGACACTTTTTTTTGGGAATACCTATAATTTAATCAGAAGATTTCGTATTATGATTCAGAGACAGTATACCGTATCTACGTTGCGCACATTTTACTGTTAACTTAACATTATCATTGTACAAGTAAGTACTTGCGGTTGAAATTTAGATATTTCTTTTCGGAAGTTTTTTTTGGATTGCCGTGGCTGAATTAGGCTTTCAAATACGTATTTTGCTGTTATAAAATATTTCATATGATTTGTTTCTCATACTCGTTTCTCTGATTGCAGATCAAAGGTGAACATTGTCTGCATGCGGAAACGGCTGTACGAAATCATGGTTACGCCATATGAGCGGATGAAGGGTTGGGTCATCTCGGCATGCCGGATTGATGGGATCATTTATTTGACCAATTTCGAAACCGAAGAGGCCCGCAGTGAACGGTTGGGAATGCACTCCGATGCGTACAAAGCGTCGCAGTATTGGTAGGTGATTAGCTTGTAAGTTTTCTTATTACTGCTTAAATATTTACACTAGTTTCTTTATTAGCACCTTACGGTAGTTTTCGGATTAGTATTCTACTATACAAGCGTTGGAAACTTCGGGATATTCTGTACGCTTCTTAAAAAGAAAAAGTTAGACGTATAAACGTATGCTGGCTGTTGAGCATAGGAACTTCTTCATGCTATTTACGTTTGCCATTTCCCTACGATAGACTTCGGTTATTGATACTCACGATGGTGAACTCACGGGGAATATTTGTACTTTCTGTTGCTTCAAAATAATGTAGAACTTGTTAATCCTGGGATATGGTAATGCCTTTTAGTATCGTGATTGGTATTTTAAAGAGAGAAAGAGAAAACCTAGCTCTGCCGGGTATACTACTGTACGTATATTTTGTTACTATTTCAGGGGGTACAAATTTGAGCAGTTCATGACCAACGACGAGAAAACCGCTGCAACAATCCCACCGAATCCTTACGATGGATTTTTAAGCATTATTTCCAGCAAACTTGGCAGTACTGGGATGTTGTATGCCGCGGAAATCGATTGTTATGATGCTGCAAAGCAGTCGAAGGGACCGTCCAGCTATGTGGAATGCAAGACGTCGCGTGGACTAACCGATGCTGATGGCCTGTCGAAATTCTTGTACGGTTCCAAAAGGGCAACGTTATACTTTTTCTGATTCAGAATTAAAGAGCGAGCTTTTAAATACGTACTAACGAAGCGGAAAAAGCGTGCACATGTTGAACTTTAGCTATCATTTCAATTTACGAAAGCCTTTGCAATAAAATTACGTATCAAGTTTTTCATTACTTGATAGTGTTTCTCAAGTTTCAGCTTATATTGCTCACTACGTGCGCTATGTGAATTAATCTTGCAGTTTTAGCAGTTACATGTTACGATAAAATAGTTGGTTATTCAAACTAAACCGATTGTGCAATCTGGTTACCGTGAGCGATTTTTTGGAAGTGCAATAATCTGTCATTTGATATTCGGCAGGAATGGGAAATTTCGACGCTGGTGGGCGCAGAGCTATATCGGAGGTGTGCCGCTGATCTGTATTGGCTTCCGTAACGACGACGGCATTGTCACCTATACTGATGAAATGCCCACGGATATTGCCAATTACAACACTTTGTACACGGTAAGGTTCGATTGTCATTTGGACCATCCACTTTGCTTTTATTTTTAATTACGAGTACTAAAACTGAATTACAATTGTAAGGATGGAAACTCCTGTATATTGTGGGCTTAAGTTTTCTTCGCATTGTAGAATAAACGCATTAACTGGTCGCCATCGGTCTGCGTGAAATTTCTTTCCGATTTCTTGGCACATGTTCGTGACGTCGTTGTGGAGGATCACACCAAGTTCGTATTGTGTTTCTATGTTTAAAATTTCTCTTCACAAAAATTCGTTAATAAACAATAAGCAGCGATATACGAGAACGAAGAAAATTTAAAGACATGGTGTTGCGCTGAAATTCCATAATATTGAGTTGCATTTTTTCAAATTTGTTGTACGAGACACAAAAAATTACGGTTGAAAACGGTGGAGCATACAAAAGTTTACGACCTGCTACGCTGTATTTTAAATGACAAGTTGAAGCAAAGAAGCTCTTTAGTCAAACACAATTTCAAGTATGGTGCACCGTATGACAATCGGCTTGATTTAACCATAATTCTATTTCAGAACGATTTACAAATTTGAATGGAATGTTGGTTGGAACAGTGTAAAGATGCAAGCGTACGACGCGGAAACATGCAGCTATAAATTCATTCCGGAATGGTTTACCAACCGACAGATCTCGAAGGATGACTGAGCGGCTTTCAAGCGTTTTGCAACTTTTGTTTAGGTCAGTTTTCAATGCCCGCACTCGCACATGTTTTAGTTTACAGAGTTTTTATACATATAGATCATACTGATCCAACACTTATTTGATGCACTAATGTGATAATTTTTAAATTGTATCACTTGAAATTTTGCAAGCTAGGAATGGTAAAACTTGAGTTTATAAGTAGATCAAGCGAAGCGAAACAATGAAATGTTCTTCAGTCTCTTAGCGGAAAAGACATTAAAATTCACCGTTACTGTTTCGGAACAAATTTTCTTTCTCTAAATAACGGAAACTAGAACTCAAAAAAATAAAAAAAACATGGAAAAAGCGGTAAATAAACTGGCAGATTTAAAAGATCATAGCCACTCCGTTGCGCCAGTTTTCCACGTTAGAATTACTGGAGATATACTGCCCGCGAATATCCGTCTTGTCGGGCAGCAGAGCGGCGTACAGCGACGATTCGGCACCCTCATCAATGGTTTTGGTGCCTTTATGGCTGCTCATATCGGTGTCCACATATCCCGGATGAACCTGACGTTAGCGTTATTTCAGCCAGATAAACCGGCATCTTGACTACATTCATACTCTTTTAGTGCAGAATAGTGCTTACCGCATTGACAACGATATCCGGACGCGTTTTATCTTTGTCAAATTCCCGCTGCTGAATGCTGGATAAAGCAGTCACCCCGATTTTAGACATGCCGTAGGCCGTAGTGGGAAAACCAACGTCTTTATGGGTGTCGCGTTTGGCGGCTCTACAGATAACCAAGTGAGAACAAACTCCGCGGTTTGCAAAATTTATCGTAAACGCAGAAGTTTAAAGGATCACTTAAGTACAATGAACACCACGCAGCAACATCTTTGTAGAATTTAAAGGGATTTGCAATACTTATGTGCTAGACTAGAGTTCTTTTGTTTTAAGGCACATATTTTAAATAACTTACGAAACAAAATCGTTCATAATTTTCTTCAGCTCTTCCACGGTCAACTCCTCGGAAATAACGCGCTCCTTAATGGCAGAATTAGTGATGTAGGTGACATTTCCCATGCAACTGGATACGTTCACCACCCTACGAAAATCATGGAATGTACAACTGAAAAAATGGAGTAATAAGCACTCCAAAACAAAACAGCAACATCCCCGTCCGGGAACATGCCCCTCCGGGAAGAGAGTAATATGTGTATAATATCAATTATCAATGATCTGCATCTGAAAGAGTGCAGATAAACTGTCGTAGTACAACGGCCACACACTGCGTCAATATCAAAGTGTTGGTTTTCCAGTTTCATCTACATGCCTATCAATTTTACGAGCAAGATTTTGCTCACATCTTAACAATGATATTCTGCCTTTCAACATAAGGATTTTTGGCACGTTTTTACACGTGTTAAAAATTATCAAGTAGAAAGAAAAGCAGAATATGACAGTAAAATACTTAATTTCAGTTGATATGACGGTAAAACAATTTAACTAGTGCTTATATATAAAGATTTTTTAATAAATTTTTGAGTTTTATAAATTATTCTGAAGTTCATTTTATAAAAAGTAAGCATATCGACATACACATATACAAATATATATTTGTAAATACTGTGCAAATAGGCTGACAATGTCAGAGAGAGAGAGGATTGCATTGCTACAACAACTTTTTTAAAAAATTGCTGTTCTTTTAATTTTAATGAGGCAGATAATTACCATCCAACAAACATGTTGCGATGCATACTGTACAGCAGAATATGCCGTCAATTTACTGAATTTAGCAAAGATATTCAAACCTGGCAGACGGTCGGAGAATGGGAAACATCACATCGCACACATCCAACAAACCGAAGAAATTCGTCGCGATCGTCACTTCCGCCTGCTCACCAAACGATTCCGTGGCATCGTTCTTTGTTAAAAAACCACAAATTCAAATAATGAAAAGTGCCCGGAGAATCCGCTCAGGATAGTTTCAAAATATACGTTGCAAAACAATTTGCAAGTACCCATTCCAAACTTCTACGGATAGCGTTGTCTAGTACAGAAATATCATATAATTTTATGTAGGCAGCTGAGAACCGTCTTCGCATATATAAAAATTCATTTATTCACATACTCGTATATTCATATCATTAATATAAATTAACTTCCTCTAACAACCGGGAAATTCTCTTTTCACATTAAGAGCACCTTGAAAGCTATGGCCGCATTGTTAACGAGGATATCCAGTCCGCCGTGTTTTTGGACAATCGTGTCGCGGGCTTTTTCGATGCTTTTCCGATCAGTGACATCCAGCTGGATGAATTCCGGATGGAGATCCTCTTCGGTTTTCAGTTTAGCCACTGCTTGCTGCCCGAGCTGCTCATTCCGCGCTAAATACAACGCCCGATAATAACCAATCTCCCGTGTGGCACGCTTCGAATCACTGAACTAATACACATATAAATATTAAACATTTATTAACAAAAATTTGAAAATCATCATTGAAAGTTAAAGCTGCACGAATACGGTACTGTATTCTTCTGTTTCCAAAAAAAATTAGGAAAAAATTAAAACAATTGATTAGGGTAGGTGTTAGCCATAATGAGTCAGCTTGTATATCTAGAATTTAATAACGAAAACAGAAACACGAGAATTCAAGCAACTGTCTGTAGACGACTGCGACATACCAGCTAGATAAACAGCACCACGTTCGCCCAGCCCTTTGCATAATCCTCGTACAATTCCAAATCCAATGCCTTTATTGCCGCCAGTCACCTGCAGAAATTGAGGCCCTCATATCTTCACTTCCCGATTTACATCCAAACACCAGTTTCTTCTAACAGCTTTGCGGTGCACTTCGTCCGCAAAAAGGGAGACGCAAGCGGCAAAACAAACTACAGGCCTAGGTGGTCCATGGCTCTTACAGTCTTACGGAGCCCTACTTACCAGAGCAACACGCTTTCCCGCACTCATGTCGGATAAAGGAGTCCACAATGCGATTAAACTCGTGAGAATGGAAGCCTTCGCCGAGAACTTCTTTGCAACTACGAAGAAAAGCTACCGATATGGTCTGCACTGTCTGCACACTGCAGTGTTAGACAACTTAGGAGTCAGAACGACTTAACCAGTAAAAACTGAATATCGCTGCGAAAAATCCCCGCAAAGCTGCCAGGTGTGTTTATTCAGAGTAGAGACCGTATGTACACAATAAACTCGGTGAATGAAGATGACTTCGCAAAAATTTAATAAGTTTCACAGAACAGTACCATCAGCTGATAAGCGATATGAAGTTATGAACCATACGGTAGTATGGTGTAGCGTGAATACATACTGCATAGTACTGTAAGTACTGCCGTAAGCGCTGCTTACGGTTAACACGCAAACTTAATACCATATTATAAGAATGTATTTCTGTGCAGTACATTTATGATTATCGTTAATTTATACAGTGCCACAGTATGTAAACTGCATATTAATAGTAATAAATTATTAATATGAAAAAATATTAATTCGTAGGTATTATTTTTTATAAAACGTCAACTTTCAAAAGTCAGGTTTGTACTGCATGACGGCGGAAGTTTCCTAACAGTAACAGCTGATTTGCTTTAATATCATCAATATTTCTATGCAAAATACAAAATATGATATGTCATTGCAAAATAGGAGTTTCAATCAACTTGTTGCCTTTCTTAGCAGTCCATTCATCCTTCCGTACATAATCTTGAGAATATGTAGAATATGTATGTATTAGAATATGTAGAACATCCAGCCATTATCCAGAAGTTTAAAAATAATTTTCTTTTTAGGCCCTCCGAAAAGGTCAAAAGGATACGTGATCATTCAGAACGGCACGAACAGTGCAGCTGGTCAGCTGGTCATCCGCAGCCAGTGATCGGCAGACGATCAACACCATCCGTGACCATCCGGAACAGGATGCTACTCTGTCCCACTTGAAATCGCTGGGCGATACAACGCAATATCACCGATGCCGGCCTCCAGGATCGTAAAACTCTCGGCAGTCTGACCAAAGCCAAACTTGGGCTTGAATTGCGTGGACGGCAGAGTCGTGAACGCTATTACAAACGGATGCGAATCAGGCGCAGCTGGTCACATACGGTGGCATGTCCAAACAACCCCCTCTCGTGCCGAAGCAGCCTTGAATTTTAACGGTATTGTACTGCGCGGCTTCTGGATCGGAGCCTGGTGCCGGGATACTTCGACGGAGGAGAGAAATGAAATGCTGAACAACGTGGTGCAGCTGATGAAGGATGCCAAAGTTCATCCACCCAGCATTGAGGCTATCAGCATGAAGAATTACAAAGAACGAAGGACCATACCCGACATGGTCTCCGGATCATACACTGCAACACAACAAAATCAAGGATAAATCAAGAAATTTCAGAATTATAGTTAATCTCTTAATATTTGTTATACAGTGACAAATAAAATTATTTGCTTTCAGTATAAATTATCTCTTGTAAAAATTTCTTTCAAGCAATAACGTCATCGGAAAAGAGGGACTTTTCTACCAGACAAATCTGTGCCGTAGACGCTCCCATGAACGCTGGGTGGTCCAGTGGAGTGGCAACGATGGTACGAATCCGTCAGCAGGTTGTCGTAGTCCACTGCGCTCTCATTCTGCAATATCGCAAAACTTAGCACGCCAGAAGACATGGACCGAAAAAGCATAACGATGAATAAAAACAGTGCCGACACATAGATGACTACTCATACAGTGGACTTCATAAATGTGGTTACATATAGCCACCCGTATGCATAGCGCTATCGGCTTTAAGGCCATGGCTAGTTTGGCTTTATTCAGATGAAGAAGGTCAGTTTTTTAAGTTTTTTAAAATCGTATTTTCTTTCTTGATACTTCGTTATAACCAGTTTAAATCGAGAAAAATTCACAACTTAAAACCGGAAAGATCGGCTTCAAACACACAGTTTAAAATGCGAACTGAATAAATCACGCTCAAAAATTAACTAGTCTTCAGGCAACCATACAGAATTTTAGATAGACCACCCAGAAAATCGTAAACATAGTCCTCCTGCACCTTGCGAGAGCTTTTTTTGAAAAAAAATTTTTAAACTCCACAAACTTAAAAAAACACTTTTTGAGTTTCGATTTTCGTAAATAACTTGAGTTAAAACGATTTTTTTCAAAATCGCTCTCGCAATTATACTTCTAAGGTATTTCTACACCCAATGCATCAAATTTGAAAATTATGTTAGATCGCCTGAATTAGGAGTTAGTTTTCAAACTTTATCTGGTGCATTTTGAATGGTAGCCTTCGAAAGTTCATGCAAGTTTACATCGCTCATGGGCATGTTGAATGTTTCAGCCCACCACACATATCAAACCATAGTGACTATCCAGACAGCCATTGCCCGCTTCTTACCACACTTGAGTGTGATCAAAATCTATTGTCTTTCGGTGTTTGCTTTGATTCCGCTGACCAGTGCTCCGTTTTATGGCTGACAGAAGAACAAAAGATGCGTATCCCGATTCTGTGCTCTCCATTGATTTCATCGCAGGTGCGCTAACTTGCATATGCGTTCGTAATGGTGAGCCGGGCCAGTCACTGCTAGCGTCGTTACTCAGTTTAGGCAGCTAACTTTAAAAATTTATATTTCATAACCCTGGAATTTTATCACTTCAGTGTTTGTACCGTTGGATAGAGCTGTCTTCAATCTGTAAAGCGCCTTTCTTTTGCAAAATGGCCTATTAGGAATAAAGCCGAACTAGCCATGGCCTTAAGTGTAACCACATTTATGAAGTCCATCGTACGATCGTATCTCATATAACAAAACATCGAGCAAAATTAACAACATAACTGTGCAGTAAGTCTATCAAATTATGTCATATTTTTAAAATAAAAAACGTTTAAAATAAAAACGTACCGAAACTACCGATCCATAGTAACTCACGACTTCGGACAGCGTCTTCTGAAGCTTCCCGTGAAATTCCGGATCCTGAGCCTCCCGGATCCGGTACAGCGTGGTGGTAGCTAAATACAACATGCAAATTACAAGCATCAGCCACTGCCACAGAGAGTAAGAGTATAATTTTAATGGGAATTTTGTAGGCAACGTAAGGTGCGGTGAGGGTAAGTTATTTTACCGATTGCTCCTACGGCAGATTGATTGTTTGGATTGTGCCGACAGCGCTGCGCCATGGCAATCAGGGTTTCAACAGCGCCAGGCTGATGAGCGATGGCTGCTGCGCCTTCCGGGTCAGCACTGAGCTCCGCCAACAGATCTGATGCAGATCGGATAACATTCTTGGCCGGAAACGCTAACAACTACAACCAAAAAGCTTGCAACAACAGTGGCCCGAAACTGCGAACACAAGATTTACCTGAACCAGCGTAGGAATAACAAATTCTTGGCTGCGAATATACAATCGACTTTTAGGATCCTTCGCCATCTGACTCAGTGTTCCGATGATGCATTCCAGCATTTCATGCATCCGCATATTCTGAATGACCACGTTGGTCAATGGCAAATTGCACCTCGACGCCTGATACTATCCACAGAACAAAATTATTTATAACTCAGTGCTACAGTAGCTAGACAAAATACAGCCACATCCCGGGAAATTAAGCGAAAACCAAACCAAAAGAGTTATCAACAGATGATGCTTTTGATTTGGGGAGAAAGCGACCTAATACCTCTTGGAGTATATGGACAGCACTCTGGAAGTAATCAACAACCAGCTTCATGATCCCTAAGTCCCGAATTTCATCGCGATTCGATTCAGCACTCGCCAAATTCTGCAGCAAACTAACGATGGCCTTAATCAGCGTCCACTGAATATTCGGCTGTTTCAGCATGGCGTTGATCAGGCGGAGCCCTCCTCTTTCTCGCACCTGGACTTTTGCATAGGCGCTTTGATCATGGCGATTGGTAATGTGCCGCAGAGTGCACAAAGCGGGCTCGGTTACTTCTTCCTTCTTTGGAAAACACTGACAAACGTTGAGTAATCGGCCTATTCCACCCAGCTGGCATACTACACTCTTATTGAGCTCGCTGTTACACGTTAAATTGCTCAAGATTCCTACGGAACACAACACCAATGGATCCAGTAAGTCTGAATTCCAAGGCGACCGATATTCCAGCAAGGGTACCACCAGCTTCAGCAGCGGTCTCAAATCCATTTCATGGAAATCACGATCACTGATCAGCATATCGGACAGATTACGCAGCAAGTACAAGATTGAGGTCAGCAGCACCCGGCTTGACCGCCATTCAAGGCAACGGTAAGCTAAATTCACCAGAATCGCCACACCATCTGCAGAAAATCGAAGTACACAGCCTTACATACATGCACCTATTTCCAAACAGCATCGCATTACAAGTCCAATAATTAAAGCAAAAACAACATACTATTTTGCAGAATACTCTTCTTGTTCTGCTCATCGACGGATATCGCCTTCAACACTGATAAAGCCGCATTTATCAGTTTTTCGTATGCATTCGTGTTGATGACACGCAGAAGTCGAACCGGTCCTTTCTCAGCAAGAATAATCACCTGTGGATGAGATCGTTAACAGCGTTCAGCCTCAGTGTACTCGTGAAAGATACCGCACCTTGGCTTCTTGATTGCCAATAGTCAGATGTTTCAGGCAATCACACACCACACTGACAAATTTACCATCCGCAATATCCAGCAGTGGCACCATCGCTTGAACTCCGCCATGTCTAAACACTTCCGTCTTGGCCTGCGGGAAGTGCTCCATAACAATCATATTATGCAAAATAGTAACTGCATAGCGAACAAGGGGGCCATACTGATATCTGGAACAATTAAGACAATTATTGTTAATGGTAGTGTTGCATTTGACAGGAAAACATGAGTACGCACTACAGGAATGTTGCAGATTCGGCTTATATCTTTCAACTGCAAAATTCACAGATGGAGTCCTGACGACACTCATTGCAGACAAAAAACATGTCTGCCATTACAATACAAGATCTACCGCAAAGGAAACTGTTACCCCAGAAGTTTTATGAGAAACGGAATTCCAAAGGAACGGACAACGACCTCATGGCCTGATCCTATTCCGGACAGTTGGTACAAGATTTTGACTGCTGAATTGGCTATCTCTTCGTTATCCTTTCCCGCACCAGCATGCACGGTTTGGATCAACGCGGTAACAACTTGGGCATCAGCCATCAGGGCTTGTCGGTTGGCATCATCCTTCGACAGCTGATGGAGGAAACGGGCCGTGTTTGACACAATTTCCTAAAAACGATAAACATAACCAACACTAAAAAAGAACTCCAGTGCCGGTGCGTGTACAGTACAGTCGGTCGACATTAACACTGCGATGTGTAGTATTGTACAATTGTACGAGAATAAAAATTTCAACATTAGTAAAGGATGCTGCAAAGTGCACTACAAAAAAATATTTATCGTTACCTCAGTAGTATACCAGTAGCCAATACTATTAATGACCAAACCCCATACAAAAATTCCGAAAATACGTTTCAACCATCAAACCATCAAGGCAACCCAGAATGCTTTTAATTACAAATAACGAGCCCAGACGACGAGCAGTACGGAAATTCGTTTATTTCATGAAGTCTGGCGATAAAGTCAAAGGTAAATTACGATAACCAGACCGCAGCGTAAATTACGATAACCAAACCCGCAGCGTTAAGTGCTATAGCCGCATCAGTGAAATATGGTGCATGAAAGGTGATCTTACGCCTTAATTGGAAACCCCGTATTAAATCGGTTTAGTAAGAATTTCTGTGCATGAAAACGCATCAAAGACTGTAAAACACTCTAAATATTATGATACACCGAAATTCTTCGATCACGAAATCACAAATGGTCACAAAAGCGCTCTCCGGCGTCTCCGTTACAAAAGAATGTCGCCAAAACACTGACCAAATAAAGCGGCAGGCAATAAGCATTCACGTACGTTTACTCTTTTCAACTGCATACGATCAGCCAAAAAACGCCATTCGCATCTTTCGAGGCGAACAAATTTAATTGGAGACTGTGATATTAGTCTTCTTACCGGGTCCTCATCCTGTAAAAGCTGAACCAAATCGGGAATCATGCTGACTGTCGTGCCCGCGTCATTCTGGAACTGGGCCAGTTCATGGACACCTTTCGTCAACAACTGTGCCGGCTCTGCCAAATATTCCATTGCTGTCGGTTCCGTAGTAAACTGTGTAGTTGGGTATTCCGTTCCTTCTGGTAAAGTTTCTTGAAACATGGTAGCTCGGATGCGCTGCGAGCGGGTTGTTGTGGAGTATAATCACGTTCCGTGATATCTAAGAACAGAAAATCAGTCAATCACCGGACACACACTTGAATACGAGTAAATTGTCGTGGAAGTAAGACCTTGCAGGAAAACTGGAAACTACTACAACATACCGACTAGTCGACCACGACACAATCGGTAAAGCCACTCTATATCAATTGCTGGGAATACTGGGAATGGCCTAACGAACTACGAAGAAGATCAGGAACAGGACAGGAACTGCTGAAACTCAGGAATCCCTGCTGCAAACACGAGAAATACACAAGAAGATACGTTTACACTTACCTGTACCTCACGCTAGATGGTAGCAGAAGCGATAAGAGAAATCCATCAACCAGGCGATACTGGACCTGGGTCCAAAGGTTACAGAATAAATAAGAAGCGAAGGTTACCTCGTTACACGGCAAGACAGCCCGAAGAGCGACTGCGCATGCCCGTGTAGGGAAGAACCGAAGACTTAAGTGAAAAGGTCACCAAAGGTCTTAAGCTGTACCTCACTCGAATGCGTAAACCAAGCAAACCGGAATTTAATCACACCGAGAACAAGTCTCTCTAGCTTGTTAGAATTACAAACGCTTCATGTTACGTGCTGGCTACGTCGCAGGGCTTATATATTCTGGTTTACCGTAAACATACCTGGAGAACAGTAGAGAATTCTAGAACGTTGCACGTGGACTAGTGACCAGAGACGAGTCAGCCGGTACTACACGTGCCCGATCAAATCTGCATATCCGTCGTACTCGTAGAACAACAAAAAAAGAGCTTCCCACTAAGTCGAGGTACGAGTGGAAGTTACGAGTCGAGGTCAAATGTCTCTGCTGGGAATTTCTCGGAAGTAGACGTCCCAGTACAAGCCACGCGCAGAAGTAGTAGTACGCGATGTGGATGGTGCAGCCATACACGTCAACATACAGAATGTTCAGCCTTCAACCTAAAAATAACGTAAAGCCGCAATGCGGTTACCGGCGCAACAAAACATAAACATCATGTGATCACAGTTGTACCATGGGAACGAGGAAAGCCGCTGGCTATCGACGTGACCTGTGTGGGCACCCTCGCTCCTCATACATCGATGATCGATCTCACCTCGGTTAACGTCCGGGCCGCAGCGGAGCACGCCGAAAGAATAAAACTGACGAAACAAAGCGGGCTACAACCACGGTATAACTTCATGGCGGCGGCATTCGAAATTTTCGGACCGTGGGGAGACGGAACAAAAAAGCTTGTGGAGGAGATTGGAAGCGGTATCGCCAACTCTACAGGCCAGAAACGTACAAAAGAGCTTTTTACACAGTGATTCTCTATCCAGATACAACGAGGGAATGCGATTTGAGTAATGGGTACAATTCCCGACCAGAATAGCATTGCAAAGTGTTTCTGTTATAAATTTTTTCCAGTACGAAGTTTGTACTTGTTCCGTGATACTTATTAAATTATTGTAGAGCAGCAATTTTTAGTCAAAAATTTCCTGTGCAAACAGATTGAAGAAAATTGTGGCGGTCTCCAGCCTGATGGGTCAGCTGTTTCAGCTAAATAAACATCAAAAGACAGTAATTTTACTATTTAAGAACTAGTCGGGATCTGCCGCATTAATTACCCTCGCGTTCGAGCGTAACTACCACGCCAGTGTATTAGAAAGAGAACTATTACTAAACAGAAACCCAACAGGAAAGGAAATGGAAAAGACAGATTTAAACCAGTACTAAATGCACTAGGAAAAGGCGTTGAAACGAAGACGATAATTAATTAGTTTGCTGACAAGGCAATAACACAGTTTGATAGATGAGCAAAATGCAACTGACCTTCCAGTTGATGAGGAGTGTATTCTTGATTAATAACCTTCTGATGTGATTCATAAGATGGTGGAGCCGGTGGAAGCGGCTGGTGGTCAGCATCCATTTCATTTCCATCATATACTTCCCCGCTATTAACGCTGTACTGTACAGTGGTACAATGAACGCGTCTGAAACGACAAATAAAAAATATGATAAACTTCATTTACCTCCATCCTTTAAGTACTGAATATCCAGCCGATTCATTGTGCTTTAAGCGTTTTAAAACACCGTTTCCCACCAAGTCGGTTAATCTAACTGGCAACCACTCGTGTGCTCAATGGTCGAAGTCCCGGAGAGCGATGGGTGACGCAATGCCAGCATCCCCAGCGGAAGTTATACGGCAATGATATGTGAGATCACAATAACTGCTCAGTTTTCCCAATAACCACGGGTACCCACAACGATCGAATACCTCCATTTATCGTTATAATTCATAGCTATTATTTGTCATACAGAATGCTAATCTTTTACAAGTGGAACGGAAATGGACAAATTTTTATGCGACAGGAGAGATTCCTAAACCCCAGACGTCACGTCCTGCCTCCTGGTATGGCACTGCCGGTAAATTTAAACAACAATATGTATTGAGTAGTACCTCTTCAGAGTTAAACTCATGTTACTCTTGTTAATATTGAGACTCTCTCCCGAACAGGCATTTATAGGAAGTATTGATTCAATAGATTAAGAATTTGTTTCAAAATTTTATCCAGTTTTAGAGGATTCGACCATTGGCAACCCCGATTGCGAGACGACTGCGATTTAGGAAGTTAGAAACCATAGGTTCGTTCATCGCCATTCGAAGTTTCTTGACCTCTTGTAAAACTTCTGCTTTCATCTGACGAAAGTCCATTGCAATTTTTTTATTGTTATGAGACTGTTTTCCTTATTTATCGTAAACACACTCGTAATACAAAAGTAGGTGTGAAATTGTGAGCTGCCGCCTACTTAAGTCTTAAAAAATATGACAAACCCGTACTTTCGTAGACTACTGTAACAAAAAAACGGTGGCGTGCAAAATTTAATTTAAGCTAACGGCTGATTTATTTCAACACTCTAAAATGGTAAAATTCATAAAAACCACAGAAAGTCAGAACTCTGGACGGATACGAGTGCAATACGAGTAACCGGTATATGGATCACTGGATTATCGCAAGGCAAAGTACTTTGCGCGCGCAAAGTACTTTAGGTGTTGATCAGTATATGACCTGTTATACAAATCTTTCCAACCGGCTAAGTGAGATCTGCCGAGAATTTCACAGACGTCTATCTTCCGTGGCACCAGACTAGCTGCGTTTTGTTACGTTCACAATTTCACATAATTTACATTCTTACAATAGGTATATACACAGACGTACTACTCGTAGATCGCATGCAGAATCGCAGATTTTCCCGGTCCTAACGAATGAATCCAAATCGATCGTGTAGCGAGCACAAACTGATACAATTTCGAGCATCCAGCGTATCGTTTGGCGAATACCCAAAACTGGTTGATTCAGAATGGCTATAACTTTGTTACCACAAGCCAGTTACAATGCGTGAGTTTTGTAACAAAAACAGAGCTACAGTAACAAGATTTCCAATTTAAGCCGCGTTGCCTCATTGGACTTTGATCGACGGACGCTGACGTAAAAATTCGTGGAGCGAGGTTGTCCAGTGTGCTGCTGTAGCCACTTGCCAACTTCCTTCACTAAAGCAGATGCAGATTTTCCCAGGGCCCAAGTGTTTCAGAGACTACTGTAGTGGGACAAAAATGTACTCTGTATCTGCCTTCTAGATACGCATAAAATCTGGTTTTTTTGTCTTCGGCCTGGGCAGCGGCAGATCCGGCAGCTTGCCGGAGCTGTCGAAATGGACTTGATATGCCATGGGGCGACAGTGTCGACGCAGGTAACGTCCCATGCCAGGCAGTGGTAGGCAGCAAAGGTCGTCCATCCGTCCGGGCGCCCATCGGACGTATGAGTCGGAGACCGTCGGACATAACTTTATTCAACCATCATGCGCGACAACTTTTTTAGTATGAGAAGTCTTCCCAAATGTTTCTTCATCTTTTGACGCACTGGTTGGCCGATCTCATGAACCTATCCTGTTAAAACAGTAGATTTCATCCAGAACCAGATCCCGTAACAGGATCTGGTTCCGGATGAAGTCTGCGAACTGATGCGTCGAAAGATGAAAAATTTGGGAAGATTTTGGTTGTCGCGCATGATGGCCGCATAAAGTTACCGGCTTGTAGCTATTTTAAATCAACGAGTTTTGGGTATTCGCAAGACGATCCGCTGGGTGCCCGAAATCTGTATCCGTTGATGGCAGAGTAAAGCTACAAAACTTATAGCTAATTTGAATCAACGAGGTTTGGGTACTTCTATTCGCCAAGCGATCCGCTGGGTAGTGGGTGCCCGAAATCTGTGTATACGTTTGGGCTAGCTACACGATCGTTTGGAATCATATGCTACTGTAAGGATCAGGTTACAGAACTGTAATTAAGAAGCGTCTGGAACGTCGAAGTGACGCTAGTCGCTGCCAATAGTAAGCATGCTGAGCTGGTCCTCACTTTTCACTCGTAAGCACACAAAATTCTTGGAGTTTTGCCATACTTATCAAGAGGAGAGTTAACAAAGAAAAATTTAACCATCGTTCACGCACCAACCGGGATGATACTGTAACCTCCCAGACTTAACAACGTTAACGGTAGCTCCCGTACACATCGCATTGAGGCCGCTATAAAAATAGTCGCACTATGCTACGACACAAGCCTCAGCCAACAGCGTATTTTGACTGGTAGTGAGCTAACTGGTAGTTCGGCGCACTAAAACTGGCAATGACAAACGACTGAAACGAGATACTCCCTCGTGTTTACAGCTTCAGGCTGGTCAAAACTCAAAATGTCCCAGCCCGGTCTTTCCCGCTGTTTTCTTACCACGAAACCAACAACTTAACAAGCCGTCCTCCTGCTGCGTGTGTTCATTGTGTTGATATAAACAGATGTAGAATGGCCTGCTTCTAAAACGGCGAATGAACACTTACATGTGTGGTCACTACCGAGTCTATGCCGGAGTCCACGAACTTCGTGGCACGAAGTAGTTATTTTGTTGCACACCGTCCTGGTGCGAAGCGTTGCCTCGTTGTATGTGTTGTGTCATTCCCGCGGGACTTTGTGGCAGTCCGTGTCCGAGCTCCGCTGTGCCATGCGGCGCTCCGGCATTGTTTCCCCAGTGCCGTGGAGTCTGCGACACCGAAACAACAGCTAGACAGTGCATAAAGGTGATACGGTGCCACAGCGTCATCACGACAGAGATCATCAGGAAAATCAGAGAAACAATCCACGTCAACTTCGCATTCGAGCGTTTCCATACCATCACTCATGGTCAGCATATGACTGCCGCGTTTATTATCAGATTCGCTAAAGGCAAAATTCACTGCAGCATTTTCAGGGAAAATCTCTCGATCAAGGGAAGAAACGAATTTCCACAGCAGGAACACTAGTCAACTGTATACTGCACTGTACGCGAACGCTTCACAGGAAAGTCGGAGGGACAAAAAGGCTCACTCAACTGCTGCAAATTGCAAGTGATGAAGTGGCTGGATTTCGCGAAAATAATGATCGTAACAAACTATAATACAGTATGATGTACGAATAATAACTGTATCAACAGACAGCAGAGTTGGATGAAAAACGAAAAACAATAAAATAATGGAAAAAAATGCAAATTTTCAGGGAGTTAAATTTAATGCAGTTGGATAAAATGTTTCTGGATAAAATATAGAAAATATAGTTCTGCAACTGTTTCCCGTATTGTCGGCTGCCTCCTGCATGAGCAACAAGCTCATTGTTCTCACGGAGCCACTTTCGAGATTGAAATCAGATGTCGACAATGAGGATTTGCAGTATACCACTGCGCCTTTAAAAAAATTCAACTGCATTTCATCAGATCGGGATTAAACTGATTTTTTTAAACCTGTAAAAGCGGTAACTTTTATATTTAAATATGTCAACTTTTGCCGAAAGTCGGCTAACAGCTGATTTGCTAACTTTGCTACAAGTAAATTTAATATCACCGATATACAGAGTATCACTGTTTTAATATCACTGATATTTCGTTTTATTAATATTACATATTGAAATATTAATATCACTATATTTAATATCACTATATATATCAAATATTTTGTTTTAATATCACTTCACTGATATTTCTAGCGTTGTGAATGCAAAATATTTAAATTTCAATCAACTTGCTGTCATTTTTATTTGTCAGCCGTCCATTCATCCTTTCGTACATAAACAATGACTAAGACAATATTCTACACGAGTACATACATAAATAACTGTAAGACGGCAAGAGTAGCAACGCAAAGCATCGAAAGATAAGAAGTTCCAAAAGTTTTTATTGATACGAGTATATGGCCAGATGTCATAGTCACGGATCGGCGGCTTACGATAATAGTAAGCATAACCGTTACATTTATTTGCATTTTATCTGCAGTGTCCCGTAGGCGTAAACGTTAGTTAGAAGTTAACTTTATGGAAATACTCTGTAGATCGATGAGTATGCCAATTTCACCCATTACCATTGATTTTACAAGTAAAAAAAATGCCAAATACAACTACAAAATCGTAACACTGTAAACAAAAACTAAAAATTAATTTCTATGACCTTTGCAGTCTGATCTGGGATATGCCACCACAAAGCAACTTCACAACTCTACTTTTTCATAAAAATATTAAAGCACAAATCGTTGGAAAGCAATTGATGCTCTGGAAAACAGAAACCGGGAACGAGAGGCGCGATAAGTTGGCAAAGGAAAGACTTCAAGCGGTGCGTTGAACACCTTTGCGCCAGTCTTCCACCTGAGAATTACATGAAACGTATTGTCCACGGATATCGGTCTTTTCCGGCAGAAGAGCGGCGTAAATAGATGATACGGCACCTTCGTCGATAGTTCGCGAGCCCTTATGACTAGTCAAATCAGTATCCACATATCCAGGATGAATCTGCCAAAACAACCGGCGGCTTTTGTGCAGTTGTCTTTGAATATATACTGCATATAATACGAGATTTTTATGGAGTTTCGACGCATACCGCATTAACGACAATATCGGTACGCGATCGATCTTGGTCCAGTTGGCGTTGTTGAATGCTGGACAACGCCGTCACACCAATTTTCGACATGCCGTAGGCCGAAGTGGGAAAACCAACTTCCTTAATATATGCTTTCTGAGTATCGCGCTTCGCAGCTCTACAAGCATAAAAAACCGGAAAATGTGTGACCGATAAAACCAATCCAAAAAATTGCAGCCTCGGAATTCTACAAGCCCCAGAATTTCTCTTCCACCTTCCGGCACAACGTACTTTCTCCGTTTTAATTCATAAGATACAACCAAACCAGCAACTTACGAAACAAAATCGCTCATGATCGTTTTTAGTTCGTCTACGGTCAGATCATCGGAAATGACACGGGCCTTGATGGTCGCACTGGTGATAGTGTTCACATTTCCCAGACAACTGGACACGTTCACCACCCTAAACAATTGTTAAAAAATATTATTCGAGTACTGTTTTTTATAAGCCTTAGTCATCAAAATCCTACCAAAAGCAAACGCGTGTACTCAGCCTAACTCAGGTTAAATTCAGTATACAATACTTCCAAAAATTGAAAATCAAATCACTATCGTTCAAACGCAGTTCAAAGACACTAGAAGCACACTTCTACACAGAAACTTCGAAATATTTGTACGTGCAGAAGCGTTTTCGAAGCGCTGTCACCACTTCACCAATGCAAAGGAGGCTGATGCTGATGGCAGAAAATACTGAACTAACTGAAGTTGATAATTATAATATATCACAAAATCAATTCAGAAAATATGGTAACTCAACAGGTGTTAAAAGAATAAAGTAATTTAAATATTTGCATATACATAAGCATTTTCGATGCGAGATCTATACGAAACAGGATAGCATTGATGATCGACAGATGTAGAAATTTAAGAAGCAAGACCAACCTGGCATGAGATCGGAGGATGGGAAACATGACATCGCACACATCCGACAGACCGAAGAAATTTGTTGCCATCGTCACTTCGGCTTGCTGTCCAAACGATTCCGTGGCATCGTGCTGCAGTGGAAAAGGTACGATCATAATATTGTAAACAATATCTACAAGAAAAAAAACACTATAAAGAAAACACTATAAAACACTATACACTCGTACAATGCTACCAGATGAAAGCTCACTAATCATCTGCTACTTCAGCGATTTTTGTGCAATTTTTTTTCAGCGTTCCAATGAGGACTTTCTATGCAATCTAATCACTGTTTATGCTCACTTTAAAAGCCATGCCCGCATTATTGACGAGGATATCCAGTCCGCCGTGTCGTTCGACAATCGCGTCACGGGCTTTTTCGATGCTTTTCCGATCAGTGACATCCAGCTGGATGAATTCTGAGTGGAGATTCTCTTCCGTTTTTAGTTCAGCCACGGACTGCTGACCCAGCTGCTCGTTCCGCGCTAAATATCAAATGGATTTTCCTGTTTCGCAGATCTGAAGTTTATTGTTAATTATAACCACGCTTTCAGAAAAGCCGAACAACGATTTTAATCACTGAATTAAGAATTTTAAGATACGTATACTTCCGTAAAAAAATAATCTAGATGGTAAAAAAATCAATTATTAAGCGCAGGAAAAGCATTCCCGACAGCGCAGTACAGCACAGACTCACAGTGCCAAGCTCCGATGTTATGCTTACTGCAGCTTACAGCTTACCAGCCAGATAAACAGTTCCACGATCGCCCAGCGCCTTACATAATCCTCGGACGATGGCAAATCCAATACCTTTATTCGCACCCGTCACCTGAAGAACGAAAACCATTCAAATGTATGATGTATCCAAAAAGCAGCTCCTGTGCTTTTGTTCCAATCTCAGGCGCCCAAGGGCCAAGAAGACAGACATGGCAAACTGAAAACTGAACATCCAGCTGAATGGTAGAGTAGGTTGTAGCTCATCCGTACCAGGGCAATCCGTTTTCCGGCACTCATTGTGCTTGATAATTGCTGTCGTTCTTAAAGAGTTCAAACAATGGCAACTGAATTAAAAGTTCCCAAAACTCTGACTGCCAAAATTATGTACTTACTTACTTACGTATATTTACATTGTCAGTAGTCACTAGTCAGTAACAACTAGCAACAAGTTGACGACCACAACTTTGTCGAACCGGCCAAGCCGCAAAAGATGACTTTACAATAATTATAACCGTTGAATGATGGCGGTTGCTCTAATACTTCTACCTAAGGAGGACAAATCCACGGGCTCGCGCCCGTGGAAAGGATTTGGAAAGGAAATTGCCATGGAATTCCATGGAATCCGTGGATTTACGGAAATCCAAACGGATTTCCGTAAATCCAAGGATTTCGTAGTTTTCGTTGGAATACCGTTATTTAACTACCTACAGAACTACCTACACTACTTACATAACTATGAAGAAAAAATTATTTCAATAAACTTCAACTGTTAAATTACTGCGCATTCGTCGTTAGAAACTTAATTTAAACTTAAATACTCTAAACATATTAAAAAAACACGAATGGAATTGCTTATTATCAACCAAGGCAGTATTAACGTAAGTATGTTCTATAGTATAGTACCACTACCGGTAGGCGGTACGGATACTGTCAGCCCTGCAGTGGGCATGCATACGCAAGTAATAAAAGCGAAAAGCAACACAAAAGCTCGGAAGATTGTCACTCTTTCCAAGAAGATGACTTTGATTTTTGCCATATTTTGGTCACTTTAAATAAAATTTCAAGTATACGGTTACATATTTCCGTTACCGGTACACTTTTCCCACCCCCAAGCAGCGATACGCGAATACCTGCTGATCGCACAAGGTGTTTTTTTATTTTGTTTTTCCACTATTCTGTACTCATAAAATTCTTTTATGGATTTAAGATTATGCTTCGAAATATATGAGCGAAGCTTATACTACGAAAACTAATCTAGAAATTTTAACACCAGGTGACCAAATTATGAAAACTTTTTGAAGAAAAACATTGTCTTCTGTCGGACCGATCAAGAAGACTTCTGCCCCTGGTATATTTAATATTGGACAATACAAACGAAATAAAATAAAAACGGTAATGTTGTCGGCGAATACAAGCGAAATAAAATGAAAACGGCAATGTTGTTGGCGAATATACTGGCGAATACGCTGTTTTTTAAATAAATCGGTTGCTACCGGAAGACAAGGTAATGTAAAATTTGTAGCCACCTGTCGAAAACACTAAAACTTTTTTGTTTTTATTGTTTTTCTCTGACATTTCCATGCGCTTGGAATTCCAAATACAGGGAATCTGGAATTCCAAGCAAAAATTGGAATTCCACGGATTTCCTTAATTCCAATTTCCAAATCCGAGCCGCCCGCGTGGAGCGCGGATTTGGAAACTGGATTCCATCCGTGGAATTCCATTTTCCTTGAACGGTCGTTCCTTACTTCTATCGTAAATTGCGTATTAAAAAAATGTGAACGCGTACGGTAGTTTGCGGCACTTCCGGATCAGCTAAATCTGGGCCTTTTGGCTTCTCTACATATTAATCGTAAGTTCATAACAAAACTGTTAACAACAAGAAATGTCTTACCAATAGCGGAAATCTTGCCGTTGCAGCATATATACGACACTCGTATAAATTATTATTGTGTAAATTGCATGTATTATTTTTCTGAGACCTTTGTAATTTGTTTTACTCTGTTCTTTAGAACGTGTGTGCTTTGTTCCACGCACGGAAAACGAAATACATTATCGTCACTACGAAGTACGAATGATCAACAAACACAAACGAAATTTTAGAAATCACTATTTTAGCGATTAAGCTTGACTTTGTTACACGTGCTTATTTGCACCGAGCGCGAAGCGCGAGGTGCTGCAATTAACTGATCGTCAAGTGATGCACGCTCCATAGCAGAGCATACATTTCCACAGCAGAGCAAAACCAAAAAAGCGTACGAATTGGCGAAGTTAACCAGAGAAGAATTGTTATTTATCTTTATCTTTAACAAAATGCTCCAACCAAACAGTTGGCTGGTGCCAAGAAGTTGGTAGCCGTCTCTGTATCGAATTTCAGTGATAGCACGCATCCATAGCAGAGCATACATTTCCACAGCAGAGCCAGTCAAAGACAAGCCCAAAAAAAGCAAATGGTATTTCGTCAAAACACTTTGTGACCATTTCAAATTTGGCCTCAACCGTTTTGTTCAGAATTTTACGGCGAGTTCAGGAATGTTTTCAGAAAAATATGCGATAAAAACTGCAGGAGAAGTATATTTTTGAAAGTGCACGGGGAATTCCCAGAAGTCAGGCTGTCGAATTGGGGACCGCCCGTAGTGAGGGTCTAGGGGGAAATGTGAATTTCAAAAATCGGCCTCAACCGTTTTGTTCAGAATTTCACGACGAATCCAATGGTGTATTCAGAAAAATTTTCCGATGAAAACTGTAGGAGGAGTTTTTTTTTGAAAATTGCACAGGGGTCTCGCGACGGGCCTGATTGGTAAGGATCACGTGAGCGCCTGCATACGGGTAAAATGCAGCAGGGAAAGTGATGTAATTTACTAAAGCGATGGGAAAGAGTTGCCGCTTGCCTCGTACATGTAATATTGTACTTTGGTTTTTAATTTTTCCGCATACTTACTATGTGGAATTTTGACACAGATCACTCTGTGAAATCTGTGTTTAGTTTTTGACGGATTTGTTCATAAAATGACAGCGGAATAAAAATAAGTATATATCTATTATTATATATCTGAATAAAATAAAAAGTTCGAAAAACATGTCTGCTGTTTGCAATTCACCTATTCAGCTTTCAACATTTGTCGGTGAGTATCACTCCCGCTCGGTGCAATGATGTGGTTATCAACCACCACTAGTTGTATTGTATCTGTAATTTCGTACGTGAAACGAAAGTAATATTATGCCATTTAATTTATCGAAATACTGTGCGATGATTTTAAATGATGTACGTATACGTGCTCGAAGAAGAAAAGATATTCGAAATTTGAGTGTCATTGTTTCTGACGTTCAACAATAAGTACCGTATCTCTGCCATCCAACAAGAACAGCGGTTTTAAGATAACTATCCATACACAGTATCCACGACAATTCTATGACTGTTGTTTTTCCGGGGCAGTTGTTGCTCGGTAGGCACACACGTATGCACTTGCCCGACATTTTTTATACTGTTCTTTCATATTCGCCTTTGGGCGTATTTCTTGCAAGACCCACTGTAAAACGGTAAATATTGTGCAGCAGTCGAGAAACGTTTCTTATTTCGTATCACAAACAGAAACATTATGTTTCACCTAGTGTGGCCGTGTGTTGCTTACTCCCAGCCTTCCCATTTTAATTGTTTCTATCGGTTCGTCGTTGATTCGGTAAGGATAAATATTTTTACAGATTCTTCGTGGGAACACCGCACCGTATTAGTCGTATAGCGATATGCCCACGACAGTTTTTAATATCGGTCAAATCTATACTTTGCACTTTAAAATATCGGTCAAAATGATGTTGTAACGGTACAGTATTTGCATTCTTGATGAATGCATATATCGGCGCGTATATGTAGGTACATGTTATACGGCACATATACTTCTATAGAAATATTGTACGCCGCTCAACTCACTTTGTATTTACTTCGAATCTACTTACGGTTAGATAAATTAACTGGCTAGAAAAACTATTTACCTAAAGGAATAAAAATTAGCCGGTAAGCGGATTATTGTTTACCGGCGATAAACATCAATCTGCACTTTACAGTGCACTAACAGCTTACAAACCAGCTAATCGCTGTGTTGTATGTACGTACGATATTCTCGTACTTACAGCCGCCGCGCCGGGCAATGATACTGCGCTTTTTAACCAAGGCGATTTAAAAATAAAAAGCAAGTCGGAATAATTCAAGGCCGAGTGATTTGTGTGTGCACTGCTCTCGCTCCTAACTTCCACTTCCAGTTATCGATCGTAAAATACTCCGAAAGACACCGTGAAACAAGTCTTCTGAGGACCAAAAAGGTTTTATTGTAATATTGCCTTTCCAGAGTACCAGTGTGGAGAAGAAATGGCTAGCATGCGGGCGATTCGTATCCAGGGCTTTGGCGGGCCAGAAGTGCTGAAAGTGTCCAGTGTGGAGCGACCCACACCCAAACCCGGACAGGTACTCTGTGCAGCCTGTGCTGCATAAAATGCGCATTTCTTCGTTGCTAAATTTAAAGTTTTAAACATTGTGACTTTGGTGGTAATATCTAAAAGAGTAGATTCATCGCGTCCCGCTGAATTGACCAGTTTGTTCTAGAAATGCGTGTACAGCTAACTTGAGTTATCTAAGTGACCATGTAATGTAGTGCTGTTGCTGTATTGCATGTTAATGATGATTGTTATATTTATATTGTATTTATCTGAGCTCACTTGTTAGTTCGTAGTTTTGCACGATGCTAGACGTATTTTAATAACAGAATATTGACAATACTGCACTGGGTACGAAGTATTTCGGCGAAACTCGTCTAGCTGCTTTGTGGTGAATCCAAAACAGCTGCAAGGCTGACAGTGACTGCCGTAATAATTATGATGTGTGGATTTTGGATTTTTTAAAATGCCGTATAAGTTGACATTTTGCCACAGGTGTTGGTGCAAATCAAATCAGCTGGCGTCAATCCGGTAGATACGTACATTCGAGCCGGAACTTTTGGCCCTCGACCCTTTCCGCTAGGACTGGGCGGCGATGCGGCTGGAATTGTGGCGGCTGTGGCGGATGGAGAAAAGAACATCAAGGTAGATATTTTTTTAGTCGCTCGCACATACACAAAAAATTGCCCCGTATACTGTATATGGCATGCACCTGTTATTTCAGTTTACTTGTACATATAAAATTTCAATTATGACAGTTTCATTTATAGCGGTTTTTGTTTTACGTCGATAACCTGCCGCAGTGAAATGCAGTGAACACGATTAAATGTTGTCGATGAATCTTGAACGATCAAAAATTATGTCTGACATTTCACTAACTAGTGGTATAGTTAATTACAAAAGTTTGCCCCGATTTTACGTTTTAAATACCGGCTTGTACACAAAGTCTTATTTAATTTCATTTGGTTGCACAAGTAATAGCAGTGTCTGATGATCAAACAGTAAAAATATCCAGTTTTAATTCTTTAACGCTATCACTGCTTTCGCATTATAAATCTGCATGTATTTGCATTAGAAAGTATTGATTTCTTGTCATGGTAGGTTGGTGATCGTGTGTTCACCTGTGAAGGCCCCGGTCCGTTAACGGGAACTTACGCCGAATACGCTTTGGTCCCGACACGTGCCGTATTTCCATTACCGGATTCGCTGACCTTCAGCCAAGGAGCAGCACTGGGAATACCTTATCTGACTGCCCTTCGTTCACTGATCATCAAGTAAATAATTATTATGTGATTTCAGAGCTCAATTATTTTATGAACAGTAATCATAATATTATACCTTATGCTAACTTAAGTAAAACATTTTCGGTTCGCAGGGCGAAATCAAAGCCACACGAGACACTTCTGGTTCATGGTGCAAGCGGTACGTAAATACGAACGATATCTTGACTTAATAGGCATTTGTTTTTGAACAACTTTCCTTTCTCATTTACGCTGTGTGTACGCGCGATATTATGACTACCACCTACATGTGTAAACGTAGAGAAGAGGCTGAAAGTTGGGCCTATCCATCAGCTTTATTGAAACAGCTTCTTCAGTAGCTGGAAATAGTAATATGAAAAGAATTTGAAAACTTTTTGCTTAAAAATAGTAGTTTTTAACGAATTTCCGATAGCATGGTCACTTGTTTTTCTTCCCACAGGCGCTGTGGGATTAGCCGCCTGCCAGGTGGCCTCCTCGTGGGGGATGAAAGTGTTCGGTACGGCCGGCACGGATGACGGTCTGCAGCTGATCAAAGCCAATGGCGCCGGTGCGGTCTTCAACCATCGCGACAAAAACTACGTCCAGAAGCTGCGGGAAGCCGTCGGTGAGCACGGCTTCGATGTCATCCTGGAGATGGTGGCCAATCACAATCTGGGAGTGGATGTGGAGTTGGCCGCGGTGGACGGACGGATCGTGGTGATCGGCAGTCACGGGGAGGCCAAATTCGAGCCCTTCCACATGATGGGCAAAGAGGTGACGGTGGCCGGGGTCATGCTGCCGCATTCGACGGATGAGGAGTGGCGGATCATTGGGGCGGAGCTGGTTAAGGGCATCAACAGCGGGCATGTCCGACCGGTGATCGACCAGGAGTTTCCCCTGGAGAAAGCGCCGGAAGTGAGTCATTTTAAGTTGAAAAACATATCTAAAGTCTAAATTGCAGTAAAGTTTGCTCAGGTAATTAATCGATTATGCAGAACATGCATCGCATCTGCAGCTCGCAAAGCGCAGTTGCATAAGTACTTTCACATTACAAGTTTAGTATTACAAGTTAGCGTCTTACCGTATTTAATAATTTAGCTTGTTATTAATCACTTGATAGGTACACTGTGTAAACAATAAAACAGAACCAGTTAAACTATAACAAAAAGATCTCGGTAAGTTTATCAGCTCCGTGTAAGTTAGCGTCAGAGTGAAGTGGTTTCGTAGTTCAGTGTTTCATTTCGCGACCGATGCAATGCCATTATAACTGGTACGATTTATTCTAAGACTTGTACTGCTTAATAAATTTTTTTGCTTTTGTGTCTGCTCACTTGAATCTTTTGTGGGTCGTGGTGGTTGAATTTTCAGCGCCTTTGAAACTAAAATGAAATTACTTTAAATTTTTGTATCTAAATCGTTTGTTGTCATAATCTGTACGTTTTAAAACCAGTGGATTTATAATTAGCAATAATTATTAACAGTCAGCAAGCATATCGTTTCCCAATAAACAGTACTGTACAGATACTGTCTGTACATACTGTACTTCCGTATGGAACTCATTTTTTAAACTGCCACTAGGCAAAAATGGTATAGTCTGGTTTGAATGTTTTTTTGCAATCTCATTATACGTTAAAACTGAATTTTTTACAGCATCAGCACTTATAAATAAATTGTTAAGATATTGTACCAGCTTCTTATGGAGAAAAGAACTTAATAACGTGTATATTTTTAGGCACATGAAGCCGTGATTCAGCACACCGGTGGATCCAAAGGAAAAATCGTTTTGACCTTATAAAGAAAACCAAACGGATGCAGACGCTCACCGACAGCACTCCAAAAGCAAAAAAATTGGTCGATCAAAATTTGCATTTACAAAATATAACAGCATAAAGTTTGCGCATTCGTTTTACATGTTCTGTTCTGTGTTTCGTTTCTTAATTGCACAATGTTCTCAACTCTTAAAACTAATGCATCGAGACTGCAGTGCGGAAAATAAATGCTAAGTTTCACGCAGTGGTTTAGTTTGTTCCGTGAAATGCCGTAATTTTCTCTTTATTTTATTGGATTATAGAATTTCCATAATTAAAAACGATGCTGTACAAATGTAAATACAAACATTTCTGTATAAAAACTAATCACGAAATTTTCGCTTAACAAACGATGGCAACGGGATAGAGTAGGCGAAAATCGTTATCAAAATCATTCCGACGTAGAACACCCAACAAATTCCGAAATCCCGGTATACCTGCAAAACAACACATCATAAGTCAGCGAAACAACGCAATACTCTGTCAGTATTTAGTCCACTACCAAAGCGATATCAGTGTATGTTTAAGTAATCGTTTATTCTACAATTTACTGTCCAATATTTCGTGTTTCACTCAATTTTCTGCTACAGTGACCTCTGAATTGTAAGCGCCGGAATCACGCGCGCTCATTTCACAAATAACTTACGTCATTAACTAATGCGGTTGGTTGCCCAGGTCGTGTATAGCGTTGGGCTAAAAAGTCTGTGGAATTCTGATAGCGACAATGGCTCTCCGAATCCACCAAGAAACCACACGGTGTACTGTTTCTGCCCAGCAGATCTGGTTGGGTGGTGCCGTTGACGATCGGGACAAAGAATTCATTGTAATTGATGACTGAACCGGCATAACGGTAGATCATTCCGTATGTCAGGACATACAACCAGTCATCCAAATTATATAAACTCCTGCAAAAAGGAACAAAAAAGTTTCTTAATTTTATTTTTAAAAAAAGTTTCATGGTTTATTAAAAGCATAACTTTTCGACCAAATCGAGACAATGAAAGTTGCCATCACAGTACATTCTCATACGGTAGATAGTAGAATGGTACCCGAAATTCTATAAGGTTAACTACAGAGTATGACACATTAATGTGACATTATAAAGTGATTATGACCAAAACGGTACATATCCGCATAATAAACAAAATACCGCGAGTCAGACTACTTATAAACGTTGATATTATAAACCGTTTGGTTTTCTTTACTTGCGTTGCTTATTGATAAGTACCATATAATTCACTTCAAAAAATTAGAATCGGACAGTACTTATCTTAATGGCGAGTTCCATAATATCATATCTTTTCGCGGAAAACCTATATACTACGTAAGTACGCTTACTTCACTGTTCCGCTGGAGCAAACAAGGTAAAATATCACAATAAAAAGGCAAATAGAGAGCGCTTCTAGAGGCTGTTTAATCCACAGCATTAAGCAGTTCATGCTTAGTTCCACAAAATTCCAACAGCAAAATAATACCAAGGCAAACAGGACAAACTTGACACCATCATCATCATCCCGCAGTCCACAAGCGTAAAATATTATTGCCGCACCCGCAAATACTGTCACAGAATTGACCACAAAGGAGTGAATAATTTCCGATACAATAAATAAAATTCCGTTGTAACAACCATTCCGTGTCTCTTGAAAATAACGCGTCCGGAATGGCTCATCTGTAAGAAAAGCAGCATATTGTATTACACAACAATAATTTAAAAGGGACGCAGCAAAAGATTAATCCCTGTAACCGAACGATTTTCAATTTTAAAAGCGAAGAATTTCGCTCTAACTTCGGAATTAAAACAACTTGTTGCTTTCCTGAAGGAAAAAAATACAGGTCAATAATGTCATGATGTTCAAGGCATTAAAAAATTATGTAAACAAATTACAAGTTTAGTTTCTGGTTAACGACAAATCAACCGGTTATGATTTAGCCGTTAATTGCAAAGTACAGCAGTTCCTTACATGTGAAGGCTGTGACGCACGCCGACAAAAAGGTCACCAATGTAAGAACGGTGAATATCAGACCGTTCCTTGTCGGAAAGCTGTACTGGCTTTGGTTTTGTACGTGGAAATAAAACAGCCAAATAAAAAAGCATAAAAAAGGAAAGGCCAAGAGTCGCCATATCACAGTCTGCCAGGCAGTGAATTCTTTGGGTATAATAAGAAACTGAAACAACAGCGTAAACTTCCGCCGTAATAGCGTCTCCAGGCTTCCCACCGCGATGGGCTTGGCTAGAGCGGCTAAAACTGGAGGTTGAGCAATGGCCTCGAGTCCTGTTGGGAATGAAAATAAAATTTTTGTTTAGACGATTTCTCAATTCTGCTTTACACGCTTGTTATAAACCACAATGCGGCACAATCTTCATTCGCGATTGCAATGCTGAACACATAATAGTTGCTTTTTTGCAGTAAGGCAAAAGAACAAAACGCAGTATTTTGAAGCCTTGAAGTAATATATATATTAATATCTTTCATACATGATTACTGCAATGAGAAACAATGTTTTCAAGTAGAAATACCATTTTTTCAGTAGGTTATTGTATTTAATTTTAAATAAAATGTAGAAATACATAATTGTATCACATAATTCAATAGAAAATCAAAACGCCTAAATCTCATCGTTCGGTTATGTTGGAAAAAACATTTTTACTTGTCTTTTTTTCTGAAAAACAATATCAACGGATAAACGTTTATGAATTACGGACGCATGTTGAGGTTAACAGTTAGTATGTCCGATATAATTACTTCGTCATTTATACTTCATCATTAGAAAAGTATTCGTCAAGTTTGTCGACCACTTGTCGCTTGCTTACGAGTTATGACAGCAAAAGTACACATAGTAACATACGCAGATTAGCATGAATGGCTTATTGTCATGCGATAACTTCCTACAATTACATATGCCATTGTTTGCCGTTTAATTTGACGAATAAATAAAAGGTGAAAATTGGTAAGCATGCAATCTGTACCTGTCGCCGGCGCGTAACGCTTGAACGGTTCGCCTTCAACTTTGTATTTTTGTACTAAGATCTCGATATGGCTGTTGGTTTCTGTGAACTTCTCTTTGGACCGGCGGTCAACCGTCGCTAGGCAGACTAAAAATGCACATTTAGACAAGCACGTCATTTTTAATAGAGACGAAGACAATCATATTTTCTGAGATGATTAATTACCAATTAATTTCTTCGAATTTAGCAAACGTATTTTAATGCAAAATCAAATGAGCACGTATACTGTATGAACCGTAACTTTCCTAATTTTTTTTTATACAAGCAGTGTTGTGTCCTTAAATTGATGTACGCAATAAATTAATTTTTCGATTATTTCTTAGATTCATAATAATCACAGTAATAATCATTTTAACACAACACCATAGTAATAATCATAATGATATTATTTAAGAACCCGTACGGTAATGCATTAAAGGATTTTCCAGTTCCGGGCAGGGAAATCCGATTTGTTTGAAATAATCAGCTATTGTGCGTGTGTAGCCGGTGTAGACCACATCGCCCAGCGATAGAATGGTCACACGGTCCAGAAGGGGGACAATATCGGAACGCGGTTTCTCCAGCGTAATTACCACCATCCGGTTGTATTTTTTGGCATAGGATGCCAGTATTGAGCAGACCAGATAGGCTTCTAACGGATCCAGGTCACGAGTTGGCTCGTCAATTAATACCAGCACTGGAAAATACGTACATAATCGATTAGTGAAGTAACCCTGTGTGTACATTTGCGGGCATTATTGTTTTAAGTTATTGTTAGAATACGTATATGGGAGGTATATCTGCAAAAGTATGCAGTATGATAATAATTTATTACTTGCGAGTTACGATAATACTGTATGTCTAATTTCATATTACATTTTATGCAAAAGGTTCAGAACTACCACAATTAACGTAAAGTTTACAATAAAAAAAAATGTACAAGCAGTTGCTCGAAATTGTCATACCCACAAGGGCCACAACCAACTGGTAGGTACGTCAGTACTAATAACTCCGTACACTTATCTACTGAAACAAATGTTAAACTACCGTTTTCTGGATTTTTTGGGATTGAATTTGGTGAATATTCGACCGTGTACTAGCAGATTTAGTTTACCAGATTTATTATATGCTAAATCAAATTTGTTTTGAACCTTAAACTAATACGTCGTAGTAATATTTTAAAATGAATATTTTATTGTAAACTGAATACACGTACTGTATTCGTACCGTTGTGCACCGCGCGTTTGCTAGCATCTGCATACGAAAATACGGCTCGAAGCTTGAATAGTACTATTCGCAATTTATGAAACGACAGCAGAATGTCCTAATTATATATTAGTACACAAGGTTCAGAAATATAAACAAATAAATTAAATATAAACTCTGTTGGTTCCAGGAAGGTCTTTGCTTGTGTTGAAAATAATTCCAAGCTTTTTTTCGCAAAATAATGGTACAAATTAGACCACGAGCTTGTCGGCGAAAATCGTAAAACGTGTTGAATGTCATATTTTTCTGCATGTACAGTATATTTTTTGCCGGTAAAAGATTTCCAATAGACATCGACAGTTTAATGGGGTTAAATCCAACCGACCGTGACCGCGAAAATTTTGTTTTAAAGCAACAGGTGGCAATGGTCGCCATTGTGTACAACGCACATTGCACACCACCGGCAGGTAATTTGCACCAAAAGTTATTTCTTACGTGGATCGCGCACGAGCTCCATGGCAATGAGCAGCCGGCGTTTCTCGCTTAATGATAGCTTGGACACTTCTTTTTTCAATAATATCGGATTATCCAGTCCCAAATCGCGCGCCACTTGGTTTACCTATTTAAATAAAATATAGATAATGTAAACTATACTGCAGTTTGTTTAACAAAGCCATAGGTTAAGACAGCTCTAGGTACTTAATACAAAGCTGAACAAATTTAGCTGTAGAAAACAGTATACGCAAAAGAACTTGTGGATGAATTTTACTAATCTTGAAAACAACAAATAAAAATGACGAGATTTCAAGTCTGCTGTAAATAACGCTTATGTTCAATTAATCAGTATATGTTATCAATTGCATATGTTATTCCTGCTTGATTCATTTTATACTCGTAATGTGTTAGAGAACAGAACATTTACAGGTATGGCCACGCCGTCACGCCGCCATAATTATAAGAGATGGGGTAACAGCAAAAGGCCACCGCACTACAAGCTAAGCACAGAGTCTCAATCTTATACGGACACTGGAATGGGCAGGATAGAGAACAACGAAAGATTTAATTTTTTTCTTAGTTCCACTCAAAAATATTTAATTTCCTAGAATTGTCTAAAATCTAAACTAAAGCTAAAATTTGAGAAAGTCAAATGCCGGTGCTATTTTAATTCGTGTTTTAGGTTAGATTAGTGCAAACTCGGTTTCACTGAGCTGCATACACGTCGAATTTTTTGCGGGATTTTACTTATCTGTTATAATACCTACACATTAACTGGCGTCTGGCTTACCCGAATTTCCCTCTGGAAGCAATTCATAAGGGAACTGATGGTTAAACCGGCTGCAAAGTTAATTGTTTGCCACACGGTCAGGCCGGGAATTAAATCATTCTTCAGCGTGACCACCGCGCATATATCACGAAATATTTTAGCCGTTAATGGCATTTGGTTCAGGAGGATTATTCCGCGTGTAATTCCCAACGCACGCCGACTCATAACATCCACGAGTGCTCGTTTGCCACTTCCACTTGAGCCTGCAAGTCGTTGATATACTCAATAGACTGTACATGTAATTGTCGTGTCAGTCAAGTAAATACAACAATTTACTAAACATATTGTAGCTTTGATTATAACTTATTAAAATTTAACAGCAAAGCGAAATGAACGCAAAACGCTTCACTACAGCTATATTCCATAAGCATAGCAGCGCATGCGCAAAGTTCAATTGATCTACCAAAATGTGCAGCATATAGTGAACCGACCTAGTATTCCCATTAATTCCCCGCCGTACACCTCCAACGACACATCCTTCAAAACTGGCCCGGATGGAACATTTCCGGTCAGTTTCTGAAAAAGTGTCCCTTTGGTGATTTCGCCAATGTGCTCGACATCCACCAACTCCAGGGAAGATGTTAAGGCCGATGTGTACGGCAGAAAATGATTGCCGGTAGAAATGCCGGTAGTTTTCACTTCGCCTGATGCATCCATGATGACTAACTGGGGTGATTCGTCAACGGACTGCATTCTGACTTGCACAGCTTTAAGAAAAACACAAAAGATTAGTACAAATAAATTAGTACTATACGTACGTTAGTAAATTAGGGAATAAATTCAGTAAATAATTTTTGATATACCTCTTGTTTGACAACAAATGTTCTAGCTTGTTAAATCAATCTTCCGTCCAATGTCCGGAGATAAGAGCGTATAAGGAACTGTAATTACTGTCCATAATATTGCCGCGGAATCGGCATTGAATTTCCACAAAACTGATATTAATAATCACGCAGCATATTGGCAGTTACAGAAACATGTGCATAAACTTCCATGCGTCTGAAAATTTCGAATTAATAAATTGCTGCAACTGATCTCATGCTGGAGTTATTTCGTAGTAATTAATAACCCTTTTCTGGAAATGCGTTTTCAGGTTCGGGTCAGCACAAACAAAAATCCAGTAAAACCGAGTATTATAGATTTCCTGGTACAGCGATAGTTTCGTTTACGGGATTAATGATGGTGTATGTATTCCGAAAACATTCCGAACGATAAAATTTCCAAAGCGGATAGCAGCGTGGGAGCCAAGTGTGTGGGAAGGACAAGAAAATACAGTAAAATGTATTTCAGCATGTTATGTGAGTGGCTTCGAGAAACGAGCATGACTGACCTGGTACGTGAACATTTGACCGACAAGTCGAAAACAGTAGAACGTTTCTTTTTCTGACTTGTTGCATGCTGAACATCGGCCTTGAAATGCAGCCGTGCTTGTATTGAACGCGCAATAATTGCCGGCAAAATTTCAATCAACGCGTTGAATGCCGGCTTTCCATTGCGCGGCGCAATCAGGTGAACTGTTTCTTCCAGCTACGGTAATTTGAACATTTGGTGGTTGCATTAGGTGCACCGTATGGCTGCTGCCATGTACCTGTACTCGTATAATCGTATTATTAATTTTACGCGTAACTGGTATGATGCATTACAACGTGACGCAGTACTTTTATATGCATGCCGGTATAGACTACTTTGTGTAGCAACAATTTACGTAGTGTGAAATTAAGATAAATAATAAAATGCCCAGGCTACATACACCGATACACTCATAGTTACGTACAGCAAGACTTAGTAACATCATTATTATTATTGTGATAATAAATAACATATTATTGTACGTACACACAAAAAGCAGTAGTACAATTTTAAAATTGTGCACTATCGCATTGCATCGCTTCGGTATAGGTATCTATATTCTATCTCGCAAATATCTATATGCAAGCCGTGGGAGCAACCCACATGCAGCTGCAGTACAGTAGTAGGACTATCCAAAACGGTTCGTGTTCATTACCATATTATTATGAAACTGTGACCATAACTAAATGTTCGTGCTTCGTAGCCTTGCGTAAATATTTTATAAAAGTACTGTACCGTATGTATACAAAACTGCACAGGCTAACACAGCTTTGCAGTCAACGTGGTGATGTCGCTCATGCGCAGACGTATTTGCATAATTTATGCTACTGTTAATTGGTAGGTGTTTTAGAATATAGCGGCACAGCGGTATGTGCATTATCAAGTATGAGTTATGGTTTTATGGTTTTTTTCAGTTGAGCGACATTAATAGGGATTAACCTTTGTGCTGTATATACAGGTATTGTTCAGTGACTCAAAGGTATTTGCTCGAACGTGTGTACAAACGTGCATTATTTTTACTTTGCGAATCTTGCCCATGCCCACAGTTGTTGTGAATAGTTCTGAGCATCATTTACACGGCCCGGCTGAACGAAACCTGCCCAGCAATAATGCGGTAGCGTGGAAGATACTACTGATATTGGCCATCGTCTTGATTATCGTGATTATTATTATGATCAGCAACACTGCTTTATCGCCAGATCACCAGTTACCAAACAGTAAAAGCAATGGGAGAAATATTACGAATTGATCAGGAAATTTGCGAAAACTCGATACAACTACCGACTATGATATAAAATTTTTAATGATCATATTTCCATTTAAATTAATTCATAACTAGATTCCTGATTGAATTTAAACTGCATTCCATCGACAAAGTGCTGATATGCGGATCCGGTGCAATATTCATAAGGTTTCATGATTTCCGCAATTTTCTCTATCGCATATGCTTTTTCGCACATTTTCCGATAAACGGCTTTTGTCGGTTTCATCGCACACGAACAACTGCAGACGTTTTTCATCACTTTCTGATCGTTGAATCTCCAAAAAAGGTGATACACAGATAGTTAGACGATTATGGGAGATGCTTGTACATTTATTTCATCGATGAGCATTCCATTCATATCACCCCTCGTGTGTTTATTTATGCGACAGCTGGCAGGAAACACAAAAGCATGCAGTCATAGTGGATGGCACTGGATGCACCAGCTTTTTCGTCCTCGTTACGTATTTCATAGATTGAAGTTCTCGCATCAGTTTATGCGACTCATGTTTTTCTGCTGGGAAGATCCGAAGTTTTATAACGTTGACCCTGTTTCCAACGGCGCGAACGATGTCTCGACGACTGTCAGCACCAAAGGTCACGGTAAGCAGATTTTTATAACACCCAGTTTTTCGTTTACTAAATGTATAACAATGTTTATCAAGCGTAAAGCGTACAAATATAAAGCATTCACAGGATTTGCAGTTATCTGCATGAGAAAAAAAATAGGTGAATAGCTGTATGAGTATAACCATAAACGGTTCGCATCGTATACAGCTGACCCCACCCGGACAGGAAAAGCGGTCATCCATTTCCGACGCTAATCACCAGCAGCTGAAGAAAGATGTCCACGATCGCATTATTGAGATGGTCAGAAAGAAAAAGCTTGAAAAAGAGCAGAAGGCCAGCGGGAAAAAAGGATTTCTAAATCCCGAACGCAAAAGAAACTTAAAGGTCAGTTACGAATAATTTGTTTACCATTTCGATGTCTCATGTGAGACAAGATATTATGTGATTATGGCATTTAATTGACACAAAACAGTTAGGCAATCTGCATTATGGTGAACGTTTAATTTCGTGTCTATTTTATATTTTTAATAGATGTATAATTCTGGCATGTAGAAACTACTTCAAGAAGCAGCCAAAAAAGCGGTAAAAGAGCAGCAAAATGAGCGGGCGCGCATTCGCGGCGAAGAACTGGAAAAAGCCATTGGCAGAGAACAGCATTCTAACGCTAAAGACGAAAATACTCTACGGCAAATTTGCCAGCAGTACCATGAACGCGCAAAAGCTCTGGCGGACGCAGTTTACGACCTGGAAAGGACTGTATGCCACAGAGACTTTTTGGTATGTACGTTTCTCTTTCAGCCACTGTTCATAATAATTATAAGCTTTGAGAACAACTAAAAGTGAAAGCCGCGGTATACAAATATCTGTTACTTAAGAAACCAAACGCTTACCTGGCACTGGTTTCATTTATAGAACTTTGCGTATCCATGACCTTTCCATGTGTGTTGCAGACCAACGAGTTAAATATTGAGGTCAATCAACTGCACGGAAAGTTTGTCAAGCCAACGTTGAAAAAAGTCGGAAGGTATGTGAAATGTGTTCTATCTTTTAGAATTCTCAAATTTTCCTTATGCATCAGGTTTTGCATGTATTACTTAATAAAATGTTTGTTCTGGTCCGGCAGCATAAAATTGTGTATTTTCAGTATTCGAGTTAAAGAAGCACCGGAAGCCAACAGCGGAAACGCTGATTATCGCTGGATGCTCCGCCCCACACCATCCGCGCCCACCAGTCCTGGTAAAATCCTGGAAGAGCTTAAAGAGACCAAGGACAAATCCTCGGTACCTACACGACTGTAACCATCGAATTCGGCCATCCACAAAAATTCCGCCAATGTGTTGATTAATATTATAGCGCTGGATATTCGACATCCGACACACTGCGGTTCACCTTACAATTATATCACATTTTTATTACCCAACGTGCAAGTGATTAATATAGCACTTATAAAAGATTGTTTAAATTATCGTAATACAGTAACACGCTCGATGGATTTGGAAAATTATTTAGTAAAGAACTGCATTTGCATTTTTGGCTACGTTATCACGCGGTATCACATAACCGTAATACGTTGATATCAGATTATTAAGTTTGCGCTTCCCCAACCGACGCCAGCGATTCACTCCGTTCTACAATAGCCACAACGGAGTCCGTAGTGTGCAATGGGGGATGGGTCACCAACGTTTTCTTCGACACATATTTGAAGCGCTTCAAATCCAGGGATATGAACCGGTCGGGTATTAACAATGCAATAAACGCCACACCGATCAACGCCGAGCCCACTATTTGCAGCGGGAATAATGGTATATCACGTAGAAAATAATCCACCACTAAACAATGAGACAGTCCTTTCTTATAAAAGTGTCACGAGTCACGAATAATAAGTTTATCATTATAGCACTTACGTCCGGTAACGCATAGATTCAGTAGCTCGCCCAGCGAAATAAAAAATGGGCTGGATATGGCTAAACAAAACGCATATAGAAAAGCCACACCTGTAATGAAACGAGTCAGTTTGCCAGAAAAATGAACAAAATTTTTTATAGCATTATTAAAAAGTTTGCTGTATACTGTTATCGCATTCACGTGTGCTTGTTACCTACATACTGCAGTAGAGTAGATACTTGTAATTTATTACTATGTCGGCAGGTTCACAGACAGCTACAGTACACAAGGAGAGCAGCATACCGCAGATTACCGTACAGAACAGCGCTACCGTAGAACAGCATTACCGTAGTGGCTGGGCAACTTTAACGCTACAACAGTTCCCGCACAAGTGTGCCGGATGCTACCTAGGTTATCTTCCTGGTGTGTCTATATCATATGACGTTCGTAATATAAAGCTATCTTCCTTTTTGTCATATGATTTATAAGTTCCGGGATTGTGATCAATAATCGGCAACTTTTTCCGTGTGCGAAAAAACACACCCTTTGCAAACTTTTTCCGGGAAACATTATCTTTAATTGCAGCATGCATGAATTATCGTATATCTGAGCGGCAGAAGAAAACGCAAGAACCGCGTTCGTACCCAATTAACCCAAACACAAAGATCTTCTATTTAATGTAACAAAACGCACGCTGATAATGTACCTATGCGTAACTATGGGAACCCAGGCCGTCAGTCGGCAACCATTCTGGCGGCCTTTTTCATGAGACTGTCCAAGCCGAACTGCATCGCCATACCCAGATACTTCACCGCGTTTTCTTTATTTAAGTTGCCAATCAAAGCATCCTCGCAGACATTTTGCAGATCATCTATATTATATCTATGCGCCGCAGCCAGGATCGTTTCGGCGTCATTCTTTAGCGCATCCGACACTGTGCGGCAGTACAGGAAATCCAGTATGACCTCCAAAACGGCCGACTGAATATCGGTGATCCGACAAACGCCGGTCTCTTTTTCCAGCATGTTATGCTCGAACATGGCAGCGAACACCGGTGACTGCGCGGCCAGTACCACGCGGTGCGCCGGGAACGTCTGGCCGTCAGCCGATACCAAAGCACAATCCGAAAACGCTGCCGATTTGCGCATACTATCCAGTTTGCTAGCGAGACCGGTCAGTGTGGCGCCAGGACGTTGAATAAGTGGATTAGTATAAAAGAGAAAGTCCACCGACCATGTTGTACCTACAGTCAATGAGTTGTCGTCGCAAAAAGGCGACTCATGATCATAGGGAAAGGTCAAGCGCAGCGGCTTTGAGATAAACTGGTTATTGTTGAAAACACCGTTTTGAGCTGGCCAAATAAAGTAGGATTGCTCAGAAGGAAAACGTAATCTGTAATACAAAGAACCCAGTAATTATTTTAAGCTACATGCAAAAAGGATTTATGAGTTGATAAATAATTGGCAGGTTAATTATAACTTCATCTAAAGTATGAATAATTCGATAATTCGGAAACGGCATTATGTTTACAAAAATTGAATTAATACGCGAGGCGCTTGACTTTGTATAGAAGTAGCTGTTTGTTGTATATACAAGTACGTTTTTTGTTGTAAGTTGAGTATTAGTGCTTTAACTTAAAAAGCTAATATCTGTTCGTCTGCAAAGCGATTTGATTAGATTTTTGTTCGGCTTTCCGAAACTTTAAAACCATTGACAGACCGATAGTTCAATTAGCATCAGAGTATACATACGCACGTAGTAAACGCAACGTGTAATTAAATTGTAGTGCAATGACTCTTTTACCATCCGTAATGCTGTTCAGCTAAGTTTTGGGGTATTTTAATTATATGAGTGATGGTATGCATTTACGAGCATATCCTTGTTTGAATTTCATGTTTTTTATTCGTAATTCTTTTGTTGAAGGTAGCCCTTTTTCGGCCAGTAACGTGCAGTCTGAAACAATTTATTTTTTATTGTTTTCTCTGCTTCATAAAAGTATGCACGGAATCAGGCAGCACTCACGTCGAGAGTAATAAGGCATGGCAATAGGCAGGTTGTGTCGTAATATGACGCTCAAGCATAAACCCGTCTATTACGACTTACCCAAGAATGAAATCCAGTGTGGTACAAAATCCAACTGGATTTCCTTGGCCACGTAATAAATCGGTTGGCCGGAGTGATGCATGGACTTTTTTCTCTCTGAGCAGCGTACCATTCAGCAGCAAGGACCGCTTTATGGCGAATACCCACGTCCCTGACGCAATTCCCGGATGTTCCGACGACTTCGGAACCTTGACTTCGGCTTCGTAGATCCACACTTTGGCAACGGGCGCTGTCCCGTTTGATCCGGAATTCTCTTCTGTGCATCGCATACGAAACTCGCTTGCCGGGACGCGGAAAGCGACGCGGATCTCCGCTACCGGCGATAAAGTGCGTGGGTGCACCGAAGTTGACCCTCTGAAGCGCTTCCGTGAAGGTCCCGCGTCGGCATCAGCCATTAATATATTTGGTTGAGTGCCGCCAAAAGCAAACTGTGCCTTGATGAATTCACGAAGTTCGATGCATGTGATGGATACATATGTACATGCACATGAATGGTTTGATATTAATTACTACTTAAAACTGGAGTACTACAATTACATCACCTAAATAAAGAACATTACACTGCTCACAAAGGAATAAAAACACCGATCTGCCGATGGACGCACTACCGCAAAAGAAGGTGGTCTTAGGTGGAGCTCGTTGCCATAGTAGCAATGCGTGCACCCCACTGCGGTAGCGTTAAAGCATGCGGCTTCTTCTGTAGTTACGACCATACGAGCATGTTTTACGTCGCTAAGGATCCGATTATGCCGAAAAGTACTGCACCTATATCGCGTATCCTAATTAATTGTTATTCGCACCTAAAGATGCAAACATTCCTCCGAAAACGTATGGCCACGGTACAGTGCTCCATTCCCACACTTCTTGTTCCTGCAGACGTAGAGCCAGGGGAACGGGCCAGTAAAGCAGAGCGGCCGTGGCAAACATGATCGTACAGGTGAATGCTGCTTGGTAGGGATCAGCGTCCGGAAATGATTTCACGTAAAACAACTATGCAGGTGGGAAAAAAATCCGGTGTTCGTATTGTTCTTACGTTAATTTTTCCTTCGTTACTATTTGTAACTCACTTGATGAAACGACAACAGAAAACAGGATATGATGATGACAATAACGCCGATATACATACGCATCACTGCGAATTTGGACGCCGGTTGTTGTGGAGTATGCCACCAAGGCCATTCCGGCAAAGGACAAACACACGAATAAAGTCTGCAGAAAGAGTAAAGCTTTAGCTCTTTAATATGTAATGCGTAAGAACCCGATAGCTTCTTATGTAACACTAAATAACTGTGCTCGGTACACATTTATTTTTCCTTTATGTTACCTTAAAAATGAAGTGCTTTTGCTTTAGGAACACCAGAGAAAGCACATAGGAAATCGCCACACATGATGTATAGCAGGCCGACGTGACCGTTGGCGGAATATAAATCAGCGCTACAATGTACGTCGCACCGGTTCCAGCCGTAGTTAATGTGGGCAGCGTGTACTTTTTGAAAAAGTTTTTCACCGTCAGTCCCTCTTTACCGGAGATACTTGCACATTTTCTAAAACAATTTATGGGAATGAAAACATCACCAGTGTCGCACAGCTTGTATTAATGCAACTTAGCTGCGGAAGAACATAAAATCATTGAAATGCAATACCTGAAAAACAGTTGGAGGTTTTTCTTTTTTGTAGAAAATATATTCATAACTAATACAATAACGATCACCAAGGGAAACGCCAGTGAACGAGATATAAACCGGCATTCTGTGTAAAAGTGGGGAGCTGTGAAGTTGTGGTTAGTGAATCCAATGGATGTGAACTGTGCTTCGCAGATGGCGAGAGTCACTTCTAGTAATAACACCACGGTCGCCAACCACCAGTTCTTTTTCGGCGGTTCTTCTTCTTCTATGGTTATTTCTTCCGTTAATGTTGTCACAATTTTTGGCTCATCTAAAAAACGGCATATCTACCACGTTGATATTGAAGCCACTAGCGGCGTTAAGCACTGTTACAAAAAAGTCAAATTCCTAAATCCAAGAAGCCTTTCAAAAACCTTTCAGACTCTACATATATTGCACACTTAACAAGCAAGCCCTTCGCAATAACAGCGCCATATAAGTTGTGACCGTTTTGTTCGACATAAGTTATCTTTGTTACCAAATTAAAATGTGCTTTTGACCGTTCAAAAAAATTTACATCTACCTGGTTACGAATCTATACAGGTTATTTACCAGTTCGGATGTGTCGCGTACCGTTTTTGCTGCGGAGTACCGATGAACGCCGTCTTGCATTTAACTCCATGTTTTTCACTCTGACAGATTCTGACAAATCCATAGACGATATGCAAGAAATTGCTTGTAAGACGTTTTTGATGATCAGCAGCAGGTTATTCCATGGCCTTAATAAAATTGGCTATCGTCGCACAACTCCGCTCCTCATGTAAATCGGCAACAACAAACCCAGCAAACAGTAACGCGCTGTATAGTGGTATCCGTTGCTGACGATCAGCAAGTGCTTATCGCCGCTCATCCACGAAACACAACACCGGCTGGTGTTACATTGTCCGCATGTGCACGAAAAGAGATAGTTACTACTGCTAATGGCTACAGATTTAATTAACGGGATCCGCGCGCAGTTATTAATTAAGTTTGGTAAGAACGGTTTAGATAAGAAATGCCGATTTCATTGTTGTGCACATACACTCTGTGTTTCATCTTCTGTCTAATACGAGTACAAAATTGTACGGCTTCGACACCCGTAATTCTTATAGCGAAACGCTATGATACATTCAACTGTTGAACTGTACTATGAACTTGAACATAACACAACGTGGTATTCAAATTAAACAAATCTTAGTTTTCTGGAGAAAAGCATTTTTAGGGACGCAGCACTGACTGCAATAATTTTCAGGACTAGTAAAGTCTGTGCGTTCGTATTATAAGAAACGCACCGAAGTGCACTTCCATAGTTTTCATTACACCAAAAGATATTTCTGCAAGCGGTAGTCAAAAATCTTTCTTAAGCACTTTATCAAGGACTTATCATTCCCTTAAAAAGCGTAAAAGACACAGAAAGGAAAAGTATCAAAAACTGTTTTAACCATTCAGCATACCCATACACATATAGTTATATACACATGGAAGTATACAAGCAATAAGAAGTATACAAGCAATAACATCATTTTACGCATCATGATCAAACAATTCGTCCAGCGGTTCCGCTTCCGTTAACGGTTAGAGGACAAGTGAAGCTCGTATTGCTGCTGCCGGCCAGTTCCGTAAAGACGAGAATGCATCCTATCATACCGAGAACTACCTGCCAAATTAAGCAAAGGTGTTTAAATTTATTCATTTTAAAGGAATTGCGTACTTGTACAAACAACTCGTAGTTTGGTGTACGTAAATATTAAATAGCTCACCTCGAGTGCCCTTTCCCGAGTGACTACAATTCCCGCTAGAGTGAATCCCGGAGGAGCACGTAGCATGCGCTGCAGATAAAGTCGTTTCACTTTATACATTCCACATTTGTTGTCTTTACAGGTATCCTCATGCGCTATCATGCAATTTTCTTCCAAATCTACTTCAAGCAGACCAACGATCAACTGCCCCTGTATAAAAAACCGAATTCAGCGGACCCTTTATAAGCCCGGTGAGGATAATTCGGGCACACGTAATACTATTAAAATATTTGGATTAAGCCAAAGGTCATGCATACTCGCGCGCGCGCATCCGCTTTTGAAAAATGTTTTGTATTCGTATAAAAAAGCTCACCTGTTCCACTGAAAATACACAAGCACAAACCAGAAAGCTGAGTTTGCAAGCGGACTCAATGAACGTGAGTAATGTAGAACTGACTGGTGCACCACAATTAGCGTATTGGGCGCTGATATTAAATATGGCGATAATGATCCAGCCCAGAGTAACCAGAGCGTATCCCGCCGTTATTAAAGACACCAAAGCATCGAGTTCTTGCACAATTGCACCCAACTTTGAATGCAACAACACGTAAGAGGCCATTTCGTTCTTTGATGACCGCGCTCTTGCGGCGAGCCGGCGAAACATTAACCCAACGGCAAACGCTAAGCATGCGATGAATCCAAGCAGAAAACGCTTTCCCAGGTCACCAATGGCCAGCGCAACCTGAGATACTACAGTGAAAACAAGCGACGTTTCGACGGAAGCATTTGGAAAGTACAGCTGGTTATAGTTTTCCGCGGTGCTGTAGAGTTCGTCACTGCGGTCATAACTGTACAGAAACAGTCCAGATACCCCCGTAATACCAATTAACGACGCGACCACTACAAATATTAGAGCGGACCAATCACGAAGCGTCAAAAATTTGCCAAATTCTACGTCTAGTTTTTGAACAAGGTGAGCGATTCTCTCACTAGCCATCCACATAATGATCATATACGGTAACTCTATTACGCAAATAATAGTGTTAATAAATCCAATCAGAATCACCGAAAATTTGCTGCCGTTTGTCGGATAATTCGTCCACGTATCGTAAGCGTCAAATACACCAAAAGCTGTTATCAATAGCGCTTCCAGTATCAAAATACTGCGCATAAAGATTATTGTTTTATATGTGAAGTCTTTAGATGGATAATAGAAGATGCCTAATGTGTGCAAAACAGCCATCCAAGGGTTCATAATTGTCCACAGCCAACCTGTAGGAGCGTGACCTTGGGCGTCTTTAGACGTGGTCGTAACTTTTGGAAACATGACCGCTTCGCACTAAATTATCATAGCTATCCACACGCTGTTTTTGGTTAGATACCTGCAAACACCTTAAAGGTCGTAAACGATCATGGATGCCATTACCTCGTACAAAAAGGTCAACTATATCCTGTGAATTGTGGTTTACCAGAGACTTTATAACCGAAAAGGCTCGTAGCAGTTTTGCAAAAATCAATACACTGTTCACAAAGTTTGACGAAAGCATGGGTAGCAAAGTACACGTTCCTGCCCACTTTTAAAGTATACTGTACGTAGGGGATCAGATGTAAATATACTGGGATCGGGTTACATGTTCGCACGTATTCTATGGATAAGCGAAAACCGAAATTTTGCTTAATGGTTGGCAAGTGGAGACATACATACGAGTACATACTCTACATAATATACTGTACGCCTTGAGTATACCAACATTAGTAGCCGACAACTACAGTAGCTCCGCCAAAATGGAGCGCCTGTTGTTTGTGCTTCAGTACGTCATGCGTTTAATTCCTTGATGTGATTTTGCAGGCACCGTCTGACCCAACCATTAGACTTCGTAGTAATCGGTGAAATTAGTAAACAAGTTGAAGTGGTACTTGTCCAACAACAAATTTGTATTCAGATACGATCTCGTTTATCGATTGTCCTCGTATGGCCATAGCGAAACAGTCCGTGATTCGAATTTTTATTGTTAGAAGAGGCATACAGTAGAAGAGTGTCACCGTACACCTTATATTATGCCAGTTTAACAGCGAACTGCAACATCGGAATTCGTTTTCAACATCAGTGTTCTAGCAGTTATTTTTTGTGAACCCCATGACGTCAAGACAGCAGCGCAAATCAGTCTCGATGAAATCACGGTAATCGACGCTGGGCAGTGTCGATAGAACTGCTATACTAACACTTTTATAACTTCTTTGTAATTCTAGAGGTTTTTAGATTTCAAGTGCCGGGGTGTTGCCCACGATATCCGCCACGGCCTGCACAACTTGCTCGTAAATACCACCCAGGATGCTTTGGAAAGGTCGGATGAAGTTCAGCAATGTGTTACCAGCGGCCTGCGCAGCTGCTTGTCCGGCTCCAACGGCAGTACTGAGAAACTGTTGCACTAATGTATGCACAGCCACATGTCTGCAATAATAAGAAATGAAGCATTTTGGACATTTCTGAAAAAATTTCTTCGGTCTTACGTGTTCCCGGCCGTGGATGTAGCCATTCCGATTAAAGTCGACAGAATATTTGCAAGGTTGCCGATGATGCCCTTTTCATGCGAAACAGATCTGGTGGACACGGCGTTAGGGAAGTACTGAATTTGAATGACAAGCGCAGTCCAATCGTACACCTCTTTGAGTTCATCTTGAAGAGGCGCAATAGCGTCCAGAAGGGCTTGTGCAGCACTTTCTGCGGATGGATGGGTGTTTGTTGCTATTGACCACGATACGAAATTCTGGACGGTTCGCGCTATAGTGGTGACGCTGTCAAATAACAAATGCACCAATATTATTAAGAAGGACGCGGACAAATACAGCTTTCGCAATGGTGGTAAGGTAAAGGTCATGCTTACATCGTGGCCTCCACAAGGAAATCTGACGTCAGTTGACCATGCTGAGCGGCGGCAATGATGGAGAGAATGTCGAGTGTACTTTGCAGATCGCCATTGGAACCCGTGTTGCTGATAATCCACGATCGGCGCCCATCCTTGGTCAAAATGGATAAAACGGCACTTTCCACGAGATCGTAGACTGATCCCAGCATCCACTGAAACGGTGACAAGAAGTCCAGTAAAAGTTGGCCAGCAGCATTCGCAGCCATTCCACCGGCAGCAACCATGTTGCTGATGAAACCTTGCACCAAATTCTGAACGGCGACGGCACTGCAATGCCAAGCAGATTATGACCTTTCATTGATTTCCTGGTTTGGACTGCGCGCTTACGTATTTCCAGCTGTGGAGCCCATAATTCCAATCAGCTGCGACAAAATGCTGGAGAAGTCGGAAAATCCTCGAGGCTGGACATGGCGTTCTAGTTTACTTGCACCACCCAGTCCAGTGCCTGATAGGAATTGGTTAATCGCATTCTGTACTTCAGTGTACACACCGCCCAATAAATTTTGAAAAGGTCGGATGAAGTTGAGAAGTTGGGAAGCGGCAACGCTCACAGCAGCTTCGCCAGCATTCATAGCGGTGCTTAAAAACTGTTGGATAATACTTTGTACAGCCACATGACTGCAAGAGACCCATAAGTTTACTAGTTATTCTTTATTATTCGGATACCCTACAAGCACATCAAATAAAATTACTGAGACATATGCTTACGTATTTCCAGCGGTAGATTGGGCTAATCCGATTAAAGTTGATACTACGTTGGCCATGTTGGTAATGCCACTGATGATGCCCTTTTCGAGGTCAGATTTGCCAGCAAGAGCGCTGGGTAGATACAGTGAACCGGTTAGAGCCACAGCAAAGTCGTAGACCTTTCCTAGTTCGGTTTGGAACGGAACAAGGTAATCAAGGAGAGCTTGTGCAGCGCTTTCGGTGGAAGAATAGATGTCGGCAGCGACTGCTTTGTCGACAAAGCTCTGGACTGTCTGCCCCACCGTCAAAGCACTGCAATTTAATGCTGATTATATGGTTTTTTCTGATACTGAATGTTGTTTTTAATCCTTTCCAATTTATTCATAACTTGTATTATATAATAAAAGCAAGATAAACGCAATAACGCAAAATTTTGGAAATTCTGTTTAGGCAGCGCTTACACGATGGATTCGGCCAGGACATTGTTCGGTTCGATCAGGGCTAGAAAGCGCAAAACCTCCAGTGTGCTAGGCAAATCGTTGTTGGATCCGATAACTGGTGGGATGATCAACTGTCGACCACCACCCAGAATGGATGTGACCGCACTTTCCACCTGGTCATAAATCGTACCCAGGAGCCATTTAAACGGATACAAGAAGTTCAGTAAGAGTTGACCAGCTGCGTCCATGGCCATTCCACCGGCGGCCGCCATGCTGCTCAGAAATCCCCGCACTAAGGTGTGTACTGCCACATGTCTACGAAAGACATTAAAAATTAGTTTTTTCCCACAAGCAATATTTTAGAGGGTTTGTTGTCTTACGTGTTATCGGCTGTTGCACCAACCAGGCCGACCAACTGCGACAAAATGCTTGTCAACTCGGACAAGCTTTTCTGATTAGCATTTTGCTGTAATTGACTCGTGGAAGGTCGTCCGGTGAGGATTTGATTGATGACATTCTGTACTTCAGTATAAATGGGCCCCAGCGCATTCTGGACTGGTTTGAGAAGATCGAGCAGTTGCGCGGCAGCGGCACTGACAGCTGCTTCACCGGCGGCCTGTGCGCTGCTCAGGAAGCTTTGAACCAGAGTTTGCACGGCGACAAAACTGCAAAAGAGGCGTAACTCAATTTTTGGGATAAAGTTTTTTGGAATCCCGTTGTTATTCTGTATTTACGTGTTTCCTGCGGTAGACTGAGCCAATGTGAGCAGATTGGACAGCACTTGAGCCAGATGTCCCAAACCATCGAAAACTCCACGCGTTTCAACCGTGAAACCAAAGTTCTGCATAACCTCTGTTATTACGATTTGCAACTGGTTCTCGGGAATACCGACCTGCAGAGGCAAAAAATTGCAAGTGCAAACAATTCGAATATCTTCTCATACTACAGTTACTCGTCAATAAACAAGTATGGCAACGTCGAACCAGAAACTTCCGCAGCTGTTCAAAAAGCGAAATCCAGGTAAAACACAATCACGTTAATACACGTGACCTTTCACACTGTCGCCTAATCATGCATACATGCTTATCGGTGAGCGATGAATTTATTAATGATCGATGCGCAAAAACAATGATCAGAAGATAATACTGCCAATGCTATTGGTTTTTGTGTGTACACTGTGACATAAATTCGACCAGTTTCCGGAACTTACTGCATGTAGATATTCCAGCAGTGCCTGCTCGAAAAGAGCCTGCAGATCCAAATCAACAACGAGGACACGTGCGCGCTGAAAGTGCATTGATGGTGCTAGAAAAAGAAATAATATATTCATCGTCAGTACAGACGTAATACTAATTACCGATAGACTGTTTAGACACTCAAGCGAAAGAGAAGTTCCGCATATCTACTGGGTATATGCTAGACGAATATGTACAATACGCTATTTGCAGTTGTTTCGTAAATTGTAGCACAGCGTGGCTATATGCGTTGCTAAACAGTTCAGTAACCAAAGCATTATAAACGTTGTCACACGAAAAAAGCCCAATCCGCCTAAATTGTTTTGGCATAATATAATGATTAAATTATTATACACAATACTCTGCATATAAAAGATACTTCTATGAATGCTTACCAGCAGTTTGTGAACAACTAAACAATGTTACCAATTTACGAGTGGTTGCGATTATTTGCGAGTAGCGAATGGGGAGGTAGTAGTGAGGTACACAATCACCAGAATTAACTTCTTACCATTTTGGGTTAACAGATTGTTGAAAAGATCTTGCAGAAGCTGTTGACCATGAGCGGCGATATTTTCACCCAAGGACTGCAACTGGACCAAAGCATTTTGAATCAAAGCAGCTATTTGTTCTGCCGCCGTTTGACCGGCTTGGATGGCCGTTGAAATCTCCGCCACGACATTTTCGGCATGACTTTGTATAGTATTCAGCAGTTGGTTTTGCAGTTCGCTTAATGCCACACTGTAATAGATGTTTTTTATGTTGTGGACACCGAACAGTTTTCAAAACTGCTCTTCAAAAATTACTTCCAGTAATTGTACGCTCATAAGTCTGTACTATGGACAACGCAGAACTTACAATTGCAGTATGAGGCTTATAGTTTATACGGTAAATAGAGCTTACTTCCGGTTGCGCAGTCCGGCAATGTTTGCAGCGGTCCTCGTTTGTCGGATGGCTTTGGTCAGAAGCAAATGGGCATCTGCATAAATCATCCAAATTTTACATTGTAAAATTGATTTTGTTTGCAAACTGATATTTTGCTAAAAATCACAAAGCGTGTAGGCTTTTGGCACCTTGATTCAAGGAGCCGGTAAATGCCGCATTGGCAACGGCTGCCGAAACGAGAACAAAAAGCAACGCAGAGATCCGCATTTTGATTGACCAGTCAAATATCAATTTCGATAAAAACGTAAAATAATGTGCAGACGCTGTTCTGTCCCCGTTGGATCTGGATAACTAATTTCATTCCAAGTTTGATTAGCATGAATTCTACTTCTTCTCAGGTACGCGCATTTCTGTTATCAGAACCGTCCAAGATAATGATTAATTAACCTATGATTACTTTTCTGGTGGCAAAATCGCTGTTACAATAGTTTAGATAAATGCGAGAAATATCTCGTACGTTTAGATAAAATATATGGAAAGAATGGTACAAATGATATCAGCAAGAAAATAATAGCAATCCAAAACGGCGTGATCTAATCTGAACAACCTGCGTTTCCTTGAGCAGCGAATCGGCAACTTGCAATGCGATACCATTGCTTCACATGCACACTGCATGCAAATGATGCAATTATACTCTCGCTTGTTTGGTTCTTACCGTTAATAATTAAGACGTTACCACTTCCTCTGTACAAATGCGGATGCGTCAGATATTTATAGGCATGTTCTCCAAAATCAGTTTTATTCATGCAGTACTGCAAATAAAATAAAGTAATAAGCAATATTCTGCATTAATGTACGTACAAAAAGTAAAATTTTGTAATAGTCTCTGACACTGATTATCATTTCTCGTTGTGCCTTGGACTAGTTACGGAATCGTTCCTGCAGAATCTTGCTCGTTTTTGCAGTGTGTACAAACCATAAAAATGATCCCAAAATTAAATTTACTTTATTAATTTTTCGGTACTATTGTGTACTCGGCATTTATTTTTATCAGCTATTCATATGTTTCATTTTATTTACTTTTCGATCCCGAAATTAGTGTAGTTTATTGTTACACGTCAAAATCAGAGGTACGGTATTTTAGCTACATATCACCTTTTGCACGTCTACATGGTAACTCGTAAGGTCGCTGTCCATAGATCATATCTACGTATAATAAATGTAAAAAGCTGTTTACATATTCCATTAATGTGTTTGTAAGCTACAGTAATTTCAAAATTTTTCGGATACAGCTGGACCGCCTGGACGTATGCGAGCCAGTATACCTAGTGGAAGCACAAACACTACAAAAATACAGACCTATTATTTCTGTGAGACTAGAAGGAAAATCGTGTTCGCTGAATCCAACGTCAGTATAAAATTTCCACCGGAAGTTCGCTTGGCAGCAAAAGCTTATTATTCTAGTTTCATCTGAATAATAAGCTGGAAATTTGGAAGCGGAAGCCCATTATGAAAAGGCGCTTATATTGCACATTGTGCGCCCCGCCTAGGCGGGCAACTTGCTGTATCATTCTGCATTCATACTTGACAGGGCAAATGACTCGTCATTTTTAACAGTTTTGAATTATTTAAAGCCGTTTGGCGTTTTTTATGTTTTCCAAAATTCTTACGAATTCTTTTATGTGCGCAATCCTATTTCAGTTCAACTTCACTTTGTTTGACTTAGTCTTTGTATTTTATAGTATGCGAGGGACTCTTTGACAGCAGTGCCGTATTCGAATTACCATGTAATGATTTATTACTTATTGAAATCTGCAACCGTACACTGTACAGTCACAGTTTTATCCATATTTATAATTTACTGGGCATACTTTGTTTAGCATCGCGCTATCTTGATGCGAGAGCCCGCAAAACGTTTCCGGACCAACACGTTCATCCAATCCTCTGCTGCATTTGTCATGGATGATCGGGGAGACTCTCCGAATGCCCGCTCATCGCCGAGCCCAGCATCCTCTCAGTCTTCCCCCGCGAAAAACCCCGTCGTGACGCGCGCCGATGTTTTAGCGCTGATGCGACGCAAGGACGAAATCGAAGCTGAATTGAAAGCCCTGCAGGATGTTTTGCAGTCTGTAAGCAGCTGAGACTCGCACTAATCCCTGTCGGAGACATAGCATCGCATCTGTGTTTGCCGTAGCAAGGAAATGTCGGAATGGAAGGGCCTTTGCTGGACGGAGAAGGCTACCCGCGCTCGGATATTGATGTTTATTCGGTGCGTCACGCTCGCCATAAAATTATCTGTGAGTGCCTGAGTGGGTCTTGTTTATTTGCCAGCTGCTTTTTTATTTCCTTTTTTAATTGTTTGTTTTTAATTCTTATTTTGGGGTGCTTATTTCGGTGTCGGCGGCTCGGCAGTTAGGCAGTTGTAATTATGGAAATTAATTTAATTTCGCTCATCTGATCTTCATATGAATCAGTTGTGACCACTGACTTGTGAGTTTGTGATAGGTCTGAATAACGATCATAAAGCGTTGATGAAGGACATCGAGGAAGGACTGTATGCAGTCCACGAACAGGCTCGCCATGAATACATGGATGTGGATGAAAAGAAAGCCGAAGACAACAATGAGGTGAAATCGTTCGCGAAAATTCAGTTCGTCTCTCCAGAATCCCCGGCTGCCAGCGCGGTAATTAAAATCGGAAAAGGACAGAGAAATTTGAAAACGTGTTTTCGTTGCATACTTTCCGCAGTGCGAGTACAATGGAAAATTCTGATATTATAAATTGTGGCTGTGCTATCAATCATCTGGCAAGGTTGACCGCGTTAAGATAAAAATTGGAGTGTTGTAGTGCGACGACGTAATGTTGTCTCTCGTTTTCGCTGACAATGCTAGGATTGCTCGTTATTGAAGAAACACCAAATTGTTTTTCTTTTCTTAACTTTGTTTGTATTTATATGACTTTCTGAAAATTTCATTCCAAACTTTATTTTATATTTGGCATAATTGTGCGTTGCAGGGTCTGGAACCCGGCGATTTGATAACCGCATTTGGTTCGGTGTCCAGTGCGAATTTCCGCAGTTTAGCTGATCTCGCGACGGTGGTTAGCAATAGTGAAAACCGTGCAATCAGCGTGGAGGTTCGTCGACACAGTGTTAACAAACGGATAGCTCTAACGCCGCGAAAATGGAATGGACGCGGCTTGCTGGGGTACGTTAGAGTGATTAGAATAACCTTTACTAAAAATCGTAAGGAATATCCATCATAATGTCGAAAAGTACAGACGCGGACAAACTACTATTCCCTTAATATTTTTTACGAGTTAGATGGTAAACGATATTTTATAATAATAATAAGAAAATGATTATGATTAATGATTATGATTAAATTTTATGATTAAAATAATAATAAGAACTTAAAGTGGTTTGAATGCGGATTGTCAGTTTGAGTATTCTGCAGTACCCGCATAACAGTAGCAAGTAGCAATCATCCGCTCCCGCAGTGTATGCAATAACTCACTACTCGTAGTCAGTGTAAGTAAATAATTAGCAAGGACTTTGACGACTTCAGAACAACAGTACTCGTACATAATTACTCCTGAAATTGGTTTTCAATTATTAATTTAAAGTGAGAATAGAACTTGGTGATCATAGATTAAAAGTGCTTACTCGTGGTAATCATGAATTTGTTTTTGCGTGGAATTCTTTAATGTGTTGTAATCTGCAAGTTGTATATTTTTGTAGATGCTCATTTCTGGAAGAACGTCAAATGTGAATAAAAGCGCCAAAAGAAATGCGGTCTTTGGATATTAAGCATACCATTGATAGACTGTTTTCGGGTCTCCGGTTTGTTAGACATGTGGATCGGTGCGCGTTGGCGTTTTTACGGACTTTGTTCTCCGAAGATCGGTACTCATCTGGAAACTGGATATTCGTCTGTAGTTCTGTAACGCTTCTGTTTGGTTACAGAGGAAACACCAATAAACGGATTCTGAAACCACGCGGTTCAATACGTTTTGAAATTATTGTAAAAATGATTTATCTGATTTTGGATTCAGATTGTATAAGACTATAAGTATAAAAATGGCATTGGAGTACGAATAGCGATCAGATAGATCCTAGATTTGCACCGAATGCGCGATAAAGTTTTCATAAAAATGTGTAAATCAAAGTAGGATAAAACGATTCACGAAATCAAGAAATTATGCAATTACTGTAGAGTATGCCGGTGGGAAGAAGTAGCCGCACAGATTGCAGTCGAAGCAGAACACTACTGTAGAGAAAATTTTACCTACTCGTATGTAGCTATCAAGCCTGCCGTTAATCTTTTCATTTATTGACTGGCCTAATTATAACAGAAACCAGTGAAATGTGTGACTCCTTCGCAGCAGTATAAAGGGGACTGAACTAGAAGTACGTATCTTAAAACAGTACAGAAAACAGTGTCTTCAGAAATACAGTACTCGTACGCAACTTTAGAAATATGTAGAGATACACATCTTCGAACATCACACCGCTCAAGTACCATATATAGTGTTAGGTAGTAGTATCCCGTTACCGTTAGGAGCAAAACAGTGTGAAGTCTGGGACTTTATATCCCGGTCGTATCGTGCCTCCAGGCGTTAGGCTGCTTTGGGGACAGACGCAGATCAAAACGGAATTCCGGTACAGCCAGAGACCAACAAAGCCATAGTATGGAAACTCCCAAATAGTTTTGGGAGTTTGTCTACTACGGTTTTGTCGGTCGGCCATACAAAGAACACTAATGTTCCATGCACAGTGTCAGCCAAAAGCTCGCTTCGGGAGCATGCGTCCGGAACCGAATGAGTGTCGGGGGAGAAAATCACAGCACCCGGGCATCTGAACCTTTCAAAGATAACACAACTTCCGAGTCAGGCTACCGGACGCTAATAGAATACGGCTTAGAAGGAACTTGGTCGACACGCCGAACGTTGGGGAACTTGTACTTAGTTGTCAAAATCAATAATAATTATTGTAATAAGAAATGCAGCAAATAGCCGGTGCGGGCATGGGACAGATACTGTACCGAACGTGAGATGGTTAAATCGCTGCAATGGCGCCGCATAATGCGAGGTGTTGGTTTGCTGGAAAAATGCAAAACACGGGGAAGTGGAAATCTGTTGAGTCTAAGCACAGCGCGCCGGACCAAAATTTTCTCTCTGGCGCTGTCACGCTATCTTGGTTGGCTCAAAGGGTTGCCGCCTTGCTTCGGCCCAGCACTTTATTCGCTCACCTGATAAGCCGTGTCTGATAAGTTTCTTATCGTGTCTGATCTGTCATTTGCGATTATGATGTGGACCGTAGACGAAACAGTCCGATAATTTTGGTTTTTTTCTTAGTCCGCTCACGTAAACGACTGAAGCACCCCTTATAGCATAACAAATAAAATAACTTAAAAATTTACTCGTACTGAAAGAAAATTTTAAAAAACAATCAGGAAATCACTGTACAGTACATTGCAGTATCTGCAACGCCGACCACAAAGGTCACAGAAATATGACATTGCACTGCCTTATAGGAAACATGAGGGAATGGCTGAAAAGCTTAATTTTTTGTAAATGACACTTAGTTTCTCTTCATATGCTTAAATGGGAAGCGTTTTAATTATGCAACCCCTTAACAGCAGCAGCTGTGTGATGGCGCGTAGAACAGATTGCGCCGGATGTTCAGAATCTTTTGAAATACTGTTATAGTGTTATGTACATCAGTACGAGTACATATAATGTAATATGGTATTTTTATATATATAATGTACATATAGGGGGCAAAACTAAGCGTGTTCCACGGTTCCCCTGTATTGCTGCCGTCACCCGCCTGGAGTGTGACGTTACGGCATACATATGGCTAAATCTGGCGCGGTACATAAGCGCCATGTATAGCCACAACGTAAAACTCCAGCCGGGTGACGGCAGCAGTAGCCGGAGACGGTGGAACACGTTTAGTTTTGCCCCCTATATATAATAATAGTGTTATGCACATATAATGTAACCACATCTGTATAATTATGGGCTTGACCGGGAACGGCAATATTCAAACCGGAGAAGGTGCAAGGTCATCTGGAGACTGCATTCGAAGCCAGAACATCATGATCATACCATTCACTCCTACCGGTGCACCTCTGGTCCTCTACCGGTAGGTTCCAGAGAAGCCTGACGAGAAAGATTTCTATAAAATCTGTTTATAACGACGCGTGACCGCTTCCCAGAGACATGGATAACGACCACCCAATCTGCATCTGACCACCTGGGGAAAGACAAAAGGCAGTCGCTGTAATAATTGCATGCTAGCTGCTAATGACTTGTTGTGGACGAGTGCGGTGTCTTTGTATGTGGAAGAGTAAGAATGTGCGGATAGTATATAGATATAAGCATTTGCAGAGCAGAATGTACAGTTAGTTCACTTTCTTTTTCCGACGAATACTATGTCGATAACTTTTTAAGTTTTGGCCTGTCTTGTGCTCCAAGTATTTTTCATCGATTATCTACCGCCGTAGCGCGGATGATTCGTAGACGTAGTTTTAAAATTGTGCCGCACTGGACGATTTCCTGGTGATCGCTGACAACTACGAATTATGCGCGGCCGCTCAGCAGGCGCTAATAGCATTACTTTTATTGCTCGGCTTCGTTTTTAATTGGGACAAGGTTATCTACCCCACGCAACGAGTACGTTCTCTTGGCATAATTATCGATTCCGTGGCGCAGAAAATGGAACTACCAGAAGAGAAGATACGGAAATTAGTGTCTAAATGCGCTGAATTCGAAAATAATGCAAAACAGTAAAATTCAACTGCAGTCGTTACTGGGTTTGATTTGTTTTGCGTCGCGAGCAGTGAAAGGCGCACGGGCGTTTTCCCGAATTTTTATAGATGCAGTTACTCAACTGCAGCGGCCTCACCACAGAGTGAGAGTAACTGCACTAATCCGCAGTGAGTTGGTTTGGTGGCAAACAGTCGCACGCAGCTTAATGGTATGACGCAATATGTAATCTCAAAGCCCAGCCGCGTGATTCGCATTTCTACAGACGCGTCGTTTTCTGGGTTTGGTCCCACATTGGGTAATAGCTGGTTAGCCGGCAGTTGGGATTTAGCGGATATCTCCCATCACCTACGCGTACTGCCAAATTTTATTCGTCCGCCGCTGGTTAATCATAGTTTACGAACGAACATAAATTATTTGGAAATGGTTGCCGCTTGCATCCCGATCTTGGTCTGGGCACCGGCGTTCGGTGGTTGCACGATACTGATTGAAAGCGATAATTCGTCCACGGTTGCCTTTTTAAAACGCGGATTTTGCAAATCTCTGGAGGCTTTAAAGTGGTTAAAATTAGTATTTTATGCTTCGTGCCAGCATGATTTTTATGTGGACGCTTGCCACATTCCTGGTGCCGATAACAGTTTTGCAGATGCTCTGAGCCGCATCACCACTGCTGACATCTATAAGTCAACCGTTGTTGACCGCATTAACAGTGGCCATAGTTCACTGCGCCTGGTGACTACTGTTCCAGGTACCCAAACAGCCAATCTCAACCGGATCCTGAACTCGTTGCGGCTGAATGCTTTGGCGCCGTCATCCCTTCGCACTAGAAAAGTTCAATGGTGCCGCTACTTAAATTTTTGCGATCGTCATCGACTACAGCCAGTACCGGCGAAGCCGCGCACCATCGGGTTGTATATTGCTGAGCTGTCGCGCAGCCTTGAATTCTCGTCGGTGCAAAATTATGTGGCAGCCATTGTGACGTTACATCATTTTCGTAACAAACCAGCGCCCGATCTTAAGCATTTTGTGATTAAGCAAGCACTGGAGGGAGTGCGCCGTCAGCGCAGGGAATTTCCAAATAAAAAACCTCCTATTCTAACGCGGCATTTAAAAGGCATCTACAGTGCCTTACACCGACTTCCCGCGGAAGTACGGAAAGCGTTTTGGACGGCATGCCTATTTGCATTCTTTTCGCTGTTGCGAAAGAGTAACTTATTTGCCGCATCGAATAATCGACTGCACATTTGCTTTCGGGATGTCACGGTGGGAAAAGATAACCTGTTCGTTTCGGAGCCCGTTATGAAGACAAACAAATATATTGGACATAATATTCTTATTCCACTTCCGATGCGCGCCGGTTCAGCATTTTGTCCTGCAAAAGCCTTCTTGGAACTGCGTGACTCTGACGTGCATAAAGGTCACCGATCAGTCTTCTGTTACCGCGATAACAGTGGTCGGGTGAAAGAACTGTCAGCGGATCGTTTTACCCAGCTACTACATACCGCGTTAAATGCAGCTGGGTACGATGGCTCGAGTTTCAGTATTCATTCCTTCCGGCGCGGTGGTGCAACATTCGCGTCCGAATGTGGAGCGTCACCAGATGCTATAAAAGCGCAGGGTAACTGGCGTAGCGCGTGTTTTGAGAAGTACATCGCGCGCGACAACGACCGTCGTCTTGTCTTTGCCCGTGCCGCAGCCACGGGTTTTCCTTGGGCTTCGTTTGGGGGCTCACTGCGTTAAGCTGCTTGTTTGTCCGCCTCTCCTCGTGCGGTTTGTTCGTGTTTCTCCTGCTGTTTGTTGTGACGACCGTGTGTTTAGCCAGAATGTTGTCTTCGGTGTTCGCTACGCCCATAAGAAGTAAAGCTTCTGTGCCGATCAGTCGTTCCGATATTTTTGTTTACACACCATTCACACGCAGAGACGTTATCGAAGCGATAAATTTCTCTGACTATAAAATATGGCATACCACAGGATACGTCTCAAAAACCCTAAAAATTCAATAATTGTTGAATAAAGTGTGAAAAAAGGCTAATGAAGGCTCCCCGAGTGGCTAATTCCGTTACATATGCCACTTTTTACCATGCCAGCCGATGCAACGCTTCTTCAAATCCCCAAAGAGAAAATTTTTTAGACTTGATAAAAACAAAATTCAAACGATCGAGGGGTATCTACCTTAATTTCCTTCGAAGACACTATCATCCGAGCCGACACCGGCATCACTATTCCGCTTACTCATCGAAGGATTCCGCTTCGAGCGTCCCATGCCCATTTCGTTCAGCGACTGCAGCCGTGGTCTCGACGATCCGCTTTGGTGTTTGTGTTTAAAAATGGAACTGGGTCGGAAATTGTCGCCGGACTGAAACCGGCGCAGACGCTGCGTCGACGTGTCGGAGGCCGGCTGCACCGGGACAACCGGCTCGAACCGGTGGAACGCCAGGTCGGATGTGCGGACAAAATAGCAGAGCAAATGAAGGTAGGCGTCGAGCAAGGTCTGGTTCTGACTGACCAGAATGGTTTTGGTTAGACGGGCTGGGCTACCACAAATCCAAATGCCCAGGAGATCTCTGTGGAGAAAGCCATGCACACTGGAAAAAATACGTACATTCGGGACAAAATATCAATCACACCCTAATTGTGCCCATAACGGATTGTAGGGATGAGATTTGGCACACAGCTGGATTCACTGTGGTTCATGCTTTAGTTTGTAATGAGACGTTTGAGAATCGGAGGGAATTACTGTTGATACCCATCCCATATGGCCAGCCCAGACACTCGTTATTAACCGCTACTCGTAGAGAAAGCTACAGAAAAAAGATCATGCGATTAATGCTCAATCACTGGAAAAACTGGAAATCTTAAAAAATCGTAAAATATTCAACCGGCAAATAAAATTAAATATAAATCGAATTAGTCAACAAACCCCAGACAAATCTTATGGTATTCAGCCAGTAAACAAAACTAAAAATGCGTCAAGATAGGCCGATCAGCGCCGGTGTGGTGGAGTATGTAGCAGCAGAACATAAATTCATAGACTAAGGTCGAAGCCAGACAGTAGAAGTTATATCTGGACAATATGGTTGTCTTAATCCATTTCCTTTACTGATTTCTCTAATAATATTATAATGAAATGTGGCTTAAGTTGATTCTTCGCAGCAGTGCATAGGGATTACGTACACATACAGTCACACAGTAATACGAATCTTTAATCCAAACATCAACAACTCAAGAGAAACTATGGTAGCGGTACGCTTTCCACGAATTGCTACTCTAGCAACGTACATCAGTGATGAGAAAGATCATACCAACCGAGATTATAAGACCACAAAGTATGCACCACGGAATCCATCACAAAGCGCAAAGGTGCTTGGCCAGCTGCTCGAGCACCTCCTCGGCTGCCGGCTCTCGGATATCCGTAATCTCACAACGACGAACGGGCGTCTGGCCAAGGCGCGCAACTCCCCAGTAGAACGATGGCCCGCGGAACGCCACAAATGTGGTCTCGTCCCTAATACAACGTACTTCATGCAGATGCTGAATCCCTTCCATGACGTTTTCCTCCATTTTCACGAATGTTTCCTGGGCGTGATCGGCGTCACCAATGATAATCAGAGCGATGTTCATGCTACCCGTCGGCGATGCTTTCCACACCATGTGAAACGGACGTGCCAAGCTTGGTATTTCCTCGTCAATTCCATTGCCCCAATATTCGTGTTTGTAGAAACCAGCATCCATGCGTAATATGCTCTCCCCCACTTGTCCCCAAGCTGTAAACCAATCGCGTTGGTGGTCCGTGTTAATGGCTACATCCAGTTTAATGCGTGCAGTCTTCGTCAGCAGACCCTTTTCCCTGAAGGATACCAATTTTACAGACTTAATACTGTACTCGTATCCATTAAAGAACGACATTTGTTGCGCAACTCACCCCGCTCGAACGCGCGCCAGCTTCTCATCCAGCAACTTTTGGACTCCTTTGGAGAAAATCCCACCACCGACTGAGTTCTACGATCAAATAACACTGACGAAATCGAACGCAGTTGAAAACTGCGTAAATACTTAAATTAAACTCATCTTTAATTTTCTAAACAATGTTGCACGAAGTCGAACGAAACGATACATCAGACAATACCCATAAAACTTTACTTATTGTAATCATTGTTTGCTTGTCTGCAGTTAAGAGTAGAAATGTAGAAGTACAAATACTCACACCGCTGTTTACGCATGGTGCTGGCCGAATGGTTGGCGTCGGAAAGCGGATATTACGAGATTCCCTGCAACGTACAGTTAGGTTTAGCTGCAGCAGACTTGCAACCTTGATGATTTGCTGAGCTGACATCATGGCGCATAGTTACACTTTAGCATGTAATACTGTCTCTATCCCCATTTAATCAAATTGCAAATAGGCACCTGAAGTCCTTAGTATAAAAAGGTAACAACGCCATCAACGATAAAGTCAGTCATAAAATTACTTACAGTTACGACAACGCAGCACAGATATTTATTATACGCCCTGCCTATCAATTATTTTTAATTATGATTTTCGAATAAAATCCGAGTACCAAAACTTTCGTTAATTTTCAACAGTTGTATCTGTACGGTGTGTGAGACTGTGAGCTCCTCACCATCAGTTTAAGTACGTACTTCATTCCTACCGACGGTTTTGCAGCGTTTGGAACGGGCAAACCGCTCCACGGGATAAATGGTGGCGGAGTTGGCGAAATTTTTCCGGGAGCGACTCGAGACACTGAGCGGATGTTCTTACGATGCAATGATGCCAGTTCCGCGGGCTGCCTACGCGTCTTCACTCCACGCAACCACTGAGAATGGACAGGTGTTATCAGAGGATCACCACCTTGCCGCTCCATCAGCAGAAATCTACGAATAACTCAATAACAGCATATCAGTTGGCAACTGGCAGATATTACCAACTGCGAAGCTACAGTATGATACTGTAGAATACCGTAAACTGTAAAGCATACTCTCACCTCGTAAGCGCTCGCTTTAGCATTGTTTATCCCCTTGAAAAAAGATGGCAGTTAAAACTATCCTAAATGATTCACTGAAGCAGGTTGGTTGTATCGCCAGTAGCTTCAGTCGCGAAACAAAATGGTGGAACCAAGAACTTTTATGAGTAGACTAGAGATTACAGAGTGCAGAATGATGCTGCTGCAAAATAATAAAACAGTTTTCTGTTTTCTGTACGAGTGAATTACAGTTCTGAACATGGACAGCCGTACGTTACATTTTGGCCTTGCCACAGGCTAGAAGCTAACTGGATGTGTACAGGCGTACTACCTACATACTACTCGTACATAGGTATGTAGGAAAGATGTTGACCTGGGATGCTACATGTGTGTGCACAGTAGCCTTATCGCACATCGTGGCAACATCGAAACAAGCGGGAGCAGCCGCGGCGCGCGCAGAGCAGGATAAAGTGGCGAAGTATCGTGACATCACACAGGACTACATGTTCCGTGCAGTAGGCGTCGAAACACTCGGACCTTTGGGACCAGACGCTTCTCGCATGGTCACCGAACTCGGACAGATGATACGCGCAGAAACGGGCGAGATACGGGCGATTGAGTATCTGCGCCAGAGGTTCAGCATTGAAATTCAACGCGGGAATGCGGCCTCCGTCATGGGAACAGCACCAGCATCGGCTAATTTAGATGAGATGTTCAGTATAATCAGACCGTCTATCTCTGTTGTCGGTTGAGACTGTAGATTACATCTTTATTATGAAAGATTACAGTGTATTATGTGTTGAAGTGATGTAGTTGAACCATTGGATTAAAGGTATGTAGGTAGTACATAGTAAGCAACCCCTGCGGGTTTGGTACTTTTCAGAACTCTCAAATTCATACAACTTGTTCGTACTATGGCTCAAAAAATGGAGGAAAAAATTTTAAGTTTGTCAATGCGAAAGCTGGCGAGTAGAAAGTTATCACGAAAGCGAAAACTTCACGATTATGTAATTCTTGTTTAGCATTGAGGACTACGAGGCAGCTTGCCATATTGAGGTCTACGAGGCAGCTTGCCATAGACATCAATGCTAAACAAAAACTACTTCAGTTGATCAAAAATCTAACTGTTTGGTGGTGTCGCATTTTATTTCAAACCATCACTTAAACACGTGTTAGAGAAACAGTTACAAAAACAACAGCTCGTTAAACATTTCGGCTTTCTCCACCGTGCCCAAAACAGAAACCGCATTACCACGCTGTATCTCTATGGACAAACGTTGTCGAAGAAATTCGTGCGAGCGGGCTTCTCCTGAATGAGAACGTAATCTTTTCCCCAGTTCTTTTATGATGGCAATGGCCGCTGGTCCCCACGGGCCCATAGTTTCAAAAGCGATAGGTGTGAATATATAGCGGCCGTTTAAATAAGAATAGAACCTAGACTTCTTCTCTTCAGCCTGCAACGCGGCCGATCCCGCAATTGCCGAAGTAGATTTGATGTGGGAAGCGGCAACAGTATCCACGCAGGTGACATCCCATGCCAAGCACATTCCTCGCTGCCAGGCGAACGTTGTGCAGCCATCGGGGCGTCGTTCGTTGGTGTGGGAAGTGCCTCGGGGTTCAAGTTTAGCTGGGATTCCGGCTGATACAAAAGCCCGACATACGATACTGTTAAGGCCACCATGTCTTGGGTGTCTGCCGGCGGAGAAGGTACAGGAAAGACCATGATGAGCGTATCCGTCGACCGGCTTTAAACATTTCGTGCAGTTGTGAGGTTCACAAATCCTGGCGCCGAGTCTAAGGCCTACTGAGATTTTCAGAGTATCGTCATCGAGGAGGTTACCTATATGGGCGGAAGGCAACGCGTTGAGCCAAATGCCGGCTTCTGGTCTCGACTGGGCAAGCAGACGCGCCTTATTAATTTCATCATCCCGGTATACTTCTAGCAGGGCAGCCAGAGATACATTACACAATGGCAAATCCCATGCCTTCTGGGAATTGCGGAATTCTGGAACGGGCAGTTCTGTTAAACGGGCTTTTGCCTTCCACATTTCTAGAGCAACGGTAATGTCTGAAGTCTCTCGACTGGGAAGCAACAAAGACACCAGGTCGCCGACGGAGTGAATCGAAGCCAGGAAGGCTGGGAGTGCTAATTCCTCCGATCGACGTAGACCAATGCCTCCTCTGCTAACCGGGAGACTTGCTTGCCGCCAACTGGGATAATCATCGTGATTTGTCCGGACATTACATAGAAGCTGGAAACAAGACCGCAATACTTCATCGATTTGGTACAATTGCTCAGGATATTTCCAGGCGTTGCAACACCGCAACATGTAAATGATTTTCGGTGCTCCGAGACAGTGCCTTAAAAGGAATAAGGCGTGGTGACGGGGAAGCAATTTCATTCTTTCGCATACCGCGGTCAGCGACTTCGCTTTCTCGGCAAATACAGGGGCAATCGCGTCGTCCAGCACAGGGGCTCCTAGAAGCGTTAAATTAGTGCTGCACATGACGCGGATTCCCGGATGCCTTGAAAGAAAATTGGTAATTGCCTCTTGCTGTGTAATCTCAGAACCGCCTGCAACGTATAATTCGCACTTTCCGACGTTAATTTCCAGGCCAGTCGCCCGTGCTCTTTCGATGACGCGGTCAAAATTCTCAAGTACACTACTAGGAAGCCCGCCCAACGTCCCATCGTCAAGGTACCAAGCGTTTAGCTCGGTATCCAGGGAGGCAATAACTGATTGCAATGCGAGGCAAAATAGTAGCGGTCCCAATGGATCCCCCTGCTGTACACCGGATTCGGATGATAGAACGTGGTCGTCGATGAACAGTGACGAATGGTGTCCATAAGCTGACTGAAAAAAGACGAAGTATTCCGGGAAGTACGACCGCACGGCACTCAGCACTACCGCACGCGAGACCGTATTGAACGCACTGTTTGGTTGTTTAATTGACTGATTATAGTTCTGGATGTTTTGTTTTGATTAAGTGATTACATTTTAATTGTTTTGATTTGATCACAATGAAAAAAATCAATATTTTTGTTTACCGTAGAGGTCTATGGCAAACAGCCTCATAGACCTCAGTGCTAAACCTGAATTACATAAATCGCAAACGTTTCGTTTCCCTGATAACTTTTTACTAGCTAACTTTCGCTTCACAAACTTGAATTTTTTTCCTCTATTTTTTGAGCCATAGTACGAACAAGTTGTATGAATTTGGGAGTTTCGAAAAGTGCCAAACCCGTAGGGGTTGCCCACTCCGACGCACAATGCAGGTGCGCTGCCGTGACGTCATGTGTTTAGTAATATTAGTAATATTAGTAATATTAGTAATATTAGTAATATTAGTAATATTAGTAATATTAGTAATATTAGTAATATTAGTAATATTAGTAATATTAGTAATATTAGTAATATTAGTAATATTAGTAATATTAGTAATATTAGTAATATTAGTAATATTAGTAATATTAGTAATATTAGTAATATTAGTAATATTAGTAATATTAGTAATATTAGTAATATTAGTAATATTAGTAATATTAGTAATATTAGTAATATTAGTAATATTAGTAATATTAGTAATAATGTTTAGTAATATTATGTTAGTACTAGTGGCGGTTAATATAACCACATCATTGCACCGAGCGCGAGCGCCGGTCCACTGTGAAACTATGAATCGACATGGCGTGCCACAATGCTGTCATCGGCTAGACTTACCGGTTAGAGTACTTACCAGGGCACATTTTCCGGGTTTAAATCCAAAAAATTCTGATATTTTGCAGAAAGATAGAATAATACCCTAGCATAATTAAAAAAATAATTTTATCTGCAAAGGCTCAAAGGGCGTGGCCAAACAGAATTAAATAAACACACAGAACTACGTACTGTTGCAGTGTATTAGTGCAGTACTTAGTACTCTTTCAGGCTATATTTTTTGTTGATTAGATTTTACCGTATTGCACGAGCAAATTATTGGACTTTACCAATTGTCAAGTCCTGATGTTTAACCAATGCACGCATGCGGTAGCGGTGACCCTGCCGATAAAGCAAAATTTTAATTTCCAAAATCTGCTATCGGTTATTAATTTGAAAGCACATTAATACAGCCTGTTACGCAGGCACTCCTTCTTTACGGTTACAAAATTGCTGACAAGTAGTAATTTGGTCGCGATGACATGGGGGGCGTGCTGAAAGGGCCACAACTATAATGCGGCGCTCGCAAAATAAAAATGGAGCTATCATACTCAGACTTCGCAGCACCGGCCAGTGCGCTGAATAGCAGTAACAATGCAGTATGTAATACTACGTTAACATTTAATTGTTGGTTGGCCACGCCCTTTGAGCCTTTGCAGATGAAATTAATTTTTTTGATTATACTAGGGTTACAGGGTAGTATTATACCTTTCTGCAAAATATTAGAATTTTTTGAATTTAGACCCGGAAAATGTGCCCTGGTTAATCAGATTAATACTTAATCAAATTAATATAATTGCAATCGGTTTCACTCGTATAATCGGTTCACAAATGCACAAAACCGATTAAAAAATCAAGCGATATGAAAATTTCACTGAGTAAAATGAAAAATTCGATCCCGAAAAAGCGCCCCGAACCAGTATCCTTGACTGTCAGACATCGTAACTGTTAGCGAAACTATCCCAGATTTACCGCTATTTTATTTAAGTATCAGGAAAATAAAATAGCGAGGTACCTGAAATCAGACTGAAAATACGTGACCTTCTTTTTTAATTCCTCACAAGTCAGCCGTAGTTTTTTGACACGGATAGGTTAATGACTTAATATGAATATTAATGAAGCAGGTACGAATAAATGCAACACTGCTCAGTCTTTTCACTGATTTCGTTTCTCTTTGCGTAAATAAAATTTGTATAAAATAAGACTAGTAAAAGGAAGTCGATAACTACGTATAATGCAATGATATGTTACTTAATAGGCAGTAAAGAAAAGGATTTACTTAGTAAACAGTAGCCTAATATTAAACAGTAAATGAACAGTAAGTTTTTGAGAACAGTAACAGTAAAAGTAAGTAAAGATTTTGTGCTGACAGTAACACACATTATTTTATAATACAACACAAATTATTTTATAATGTGTTAAAATTACCATTTTGCCGCCTGTAGTCGTACCAGAATTGCCGATGACGCCGACCAGACGTTCTTCGATTTTCGCAAAGGTCGGTCGCTCCGCCTAGGCACCAGCAGCGTTCCATCAAATCGTAAAATTTGTTGGAGCAGGCTGATCGCGGTACACGTGGACGAACAGGAGAAGTTTGGCTGTGATG